TACCGAAAAACCTTTTTCATCAGTGCATTAGCTTAGACTTTTTCATCGAGTAACACTTTTGTGGTCAGATATGCTTTAATTGGTGTCATCTAGGTTTCTTTCTTTATGACATGTCCCATGAGCTTATTTTCAATGCTATTATGCACTAGTTCATATATTAGAACTTGGTTTAAGCTTTCCATTGCTCCTCTTGAAGTCAACTTAAACAAAGAGTTTACTATTGAATTTTTTAACTTTAGTATCACCTCAATTTTTTTGAAACTATCTATCAAGGCTAGTGTTTTATAGAGATACTTTTGAATTCTATCTTTCTGAGCTTTGAACTCCATATTTACTCATTGACCATCAATTGAGAATCACTATAAATGATTATGTATTGAACATTCAGCTTGGTTGCCAACCTTAAAGCGGCTATCAATGTCTCGTAATTCACTTTATTATTAGATGCCCTAAACTTAATGTCAAAATATATAGGTACTATAGCCCTTTCGAACTAATTGGAATGAGATCGACTCATCCATCCTAACTTTTAGCAAATCCGTCAACATAGAGCTTTTAGTCATCCTTATCTAAAATTTTTTTTCTCAAGTTATCCTTTTAATTGTATTGAGGTACGCTTTACTCGACATGGATCGTGTGAGCTTGAAGTATAGTCTGAGTTTTCTGATCGAGGTAACCATGGCATAGGCGAAGTTTTCTATACTATCGTAGTTAACTTCAAGCCCTGTCAATACTTTACTCATGAAATAAATCGATTGTCATTTTTTTTCTTTTTTTAAGACTAAAATCAAGCTAACAACCTGATTTATGTTGGCCAAATATAAGTACAATGTTTTTTCGATCCTTGATTTAAATAAGATAAGCTGGGAAGATAAGAACTCTTTGAGTTCATCAAAAGCTTTTTAACATTGAAGAGTCTTTTTGAAGTCAGAAACATTCTTGAGAGTTTTGAAGAATAGTAGACATCATTCTATCGATCTAGATATTGATTGGCTAAGTGCAATTATTCTACTTGTTAACCTTTGCACCTCTTTTACCGAGGTTAGTGTTTTCATTTCTAGGATTGCCTAAACCTTCTCGAGGTTCACCTTTATCCCCATTTAATTGATCATGTAGTCGAGGAACTTACCCTTAAGTAACCCTAAAAGCATATTTTTTTTAGGTTAAACCTCAAATTATACTTTTTCAAAATGTTGAAAGTTTTTTTGAGGTCTTCTAGATGCTTGGTCAAACTCTTATTTTTTACTATCATATCATTCACATCCACTTTCATATTGTAATCAATCTAGTTTTTAAATACTTTGTTGACCAGCTTTTGGTAGATCACCCTTATATTTTTTAATCTAAAAAGCATGACCTTATAATAGTAAAAGTTTTTCTTAACAATAAAGGTTATTTTATCCTTATTTTTTTTAATATTTTGATCTTATTATAGCCGAAATAATAATCCATAAAGATAAAAAAATCATGCTCGACACTATTATCTACTAGCCGATCTATGCTAGGGAGAGAGAAGTTATCTTTTAGATAGATTTTATTCAAGTTGATAAAGTCCATGCACATTTTTTATTTTTCACTGTGATTTTTTACTATGATCACATTAGCTTTCTACTCGATGTAGTAGACCTCTCTGATAAAGTCAGCTCGTAATAATTTGTCAACCTCTTTCTCAATGGCTTGTTGTCTTTTAGGGACAAAAGTTTTTTTTTTTTTACTAACCTGGTTTGACCTCAGGATTAGTATGTAATCTGTAGACCATCACTTTAGTATCAATTTCAGGCATATCAAATGATGTCCAAGCAAACAAGTTGATATTATCTTTTATGAGTTGAATCAGTTAGTCTTTATGCTAGAGCTTAGCTTCGATCTACATGTATTTTTGAATAATTTTGCTCCAAAATAGAATTATCATGAGGTTTTCAATCAACTTGAGTCAATTTATATTTGAGTTTAATCTTTGATCGATTATCTCTTTTTGGTCCATTAGGTCAAGATCATTTTCTACAAAAATAGATCTGGACATGAGGATTAGTATATTGAATGACTTGTTGAATGTATTAGTAAAAGTGAATTATGTTTTTCATTTAATATTGTATTTTGACCAACGTGTTAGCTCGACCTATGTAACCTCAAAATTTTTATACTGACTTAAGAGCTCGATCATTTTTATTATTGCCCAAAAAATATAAAAAATAAAAAAATTAAACTTTTGTAGAGCTTAGAAGCTAAGAGCGGCTTAAAAGCATGCTTCTCCTAGATCGATCTTACATTCTATGTTCTTATCAATAGTTTCATACTCTTTGTCAATTCTCTATGTCGATTCCTCTTTGTTTTGTATCTCGGTATCGATCGAGCTACTTGTCTGCTTCTTAGTCTTACCATTTATCATTGTGACATAACATTATCGTGCTATGGACTGGTCTTTTCAAACTTTTTCAACCCCTGCAAATGTTGGGAATTTCATTTTCAAGTGAGAAGCTGAACTTATGAGCCGCATAACATACTAGCTTGGTCGGTCTAATATCATATTATAGGTAGATAGGATATCTACTACCATGAACTCCACGATCGAGGTAATTATCTTTAGCTTTTTCCTCAAAAAGATTGAAAGCTTGATAGTTTCTCTTACTGGCACTTATCCGTTTTCAAACCCCATTAACGTTATGGTGATTGGTTTTGCCAATCTTTATTTTCTTGAAATAGCCATAGTACATAACATCGGTCAAGCTTTCATTGTTAAATAGGATTTTTTTGACTACATAGTTGTACACCAAGGTTGTGATCACTATGACATCATCATGTAAGTGTTGGATTATCTTCAAATCTTTCAAGCTGAACAAGATTGACTCATCTCTCCAATATTTCTTTCTTAGCCGAAGTGCCTATTGCCATTACCATGCCTAGGTTAAACTTTTTTTTTTATCGAGGTAAAGCTATCTCATGTCATTATGTTAATCACCTCGGTGATTGGCGTACTATTGTTAGCTCGACCTTTTTTTTATTCAGCTTTTTTCTTTAAGTATCTTTTTTTTCCTAATTTGATCTTTCATCTCTACCTTGAGTGGGTGCTCTGTGATCATTTCTGTAGTCTCTTCTAAATTAGTCTGGTCTTCTTTGTCCCATAAATCTTTTCAACTAACCTTACCTTCTCAGAGTTTCAATCTTATTTTTTAAGTCGACACAGTCTTCGATATTACGGTCAATGTCTTGGTAGAAGGCACTCTTTTTATTGGATCCCTTCTTATGTTTTATCTCAGTAGCTTAGGCTATTTGAGGTCAAAATTTTTTTCAATTACATCAAAATCTTCTCTTAAGAGGTATTTAGTACAATGTAGTTTCTTTCTCTACTAGGACTTCTAGCCCTTTATTGTCTCTCTTTTAAGGTAAGATCGTAAATTTTTTTACCTTTTTTATGAGCAAAGAGGGGGGATAAACCTCTCTCACTTTGGTTTATTTTCATTGTAGCTTCAACGTTGATATATTTTTCTGCTATTAGCAGGACATCAGCTAGAGATTTGGGTGGTTTTAGTGACAATGTTATTTTTAAGTGACACTCTTTATCATTGAGTCCACTAATCAGTGCAACAATAGTGGTCGTTTATTCTAGGTTTTTAACCTGTAAAGCTTCTACGTTAAAACGTTTGATATAGCTTTTTAGAGTTTCATTCCACATTTGATGAATCGATATTAGGCTCAAAGTCGTTTTCTTAGCTCTTTGACTCTTTACAAATTTGGATAGGAATAAGTGGCTGAGCTCTTTAAATGTAGAGATCGACCTTGACTCCAGATTGTTATACAAGATCGAGTTACGTCTTTCAACGTAATGGCTAAACCTTTGCACATCAAAGCCTCATCTATCCCAAGTATTATCATGTTAGTTATATAAAATTTCAAATGATCAAAGGGTCAGAAGTACCGTCATATGTCTCAAAGGTTGGCATTTTAAATCCCTTGAGAGGTATGACTATCAATCTCTTTAGCAAAGGGTGAGGTCTCCAGGAACTTGAGCTCATCCTCAAATGCCACTGCTTTTATTTTTAGTTTTTTCTCTATGGCCTACCTCCGAGCTTTCAAATCTCTGTTCAATTGGGGTTCATGGTCTATTTGTTTGGATTTTTAGGTTATAACATGTGTGAAATTGTGGCTGAATGAGTTGGGTTTGTGTGTTTTTATTCTCTAGAGGCCAAAGAGGCAAAAGCCTCTTCGTAGCTCGGTTGCCCAACGACAGCTTCTCGACCTGGTATGATTAAGTCATGCACTTTAGAAACTTATGATGGGGTTATGGTTTGCAACATCTGATTGAGAGCTTGTATTTGTTCGATCAGGGCTTAAAATTGTTTCATAGTTAGTCCTACCTATAGTCGAGCTAAACAGATAGAATGCTAGCCTTGTAAGTTTTTGTTCTAGTCCAGACGACTGTCTTTCCTTTTTCTTGGGTTTTTTTTCTTAGTGACATTATTTTGTGCTTGACTGATGTGAAATGTGCTCGTACCTGAAGTACCTGAAGTACCAAATATTGGTATCTAGCTCCGACCTAAAAGTATTCCTGTAAATGCAAAAGGAAAGAATGATTAGAGGTAAAGATAGGAGATGTTCCCTACGTTTACACGTAGACGCACAAGTTAAAAATGGTCAGGTTGAAATGAAGTGAGAAAGTAGGAAAGAAGAAAGAGATAAATAGGATAAATCTAATTTCATGGTGTTTAAATCTTCATATTTATAAGTAAATTGAAGGAGATAAAAATTGAATAATTAAGATAGGATCGAGCTGAAGTGACACTAAAGATATCATACTAATATAATATATCAAATCGATATAAATAATTAAGATATTCCTAATTATTTGCTAAAGACTAAAAAAGAAAAAAAATTATTATATTTTTTTTTTACCATTATATATCTCTAATTCTTTTCTTCCCGAAAACGAATCCGAAGAATATCCTTCATTGACTTTTTTTTTATTTGCTTGCAACCTTCCCTGGAAGGATCAATTATTAACTTAAAAAAGGCGTTCTCAACGCAAACAAAGCAAAACGCCAAAACCTGGTACCACTATTGGTACAAAAGAGTTACAATACCACTTTTACTTGCAACGTGCTAAACCATAAGCGGATTGATAAGAGACTAAACTTCAATCCTGACAGAAACCTAGATCTAACTTCACAAGTAAGCAAGCTAACCAGACAAGCAAACGAGTTAATATTTGCACCTGGAAGACAGATTACAACAACATCCCCAAGCTGGAGCAGCTAAGCTTGGACTGGGAAATCTTCTAATATAAGTGCATATTCGGACTGGAAGGAGATTGGCGCTTACAAGCTGCTGAAGCTACAAAGCCTGGACGGGAACACCTTCAACAGTTCCACTGCCCCCTCCAAAAGTTAGGATCTGAACACTTCTATGACTATGATAAGTTTTTACTGATTCTCTATCAGGCTAGATCTACTAGAAACTAACCTTCTATGCTAGATAGAGTATATGAGCGGATCTAGTGAGATGAAAGTGTGGGTTTGAGGTAAAAGAGAGGGTGGATTTCTATTGATGTTGACTCCCTGCATCTTTGATAAACATCAGAGCTTCTTCTGGGTTTCAATGTAAGAGTAAATTGAACTGAATTGTGGTTCCTTTATTCCGGTCAAACGCATTCCAGATCGATTAGAAGATATTAAAGTGTTTTGGCATGGCTGAAGCTGCTGTTTCCGTTGTGGTAGAAAGGCTAGCTTACATACTCGAAGAGATTGATTTTAAAACAAATGTTCGAGATGAAGTTGTGCGTCTACAAGATGAATTGATGCGGATGCGATGTTTCTTGAGGGATGCGGATGCAAAGCAAGATGATGATGAGAGAGTGCGGAACTGGGTTTCCGATATTAGAAATGTTGCTTATGATGTTGAGGATATCATTGACACATTCATCCTCAGAATTGATTCCGTCAAGAAAAAGAACCCCATGAGAAGGTATGCTTCCATTTTCGTAGATTGGAAACATCGCTCCAAGATTGCGAAGGAGCTCATGGCCATCCAGGGAAGAATCCTTGATATATCTGAGAGTCGTGAAAAGTATGGTATCAAGAACATTGGAGAGGGGATTAGCACTGCGAGGGAGAGGCTCCGGAAGCAGAGAAGATCATCTCCTCGCGGTGAAGAAAAGGATATTGTTGGCCTGGACGAAGATATAGCTAAGCTGGTGACACAACTTGTCCAAACTGAGGACCAGTGGCATGCGATTTCAATAGTCGGAATGGGGGGCATTGGCAAGACCACTCTTGCCAAAAAGGTTTACAATCATGATGATATCCAGGCCCGTTTTCCTACCCGAGCATGGGTCTATGTATCCCAGGAATTCAGTACTAGAGACATACTTCAGGCAATTATAAAGCAAGTGGCGACAACAGGACGAAAGTTGGAATCGTTGCGGGAAGAAGAACTGGAAGAAGTTCTATATGACCACCTTCGAAAAAAACGGTATTTGGTGGTCCTGGATGATGTATGGAGCATAGAAGCATGGAATTCTCTGTCTGAGGCCTTTCCAGACAGAAGTAATGGAAGCAGAGTGATGCTTACTACTCGCAACAGGAGTATTGCCCTCAAAGCTGATGCTAGAAGCATTCCCCATGATTTGCATTTTCTGAGCGAAGAAAATGGTTGGCTGTTGTTCTGCAAGAAAGCTTTCATTGATAGCGCTGACGCCCATCGTTCCCCACAGTTGGAGGAAATTGGGAAGGAGATTGTTGAAAAATGTGCTGGTTTACCACTAGCCATCCTTGTGATGGGAGGATTGCTTTCAAGAAAAAGAAATGTGGGAGAATGGAAAAGGGTTCTTTCCAATATGAGCTCATTCTTTGCTCAAGACCCAAATGGGGTATCAGCTATACTGGCTTTGAGTTACAACGATTTGCCATATTACCTCAAATCTTGTTTCCTCCATCTCGGACAGTTCCCTGAAGACCACCCCATTCCCTCGCATAAATTGTTTAGGCTATGGATTGCGGAGGGTTTGATACCAGAGCAAGGTGAAAGGATGGAGGATGTAGCAGAGGATTACTTGAATGAGTTAATTGAGAGAAACATGGTTCAAGTAGCCAAATTGAGTGTCAGCGACAGAGTTAAACAATGTCGTCTTCATGATCTACTACGAGACCTCTCCATCTCGAAGGCCAAAGCTGAGAGCTTTCATGAAATTCAAGGGAGTCAAAATACACATCCTTCAGCTAGATGTCGTCGTCATGCCATCTACTCTACCTTCAATTGGCGACAATGCAAGCATACAAATCCCCATCTCCGCACACTTCTCTTCTTTAGAGTTGATCATCACAAAAACCAGGTTAAGTATTATAGAAATGATCCTTACAAGATGGAAGGCAGCGATTTAGATTATGTTGGCAAAAATTTCAAATTGCTCAGAATTCTGGAGTTGGAGGGTATACCATGTACTACCATTCCGAGCGTAATTGGGTTACTCATTCATTTGAAGTACTTGGGGCTAAAGGAGACGAACCTACAGGAGCTTTCATCAGCCATAGGTTCTTTGCGAAACCTACAGACTCTTGATGTAGCTGCAAATCTTCATCTGAAAACAATTCCCAATGTAATATGGAAGCTAACAAAATTACGATCTCTTTATATGTGTGGGCATAAATATGGGGGGCCAATGCGAATTGACACACTACAGCATCTCCAAGCTTTATCAGAGATAAATGTCGAAAAATGGATGCAAAACAACTCTGCAAATTTAACCAGCCTGCGGAAATTGGGAATCAGAGGAAACTTCAGCTTGCAAGCTAATGAAATATTCAACTCCATTGTGGCACTTGTACAACTTCAGTCCCTGTACCTGCGTACCGAAGATGCTGATTTTCCGTTGTTCACACAATTTTCTGCTCTTCAAAATCTAGTCAAGTTGCATATGAGAGGAACGATAAGGCAATTACCTAGCTCGCAGGAATTCCCACCAAATCTGTCTCAGTTGACATTAGCACATACTCATCTCAAGCAAGCTTCAGTGGGGATACTAGAGAACTTGCCAAGATTATTGATTCTGAGACTAAAAGCACGTTCCTATGATGGAGACAAAATGGCAATATCTGTCAGTGGCTTTCCTCAACTTGAGTTCCTGGAGTTTCACTCCTTGGAATCCTTGGAAGAGTTAAATCTTGAAGAAGGTGCAGTTGTAAGGCTTAGGAGTTTCCGGATCATCAATTGTGGAAACTTAAAGATGCTCCCTGAAGGAACAAGATCCCTTAGTGCCCTACGTGAGTTGGACATTGAAGAAATGCCAAAATCATTCGTGGATAGGATTCGAGGTGAAGATTTTTACAAAGTGCAACATGTTCCCTCTATCTTGTTTGTTTAATTTGCAGTTTCAATAAAGATTGTAGCAAATGGCAATACCTTAAACCATAAACTATTCATGGCTTCATACAGATTTGGATCTCTTAGTCTTACAACTGAAACTTTTTGTTGTGATTTATGTACCTTGTTCCTGACCTAACCCTCCAAGGTCACACCAGATTCAATTTCATGTAAGAGAATTCACTGGGAAGAAGAGCAATCACTCCGTCGTCCTATTCAAACGTTGAAAGATTAACACATTTAAAATGTTGCTATAGTAATTTATGAAGGTTGATGACAGATTCTGTCGGTGGCAGCTAGAAACTACATTGTCGAAGGAACATGTAACAGATTGGATCACTTGTTCATATGTCTGAAATCAATGTCCCAACTCCAAAGTAAAGTTTTGACCTGATTAATTATGATAGAGTGGGCCGAGCTCGTTTCTTCATGAGATGAAAAAGGCCCAAAAACCCACTGAAATTGCACAGTGTGGCTGGCATGGCCACACATTTGTTGACGTTTGTTACCACACTTGCTACTGTTCTAGACTCTTCTTTCGAAGGTCAGTAACAACTGCCCCCTCCACCACATTCCATTCAACGCCAAAAAAGTAAAAAAATAGATAAACCCCGAAAGAGTACAAAAGTAACCATCATCATCCCCCAATTTTAATTCCATTGTCAAAAGAATCATACTCACAGTCATCCATTCTTATCTAGTAGTTTATCTATTCTCACTAAAAAATTATTTTTACTTTTTTAAATTTTACATACAAAATTAATAAGGTAATATATACTAAAAATTAATTAAAAAAATCTAATTTACACCCACTTTTTAAAAGATAAAGCAATCTTGTTGTTGACATTTTACCGAAAAAGCAAACCACCATAATAAATAATTTATTTTTTTAAAATGAAAAATTAGAAAGAATCCCCAAAAAAAAATTTTTTTTACAAGCAAAATAATTGTCACCGTTGTTGTTCTTTCCAACTCCAATACCCAAGAACAATGCTACGGAGTCTTACACTTGCCACTTCTTTTTCTTCTTCTTCTTCTTCTCTCATTTCTAAACCTTTCTTTTCGATCTCTCCAAAACTTCCCTTCTCTTTCTCTCGACTTTCTTTCCCTTTCCCTCAAGCCAAACGATCCATTTTCGTCTACAAATCCCGCATGAACATCCTGAAAAACCTCGGCTTCGGAGCCAACAACAAGCCAACGCCGTCAATGGAAAACTCCGCCATCGCTCAGGGTCCGGACGACGACGTCCCGGCTCCTGGTCAGCAGTTTGCTCAGTTCGGTGCGGGGTGGTTTTGGGGCGTTGAACTGGCGTTACAGAGAGTTCCAGGGGTGACCAAAACGGAGGTTGGGTATTAACTAGTGATTTAACTAGATTTACAGCAAAGCAGCCATATTAATGTAACCCAACAAATTTTAACCACTTGTTTTCCAATTGCAACAAAAACAATGGAAAAGGAAAGGTCCAAAAGGGCCTGGCTAATAATTAGATATCTTTCTTAGTTCTTCACTCAATGTCAATCATTAAAAAATAATAAATATATATGACACAACAAACAAAAGGATATTTGCAGTTCTAAAGGTAGGTCATCTAATAATAAGCAACCCTGAGGTACATATACAATGCCAAATTTCATCATCTCAAAAACATCAATTAATCTCTCATTCATGGCCAAGCTGATTCTGCTTTGTTTTCTTGTTCTTTTCTGCTTTGCATTAACAAGTGATGCTACAACGTACGTGGTTGGGGACACATCCGGCTGGGACATAAGTACTGACATTGATTCATGGGTTAGTGACAAGAGATTCAATGTTGGTGATGTTCTATGCAAGTGTCTTGTTGCCATCTTAGAAAAGATAACGAGTTTTCTTTTTTTTTTTTTGTTCATGTCACAAGCAATTAAGGAACCCTAATATCCTTTCTTCTGTTGAGTTTAGTGACAAATTTCATTTGTTTTCTGTTTCTTGTAGTGTTCCAACACTCATCATATCACAGTGTAAGCGAGGTAACCAAAAAAAGTTTCAAAACTTGCAACACAACGGATACTCTGAGAACATTTTCCAATGGGAACACAACTGTTACATTGTCAAATGTTGGTGCCAGATATTTCGTTTATGGTAACAGGTTGCATTGTCTTGGAGGCATGAAGCTTCAAGTAAACGTCGAAGGTGATCAAACATCTTCGACTGTTGGTGCCCCTGAAGCACAGCCTGGAACTACACTTCCGCAGCCTGCGTCGAAGAACAACAATCCTTCAATTGTTATTCCCACTTCAAGTGGGTATATCATTGGTGGAATTCAATGTCTTATAATAGCCTTGCTATGTTTGACGGCTACAATGTTGTTTCTGTTCCAGACTTGAGAAAAATATTCGTAGCCAAGCACTATTACTCCATATAATATCAAAGTTGTTTTGCATTGTTGGAAACCAATGAAGAGTTCTTTCTTTTTCTTTTACTTTTAGGCAAATACGTTTTATGTGGATTTTCAATATCGTGATTTTATATGAAAAACAGATTCTACTTACACTGATGAATAAATTTTCTCCCTTCATTGCCAAGTCAAATGGTTTTTGCACTGTGATCAATGAGGATCCTACTCAACCACTGTAGCAATTTTTCACTACGAGTTGATCAAAGAAAAGTTCATGAAATGTCAAAACAAAAATCTTGGAGTCACTTTGCACCTTAGTCGAAAAGGTAACAAACCTGTAATCAAGTTTGATAACAATAAGGCTATTATTTCCGCAGTTTTAGTCTGGTTAGTTTTTAAATTGTCCTACAGCAATGCTAAAGGAGAGACGTATATTTTTAATTTAAAAAGGGTAGAGATGTATATTGGTTCTGAATTAATGAACAAAATCATACAAGAAAAACATGTTTTATCATGTGATGAATCACTAAAGCACTCTTCTGCGCCCTGTTTCTGACAGGAACAACCTGTTACCCCTTAATTTAGAAAAGCAGGAACAAGAGAAGAGAGGAAAAAGTAAAAGAAGTAAAAGGAAAAAAAATCTGTGGTGTCATATTAAAGCTATCTCCTCCCACTTAGATACTCTTTTTTGATCCTCACGAGCTTGGTTGCAACTACTGTCATAGTCATTCTATCATCGGGCGACTCTGCAGTACAACCACAGGCCACTTCCATGATTGATAATATACATGTCCTATCAGCAGCTAAGTCTCTCCAACAAGATTGCAGCGAAGTGAAATCTACAATACTCTCAACTGCATGAGGTAATGAAGAGCATACCCAATGCCTGAGGTTCATTTCACCGTTAAATATTTCATCTGTGGGCTTCTTTCTGGTAAATGTTTCCATCAGTAGAATACCAAAGCTATAAACATCAGTTTTATCAGAAACAGTTCCAGTTGATTCATACTCTACATCAAAACAGTATCAATGCATTAAGTATAAAAAATCCAATATAATGCATGATGTTATGATATTTTGTAGTTGAACATGATGAGAAACGTCACCTGGAGCCATATATCCAGCAGTGGCCTTAGTCGCGGTTTTTGTTGCTGCAGTTCTTTCACTTACGCGTTTGGCAATGCTAAAATCACTAACATGTGCAACCATGTCATTATCTAGTAGAACGTTGCTAGGTCTTAAATTGCAGTGAATGACACACATTGTATGGAGGTAGCACAAAGCTGATGCCACATCTATCATTGTATTAAGCATTGTCAAGATATTCCTTAAGGGGCTGTCATCATCATTGTAATGAAGCCATTGTTCCAGAGATCCATAGGGCATGTACTCCAGAACCAATGCTTTAAAATCAACTTCATTGCACATCTTCAAGATTTTGACAACATTCCGATGGCGAATAAAGGACAGTGCTTCAGATTCAACTGCAAAACTCTCCCGCCCTCTTTTTATTCGATTAAAAACCTTTATTGCTCTGTATACATCATGCCCATATGGTGATGGCATTTTTCCTTTGTACAAGACACCAAATTCCCCATACTGAACTATTTGACTTTCATTAAAGCCATCCGTTGCTAATAGAAGTTCTTGCCGTGAAATACTTGGATATATTTCTCTTTGGACTTGACATTCACTGTCTCTTAAATAATTTTTTTTGATCCTCTGGAGCTCTTCTTCAACTTCTCTCATAGTCTTCCTCTCAACAGACAACTCTGCAGTGCAAAACCTAGCCACTTTCATGATTGATAGTATACATTTTCTTTTGGCAGATATGGCTTCCTGATCAGCCTCAAGTAAAGCTACATCTGTTATTCTATCTACCGCACGAGGTAATGACTCACATACCCAGCGCCTCAAGTTCATTTCTCCATCAAACATTTCATCTGTGGGTTTCTTTCTGGTAAATGTTTCCATCAGTAGAATACCAAAGCTATACACATCTGTTTTTTCAGATATAATTCCACTTGATCCATACTCTATATGTAAGATAGAAATGCATTATTCAGATAAAGAAAAATTACATGCATACATGAATTATATAATGCAAATATAAATCAAAATAGAAACATTACCTGGTGCCATATACCCAACAGTGGACAAGGTTGAGGTTTGTTTTACAGCCTTCTGCTCATCTAAGATTTTGGCAATGCTGAAATCACTAACATGAGCGACCATATCTTCGTCTAGCAGGATATTGCTAGGTTTCAAATCAAAGTGAACAGCATGTCTTGCATGAAGGTAAAGCATTGCTGATGCAACTTCTATCATTACGTCAAGTCTTTGCAAGAGATTCAGAAAATAATTATGAGTGTAAAGCCACTTGTCCAAGGTCCCGTTAGGCATGTATTCTAGCACCAAGGCTTTGAAATCATCATCACGGCAACTGTTAATGAGTTTGACAATATTAGGATGATGAATAATGGACAATAACTTGGATTCATCCTCAAAACTCCTTATTGCTCTTTCTGTATGCATATTGAAAACCTTTATTGCAACATTCTTCTCCTCTTTCATTGTTCCCTTGTAAACAGAACCAAAACCCCCAGTGCCAAGTAGGTTACTTTCACTAAATCCATCTGTTGCTAGCGCAATTTCTTGGTACAAAATTGTTCTTCTTTTTGTTGGAAGAACAGCTATCATCCCTTTTTGGAAGTACTGTTTTACCAACACATGGATCAGTAATAGCATACAACATAATGCAATCATTGGAAAAAAAATCTTGAGAAATAGAAAAAGAGTTCTCCGTGTTCCTTTGGAGGTACCAGTTTTGCATGGTGGAACTTGCAATCGTGCTGCACCACAAAGTGCTTTATTCATCACATATGATTGGGCTAAGAAATTAGCAAAGGGTCCTTCACTGGGAATTTCTCCTTGGAGTTCATTAGAAGACACATTAAAATATTGAAGATAAAGGAGCTTTACCAAGGACATAGGAATTACTCCAGAGAGGTTGTTAACAGAAAGATCCAAGAACTCTAAGCTTATAGAACCACTAAAAGATTCTGGAATAGAGCCTTGTAATTTATTTTCTGCTAAAGAAAGATACACAAGCATTTTGAGATTCCCAATGCTGTTAGGAATGTAACCTGATAACTGATTATTTGACAAATCAATTTCAGTCACAACCTTCAAATTTTCAATTTCTAATGGAAGAGACCCCTGTAGAGAATTTGATGACAAGTCTATGGCCAGGATATCATTTAGGCTCCACAAGCTTGAGGGTATCATGGAAGTTAACCTGTTAAAGCCTAAGCTGATATTTCTTAGAGCTTTAAGATTACCCAAGCATTCTGGTATTGATCCAGAAAGCTCATTACCACCTAAGAATAATTCCACCAAGCTGCTCAATTGACAAAGATCATACAAGATGGTTCCTTGCAATCTATTGCTTTGAAGGTGCAAACCTTGCAGCTTTTGTAGTTTTCCAATTGTATTTGGAATAATACCAGTCAGTTCATTTTTTCCCAGCTCTAAGGCTATCAAGCTGCTTAAATTGCCAAGTTCAGCAGGAATGAAGCCCTTAAGTTTGCAATCAGACACCAAAAAGTATTCAAGAAAAGCTGAGAGATTACCAACGGACATGGGGAGGATGGAACCAAGAGGATTGCCTGATAGCACAATCCTTCTCAAATGGCTGTTTTGTGTCAATGAAGAAATAAAATTTGATTCCACCATGGAGGATTCACTGGTTAAGTTATTCTGGGCTAATTCAAGTTTCTGGAGATTTCTCAGATTACCAATAGAATTAGGAATACTGCCAGTAAAGAAGTTATCTGTCAAGTCCAAGAGAGTGAGTTTTGATGCATTAGAGATGGAGCTAGGAATTATTCCTTGAAGTTCATTTCCCCGAAGGTGAAGCTCGGCAAGATTTGGAAGGAAGAAGCCTATACTTGATGGAAGGTTTCCTGAAAGAGAGTTTTCATATAGCAAGACAACTTGTAATGCTGAGATATTGAAGATTGTTGACGGAATAATGCCCCTTAAGACGTTATTATTAACTCTCAATGCCTTTAGGTTGGAAAGATTTCCAATCTCCGGTGGTAGTGCACCTGGACAAAGCGGAAACCACCAATATTTACTTCAGCATTTTAATTCTGCTGTTTCTACTCACAATTCTTAACAATTATTGCATTAAGAAGTACAAAGAGGAAGAAATGTAATCTTTCAAGAAGGTTGTTTCCAGATCAAGCCTAGCTACAGAAGGAAATAAATAAACATGAACTTATAATGGACAATATAAAGCAACCTCCCTAAAATACGCAATGGTGGATTCTAGCTCCAGAAAAGATGCTATGATCTGTCCTTCTGTATGACAAAAAGTTCACACGCTACGCTATCCTACTTGATTCCATACTATATTTCTATCTCCTAAAGAAATGAGGTATGGAGCTGCACAATTTTCATTTAGTGTTGATGGCTCCTAGTAATGCAGGGTATTTCTTTGTAATGCAATATTATCACAGCCATAACACTACCTCCATGACAGGACATTGTATACACAGGCTCAGCTAAGAGTACACAAATCATCCAACCCCCCTCTCACCGGAGCGTCTTTCCCCACAGTCCATTTTATGCCAAGATCCATCTAATCAACCAGCACCAGTACAGATCCAGCGGCAAACTCAAACCTTTTCAATATGGAGTTTGTTTGAGGAGTTGGGACCTAAGCAAACAGCCTGATAATGCTGTAACTACAAAAGCATAAAGTACCTGTCAAGTTGTTTTCACTGAAGTTTATTTCCTCGAGCAATGTACAGTTTCCAATACGGCTTGGTATGTGACCTGGATAAATTCAAGCAGTTCAAACACTAAAAAGTATGATGGCATATCTTGGCAAATATTAAAAAAGGCAAATAAAATTGCACCTGTAAGGTGGTTATATGAAATGTTCAGATTCTTTACATTGGTTAGATAACCTATTTCCCCAGGAATTGTACCTACAAAGACATTATCATCAAGATAGATCACCTCATGAACAATTTGTTTATTAAAAGGTTGAGAAAAAAAAAAAAGAAAAAGAAAAGTCTACCAGATAGTCTATTAAAGCTGAGATCAATTATTTGTAGGGAAGATAAGTTTCCAATGTGTGGAGGGATGGTGCCCTCTAGATCCATGGAAGAAATATTCAAGGCTATGACCCTCTGGGGTTGGCCACCGCAAGTAATACCAATCCAATTGCAAACAGAAGTAGCTGTTGTCCAATTGTTTGCCAAGATATTTTGAGTTTCGGGATTGATATGGGCTTTCAAGGCCAGAAGCGCAGATTGATCAGTGATTAATGAGTGAAGACGGGTTGTGCACAATATAAAGAAGTGAACTAACAACACCAAACTATGAAAGCAAGAAATCTCCATGACCGTAAGATTGAAAATGGACGCTTATGACAATGGAGGAAGAGAAATGATACAAAACTGAAAATCTAATGGCCCCAACAATAGGAGAATGTACAGAGTCAGAATGGAAATTGGAGGGCTGACCATAAGTAGACGGGATTTTACTGCCTTACCCCTCTAATGGAGGCCTAATGGGCTATGCTGCAGGTTCTGTTCCTTTGTACGACATGATCATACAGATTTCCAAGCAGCCGTCAAACTTCAATCAGATCGATACTAGGAAGAACAGAGAAAAAAACTGATAGAGGGAGAGTAAGAGATGAACAAGGTTGTCTGGTGAGATAGGGCGGCGCAAAGAGAGAATACAAGGTGCGAAACAAATCGCTGTTTTTCATCTTTCAATTAGTAGAAAAAAGGTCTGCTTTGTGCCATACCGGGGGCATTTCAGTTCACACCTAAAACCCTTCATTGCCTCTTTCTAGAAAGGGTCGATTATCATTGACTTAAAGCCATTGCGAACCAAAGCAACCTTTCTCGAAAGGGTCATTATTAGTGACTTAAAGCCGTTGTGAACCAAAACAAAGTAAAACGCCAAAACCTTATATCATTATTGCTGCAGAAGAGTTACAATACCGCGTTTACTTACAACGTGCTAAACCATACGCGGATTGATAAGAGACTTTACATCAGAACTTCAATCCAGACAGAAACTTAGATCTAACTTCAAAAGTGACCCAGCTAACAAGACAAGCAAACAAGTCCATGTTTGCACCTGGAAGATGGATTACAACAACATCCACAAGCTGGAGCAACTCGGCTTGTACTGGGAAACCTTTTTGGCGATATTTACAAGCTGCTGAAGCTACAAAGCCTGGACTGGAACACCTTCCACAGTTCCACTGCCCCCTCCAAAAGATGAGATCTGAACACTTCTATGACTATGATAAGCTATGAGAAAAGTTAAGTTTTTACTGAGTTGTCTTCTTTTTTTTCTCTATCAAACTAGATCTACAAGAAATTAACCTCCATAGATAGTATGCTAGATCTAAGAGTATATAAGCGGATATAGTGAGATGAAACTGTGGGTTTGATGACTTTTGAGGTAAAAGAGAGGGTGGATTTCTGTTGATGTTGACTCCTGCATCTTTGATAAACACCAAAGCTTCTTCTGGGTTTGAATGTAAGAGTAAACTGAATTGAATTGTAGTTCCTTTATTCGGGACAAACGCATTTCAGATCAATTAGAAGATATTAAAGTGTTTTGGCATGGCTGAAGCTGCTGTTTCCATTGTGGTAGAAAGGCTAGTTTACATACTATAAGAGATTGATTTTAAAAAAAATGTTCTAGATGAAGTTGTGCGTCTACAAGATGAATTTATACGGATGCGATGTTTCTTGAGGGATGCAGATGCAAAGCAAGATGATGATGAGAGAGTGCGCAACTGGTTTTCGGATATTAGAAATGTTGCTTATGATGTTGAGGATATCGTTGACACATTCATCCTCAGAATTGATTCCGTCAAGAAAAAGAACCCCATCAGAAGGTGTGCTTCCATTTTCCTAGATTGGAAACATCGCTCCAAGATTGCGAAGGAACTCATGGCCATCCAGGGAAGAATCCCTGATATATCTGAGAGTCGTGAAAAGTATGGTATCAAGAACATTGGAGAAGGGAGCACTGCAAAGAAGAGGCTCCGGAAGCAGAGAAGATCATCTCCTCGCGGTGAAGAAAAGGATATTGTTAGCCTGGACGAGGATATAGCTAAGCTGCTGACACAACTTGTCCAAACTGAGGACCAATGGCATGCAATTTCAATAGTCGGAATGGGAGGCATTGGCAAGACCACTCTTGCCAAAAAGGTTTACAATCATGGTGAAATCCAGGCTCGTTTTCCTACCCGAGCATGGGTCTATGTATCCCAGGAATTCAGTACCAGAGACATACTTCAGGCAATTATAAAGCAAGTGGCGACAACAGGACGAAAGTTGGAATCTTTGCGGGAAGAAGAATTGGAAGAAGTTCTCTATGACCACCTTCGAAAAAAACGGTATTTGGTGGTCTTGGATGATGTATGGAGCATAGAAGCATGGAATTCTCTGTCTGAGGCCTTTCCACACAGAAGTAATGGAAGCAGAGTGATGCTTACGACTCGCAACAGGAGTATTGCCATCAAAGCTGATGCTAGAAGCGTTCCCTACGACTTGCATTTTCTGAGCGAAGAAAATGGCTGGATGTTGTTCTGCAGGAAAGCTTTCATTGATAGCGCTGATGCCCATCGTTCCCCACAGTTGGAGGAAATTGGGGAGGAGATTGTTGAAAAATGTGCTGGTTTACCACTAGCCATCATTGTGATGGGAGGATTGCTTTCAAGAAAAAGAAATGTGGGAGAATGGAAAAGGGTTCTTTCCAATATGAGCTCGTTCTTTGCTCAAGACCCAAATGGGGTATCAGCTAAACTGGCTTTGAGTTACAACGATTTGCCATATTACCTCAAATCTTGTTTTCTCCATCTCAGACAGTTCCCTGAAGACCACCCCATTCCCACGCATAAATTGTTTAGGCTATGGATTGCAGAGAGTTTGATACCAGAGCAAGATGAAAGGATGGAGGACGTAGCAGAGGATTACTTGAATGAGTTAATTGAGAGAAACATGGTTCAAGTGGCCAAATTGAGTGTCAACGACAGAGTTAAACAATGTTGTCTTCATGATCTACTAAGAGACCTCTCCATCTCGAACGCCGAAGCTGAGAGTTTTCATGAAATTCAAGGGAGTCAAAATACACATCCTTCAGCTAGATGTCGTCGTCATGCCATCTATTCTACCTTCAATTGGGGACAATGCAAGCATCCAAATCCCCATCTGCACTCGCTTCTCTTCTTTAGAGTTGATCATCACAAAAACCAGGTTAAATATTATAGAAATGATCCTTATAAGATAGAAGGCAGCGATTTAGATTATGTTGGCAAAAATTTCAAACTGCTCAGAATTCTGGAGTTGGAGGGTATACCATGTACTACCATTCCAAGCATAATTGGGTTACTTATTCATTTGAAGTACTTGGGGCTAAAGGAGACCAACCTACAGGAGCTTTCATCAGCCATAGGTTCTTTGCGAAACCTGCAGACTCTTGATGTAGCAGCAAATCTTCATCTGAAAACAATTCCCAATGTAATATGGAAGCTAACAAAATTACGATCTCTTTATATGTGTAGGCATAAATATGGGGGGCCAATGCGAATTGACACACTACAGCATCTCCAAGCTCTATCAGAGATAAATGTCAAAAAATGGATGCAAAATAACTCTGCAAATTTAACCAGCCTGCGGAAATTGGGAATCAGAGGAAACTTCAGCTTGCAAGCTAATGAAATATTCAACTCCATTGTGGCACTTGTACAACTTCAGTCCCTGTACCTGCGTACCGAAGGTGCTGATTTTCCATTGCTCACACAATTTTCTGCTCTTCAAAATCTAGTCAAGTTGCATATGAGAGGAACGATAAGGCAGTTACCTAGCTCGCAGGAATTCCCACTAAACCTGTCTCAGTTGACATTAGAACATACTCATCTCAAGCAAACTTCAGTGGGGATACTCGAGAACTTGCCAAGATTATTGATTCTGAGACTAAGAGCACGTTCCTATGATGGAGACAAAATGGCAATATCTGTCAGTGGCTTTCCTCAACTTGAGTTCCTGGAGTTTCACTCCTTGGAATCCTTGGAAGAGTTAAATCTTGAAGAAGGTGCAGTTGTAAGGCTTAGGAGTTTCCGGATCATCAATTGTGGAAACTTGAAGATGCTCCCTGAAGGGACAAGATCCCTTAGTGCCCTACGTGAGTTGGACATCGAAGAGATGCCGAAATCATTCGTGGATAGGATTCTAGGTGAAGATTTTTACAAAGTGCAACATGTTCCCTCTATCTTGTTTGTTTAATTTGCAGTTTCAATAAAGATTGTAGCAAATGGCAATACCTTAAACCATAAACTATTCATGGCTTCATACAGATTTGGATCTCGCAATCATACATCTGAAACTTTTTGTTGTGATTTATGTCCCTTCTTCCTGATCTAACCCTCCAAACTCACACCAGATTCAATTTCATGTAAGAGAATTCACTGGGAAGAAAAGCAATCACTCCGTCGTCCTATTCAAACGTTGAAAGATTAACACATTTAAAATGTTTTTATAGTAATTTATGAAGGTTGATGACAGATTCTGTCGGTGGCTGCTAGAAACTGCATTGTCGAAGGAACATGTAACAGATTGGATCACTTGTTCATATGTCTGAAATCAATGTCCCAACTCCAAAGCAAAGTTTTGACCTGATTAATTATGATACAGTGGGCCGAGCTCGTTTCTTCATGAGATGAAAAAGGCCCAAAAACCCACTGAAATTGCACAGTGTGGCTGGCATGGCCACACATTTGTTGACGTTTGTTACCACACTTGGCTACTATTCTAGACTCTTCTTTCGAAGGCCAGCAACAACTTCCCCCTCCACCACATTCCATTCAACGCCAAAAAAGTAAAAAAAATAGATAAACCCCGAAAGAGTACAAAAGTAACCATCATCATCCGCCAATTTTAATTGCGTTGTCAAAAGAATCATACTCACAGTCATCCATTCTTATCTAACAGAGTATCTATTCTCACTAAAAAATTATTTTTACTTTTTTAAATTTCACATACAAAATTAATAAGGTAATATATACTAAAAATTAATTTAAAAAAAATCTAATTTACACCCATTTTTTAAAAGATAAAGCAATTTTGTTGTTGACATTTTACCAAAAAAAACAAACCACCATAATAAATAATTTATTTTTTAAAAATGCAAAATTAGAAAGAATCCCAAAAAAAAATTAAAAATAAAAAAAAAGCAAAACAATTGTCAGCATTGTTGTTCTTTCCAAGTCCAATACCCAAATCCTAACTCATAAGAACAATGCTACGAAGTCTTACGCTTGCCACTTCTTCTTCTCTTCTTCCCTCATTTCTAAACCTTTCTTTTCAATCTCTCAAAATTTCCCTTCTCTTTCTCTCGACTTTCTCTCCCTTTCCCTCAAGCCAAACGATCCATTTTCGTCTACAAATCCCCCATGAACATCCTGAAAAACCTCGGCTTCGGAGCCAACAACAAGCCAACGCCGTCAATGGAAAACTCCGCTATCGCTCAGGGTACGGACGACGACGTCCCGGCTCCTGGTCAGCAGTTTGCTCAGTTCGGTGCGGGGTGTTTTTGGGGCGTTGAACTGGCGTTCCAGAGAGTTCCAGGGGTGACCAAAACGGAGGTTGGGTATAGCCAAGGGTTCATGCATAATCCATGCTATGAAGACGTGTGTTCGGGGACTACGAACCATAATGAAGTTGTGAGGGTTCAGTATGACCCTAAAGAGTGTAGCTTTGACACTTTACTTGATGTCTTTTGGGCTCGCCATGATCCTACCACCCTCAATCGCCAGGTGGGTTTTTATGATGTGGAAATTTCGGGTTTTTAATTGTTGTTTTGAGGTGGGTTTTTAGAGATGGACAGTGTTATATATGATAAGTTTGTAAATTGTCTTGCTTTTGTCATTCCGGGGTGCTCCATGTGGGTGGATCCATGTGTAATCTTGGGGTTTTGGTGGTTGTTTGGAGGTGGATTTTGCGCTTGACAATCACAATTATGAATTATTGTCTTATTCTAGTGATACTTTTGAGGTAATTTTTTGGGGTTCTATCATCTATGATTAATTGGTAATTTTAGAGTGTTCCTGGTTTGTTTGATTGAATTGATTTCTAGGTGATAATTTGTGTGCTTTCCTTTTGTTTTTTTAAAGATGATGTATTTGTGGTATCTAACCTGTTTAAGGAATTTGTACTTTTGCTTGTCAAAATATTCAGTGTTATGCATTTGAGGAGTTGTTCTCGGGTGCATCAGTTCTTTTCTGCCTTGTATTGTGTCTTTGTTTTGCTCATTCTTCGCTTCAAAAGGGTGGATAACTAATAGGATATCTCACTCTGGCAAAAGTTCAGTTTTTTCGAATGAATTGATAGTTGTGAATTTGGGATGCTGCTTGCTAGGTGATTTGTGATCATTTTCTCTGAAGTTACAAGTATTTTCTTTCTCCAGTATTAGTGTTTTTTCTGAGTTCTTGAATTGTCAGGGTAGAACTATGAAATAGCAGAAGTTATGGAATTAGCTTTCATGCTGCACTTTATTGGATTATGTATATTGTTTTGTTTGTCTTCCATGTTGGTCAATTGGTACATTGTGATTCGCGAATATGATCACGGATTTTAATTACAACTTCACTCCCTTTGGGGGGAAATCTTCTTTCTTTTTCTTGTTTACCCTCATAGATATTGCTAATATATAATGACAAAAGCATGTCAGTTTTCCCAGAGTGATAGATCTGAGGCAGGATAATCTTTGTTGATCATGTTGGTGGAACTGCATCTGCACTATAATCTTGCCGTTCTAATAGGTTGTAAATCATGTGGCAGGGGAATGATGTGGGAACACAATACAGATCTGGTATATACTTTTACATCCCTGACCAGGAGTTGGCGGCAAAGGAGTCCATGGAAAAACAGCAGAAACTCTTGAACAGAAAGATTGTTACTGAGATTCTACCCGCCAGGAAGTTCTATAGAGCAGAGGAATATCACCAGCAGTACCTTGCGAAAGGAGGTCGATTTGGTTTTAAACAATCTTCTGAGAAAGGGTGCAATGATCCAATCCGATGCTATGGCTAAGTTGCCACCTTTCAATATGCAGTTCTTAAGCTTATGATTGTTATAGTTTTCTGTTTTTGTCTGTCACTAGCGTATTATACTTCTAAACACCCTTTTTTGATGAGGAATGAATGACTGCTTATTTATGTAGTTACTGAACATGGATTTGTAACTATTTACAGTCCCCAGTCCAGCATCTATATTTTGTATCCCTAAATTTAGATGATATCATGTTTAACGTCAATGTGGCGATTATGTGTTAATACTTAAATAATACCATTGTGAATCTGTGATGGAGGAGGTTTCTTCCATTCTTTTAGAAAGCCAATGTAGTCACCTAAAGCCTAGAGACAGACAATAGGATGATTACGGCATTTTCCCTTGCATTTCGCCTTTCCTTTGATAGTCGAGAATTTTCAGCCATAAGAAGAACTGTATTCTCACTTGAATCAGTCGGAGGCAGAATTGGAATTGAGCAAATTTAGGTGGTTGTATATTGGTTTGATTCTCTTCTGCGGGGTTGTCTCTCGTCTGACCGGTGCTTGCTTTTTCTTTATTATTATTTTTTTATCTTCTTGTTATTGCTCAAGCAACAGAAGAAAAAAATTGAAAAAACTTAATGCTGAAGCAACGACATTTTTAGGAAACCGTCTGTACGAAAGCGGTATGGAACATCAGCTCTTTTAGGCTTTAGACATAGCGAATCTTCTGCCACGTTTTTCTTGTTGTCATCACAATTAAGAGTCGACACTTTTCGTAATCCCCGGATCCATTAAGCAGTTTTGTTCAAACCATTTATGCATCTCTTTGTGCTTAGACACGAAAACCATGAGTCAAGAGTCTTCCGACGCACCAGGCAACCACACCTTTCAACACGTTTAACAGGAAACGCGGAATGCTGGTGAGATGCGACTCTCTGATGCCATTAAGGCTTTTAGTTCTAGCAGAAATCACGCTAAACGCTGAAGAAGCAATCATCAAAGAGAACGGAACTTAACCAGAAATTTGGGATGCCAAGCATCAAATTCTGTAACAAAAATTTTAGTTGCCACACTCTGCAAGATAAATGTCGGCATTGCCAAATCTGATAGTAAAACTAGTAGATATAATGCATGCACAAATTTATCCGAGCAGTCCTAGGAAATTCTGAACAAGGCAGTTTGGTTTGACCTCCAAGTATACATACAGGAAGGAATCAATGCAAACTTCATAAGCATGCACTACCACAAGCAAAGACAACCAAGCATTCAATAAAGGATTATGAATAGAAGAAAATGCCACCACATTCTATATATCCAGTACATTGATAGTATAAAAGTATATTTCTTTTTTTTATTATTTGAAGTTACCAGGATTTAAATCCTGATCATTGGAACTATGACTTTAGCACTCTACCAACAGATCACGTTGCTGTTGGCTATAAAACTATATTTCATAAAGTCTCAATGTTCCTTCACATTGACATGATATGCAATAGGCAAGATAAGTATGATCTAGGCCAAGAGGAGTTTTAATAAAACAGCACTTATCGGACAACATAGCTATCAGGTGCCATTCAACTATGGAACTATCTTACTCATAGATCCATGGGTGAAGGCTGCTCTCCCAGTTTTCAGCACCATCTGGGAACCACAATGCTATCTCTTTCCTAGCACTCTCAACTGAATCACTTCCATGAATGACATTCCTGCAAAAAGGATTATGACAGGTCATACAAATGAGAAATCTAGACTCGGGTACAAAAAGAAAAATGAATAAATAATTGACACACTATGTGAAAACAGTGTACCTCCCAATTTCAACAGCAAAATCCCCACGGATGGTTCCAGGAGCCGACTCTGATGGATTAGTGGCTCCAATAATTTTGCGACCAGTTGTAACAACATTCTTTCCTTCCCATATCATTGCAACTACTGGACCAGAGGTGATATACTCAACTAGGCCATCGAAGAAAGGCTTTGCAGATAAATCCGCATAATGCTTCTCAGCAAAAGCACGATCGACAATCACAAGTTTCATTCCTAATCTCAAAAAAAATAAATAAATAAATAAAGGCAAATCACATTAAAAAAGTAGTATTCCTCCACCACCTATACAGAAAGAAAAAAAAATAAAACACATAATTAGATTTCAACCATTACCTTTCAAGAAAAAACCTTTTTTCTCAAACCTGCTAATGATCTCACCAACCTGAATGAGGAAATCAAATAATCAGACATAACAACTCAAAGAAAGCCAACCTTCAATTTGTTGCTGAATGTAATACCATTCAGCTTTTTCTGAAAGGAATAAAACCAATAAAACTAACCTGATCAAAGAATGAAATTTGACAACACAACATCTACAATAATTCCTAAAACCATCCTAGCTTTCTTTTCCTAAATGCAGATGGTCTTCATTAATTTTAAGCATTTAAATTTACAAATGCAGACAAGAGCAATAGTTTCTGGTTCACTAAAATACCTTCTTTTCTCACAGAAGAAATAGGCTCTTAGATCTATTAGTGCTTAGCAGATAGTGTGTTTGTAATGATATTCATGACCTTGATCTTGATTTTAAAACAACGCTTTAAACAGAGAAAAGGATTAAAAAGGAAGAAAACCACTGAATCCAAAGAATCCTTAAAGAGCATTTCATTAATAAAACAAGCTCAAAATATTTTCATGTTAGGCACTGAAGAAAATTTTAACCATTACTGGCTCCGCCAAAGCGTTTTTCTCCAAGAGCATTGAATGCAATATTCTCATATCAAACATTGGGTCTCTGTAAAATTTCATATTCCATAATAACCATCTTGGCCATCATATCAACAAGATGAAAAATTGAAATCTTAGGACAACAGACTCAACCCCCCACCATGTTAATTTTCACTTCTATTTCATAAAATTTTCGACAGTTAAAGATGATTGATATTCAAAGCTTAAACATACAAAACTGAAACAACCCATTGAAAGAAAAGGTCCAAGAAACAAACTTCCACACTTGTTATCATAGAAAAGGGAAACATACAAAAAAAAGTTTGTTCCTTTTCATATGCATCAATCTTTTAAAGTACTAAGTTATCAACTACAGTATCAAAGCTCGATTATAAAAGCAACCCAACAACAGTTTAGATAAGAATAATGGATTTACAGCATCAAGGAAAGGAAGTTACTTCTATGCTTCACTTTCTTCGTTTCAATTTATTCCTTCATAGTACTTTCTCATTTACATGTCCCAAAAAGCAGTAAGAAACGAATCTAAAAGCAAAAGAAAGAAAGAGAGAGACAAACCAGGCCTCTTTGAACACCATCAGGTTTGATCATAATGAAAGTTTGCTCCATTTTCAGTGACGGAAAACCCTAGACTGCTTGACTTGATTTTTCAGCAGTTGAAAAAAAAGGGACTAGCACTTTGGCAGGTTCTTTCTTACTCAAACACGAACTTCGGGAAATATGTAATTATGGGTTTTAAAGCCATGTTCTTATGTACCCAAAAGAAAGGATTATGGGCTTTTTTTGGGCTTTTTTTGCTGTTGTGAGCCTTAATGAGGCCCATCAATTGCTTTACTCACTAAGTGGGTAATGAGTTTGGAACTCAGAGATATGGGAATTCGGTACTCATTGGACTACTGGACTTTTAAAGGTAAAAATTAATGTAAATCATAGTACTAGTTCTCGTTAGGAAAGTACTTACAAATCGATTCCAACCGTTATTATTCCTTTAAAATAAATTATTATCTTTGATTTTATCATAAAGATTAATGATTTATAACTTTCATTTTATTATGCTTTCCAAAGAGTGATTTCTTTCAAAATCTCATCAGATGTTTACTTAAAATGTCGTTTCAATTAACAAATTTTATGGTTCTGAAAGTTCCAATTACGAGAAAACCAATTCCTTTTAATGGAAAAGATTATCATAAATTAAATTTCATTATTAAAATTAAAAGTTTAATATTTGATCATATAATTATTGACCTTCAAATTTTAGAGTTATATATACCATTTTTGGTCACTTCATTGTCAACAATTATTGCACTCTTTGGACTACTTCAGGTATCCATCTCTTTGTTTTTGTTAAATATTCTTCTCTATTGTCAGTTCAGTTAGGTATTCTTGACTTTTGCAGCTTTAGTGGCACATATACAATTTTGACCCATCAAATCATCAGGCATGGAATCAAGGTTGAGAGATGTCCTTTGTTGTCGTACGTGCAGCCACTGCTTCCCACACAGGCTAAAGGACTCCAGTTCCATGTGTTCATATGGAAATTTTTTTAATAAAAATCGAATTTTGAATTTTATTTTAAAAAGAATATAAGATTAATTTGCTTATATAAAAATAATTAACGTCAAAATAGTAATTAAATTTCACACAATTTATGAATTGCCATATTGATGATCAATCTTAACAATTTATATTAAAAAACGAAAAAAAAAAAAGAAAAAGGAAAGAAGTAAGGGAGAAGATTGAAACAGAACATGCACCGCCATAACACAATAACGCGTGTAGCATTAAACCATGATCCGTCTGACTTATTCATGATCGCCGGTGGCACTGTCGTGTCCTAATTCCACTGGATCAATTTTTTTTTTTGATAGAGTAAATTAACTGTTCTTCATGTTAAAGGCACATGGAACACTTAATTCTACTACATTAGCAGGTCAAAGTATCTCAAATTGCAGCAGGACCACACTGCTTTGTCCTTGCCACTTGCTACTCACAAAACTATGTTTCAGCCACGTTTTTCAATTTTTCTTACTCTATTTCTGAAACTGCATCTTCGAATAGTCATACGATCGAAATCTAAGTCTGGTACCATAACAATTTTGGAACAAATGGTTTTAAATTTTATTTTTAGGGTTACAACCGTTTATTTACAATACAATTTTATACACAAAGCCCATGTATTAAGCAGAAGGGTTACCCATTTTTTTTTTCCTTTGGTTTTGATTCTCTAATATAGGGTAACTAAAAGCATTAATTAGTAATCAAGATCTTCAATTTTCCCCTAGAAGCACTGACGGATGTTTATGGTGATTTTCTTGGTCCCTAACATATAGCATAAATCTCCTCTAACCTAAGCACATAATATGTAGCAATATCATGTTTTTATTCCATAACACAATTTGAATATTTAGATGTGTAAAATATGAGGATCTAAATTTAAGTTAATTAGAACCCGAGATTTAAATCAGTTAGATTTATATAATCATCATTTTTAAAATATAATATCTAATAAATTTGAAATTTAGATTATATATATATATAAATTCAAGCTAATCAAACAAATTTCCCTAATTCTCCAAGAATCAAATAATCTATGTGCTGGTAAGTTGAAACATCTTCCTTAATTAAAAAAAATAAATAAAAAGGAGAACCATTGAATGAGGACACAATGGAATGTTGAATTAAGATCCCTATATCGATTGACTTTTGGAGAAAAAAAAAAGTCATTTCCGTATTTCATAGCTTATAAATAAACAAACATTAGTGGATTAATCAACTAATTATACTTTATTATTTGATAGAACGTTAATGTAAATTTTTAATAACATATTTTATTTTTATTTTTAATTATTTGTTTATTTCTTTAAATTTATCTTAAAATATATGTGTCATTCTCTTCAACTTTAGTTATGAACTGTCATTATATTTGATAATTTATCTAGCATTAATTGCCAGTAACTCAATAAAAATAATAAGGTTAACATCAATAATTAATTTTAATGCTGCCGGCCAGTATACCCGCAACAAAACTGTATTGTCCATTTCCAACAAGTTGATGAGCATGAATAATTTGACTTCTCCCAGTATAGTTGCGTGTTTACTTTATTAATTAATTATGTTAATAAATTTTGTTTTTATTTTTTTGGTGAAAAAATATCACAACTATAATATAAAAATGGAAGAAGGAAGTGCGCTGCAAATATTAAAATTTAAAATTTATTAGATATTTTATTTTTAAAATAATTACATTAACTAATTGAACTAAAGCAAATATTCTTATTTAACTTGATTTGCTTGGTTTTTTTTAATACAATTTATTTGAGCCTAATCTCTTCTGCTAAGGAAGATGAAACTAGGGATGAAAGGGGACATGAGCTCCTAACTCTTTGAAAATTACTATATTTAAGATTTTATTTCCGAAATGCTTCTTACGAGGATTTGCTTGTATTTTATTTTCCCCAAAAGTATGCATCTCTCCCAAAGTCCCAATTAATAAAATTTTGGTATACATTCGTTGGGGTAGTCTACAAGAAAGAAAGAAAGGACAACATGGGGTGCAATAATTAGTTTGGTGGTTAACCAATTTGATCCTAACAAAACCAACTCTCTCTCAATATATAAATATAAATATATATATATATATATATTTGTTATCCACCAAGAAAAAATTTTCATCACGATCCATCATAATCGAACTAGAATTTTTTTCAGTGGAAAACAGCTGTGAAGAGCATGCATTTCCCTCTGAATCAGAGTTTTATTTTTTATTTTTTAGGATATAATCCTTAAAAAAAAATTAATTCGAAATCAAAATTTTTATATTCTCGTAGAATCCTCTTAACCATTAGATGAAGAGGTGGAGAATAGAGTTTTATTAGTTTTGGTTTGCCAAGCAACTGGCATGTTTCAGGGAATTAATCAATACATAGACTTAACCTCTTTATTAATTTACCTTTGACATTTGTAAATGATTATAATAATGATAATAAACATATATTTAACGAATGCCTATAAACAGTCATAAAATTTATTAATAAAATGTTAAAATTTTAATTTCAATAATCAAAGCTCAAATCTTAATCATTTCGAGTAATAAGTTGCTTGAAAGTGGCTGGCTTGTTTGAAAATTAAAGAGATTGGAATTGTTACAAGGAAAAGCTGTCGCCTGTGGACCTTATGGTACTAAATCAGCAAGTGTGTAGGCAAAAGTCTGCCACAGCTGAGAGCACTATAAGCACACGAATGTTGCAGTAATGGGGTCACAAAGGAAGAAAAAAGCTGGCCAAGTCTGGATATTATTGTATAAGTAGTCAACGTGCACTGAAAATAAAAAGAACAAGATGATAAAAAATTTTACTTTAGAATTCACTTGAAATCACAGCATATCTTCATTTTTCCACATCATTAAACAGAAGTCAAATAATTAATTACACCATAAATTGATCTGTAGATCAGATCTGAAAGTGTGCTTTAAGGACTCATTTTCATTTTTTAAAAAATTTATATTTAATACATTATCAATTTATAAAATTTATATAATATTAATAAATTAGATTATGTCATCTTATTAATTAATAAATATCAATCATTAAAATAAATATTTTTAAAAAAATTTACTCATTAATGAAGTGATATCATTTGATTCATTTTATTAATAAGATAGTATCATCTTATTTACTAACAGTGTATAAAATTTACATACTGATAGTAAATCAAATATAAAATTTTTTTTAAATGTTAAATCAATCTTACTTAAAAAAAAAAGATCGAACTAAAGACTTAATTCAATTAGTTTTTACAATAATTTTTTTATATAACATCAAACATGTTTGAATTAAAATTTTAATATATGTAACTACTTTTCTTATTTTCAGTTTGCAATTTCGTTGTACGGAAAGAAAAGTAAATGTTAGATAATTGTTCGGGTAATTCCAGCTAAAGATAGCACAGCAGCTAGCATATATAATCCCAAGATCCATACCAGTTATAAAGCTAAATTCAAAATCATGAAAAATGTTATTTTGATTTATGAAAACGTTGAAGTACTAAGAAAGGGATCATAAAAAAGATGGTCAATGCAAACCCTACCAAAAGGCAATGTCCCTTTTTTTTTTTTAATCTATGTTCTCTTTTACCTTTTTAAAGTTGTTGGATAGAAACATTGCAGCAGAATAAAAATTTTGCCTTGATGGAAAAACAAAATAAATATTACATCTTTTCTTCTTTTAGAAGTCAAGTTATTGGCCTCACTAAATGCCCACCTGTACTTTGATTTCATAATTCATTGGGATTGAGAAGCTAAATTCATTCATAAGAAAAGAAACCTCCCATTATGGCCTAGCCCAAGCTACTTGATTCACCTCTATGTGTAGTTTCCCCAAAATACACCTTATGATGATCTATACAATTTCAATTTCAATCTAGATTGAGAATTGCCAACTTTTGAACCAATTTATTTATACACTCACTAAAAAAAAAAAAATAGCTTTTTCAGCGACAGAAAATTACTGACGAAAATTTTTCAAATGTACTATTTTATACTGCAGAAGAAATTATTCCCATTTCTTAAACCCTTATAATAGAATTAAATTTGGATGAATACAACTTTTTTGAATTTGAAGTTTTTTATATCACCTTTATTGTCAAATGATGTATATTAAGAGTTTAAACAAATAAATGGATTTTAAGGTCATTGGTTTAATAATATTATTACGAAAATAATGAAATTTATTCAAATATTAAAATTTATCAGTATAATTTTATTAAATTTTAACATTGTACTTTTAATTTTATTAATTTTTGAATAAAAAATATCGGTAATCAAAATATTTCATAAAATATTCTATTAAGGCAAGTGATGAAATTCAATGAAATTGAAGTATAATAACAAAATTGCATATGGACTCGTAAATGTAATATAAAATATGTTGAAATAAATTTTACCTCTAAGACATTATTTGGAAAGCAAAGACAAACATGTCTATTACATTCAATTAGTTCCAACCCATGTTCCTAATAACATGCTCTCCTATTGAACCCCACGAGGGAATGAAACGGCAAAAACCTTTGAAATTATGTGAACTCCTCTCCACCGTGTCTTATAAGACGCAGCCAAGCTAATACAAAAAGAAAAACAAACTCAAAAGACATACCAACCCAACAAACAAAAATGGCAGAACCAGAGATCAACGGCCTCGAGCAACAAACTGTTCCGAAGGTCATAACTTTCATGTCTTCTTTGCTGCAAAGAGTAGCTGAGTCTAATGATCACAGCCGCCGGTTTCAGTCCCAGAAGATCTCAGTTTTTCATGGCCTTACCAGGCCAACTTTATCCATTAGAAGCTATCTAGAGAGGATCTTTAAGTATGCAAATTGCAGCCCATCCTGTTTCGTGGTTGCCTATGTTTATCTTGATAGGTTTGTGCAGATGCAGCCGTCTTTGCCTATCAATTCTTTCAATGTGCATAGGCTGCTTATAACCAGTGTTTTGGTTTCTGCCAAGTTCATGGATGACATGTAAGTTTTTTTTTTTTTTTCCTTTGCTTAAATTTGTGATTCTTGGATATAACTATCTGGGATTTTCTTTGCTCACCTGGATTTGATCTTCATGAACATATGGTCATTCTTTTTCCTCCCTGTGTTGTTTGACTTGTTGTTACAATCTTTTCAACCAAATGGGTTCTTTCTGATTCTTGATTGATAGTGCAATAATTTGTAGGATAAAACCTTTTCTATACGTCATGATCTTCAATTTTCAACTTCAAAAATCATCTGAATTTCAATGTTTGAGGAAAATATTTAACTTTGATTTAAGCTTCCAGGCCTTCTCTCTGCTGATATTTGCTTTTCCCCACTCTCTTTTCGTGGAAAGATTTTAGAAAAATCTCCATACAACACAAATCACACTGTTTTTCAAACAAGTACAGCCAAAAGAAAAAATAAAACCATGTGAAAAACCACCAATCTCTGACCAGACAGCCCTACCTTAGATGTGCTGGTATTGTCTCTGTCTATCAAGGCACGCCTGTAAATTCCCAAAAGCTGCAATAAAATTGTAAAATTGACAGTGGATGTCATAATTAGAGCTAATGACAGCTCAATCAGGGCCATGCATTCTGTTAAAAAGCAAAAATATCCACTTGGCTGTGTTTAGTATTTAATTATTGGCTCAACACCTTCCTGATTTTACAGCAATCATAGCAGTTGTTTGACTGTCATTTTTTTTAATAGCAGCAACTAACTTTTTAACTTTACTCATAAGCAATAAGTAAATATTACAAATTTTCCATTTTTGTGAGCAACAAAATCTAAATTTGACATAAGTGAAATAAATTTTCACCATTCGGATTAATCATTTTTTTAATCTTTAATTGGGATTTTCAGGTATTACAACAATGCCTATTATGCAAAAGTGGGAGGAATTAGCACAGTAGAGATGAATATTCTTGAGGTGGATTTCTTATTTGGTTTGGGCTTCCAATTGAATGTGACACCTGCCACCTTCCACACCTACTGTTCTTTTCTCCAAACAGAAATCTGGATGCAATCCCCTTTGCAGCATTTGGCAGAACCTTCTGTAAACATTGGGAGACCCCCAAAGATCCACTGCTGTTTCAATGAAGATGAATCCACCCACCAGCAGCAACTTGCTGTTTAAGCACTGTCTACAAGGGCAATGATTTTGTGTATTAAAACCCCAAAGAAGAAAAGTTCTGACATGGTGTAAAAAGCACATTGATTTCAGACATCTGGAAGTCAAAAATCTCATCTGGCTTTCTTTCTTTTGTGTGTCAATGTATGTGCTATTGTGCTGTAAGAACACGTCCAAAATTCAATTTCCCTTCTTTTTTTTTTTTTTTTGTTGTAGTGCTACCTAATTTTGTTTTTTCCTTGTACCCAACTCTGGATAGTGGAATGAGATGTTCAGATGAGCATTTTCCCTTTACAGTCTGGGCTGACATGATCTTGCCATAAGATTGTTTCAAGTGGGTCACTCAGTTTACTCCCTGGTTCCAACCATGCAAAGAACAACTATAAATTGTTTACTTTAAAAGGCATCATTATCAGTTGAAGAAACCAGATTCATGCTCTGTAGGAACATAAGAACTCTGGTTGAAAGTTGAGTCTTTCATGTCCGAATCCAATAATTGAAGGAATGCAAGACAGCAAGGGCATGTCATGGCATAATTGCTAAGGTTGCTTCATCATTTCAGCAGGACTGCTGTTTTAGTGGGCTGGACGACTGGATCTTCTACTTTTGAGTTCAGGCCCTTAAGGTGTGGGTCAGGCCGGATTTCTCTGACAGGAATTTTTTTGGGCTGAAGTAAATGGATTAGCAACCACTTTATGATTTTTTTGCCAAATATAAATTTTTTATTTATATGGATACCGGTTTTATTATTATAAATCAATTTCTCAAATCATAATTAAGATAGAATCAAATTCAAATTTAACTTAATTTAATATTTTTTATTCGAATCAATGGTACAAAAAAATCACTTATAATAATAATTATTGTAAAATATTATAAATTAACCTAAAAAATAATCAAATTAAGAATACAAATAAATAGTTTAACTCTTTATTTTCTTTTTATGATAAAAAAGATTACTTTGCACGAAAGTTTCGGTTTTTAAATACCGCTAAAACCTCGGGAATTAAAGAAAATAGAAGTTAATCAGATATAATTACAGTCAAACTCTCTGTATTTTAACAAAGGATCAGAGCGGTTAATCATCCACAATCACAATCCCAAAATTTCTGCAATTTATTTCAATACGTTGATATTGATCACGAATGATTTGATTTCAGTACGTTAAGAAACACGGAAGAACTAAGGCAAGAAAGGGACACTGAGAGTGTTACGGCAAGTACAAAAGAGTGATTTCCGCCAAAAAATCCGAAACGTTGGAAGAAATTGAGTTCCTTTTCAGTTTCCCTTTCAACTAGGAAAAAGAAGTTGACTTTTTTGCCTATATAAAGTGGTAGGTCTCCCATCTTTTCTATTTACCATTATTCCGCAGGAGCGGCTCTGCATTTGTATGTCTTTTGATTTCCTTCTCTCCTTTATTTGCTTTCAATTTTTTTTTTTTTTGTGTATTTTCTTGTTTAAGTACTCAGATTGGTTGTGAAAGTTAGTGTCTTTAAACAATATTTTGATCCATTATTGACTTTTCCATTGTATACTCTTGTTTGATAATGCTCATTGAAATTGTTCTGAAGTTTGATTCTTTGTTGCTTTGATGGTTGTCACTTTTGTTTAAGATTGTTGCAAGTTGTTTTGTTATTGAAATTGTGGGTTTTGGTTTTAAGATTGAGTTTCTTAAGACTTGATCATTAACTAATGTTTACACAATTAATATCAGAATTTATCATGGTTGATGTAATCAGTTGAATTTAACAAAACAATGGTAGTTATCTGCTTGCAAACTGTTTTCTTGAATTTGTGGGTATTGGTTATGGGATTGAGTTTCTTAAGACTTGATGATTAACTAATATTTATGCAATTAATATCAGAATTGATCATGATTGATGTTATGTTAAGTCAAAAGAATTATGGATCTTCGTCAAATTTTAAGCGACCAAGAGTCTCTGCTTTTCGTGACTATCCTAGAGAGTGTGGAATGTTGGACCCTAGCGTGAAGCTGAGAAAAGGACGAGAAGAGATTGCTAATGTCCACCTTTGCACTTGCCGACCTGTTTTAAGAAAGTATCCTCCTCCTAAAATTCGGAAAAGGATACCTATCACACGGGATTTTCCTGTCAAGCCGAATGCTCCTGCTGTTTTGAGAGACCGGATATCTGATTCCAAGGGGAGTAATCCAGCTAATGAGATGTCTGTGGCAGATTACAAAGGATCGGATGGTTTTGATGCAACTAATGTTCATGTGTGCATGGATGCTAAACAGGGCAACTTGTCAGGTATTAGGCACTCCAAGCCATCTAATGCTCCTAATGCTAATAATGTTTGTGATATTCATGCGTGCATAAAATTACAGGAAGAGATCTATGTCTATGGTCTTTAGGGATTGCAAACTGATGGATGGTTCTATTCTTTGTACAGATGTTAGAGAATCCAGCTTGTCAATGGTTGTTGGGGATGAGCAATATGAAGGGGATGTTTCTATTGCAAATAATGTTTATGCGTGCCCTGATGTTTGGGACTCCAAGCCATCTAATATTCCTAATGCCACAAATGTTCATGATATTCGTGCCTTTGTAGAACCTAAAGAAGATGGTATGTTCATGGTCTTTAAGGATTGCAAACTTATGGATGTTTCTATTTTAACTAAAGGTTATGTGTGCACAGATGTAAAAGGATCCATTTGGTGGATGTTTCTATTGCAACTAATGTTTTTGCATGCACAGGTGTTAAAGGGAGCTTATCAGTGGTTGTTAGGGATGAGCAATGTTCAGATGCCCTATTTGAGGAGCATGATTACCAAGCAGCCGTTAATGACGAAGAGCAATGTTCAGATGCCCTATTTGATGCGAATGATTACCAAGCAGCATTTAGTGATGAAGGTGTTAAAGCAGCCACTTTTGTGGATGTAAATAATTCTCAAGTTGGTCTTAGCATGAGAATTAATTGTGACAAGGTGAAAGAGGTTATAAATCTTTTTCAAGAGGTTCACTCTAAACTCTTAGATGATAAGGGAAGGAAACAAAAAGGAAGTCTTACTCTAGAAGCTGCTTCAATTCTTCACAAGCAGCAAAAGTGGATCAACATGAATAGGCGTTTAGGCCCTATCCCAGGAATTGAAGTAGGTGACTACTTTGACTGGAGGGCTGAATTAAACATAATTGGCCTCCATCGTCAACATTTTCACGGTATAGATTATATGGAGTTGGATGGGAGAATACTAGCAACAAGCGTTGTGGACTCTGGTCGATATGACAATGTTTTGAAGTCAAACGAAGAACAAGAGTTTCCAGATACCCTAATTTATTCAGGTGAAGGTGCAAATCCAAAGGTTCAAAGTACAAAATCTATAGATGACCAAAAACTAGAACGAGGAAACCTTGCATTAAAGAATAGCTCGGAGGTTAAAACCCCTATAAGGGTTATTCGTAAGGTTTCCTTTGTTGCTAGCAGTGGGAAGACTATATACCGCAAATTTGTTTATGATGGGTTGTATTTTGTTGATAGTTATCGACAAGAAAGAGCATCATCTGGTAAGCTCGTTTTTAAGTTCATGTTGAAGAGATTTCCCGGGCAACCAAAAGTTGATTGGACAAAATTTGTAAGGAAAAAGCTTGTTTGTGTGAATGATATTTCTCAAGGTAAAGAGATGATACCTATTCGTGCATTGAATGCATTGGACGACGAGAAGCCTCCTATTTTTAATTATGTAACCTCTGTGACATATTCGGAGTCCTATCATCCTTCCATGATTGAAGATGGTTGTGATTGTAGTGATGGATGCTCGGACTCTGAGGATTGCCCTTGCATCATCAAGAGTGGGGGATCAACATACAATTATGAACAACGCATTATGAAGGCAAAGCCCCTTGTCATCGAGTGTGGGCCTTGTTGTAAGTGCTTCACTTCTTGTATTAATAGAGTAAGTCAACGTGGAATTCGTTTTCCTTTAGAAATTTTTAAGACTAAAACAAAAGGATGGGGTGTTAGATCACGATCTTGGATCCCATGTGGAAGTTTTATTTGTGAGTATACAGGTGAAATCATTCCAGATAAGGAAAGTGAACGAAGGATAGGTAAGGATGAGTACTTGTTTGATATAGGAAATAGCTATGGTGATCATTCTTTGCGAGATACAAATACTCTCGGCTCTTCTGAGGGAAATGAATGTTTCACCATTGATGCTGCTCAAGTTGGCAATGTGGGACGATTCATCAATCATGGTTGCTCTCCCAATCTTTTTACTCAGGATGTTCTCTTTGATCATGATAACAAAAGTATGCCACACGTTATGCTATTTGCTATGGAAGATATACCTCCTTTGGAGGAGTTAACCTATGATTATAATTATAAGATAGGCGAAGTTTGTGATGCAAATGGTAATATCAAGATGAAGAATTGTTATTGTGGCTCTAGTGAGTGTACTGGGAGGATGTACTAGTGAAGATGTATTCTTATTTTGTTCCTTTGAGTATTTAATGAAATATATTAATTTTTTCCAAACCAGTTTATATTTATTTTCTTCTAGTTATGTCTCCCCTTGAAATTTATTCATTAGGAATTGCATACTGGTTCATAGGCTGATGATAGGGCAAGTAGTTAAGCTTCGAAAGTTGATGCCATTGTAGGAATTTCTTAGGAGGAGGGTGAATCATTTGGACTGAATTAAAAATATATGTAGTTTTGCATACCCTGTTCATATGTACGGAATGTATCTGAACTGCAGCAATTAATGTCCTGTGAATTGTAACCAAAAGCGGAAATAACTGGTTAACAGGATATGTTTTGTTAAGAAGAAGATGAAGGATTTTCTTGGCATGGAAACTAGCAGGTATGGCCATTTCTCCCTGCTTTTTACTTGAAAACTGTAAAAACTTGTGGCTCTGGTTGCCGAACATGCAGCAGATTATCAAGGCAATCAGGCAAATGGGAGACAAGCTCAAACTATATAATCGTTACATAAAGATAGTTTTAACTTGAAAAATTAACATTGCAATATTGTACTTAAGGGACTCAAAACTATATATCTTCTTACTTACACACATACTAACCGTACTTTCCTGGCAAGCAAGCCTATAGAACTTCCTTTAACCATGATGGTTTTTGTTACTTGAGGGCCAGCTGTTGCAGTTGCCGCTTGCGCTTGAACCCCCGCTTCCTCCACCGTAGCCGCTGCCACCAGAATTGCCTTGTCCACTTCCAGCCCCATAGCCACCACCATGAGCACCACCGCCTCCAGTCCCATAACCATACCCTGAACCTGACCCAGTCCCAGATCCAAACCCAAATCCATAACCCCTTCCAAACCCATTAGGTGACCTGCCCGAGCCTGAACCATAACCCCATCCACTTCCAGGGCTTGATCCCCATCCCCAATTATAGTCCCAGTTGGGCCCATGGCCTGAACCACTAGCACCATTGGAGCCCCCGCTTGGGGCATTGGGCTCCATAGATATTTCGGAAGAGGTCAGTTGTTTCGTATGACCACGAGCACCAGCTACACTGAATGCACCCAATAAGAAAAGAAGGAAGAAGGCGAAATACAGAAAGTTAAGTTGCATTTTCTTCGCCATTATATTTGAAGTTTCAAAGCTTTTTCTAGGCAAATTTAGAGTTGTGAATTGTTGATGTGCATCAAGATTTGGTCCATGTAAGTGGGTATTTATAATGGGGGATGATTGTGACATAAGCCCACTCGTGACAGTATTTACTTTTTATATATGGGTGCATATATCTCCAAGTGTTCGAATTTACCCACAAAGAAGAAGCACTACCACGCCTGAATCGCACCACCGCCCTTCAACTAAATTAAACATGCTTGAATGTAAATCTGTTTTGACTCATGCCATGTTTCATTATCTTCACGCCTAACAAAATAGAGGAAACTAGAAATAAAGTCCAAAGCCACAAACTTTGTTCTTTTTATCACAAGAAATTTCATGATTATGTCAGTGTTTTGACTTCTAAGCTTGAGTCATAAACTTTTAACCTGCATTCAATCTGTTACCAGTTTTCTTGATACCTCATTGCAAAAGCAATAGCAGGAAGATATTTCGGGCTATTGAACAGATATTTTAGGTTTTTGATTTCATGGATGCATATCAAGTTATCAACTGAGGGAGGCATGGGGCTGGCTGATACAATGGAAAGCTGGTGGTACAGGCAATATTAGTGGTAGTAGACTGGACGTAGCTTTAACTGGCCAAGCCACCTAGGACACATGGAGACGTAAGCAATGCATGCCAAATAGTGACTATCCAAGCTCTCCCCTTTAACCCATGATGATAATGGGTATTAGTAGCAGTAGTTGTTGGTTGCTTCAGGAAAAGCTCCTTTTTGCTTGTGCTGTAATGTAGTGGGAGGATAACACCTTTTGACTTCTACAATTTCGGATTTTATTGTGGGATCTAAAATTTTAATCCCTTTCACGAAAGTGACATGATCTTGACATGTGAGATGCCTTTTTTTCATGATCTTCCCTTCTTTTCTTTTGTTTTTGGTTGTGGGAACTGTGGGAAGGAGAGGGGATAAGTCGGCATTGTGAGAAAAAAATCTGGGGAGCTTGTGTTTTTGGACCACATTTCACTTCACAGATGCCTTAATTTTGAACACGCACCCAATATAGTAGGATCATTGTGCCATTTTAACTCATGAAAGTTATAGCTCAATCACTGCAACTTTTGCTAGATAAGATTTTTTTTTTGTAAGGCCAAAGTTGCTAAAAGAAAAGCACAAAAATAATCCACTTCGGTACAAAGATGCATAATCTCTCAGTCATAGATCATGTTGGAATATCATCTTTCCCAAATTATAAAAATAAAAAATAAAAACGCAGGTGTATTGAATTAGTAAAAATAAGCATATAATCACATCGAAAAATATATTATAATCGTAAAAAATTATAGTAATTAAGTAAATTCGAATTAAAAATTTAATTTAATTGATCTATGTAATTATCATTAAAAAATTACATTCAACAAATACAAAGTTTAAATTTTAACGTATGCAATATTTTTTTCCTTTTTTAAAGTAAATATCATACTTGTATGTGATAGATATTTGTTCATAAATGATTGCTTAACCAGTTGGAGTGGAAAATAAAGCTTGATTTCAGGTTTTCAGATTGCGGTAGACACTGGCAAACCCATCATGGTGGAACAGATTAATTAACCAGGGACCCAACTTATTGTGGACCTGTCTAGAATCCAGGACACAAGAGCTGGTTCCAGAAACAGAATATTTTGCCTTCCTATGGGACACCCTGTGCACAGTTAATCGAGGAGGAAAGGTAACTAAACCCCATACCGAATTGGACCCAGATCTACAAAGTTCAACTTGAGCGTCAACTGGTTTATTCCGTGTGGGCACAGGCTTGCACCACCTGACAAGTGGTTACCGTTTCCCAATCCAAATTGTCTCTCAAATTGGAGCCAACTCCAATTAGTTCAACACGAAAATTTGAGTACCCTTTAGGCCCATTTCTTTTGCTATTTATTATATTGAATCTTTTTTTTCTTTTACCATTTTTTTTTTAATTTCAAGTCAATACTATATTTTGTTCCCCTTGTGGTGCAGAATTGACCCATCACTGAAACAATCAGATGGTAGATGTATTTGATTCGATTTGCTAATGATTTAAAAGCCGAAATACTTTCATGGGATAGATATTTTTATATAACATCAATATTTACTATTTAATTATAATTATAAATATTGAAATTTAAATTTTAAAATTTTAAATATCGATCATTCTTCGTGATCATGAGCAACTGGATAGCAATTCTGTGAAAGGATAGAAGCCCATCGTTCCCTAACCCGACGTGGAAAGCTGATTTGAATGAGTTTGAGCGTTATCTTAAAAGAGGAAAAAGGGAATTTAAATCTCTTTTCAGCTTACAGGAAGATATTTGATCCATTAAGTTCTTTGAAATTCCTGATTTCATGCCAAATGACACAGGATGGAAACAGATATTGCCAAGATCCACATGGAATATGTTTTCATCAGGTTCCCAGATTGAATTGCATATTACCTAAATTCATTATTTTTAGGGATAATAATTGTTTAAATGATATCAAATTTGATTTAATTTTTTTAAATAATACATAAAATTATAAAAATTTAAATCTATCCATCTAATTAGAATTAAATTCTATCAATTGGATTAAATTATTTTATAAAGACTTAAAATATATAATTTTAATTTTTAAAAAAATTTCTTTCTTGATTTTAAATTTGATCCAAATATAATATTATATTCATTTAATATTCAAATTTAATCCGAATTAAATAAAACATATCAATCCAAATTCAACACTATTTATTCAAATCTTGATTTTTTTTTCTTTATTTTCTATTGGGGTTGATGATTGTTTGAACATAAAACCAAAATGCCGTGCGTTTCAACTATCAATAGCCAAGTGGCCCAAGTCTTAGCAAGGGTAAATCACTCCACAACTCCGTTAAGCACAAAACTACAATCTCATCCAACCGATTGAGCAAAGTTTTCTTTTAAATTATATTAATTTTTTTGGTCAAATTCTGTTAAAAAAAACAGAAGAATTGAAGGTAAAATGATTTATAGACATTGTTGTCATCATCAGAAAGGAAATGGTATTCTCATCCATAGCTTTTAACATTAAAGCTATGTAGGAAGGTGTCCTAAGATTTTTTCCCAATTTCATCACTTGATGACTCTTGGACTTGTCCCAGCCTCCAAGGTAAACAGGAATATTACATTCTTAATTTAAATCACAAACCCTAAACCATGAATTAGGGTTATTTCAAAACCCTAAATCTTAAAAATCATATCAAGTAGATTCAGAAGCAATGATTTGAACATCACTACATTATGAATTATATCAGATCAAGTGTTGGATTATATACATATTTTCGCTTCATCCTCATCCATTTCTAAAACCCAATCCCATTTCAAAAAAAAATTTAAAATTAAGTGAAAAATAAGAGATTGCTCAGTGGTGGCGACAAAGTCATAGGTTCGATTCTGCCAGCTGATTTCTTCAACGACATTAATCGGAAGAGGGAGCTGTGAATCCTCATCGAAATCTCCAGTTTCTCACAAAAAAAAAACCACTTTTTTTATTAAAAATGGAATTTAAAATGAAAATAAAAACCATAAAAAAAAAAAAAACAAAGATAAAGATCGCTCAGTTCAGCGGGATGGTCGACACGCAAATTTCTCAAAAGAAGAGAAGCCTGCATTCCGGTCTGTTGAGCTTGAATTTCATGAGGTCATCACTGCGATCTTCTTCAATTTCTCCGATTAACAAAAAAAAAATTCAAATAAATCTAAGACACAAAAACCAAAATAAAAATCGAAGTGAAAATAACAGACCCTCGCAACCGTAGCTGTGAGGAAACAAAACAGTAGTGGCTATATATTTATAGGAATAAAAATTAGGGTTTTAGAGAGGAAAATCTGAACCTAAGAATTGGACAAATTAAGCCCGTCTAAACCATTTGGTTCCTTGATCCGGCCCGAATTGACCTTTTGGACTTAAAAAAACTAAGCCCAATGTTTATAACCCTTCTTAAAAAACAACGGCCCAATGTTTTTTTACGGAACTTTTATTTTATTTAATAATTTTTAATACAAAATTGATAGTAAATTTAACCTAGATCTTTCCTTCTTACATTATTAGTATTGTATGTAACGTTGTTTTTAACCTGAGATCATGTGTTTAAGGCAAGATATATAATTGTCGGCCGTTTTCTACCTACAACTTGACTAAATTTAAGTTAAATTTTAAATAATAAATTTTAAATTAAATTTAAATTTAAAATTTTTATTATATCAATTTAATTCATTCAATTACACCACTATTTACATCTCTATAAGTAAAATTATAAGTAATTGGATAATGTTTTCATTTCATCTTATCCTTTATTTGAAAAATCCAGCACTAACTTCAACAGGCTTACAAAAATGGAAGTCACATTCAGGAAGAACAAAATACTCTACAAAAAAAAAGGCGGGTAGCATTATGGTTCCACTTAATTGGAAGTATCACCGGGTTAAAAAGATACCTGCCATTCACATTTGCATCAAAAATTAATGCTTAAGCCTTGTCGTCACTCTCCCCAGTCCCTACCTTTCCTCTCTCCCTCTGTTCCTAACAAACTACACAAAAAAAAAAAAAAAGAAGATTGGTTGATTGATTAGCTTTGGCATCAAGCAATAAATTGCAGGAGTTTTGATTGACCGGAAGAGGAATTGTGAGGATGGTTTGTTTGAGCCGAGCCTTGGTGGTTTCATGTATGGTCAAACCGTCGGTTCCTTATAAACCTTGTTCTTTGAGCTCTAGATTTCTTCACGCCAAACCCAGATTGGGTTCTAAATGGCGATCCATGGCTTCTGAACCTGACTCTTCTTCCTTCGCTCCTTCTATTGATTCCAATGCTTCCCCCGATAAAACTGCCGCCGGGTAATCTCTCACTTTCTGTCTTTAATTAAGGCTTTCATTCATGTTGTTTTTGTTGCTAATTTTGCCTTTCTGATTATAGAAAGTGGGTTGTGAAATAGAAAGCTTGGAAATTTATTTTTACCCTTTGCCTTGTTATGTGTTTATGTTGGAAATTTAAGGTTTTCATTCATGTTATTTTTGTTGCTAATTTTGCCTGTCTGATTATAGAAAATTATAGGTTTTGAGATAGAAAGCTTGGAAATTTATATTTACCCTTTGCCTTGTTATTTATAACTATGTGTTTTTGATAAAAAAAAAAGTGCAGATTTTGCATCATAGAAGGGCCTGAAACAGTCCAGGATTTTGCCAAGATGGAGCTGCAAGAAATTCAGGATAATATTCGAAGTCGAAGGAATAAAATCTTTCTCCAAATGGAAGAGGTGACCCCACTGATTTCATTTCCATGTTTTTATTTTTTCATTGGGTTTTCAATAATCGATATCAATACGGGAAGTTTCTGCATGCGCTCATCAAGTAGAAAGTTTTGATTTCCTTTGAGTTTGGATATCCATAGTGGAAGTTTCTACATATGCCATCAAGTAGAAATGCTTACTGAAAAGAATCATATGACAACCTAAACCTCTCCCCCCCACGGGGGTTTTTTGTAGGTTCGGAGGCTAAGGATACAACAAAGGATTAAAAGTGCCGAACTTGGTATTTTAAAGGAAGAGCGAGAAAATGAACTTCCTAATTTTCCATCATTCATCCCATTCCTGCCTCCACTGGTGAGATAATTCTTTCATTGAATTATTTTTCCCATAATTGGGCAGTTTTGTTCTTATTAATTAAAGTTAATCTATTTACATGTTGCTTACAGACATCAGCAAATCTCAAGGTTTATTATGCTACTTGTTATTCTCTTATTGCTGGGATTATCCTTTTTGGTGGACTTCTAGCACCCACTGTGAGGCACTTTTGCTCTCAACTCTCATAACCTAGTCTTTACTTTCATGTCAATGGGTGAGTGAGTTATCGTGCTTTTAGGAACAGAATAAGAGGAATGTGTTTTCTTTTGAGAGGATAAAGCATTTGAAGGGAAATAATCAATTATATATAGGAAAACAAGCAAGGGGATGACAATGTTTGCCTCATTTTGCTGAAGCAACAACTTCCCTATTAGTAATTTGCCAGTGGACAGGATACATGATATTAATATGAAAATACATATATGGTTTTGTGGAATCATAACTTCTTTTTCTTGCTCATCTTTTTTCATTTTCTTCCCATATCATAGCTGGAGCTTAAGCTAGGACTAGGAGGCACATCATATGCAGATTTCATCCGTAGCATGCATCTGCCAATGCAGCTGAGGTATGGCCAATCCTCTTGGTTTGTAATGGATGTTTATTATTTGGCAATAATTGAGTTTAGTTGCTTGATTGCTTCCATTTTTCCATGACGATGTTGGTGTGCTTTTGGTTTCCTTATTACACTTGTATCAGGCATACTTCTAGATAATGGCATAGTCTTTTCAGACAGTTGCTAAGTAAAGAATTGACAGCTGCAATTGTTGCAAGCAAGCTTTATGAAAAAAAATACTTTAGGAATATTAATGGTGAATTTATTGCTCATACAAGATTGCTTCTAGAAAGAAGAGGCATCTGTTATTTGTTATCAATTTGGTATACCGTGCAGGCAATTTTGTTTCAATGTAGTATTAAACACAGTTCCATTGGTGGTAAATGCAGTCAGGTTGATCCTATAGTGGCATCATTCTCTGGAGGAGCAGTCGGGGTTATCTCAGCCTTGATGGTAGTTGAAATAAACAATGTTAAACAGCAGGAGCATAAAAGATGCAAGTATTGTCTTGGAACTGGTATATCCCTGAAACTTTCCTGTGCTTTCATCTCTGCTCTATTCCAGATACTGTATTTTATCCAAGTCGATGGTAAATGCAGGATATCTTGCTTGTGCTCGCTGCTCAAATACTGGATCACTTGTTCTTATTGAACCAGTCTCGACAGTCATCGGTGGAAACCGGCCTTTATCAGCCCCGAAAACAGAAAGATGTTCAAACTGTTCAGGATCTGGAAAGGTATGCCTTCTAAAAATAGGTAGTCTCTATAGTTTGTTTTTTACCGGTGCATATCAACTGGGAATTTTTAATGAACGGAAGAATATTTGCTTATTCAACTTCTTTATGCAAGTGTAGAATTTCACGGTTAGATTTAATGGTTTTCATTTTTTACCTCTCATATTCTTTTTTTTGGAGCTTTGGCAGGTCATGTGCCCCACATGTCTTTGCACTGGAATGGCAATGGCAAGTGAACATGACCCACGAATTGACCCATTTGATTAGAGGTGCATTCTCACCCTTCCATTCTTGTATTCAAATGTAGAGCTCCTGTCGATATCTGTTTGTGACAAGATAACTGATCTTTGTACTTACAAATATCGCATGCGCATAAAGGGCTAGTTGAAAATCAATAATTATTTGTGCTATTTACTAAGACAATCCATGCTTTTGAAATGAAAAACTTCAATCCTTATTTGGCAATCTGATGCCATACGATTGGCGGTTCCCTGCTTCCAATCACTGTCATGAATCATGACAACGATGATGAAATGGTCTCTTCAGATGATATGATTTTACGTTCCATAGTCCAGGATTCAACTCATTTTGAGTTAAATGGTCACTTTCGAGTTTCATATGCCACTGCAAGTGGCTATTGGAGCAGCAAAGTTTCACCTGGTTATGGTTGACTGGGGGAAGGAACCCACATCAGCACCCCCATCGAATAAAATGGAAGATTTCGGACAAACGAGTTTCGACGTTGCTGCTGATGAACCCATCGAATTCTCCATCCTTTTGTTTCTGGAAATGCTCCTGGAATATGAAAAAGTAGCTTCAGTTTCATCAGAAAAAAATAAAATAAAAGGACAAAGGATGATGAACAAATTATTGAAATTTGAATCCATCTTAACAATATGCTCTATATTTTGTGCAGAAGCCAGACAACTACAACAAAAACCTAAATTCTGAAGAGGAATACAACAGCCACTTGAAAAAACAACCGTCCAACTACACTCGAAATTTTATGAAGTTTTGTCAGTTCATTTTTATAATTTAAAATCAATTACTTGTTAAGATGGTTTCATCTTTTCAAAAGCTAAATTTTGTTTTATTTGTCTTGTATGGCTGATATTAGGTAACTTATAAAAGTAGGTATCTGATTTTGAATGATAAAAAGGAGTTAACATGGTTTCATAAAATTTCGAGTGTTGGAATGTCGTCTTTGACCAATTACACTAATGTTTCTAAAATCTGAAAAAGAGTATGTGACAATTTTAAATATGATAAGTAACATTATATGAAAAAAAAAAAAAAAACGAAAATGATTTCGGGTCAAAAGCAATGATTCGAAGTTTTTTTTTTTCACTACTTCGGATTTTAAAATTTAACAAATATAGTTTATGAGTTTGTTAAAATTAAAAAAATATATTTTATATTTAACATCTCAACAGAAATTATAACATACTAATTTTTATATTTTACAAAAAATAAACAGCCACATTTACACGAACTACCAACTATTTTGGGCAGAAGCAAGAAAACTATAACGAAAACCTACAACAAAGCCTCGTTCAATTTGTGGGCCTTGGGTATTGGTTTTGACCGAATGTAAAATAACATACATTGGGCTTCCGAGGAATTACAAAGATTCACGAATTCCCGAGAAAATTTCCGTTTCCCGCTTATTCCATTATTTCAAAGATCTCATTTTCCCCCTTTTATTTTGGAAATTCAACACATTAAACCCTTCATTTCCCCTTTCCTTATTATTCCCTCCTTGCTAAAAATATATCTGCCGCCGTTGAAATCTGACGTACTCGTCTTTAACCATAAGACGACCGACGCAACTGTCCGGTGAACCCTGCTTCCCGACACCTGTCTCCCGGAAGACTGACAATCTGCTGAGGATCGGTCTCGCCGCCGGACTAGCTCTCCTGCAGACAGGATAGTTATCGGGGATTAGTCGAGACCTTTAAAAATACCAGACGGCTCCGTTTTCCTCAAGGATTCGGAAGCCATTGTCCAGATCTATCATGTCGACTAAGCGGGAACCTTCTTTATCTCCTATGAAGGAGGCTGGCTCGTCCACGGTTCAGGTTCGACGGAGCCAGAGAAATCGAACGACGACGTTGAAGCCGGAAAATGAGGAAGCCGTCGCTGTTCCTCAGGAAGAAGAGAGCAGTGAAGTCTCCAGCAGAGGTAAGCGCAAGGAAAGTTCTGCCTCTGGAGCTGCTACTACCTCCAAGAAGTCAAAACGAAGCCTAGCAGAACCATGGTCGAAAACGACGCCGTTGAAATCAGAAAATGAAGACGCTCCGCTACTTGACAACAATGAGAGCCGCAGCAAAAAGACGCCGGTAACGTCGAAAAAGACGAGAAGAGCTGTGGTTGATGAAGATGAGAAGCAGGAAACCAAGTTCATTGGCGAGCCCATAGCTGATAAGGAAGCACGACGGCGATGGCCGAAACGCTATCAAGGAAAGGTATACATATCCTTTGTTTTCTTTTTTGGCAAATAAAATCTTTCATTTTAATTTAAATATTTCCTTATTTCCTTTTTTTTTTATTAGGAGCAAACACGAGCTGTCTCAGGGAGTTCCACAGAGTAAGTAAATAAATTTATCCATAAATCAATTTTGTTTCTTTTTTTTTTTGTTTATTTATATGGCATTTATTATGTAATTTAATTAGAGGCTCTTTGTTATTGTTTTCAATCTTATAACATTTTTTGTTGTATTTTCAAGATTTTGCATTTATGTAATTTTAAAGGACATGGTGGAAAGGGAGTCACTGATTGAGGGGGTAGGAATAATGTGAAGGGGTTAGAGGTCTGAATTCAACATTACATAAATGCAAAATAGAAGCATTTGGCTTTTTTTTTGTGTGTGTGTGTGTGTGTGAAAGTTACTGTTTTTGAGGAAACATGAACGTCAATAACTATTTTTTTTCAACATTTTAGATTTCTTTTTTAAATATGTATGGCACCAAGTAGAATTTTTGTTGTGGTCTTCAAAAGATATATCCTTAGTTTTTCAATTTATTTGGTACAGTGAGGCTGATTCAGAGGTTATTCAAGCTAGATGGCACTACACACAAGCGAAAGTGGATGGTTGTGTGGCGTTTAATCTTGATGATTGTGCCCATGTCAAAGTCAGTATAATTTTATTTATGCATTTACCATATTTAAAATTGTTGGTTTTGTGCATTTGTTGGATTGATTCTTAGATTTTCTTTCACCATCTTTTTATTCATTTGATTGTTGACAAATTTGGTCAAGATTATATCAGCCCCTGATGTGGCTATTGTTTAGGTTATATTAGGGGGTAAATGTGTGAGAATGTTATGTGTTGTAAATGCGTTTTGTATTAGGATTTAATATGCGTTTTATTTGTTTCAGAGAATTATTGTGAGTCTGTGACCCTGTAACATTTGGTTGAAAATATATTTATTTTTAGAATAAAAAACCCTTTGTTTTCTCTTAATAAGTAATGATGTGAAGAATTAATAGAAAAAAACAAGATGATCAACATTTTTTTTTTATATATATCCCTGTACAAGATGCTAGGTGATATTCAATCACTGGTATGCATCCAATGTTTAGGATTTTTAGCATTTGTCTTGTTAATTATGAATTATTTTTAATAAACGGATAGAAACTTGAGTTAAAACCATATGGATTTATTCATTTATGCATCCGATGTTTAGGATTTTTAGCATTGTCTTGTTTATTATGAATTATTTTTAACAAACAGATAGAAAGTTGAGTTAAAACTATATGGGTTTATTCATAGACATTGTTGATTAATCATTTTATAATAAAATGGGCTATGTAGAAAGAAAATTGTTGTAGACTTGAGCTCAGAGTATGCTTTTTCTTATGACAAATATTTTTAGTTGTTTCATTAAGGTTTGAGTGTGTTATTTATGCTGGATTTAGGAGAACGTTATCAATAAGTTTTATAAATATGTTTACTTGGTTAATTCTTAAAAGTAAAGTAATTATATTACCTGTTTATATATGTATAGGCTGAAGAAGGAGCGGATTACTACATATGTAAAATTGTAGAGATGTTTGAGGCAACTGATAGAACTTTGTATTTTACAGCTCAATGGTTTTATAGAGCTCAAGACACTGTAAGATAATTCTTTTATTTGATTTCTATTCTTTTCTAACTTTTAGTTTAATATTATGTCTAATTTGTTTTCTTTTTCCAGGTAATGAAAAAGTTAGGCCACCTTATTGATAAAAAGCGTGTATTCCTTTCAGAGATTCGAGATGACAATCCATTGGATTGTCTTATTGAAAAGCTTAATATTGTAGAAGTCTCATTGAATGTATGTTTTTTTATTTCTTTTATTTTTTATTTTGTTTTCATCATATCTTCATCATTTCACAAATTGTATATTCTATTTTTAGGTTGATTTGGAGGCAAAGAAGAAAATGATACCACGTTGTGATTATTACTGTGACATGTTATATCGTTTGCCATATTCTTCTTTCACTAACTTACCTCGAGGTAGTTGATCTTTCTTATTCCCCTATCTTTGTTTATTTGAGCAGATATCAATGAACATTTAAAAATTACTCATTTGCTTCAACTTCTTATGTTTTCTTTTCTCTTTAAACCATAGATGAAAAAACAAATGTCAGTGAAGAAGCTTCATCAACAATTTCTAGTGACAACATAACAAGTGTTATTGGTGCAAACACTAGTCATGAGGACGCTTCATTGTTAGACTTGTATTCTGGTTGTGGTGCAATGTCAACTGGTTTGTGTCTTGGAGCAAATATGGCTGGATTAAAACTTGTGACTGTGAGTTATTTTACAAAATTTAAATAAGTATGCATTTTAAGCAATTCATACATGGTTATAGGGGTTTAGTAATTTCTTGAGCTTTTGTTGAATGTTTCTAGAGATGGGCTGTGGATTTAAATAAATATGCCTGTGAAAGTCTCCAGTGGAATCATCAAGAAACTGCGGTAAAATATTCTTTATAATTTATTATTTCATTTATTGTTATTATATGTAATATCTAATAGTTTTTTAGTGAAATACTTGGTATATCAGGTTAGGAATGAATCTGCTGAAGATTTTTTAGCATTATTGAAAGAGTGGGAACGTTTGTGTGCCTCATTTTCATTGTCAAAATCCGAGAATTTGGAGAAGCAATCCTTCCATTCTTTTGGTTTGGAAAATGATGAGAATGATGAAGTTGACAGTGAAGATAGTGAGACTGAAGGGGAAGTTTTTGAAGTTGAAAAAATTCTCAACATATGTTACGGTGATCCAAAGGAGAAAAAGGAACGGGGGTTATATTTCCTGGTATATGGGCTTTATAACTATGCTTACTTTTAATATAATTAATGATCGTGTCGTAAAACTTTCAATTCTTTAAGCTCTAATTGATTATTAGTACTAGGATATAAATCCTTCTTTACTTTGGTAACTCATATAATGATTGGTCAGTTATTTGAAGCAATTTTAGGGGTGAAATGAACGCATTACTTGGCATGTTTGTCTGTAATTTTGGACTTTTTGTCTGTGTAAATGATAAAAGCATCTTTTTTTTTTGGTAATAGAGATGGATTGTTGGTTTTGTAAAGCATGCAGTAATATTTTCTTGCCGAATGGATGTTGGTCTGGGAATGACATTTCCTGTTTCTTCATCTAGTTGTTATTGAGTCATTATCAGTTTATGGGCTCTGTGGGAAGCTCCTACTTTAGCTCATTTAGCCAGGCCTTTTTCTTTGTTCCTTTATTTATATTGTTAAGAACGTTGTTCTCTAATCCTTAGTTTGGCTTTATGTTCATTATAGACATTAGTTGTGTCCATATACATTGGGTTACTCCAACGTGACTTCCTGTATCTCTTCTTTTAGGTTCGTTGGAAGAATTATGGGCCTGAAGAAGATACATGGGAGCCATTAGAAGGATTGGGGTATGTAGTCAGTATTTATGATTGTATTTCATACTACATGCACAAACTTTTTTTTGACATTTAACCTCTTTTTAACAGTGATTGTCAAGAATGCTTGAAGGACTTTGTTACACGTGGCTTTAACTCAAAAATACTACCTTTGCCAGTAAGCTTCTTTTATACTTTCCTATGCTACTTTTTTTCTCCTGAATGAATTTCATTAAAAGGAACTTACCTGTAACATTAGCCCTTGCTTTCTTAAACAACAAACTAATTTCTCTAGGGAATGACAAGGATGTAGTAAAACATAATCCTCTAAAGAATTATACCACCTAGAACCACTTTTTATTGAGGATATTTCCTATACATGTTGCTATCATTTGTTGCTTAGTATTTGGCAAGCTTCAATCTGTTACTAAGGAAGGAAAAGAGCAAAATCTTAAAAGTACCTATACTCGTGAGAATCTACTATTGTGTATCTTCTACATTGTGTAAGTCAAGAAATAAGAAAGTCGGTACAGGATGCACTTTTTCTAAACCAGCTGTCCTTAGCATTCCCACCTTTTTTCTACAAAATCTACACTCGCAAGTGGAATCTGTTGTCTAACTGGTTGTGTTTTTAGTAATTTTCTTTACATTAGTTTTGATTTCTCAATCCCCTTACCTGCATAAATTAAAATATTGAATAAGTGTCTGACACAGATATGATAGGGTAACATAGACTTTATTCTATGTACTTATTCAGCAATTGGCTCAAAAATTGCACTCCAATCCTTTCTTTTACCCTGAATAGACTGTTGTTTCTCCATACAAATTCATTGGGCAGTAGTTGCAAAAGTAGCTTAGGATACTTTGCCAAATCTGTTTCTTCTAGTTTACTTTACCATTCAGTACTTCAATACAACGTAGTTGCTATAGCCTAGTCCAACCTTTAAAGTTAGTTTTGTTAAAAACAAATGTTGGGAACTTTCTGAATTCACAGGAAAAATTTTCCTTGCTTTTGTTAGTACCACAAATTCTTAGTCTGCTTCGTATTTTTCTTCTGGTCCTATAGGGTGATGTTGATGTGATATGTGGAGGGCCCCCATGCCAAGGTATCAGTGGCTTTAATAGGTTTAGAAATAAGGATAATCCTTTGCAAGATGAAAAGAACAAACAACTTCAGGTTTTCATGGAGATAGTGGAGTACTTGAAGCCAAAGTTTGTTTTGATGGAGAATGTTGTTGACATTGTAAAGTTCTCTGAGGGATTTCTTGGACGATATGCCTTAAGTCAACTAATTCATTTAAACTACCAAGTCCGAATGGGAATGATGGCAGCTGGTGCTTATGGTCTTCCCCAATTTCGTATGCGTGTTTTCTTTTGGGGGGCTCGTCCAACTGAAGTGAGTTTTTTTATCTCTATAAATACAAAAGGTTGAAACTGTGGTTTAATCAGATGTTCACTGTTCTCAGAAATTGCCACAATATCCACTTCCAACACATGATGTTGTAGTAAGAGGTGTCATCCCCCTTGAGTTTGAGGTGCAAGAACTTGAGTCTTTTATTTGATTTTCAAATGCTTCCATATTCATAGTTCTTACAATACTTAATGAATGCAGATGAACACTGTAGGCTGGGATGAAGGACAACAAGTAGATTTGGAAAAAAAACTTCTACTAAAAGATGCAATTTCAGACCTTCCTGCGGTATGCTTTATGACTTTTTGATTTTTTTTTTTGCCCCCCTCATTATTTGCTAGTTCATTTATCATTTTACTTGTGATACATGTAGTTGACTCAATTATGCATTTAGGTTGGAAATTATGAGAATCAAGATGAAATGGACTGTGACAAGGATCCTCAAACAGAGTTTCAGAAGTTCATTAGATTAAGAGAGGAGGGTAGGTAGATTTGTCACATTTGCTATTTATTTGTTTACATAATTTGAATTCCATTGTCATAGAACCATATTTGGATTAGTATTATGTGTGCGTTGTAGTTTGACTTTTACTCAGCTTTACGCTGTGCATATGGAAAGTGCGTTGCCTTTTTCTTCATTGTTAGCAAGGAGAAGTTGTATCTACTAATGGTTCTATTACTTTTCTCAGCAACTCGTGTACATTTTTTCTTCAGAACTTTGCAACCAAATTTTTGGATACATTGTTGCTTTCCCTTTTATTTCTTATACAATGGTGTTACTTTTTTATGCAAAAAAGGCTTGGTTTGTGACATTATGACCTATGACCTGCATTCTACAACTTCATGAAGCTGGACAAACTGCAAGCTTATTTTCTTATTTGTCTTGTAGAGATGCCTGGCTCTTTATCAAAGGCAAAACCGGCAAAACCAGCAAAACATTTGCTGTACGATCATCGGCCACTTCAACTCAATACGGATGATTACCAGCGTGTTTGCCAGATTCCCAAAAGGAAGGTATCACTTTTCCACCTCAATCTAATTGGCCATGCATAACCTTTTTTTTATTATTATTGTTATTAGGTATTCCCTTGGATGAATCTTCACTTGTTAAATTTATTTGTCTTTCCCATTTTGTTGACTTAGGGAGCAAATTTCAGAGACTTACCAGGTGTTCTAGTTAATGGTAAGAAGGTTGAATGGGATCCTAATGTGGAGAGGGTTTATTTGGAGTCAGGGAAACCTTTGGTAATCTTTTCATTTTATTTCTTGTTGATTCTCTACTTATCTCTCTCTTCTCAATATCTTTTTGTTTCACTATATAAGATTTTCATAAACAATGACAGGTCCCTGATTATGCCATGACTTTTGTTGGTGGATCATCATCCAAGTGAGTATTCTTGTTTGAGAGGTATTTCTCTGATAATTTATTTGAACCAAATAACCTGACTATCAGAAAATTTGTAGACCATTTGCTCGTCTATGGTGGGATGAAACTGTACCAACAGTGGTTACAAGAGCGGAACCTCATAATCAGGTTATGATTTATGCAAATATATTTATTAAAAGCTCATTTACAAACATTTCCTGAGCTGCAATGTTTTGTGTTTCTCAACAGGCAATTTTGCACCCTGAAGAAGATCGTGTCCTCACAATTCGTGAAAATGCCAGATTACAAGGCTTCCCTGATTACTACAAGCTTTTTGGCCCGGTTAAGGAAAGGTACTTTTTGGCCCTGTTACTATATTTCATGCAATTGTTAACAGCAATGGAACTTTACTATGACTTATTGTTTTGTCTTTGCATTATGTCAAACTTTGCAGCAATCAAAAAGCATTAATCAAACTGAGTCTTATTATTATTTTTTTAATAATGATTTATTTTCGTTTTCTAAAGGTACATTCAAGTTGGAAACGCGGTAGCTGTGCCTGTTTCTCGAGCTCTAGGTTATGTATTGGGGTTAGCTTATCAAGGTCTTTCAAGTGATGAACCTTTAATGAAACTTCCTCCAAAATTTTTAAATATTGTGGATAAGTTTTCTTCTGAATCATCTGAAGATCATTGATGAAATTGTACTATTACTCTATCAAATTGAACCAAAATTTTTAATAATTACATCAAAAATTTGAAAACATTTATTTTTGTTATTCAAAATATTTAAAAGTAGTTTATAATTTTCAATGATAACTTTTTTCTAAAAAAAGTAGTATTCACACTTGATTTAGAGTTAAGAAAATGCATTTGCAATTGTGAGATTTTTTATTAAAATTTTAAAGTATTTTAAATGATGAAATCCCGTCAACCTCATGTGGTATAGTCATCTTAGTTTAAGTTACTTTATGTGCTGATTTTAATGAAAGTTAAGATAGAGAACCCGTTTTAGGGCCTCATGAACACATGTTATGACATAAAAATAAATATGAAATAAATATATAAATTGCCATACCTAATGAACCATAGAATAGAATGCAACTGATGTTACTTAGAAAAGGCACATCCTTTGCATAAAAGCTTTACTTTTTATCATCATATCATTTCTTCCCGCTGGGGAGTACCGAATACACAAAATGTTGCAAGATCCTACACCAGGACTGCAAATAAATCCCTCTATTTGAGTTATTTGCCTTTAGAGGCACTGAATCATCACTAATCCCCTCATGTAATGTTCTACTAATATGTTTTTAGCAACAAAGTTAATATAAAAATTGCAATGAATGGATGATTGACTGATATAATAAGCAACAATAATAAGCTTAGAGCCCCTGTATAGATTCAAGGTTGTATTGTTTAGGAGTTGTAGTTTCAACTTCTCGGTTGTCCAGTAGTTTTGTCTTCTTCATTGCATCAAGAGTCTGCAAGTAGTTGTAGGAAGCTGTCCCATTAGCTGAAGGGCCAGAATTGCTTATTTTGCTAGAAAGGAAGCGACGGATTAAACCCCTAAGGAATGGGGCCATGGTGTCTGGCTCATATTCTAGATAGTACATGATTCCTCCCATGCATGCACAAAATAAGGCCACCTGTGTCAGTTAAGAAGCATCAATTCAGAAGCCAAATTTATAAGAAAACAACCGATAAACATAATACCTAAATGAAACCATCTTTCTGTCTCAAATTATGTGCTTGGATGAATCATGGATTTGCAGTAGCAGTCAGCACAAATTAACAGTCTCAATACATCTCCATTAGAATTCATTGCTGGGAAAGTACTTCATAACAAACAATAGCACATTGTAGGATAAGCCACCTGATTCATGCGAACAAAATTCATGACTTTGACATAAGGACCTAAACCAAGGTGATTTGGCCCCAGAAATATCAAGAACAAACTTGGTTATCTATCTCTAACTATGGGCGTAATTTTCACTTAGACCAACAAAGAAGCTCTGATGAGAAAGAAAATTAGGAGCCAGAGTTTTAACATTATAACATACCTCAGCATTTTTAACATCAGGAAGCAGTTGCCGGTTTACTAAAATATACCACAAGGATTCTCCAGCTCGTGGAAGAACATATAGAGCGAGTTCACTGCGTCTAGGTTTTTTCTCCAGTAATACAGAAAGAGCTGCTAAAGCACCAGCAACCCAATATACCAGCTTGTGGTCCTTTGATGCAATCTTTCTATGCATGCATATAACCGCCTTGAATTGCACAACAAAAATAGTAAAGAACATATTCATGCTGATTTTAGCAACAGAAAAAAAGTGAAAGATAAATGAGAAACCAGCTACCTGAAAAATTCCAACAAATGCAGACAAGAAAGATGTTGATTGAACAGCACCTTTAACAGCTAGCCAACAAGTACGAGCAGGGGTATCCATGAACTAGAAGTGTATCATGATAATGCAAAATAAACCCAAAAAAAAAAAAAAAAAGAGAAGAATCAATTCCAAAATGAAATTTCATTGTCATGCCATCTACAGGTAGCTAGAAAAAAAATATATAATTGCAGCTCAAAGTGGACCAAAAGAAATCTGCAAAATCAACTAAAACAGATTTTGTCTCAGTTACAAATGGGCAAACTGTCTATTGGTTCTTTTGCTTTAAAGGTGTAAGTGGTTTTACTCAACTATAGGAAGATTTTACTCAACTATATAATAAAAGCCATCATTCCCATTCCACTTACCCAACATTACTAATGCAGCATTTACTAAATCAGATTTGCTATTTCATCTTTCAAAAAACTGTTTCAATTTTGGTAAAGCATATGCAAAAGGGCAAGCCCATGCAGACCTTTTGTAGAGCTCAAAATGCTTTAAGACGGTTATTGTCTAGTTTACTTCTTTCTTATAAGCAGAAGAATATGATGGGAAAGTTCGAAAGCAAAACCAACTCCAAGGTCCTTCCACACACACAGATGCAGAAAGGAAAACCAATAAGTTATGCAAGATGTACCTTTTGTAGGTGCAGAACGACAAATGGCACAAAAGTCAAAGAGAAGTATAGAGGAAATGTTTTCCTGAATGTAGCCGAAGCTGCCTTAGCATTGTGGCCCAGACAAGAACTTGTGTCTGGATGAATAACAGAACAAGGAATAATAGATGGGAACTCTTCCAACATCACATTATTGGACTTCCCTCGGCCATATAAGTAGGCTGACAAAGATGCAACATTCACTGGACCACCCCTACAGTTCTCCCTTACAGCCTTATATACAGGAGCTGCAACGGGACCAGTCTTCTGAATAAAATCTTGATATGATTTTGGCAAGCTTTCGGGACGCATCACGAAGGCATACATAACCTGGTATGAACATCAGTCAGTAAAATGGGATAACGTAAAACCAAACAAGGATGATGAAAAATACATCAAACTAAACCTAGTAAGTGAAAGGCAGATATGAGACTACAAGAAAATTTCCAATCATTTGTTAACGTCAGAAGCAAACTCCAATTAGTTAGACAAAAACAACCTTCACTAAATATCTACTTTTAAAACATAGACAGAAGCAAATAAATTGGAGGTAAAATTCACAATCACACAGGAACAAAATAAAATTAGTTACATTTCCAGAACATCACCTATAAAAGAGTAATGTCTTGTAGTATTTATATCTAAAATTTAGCCTAATCTTCTATGTGACACCTTTACTCAACAAACTATGCTATTTCTAATGTTATGAATGTTCCACTATCATCAACTGATGTACAGAGATAAAATGACTAGTCCAAACGTACAAAGCAAACATCTAGCCAAAAAAATCAATATGAGCTTTATATTACCTGAGCACATGCTAAAGCAAAGAGCAAAGAGTCACCATGCCTCCAATGACTTCCCCATAAGTGAAACTTATTTTTTGATTTTGCAGAATTATAAGCGCACTGAAGAGTAAAGCAAAATATTATACTGCAAATCAGAGAACTGGTATCTACGATTTCAAATAGCTTTGCAAATTTACTATTTAAAAATGCATTCATGTACCTGAGCTACTCTAGCCAAAAGATATAGTGCAAGTGTACGCCTTCGGTTTGAATCATCCAAAGCTAAAATAGACAACCCTGCTATTGAACCTGCTAAAATCCTGTTCCATCACCACCTTAAACAATGTTAAAGATAAGGAACAGGCTCAAGCATGCATCAAAATTTTAACCATTCAACTAATCATTTACCATGAACCACAATGAGATATGCACCTAATGGAAATCGGCCATTTAAAAAACAAAACAAAAAAGCCAACGTGAGGCTTTATATAGCAAACTTACGCGTTCACTGGAGTCTCTTTCTTTCTAAGCTTTCTTAGCAAACATCTAAGCGCATGGTATGCTCCTGTGAAGCCACCAAAAAGTAAACCAATGCGGCATGCTTCCTCTCTCACAATCAAATCTTTCTCTGAGACAAGTTGCTGAAAAACATAATTAAGACATTCAAACATCCGTTAATATCACATTTCTTTATATTCTTACATGATAATTCCTTGCAAAGCCAAATAAATAAAACCCAAAAATAGCAAATTTGTCAAACAATCATCTAAACTAATTTTGCAATAAATAGCCTCAAGAAAGAGTTCATTTTTATCTACTCATTAAGAACATGACAGTAACAAACTTCAAATCTTCAAAGGAGACAGTTTTCATAATCAAGCATTAAAACAATCTAATCAATCATTTTATGTCAAAATTTACAAAACAATCAAGTCAAAGTAAAACATTTTAAGAAATTGCCATAAACAAAACCCTAACCTTGAGATCAAGAAGCGAAGAATAAGACTGTCCTCTGGCGAGCTTGAAAGCGCGAAGAAGAATCCCGATCCCTACTCTAACACCATAAGAAAGTAGAAAGCTTTGGCAAAGATTGCCAATAGCGTTGGCCACGCAGGAGTTATCAGCGTGGTTGCACGGCGGCTCATCGCCACTAGCCGCCGTCCTCTGACGCCTCTGGAGCTCCTCTATGGCCTCCCTCAATCGCTCCTCCGCCTCACGCAACCGTCGCTCCGCCTCCGCGCTGTCCGCCGACAACCGCGCTGAGGAATTCGTGTTTTTTGAGAGACCGGGCATTTTGGATTCGATGTCGCCGTTGTCTCTATTGCATCTGAAAACTAAGAGAAAAAAATAAAAAAAATAAAAAAATAAAAAAAAGTAAGAAGTGACGGAAGGATAGAGTAATAAATACTGAATTTTCACTCTTTTCAGTTTTAAGTTAAAGTTTCTTTTTTTCTTTCTTTCTTTTTTGTTTTTGTTTTTTACTATTTTTATTTTGTGCTGATTTTGGTAATTTGATTGCTTTGGATTTAGGAAATTTTGTTAACAAAGTTGGAAATAAGTGTGATCTGCCCCTTAGCTTTTCCTTACCATAATTAAAAATTTTATTTTTTTAATTTAAAATGGTCGAAAATTCAATTTCTATCACTAAAATTAAAAGATATCATTTCATAAATACATCATATTATTATTAACTTTAAAATTTTATTTTTTAAATTAAAAAAATTGCAAATCAACGAAGATTTTGATCAAATGATTCTCCCATATATTACCTTAGAATTAAAGTTTTAGACCCAAGCTTTTTCATTTTTGTATTAAAAAAAGAAAAAAAAAATCATCAAAATTTGGATGAGTTTCATGATATAGTTGTGTTTAAAGATGTATGGATCCAAGATATAATTGTTTTTGCACGTTTTTGCCATGTTTTCGTTTTCTTAATAAATATATTGACTTTCATTGATAATAAGCGATGAATCAATGATTATGAATCAATTCTCACAATCTCGAATTTAAAAAAAATAAACTTAATCATAAATTTTTAAGAATTTCCGATTTTCTCGGAAGAAGCAGGAGTTTCATTTTGATCTTTCCAGGATGCTTGCCATTGTTTGTCATAGTAGGTAACCTCATCAGCAAGCTTTCTTAGGTTATCAAAATCTTGGGTTCGCCCGATGACTGTCACAAACAACCCTGACGTGCAAATGAACTTGCCTGTCTGGCGGACTACATCCAACCCCTTTAAAGCATCAACAACATAAGCTATGAAGAATCCTATCATTGCAGCTCGACCTGCCAAGATTGATATATTGCATCGCAGCTGAGAGGTTATAAATCTGAAAGTAACAAAAAATATTAGAAGTTGCGCTTGCAGTGAGTGAGAGGTATAATTAACCATTGAGCAGTTCAGCCTCCGGGAGATACGTTCTCATCAGCCATGCCCACCAGGGTATGATTGAGTTGGACAGGTTCTTGGTTTGAAGTAGCTTCAGGTTGCATCTCCAGGAACTTTCTCCTCCTTGCTTCTGCAGAAGACCAGTAAAAATTGATGTTATGGAGTCTGATCAATTTGCCAATCTGGTAGCATATACCTAGATGTCATTAGATATTCAAGAAATCATTTGTTGCCTTTTCAAAATGCTGGAAGGATGAATTTCAGCTATGAATATTATTGTAAGGGACTATGGAATGCTAGAGCACTTACCTGCTACAATCACCCCATCCCAATCCATCCTACCATTTGTAACAAACATATTCAATTACCATGTTCCATTCTTCCAGCGTTCGTCCCTGAACTTTGGAGCAGAAGATTCTGTCTCCAAGTTGTCTGTCAATTTATCTTCAGGATCCTTCGACTTATTTATTTGTGAATTCGGTTTCTCTTTTTCATCGATCTTAAAGCTTTTTGGGCCTTCCACATCTAGGGTGACAGCATTCATCACTTGCTTTTTCCCGTAAGAACAAGCCGGTTTGGCTTGTGCCTGTTGCTTCCTAGTGACGTGATGTGAGCTCCAAGCTCTTTGCAATGAGGTAGAAATGGCAATGGAAGCCATTGTTGTACAAAGGGAGTATTCTTTCTTTGCTTCTTTGCTCTTCTCTAAAGCTCTTGTGGGGATGGGAACTGGGAAGTAGACAATTTGCCCATGCTTCTTAATAAACAAGATTATCTTTCCACAACTTCCCGTCAAGAATTATGGGCAAATTTTTTATCCTTTTTTTTTTAATTATTTCGTCTATTTTTCCTTTTGTATAGTTTATAGTTTAAAGAGTTAGCCAAAGGCGAGATCGTACGACCAAAATCAAGCATGAATGTTGGGACCATATAACTTGTCCAGTATTCAATCTGCTCACCGAGGCTGATTCTATAGATTTATAAGAACGTTCTTTTGTCAGAAATATATACTAATATCTTATTAGAGGATTTACTCCTTTGTGCCAAAAGAAAAAATAATAATAAGTAAATTCTCGTAATTTGGGTTCGATCTCTAGCCCTTGGAAATTTCCTTTTCTCAATTCCCATAGATCGGTGTGAAAATTAGATCTTCAAAACTTGCAATGCAATGACAAAAATCATAAAGAAGTTGCAATGAATTCAATCTCAAAGCTGAAAGAATATTGAACACACTGGAAGCATTGTTCCAATACAAAGTTGGTAAAAAATGAAATTTAAGAAATACCCCCAATAAACATTATTTGAAGTTTGTGTAGAATTTCATGAAGGATAGTAAATGGGAGAACAAGTTCAAAACTTTAGGGGGAGCTAAGAATGCAAAGCTATTGCTTAAGCTTTTCAATGGATACTAGAAACCAAAATGGGGAAAGAAAGAGAAACAAAAAGGGGGAAGGGAGCCATTTATGCTTCCCATCCTCTCAAGGTAGTTGCACGAGCCACTCGGTTTACCCCAAGTGTAAAGGCACCCATTCGGAGATTGCAATTGTGTGACTGGCACATGTTCTTGATGTTATAATAAGCTTGAGTCATGTACCTCTTCAGCTCCTCGTTCACTTTCTCTTCATCCCACATGAAACCTTGAATGTTCTGCAAAATCAGATGAAAATTTAGTACATGCTAAAATATCTTCCACTAGGACCATTACTTAACTAGTTATCTTGATGCCAGTGGTTCAAATTTAAAATGATTGAATATCTCAATTTTTGACTGCGTTATGTGCCTGTTGAATTAACCATTACAGATGAAGAAAGCAGTGCAGAAATAAAATTTTCTGAAACAATGTTGTGGTGTTTAGTTTCCTTGCACCAAAGCATCAATAAGTTGTTGCAATTCTTTAGTAGTTAAAAACATAAGATGCATCCAAACAGAGAAGAACAGAATGTTTTTCCCATTTTTTCAAGCTAAAATCTATTACCTGAACCCACTCAAAGTAGCTGACAGTCACTCCTCCTGCATTTGCATAGATGTCAGGTAGTATTATTACTCCTTTCTTTGATAAAATCTGCAATATTAAAATCTCATGTCAGAGTTTTGCTTCCAACTTTAGGAGCAGAAAACAAGGGGCAAAATTATTTACCTCATCTGCTTCTGGATCGGTGGGATGGTTTGCTGCCTCTATTATGAACTTGGCCTTCACATCAGCAGCATTTTCCCTTTAAAGGAGAAAATGATGAAAACAATATGTGAGACAATCCATATTTGAAGCGATTGATGGAAATATAAGATGACCCTAAGTAAGATACAGCAAAAGAAAAGCTAATTCCCAAACAGATTGCAAACGAGCCACAAGTTCGTTCAACTGATCAAATATACCACTTTAATAATGGAACCTTCTCAGTGGAGGGATAAAACAATGTTAGGTCAGCTCTAAATAAAGCTGAAATTTTAACAGCAAGGGCAACATATCCTTACACTGTATCCAATATAGAACATATGAGTTGTCCTGATGAGATGAAAGAAATTGGTCATGTGACACTTAAGAACTAATTAAATCCTTAGCTTTGGGTGACACGAAAAATTAGTACAAATACAACTTTGCGCATGTTTGATTCCAGCCTGTATTATTAATCTATATAAGCACACAAGTTCTAAAGCTGGTGTTGCTTAGTGTTTCAACCTCTAACCTACTGTGATTAAGAAGCCAAATGCATATTATTGAGCCATTACGACGCCAATAAATTTTTTAATAGAATAGGGAAAACTTTTTACGACAGCAGTTTTGATGAAATAAACATATAATAGAAAAGCTAGCTATGGTAACATACAGCAGAACATCCAACAGTTTACACGGAAACATGAGGATCAAGATGTTTGGCAATGGACCTAACCTGTTCAGGACTCCACCTAAAGCACACGGGACAAGAACATCACATTCATGTACAAGCAGTTCATTTGGATCCATGGAATCTCCACCACTGAAGCTTTTCAAACTGCCAGTAGCTTCTTTATGCTTTAGCAGCTCAGGTATATCAATTCCATTTGGATTCTTTACAGCACCAGTGATGTCACTCACTGCAATAATCTTACCACCCCTTTCATGTATGAGCCTTGATGCCCAAGACCCCACATTACCAAAACCCTAGGAAAAGAATTAATAATATAAACATTAGAATAGGAAGTTTTGAAGGAAATAATCATTTTGACCGTGTATGAATTCATGCTGTCTATACCTGAATCACAAACGTCAAACCCTCAATTGACTTCCCATATTCAGCAAGTAAAGCTTCACTTGCATATACAACACCACGTCCAGTTGCAGCCTCCCTGCCTAGCGATCCACCAAGATCCTAAAATTCCCAATACAAGTATATTTACATTTTGTTATTTGGTCCAGTTATTGATACTTTTCTCAAACATTACAAGCTTTAAAATGTCAGTCTAGCCCTTACTATTGGCTTTCCTGTAACAACAGCTGGCGAATGTCCATGAAACTTAGAGTATTCATCCAAAATCCATGCCATGGTCTGCAGATATTTAAGAAAGTAAACTAAATGAAATTGAAACAATTTTGTACTCCAGAAACCAAAAGAAAGTTCACGAAAAACAAAAAATAACTCAGTGAGGACCGTATAACCTGTGCATTGGTTCCCATGTCTGGGGCAGGAACATCTGTATGTATGCCAATAAGATCATGGATCTTTTGAGTGAAGACGCGAGTTAGGCGTTCCAATTCACTCTTACTTAAATCCCCAGGATTGCATCCAATGCCACCCTTTGCACCCCCATAAGGAATGTCTGCTACAGCAGTCTTCCAGGTCATTAGTTGAGCCAAGGCATTTACTTCATCAGGGTCAACCTTTAAACAAAATTAACAAACATTGATTGTCAAGTCCAAGGATTTTTCTACACTTTTATGCTGTAAGATCAGCGCAGATATGCCCCACTGAAACTGCACTTTGAAATTTAGAGCAGGGGAACAAATATAAAGGGCACATTAGACTCAAAACATGAAACAGAGTAAAAAAGTGGGCTTTTGCTTAAATCCAGCGGCCCAAGATCCAAAATTCTTCAATAAATTTCATCAAAAATAGGGATCTGGAAGAGCAGGGCCTGTTTGGTAAAATGAATTGCTTAATTGATATTTTCCTGTAATTCCTAAGAGGCCAAGATTTAGCATTTCCATTATTATTATCATCATGGCATTCAAATTAGAGTCTAGTGGACTGAAAAGGTTACCCTTTTTCTGGGTTCAGTAGAATCTATCATAAAATCTCTAACAGGAAAACAAAGATTAGATTACTCTAATTCTACAGGACATTAAAAAAAGCAGTGAAGTTGATTTAACAAACTACGATTTCCCAATCAACCAAATTGAAAGATCATTAAAGAAAATGTTTATCTTTTCTTTCTACAGGAAAGTATGCCTATATCCTACTACCCTCTAAAGTAAAGCCAATGACGATCAATGAAGACTAAAGAAACAATCAAAATCATAAAACAAAAACAACAAAAGACAAAACTCCTAACAGAAAAAAAACAAAGGAAGAAAAGTGATCACCTCAGGATGATATCTGATTCCTCCTTTCATGGGACCACGAGCATTATCATGTTGTACTCTAAATCCAACGTACGACGCCAAGGTTCCATCGTCCTTGGGAATAGTGCACTCCACCTGATAAGAAAGAGACACCAATCAAAACATAACAATTCAAGATCAAGACATATGAAAAGCTTTTCTATGAAACTACACCGCCCCCCCCGCCCCCCCCAAAAAAAAAAAAAAGAAGAGAACTTTCTTGCAATACCTTGATCTCTCTAAAAGGGATCAGAAGACTCTTCTCAAGCTTAGAGTCTAACCCAAGTAAACGAGAGGCCAGCCGGAAATTGCGGTTAGTTGCAGCAAGAGCATTCATGGCTAACAATTAAAACCTCAAAAAACAGGAAATACCCAGAAACGGGAATGATCAAAAGATCAAGAAAAACAGCAGCTTTGAGACTTAAAACAGGGAACTGTAAAGAGAACAAGTTGATTGGTTTATGATCAAAGGAAGTGGAAGAAAAGAGTATCTTTTAAAGGGAGAGAAAGGGTATATGTAAGGAAGGTATAACAGAAAAAAGCAAATGGAAACAAGACAACTGTAATGTTGCGTGAATTGAGCTAAGGGTAATCAGAGTTGCCATAAGAAAGAGTTGCTCCAAAATCTAGCAACCTTAATGATTTTTTTGTTAAAGCTCCTAGGAAAAAAAAAAAAAAAGGCTAAGGCTCCGTTTGGATTTCACCACACTTTCGGTGCAGGACGATTAAATTCATCGCACCTCCGGTTGAATCCAAATTCAACTACAATAAGATCAAATTAATATAAATTTTTTATTAAATTTTTTTTAATTACAATTACAGTAAATTTTATAATTATTTTTAATTTTATCGTAATCAATCTCACCATCCATCAAAATGTAACCTAAATTCCCACTTGGTTCTTTATTGTCTCGAATTTACAATAGTATCCATGGAATGGATAAGAGCCATCGATGGTGCTCTCTTATTAGGTTGATGGCTTGATGCTGAAGTTACCTTACAACACGAGAAACACAATGGGTCCTCGACTCCAAGGGTTCAAATTATACCTAAAAAATAGGGATATTTTGATTTAGAAAAGAAGTAAATAATCTCTAAATCTAAAAAAAATTGAGAAAAATATTTCTAATTAATAATAAACAAATGCTAAAATATTTAAAGTAATATTTTTGTATTAAACACAATAATTGATATTTAATTTCATGAATTACAATCTATTAAAAAATATATTATATTAAAATAATAATTTTAAAGAATATTTTAGAGCATTCGATAATAAAATTTATATCGTATTAAATGCAATAATTAACCGTTTTATTTAATAATTTTCAATGTATCCTATGAAATATTACTTTGTATATTACTTTAAAAATATTTTAAAAAATTCATTAATAAAAGTGTCATTTTGCACGTTTCACTCTCAAGTAGTTATTGAGACAATGATGGCTACAGCCTCCAACGCAGTGAGAACTCTTACCACTCTCCAACATCAAACTTTGGTCATTTTATTTTTCAATTAGGACATTGACATCTTTATTTACCAATGTTGGTTAAGGTTTGAAAATTTTACAGTCCAAAAAAAGTTTGAAAATATTTAATGCATAATTTTTTAATATAAATTAAATAGATAGAGATTGAGAATAAAGGTCGATTGAAATTATAACAAAAAAAAAAACCTGTCAATTGAAGAAAGCAAGCCACCGTGGTTGAAAAAAGTGCAAAAAATCGGAGGCAGATAATTTCCACGTGAATTCCCTCTGCATGAATCATGATATGATCAATGATGTGGCGTCCATGTTGGAGGGGAATGGATAATTCGTGGGACCCCCTCTTTTGTTTTTCTTAATTTAAAGAAAATCTGAGCTGTCCAGTTAGAATAATCTAAAGCATATACGAGTGTACCAATATCCATCCTTGCTTTCGCATCCTCAGCGCTGACGTTGTGCGACTGTAGTCACGACACGCCAATAAAAAAAAAAAAGTAGACTTTTAGTTAGACAGTTTGAATTGAATTTGTTGAGGTTAAACCCAAAGTGGAGTGATTGACTGGTTAAGGCGCCGCGTCTCGCCGCGTCCACGCTCATGACGTGGACTTTGATTTTTTATTTCCGGAAAAGGTGGAAAATTGATTTAAAACATACTCTTTTCGTTAATTAATTAATATTATTTTGGTATATAATAGCATATGCATAAGCCGGCGAGGCTGCTAATTGCAACGTCAGACATTGCGTTCTTATCCTCGAAAAATTTGCAATAATAATGTAATTAGTCATTTGACAAGGATGATTTGGACAGAGGATCAATTTAATTTTGATTAGATTAAAAATAATAATAATAATAAAAGTAATTATAAATAAAATTAAATACTATAACCATAATTATTATAAATGAAATTAAATATTATAACAGTAAAATCCATGACTTCCATTACACCACTAGATGTGTTGATGATATCAAAATGAGATCATATGCCAGGTAGGTCTTGCTTTAGTCTGCTTATGTAAGCAGTGACCTAATCCTCTTCTTAACAATGCGAGCTTTGAACACAAAATTAATAATAAAACTCGAGAAATATGATCCCCAAAATTCAAATCATATATTATTTAATTATATGAAATTTGCATTGTAATAAGGGATAGTAATTATGTAGTGAAATATGAAATTTTAAACATGAATCAGGTTCATCCTATTACAAGGAAGTGCCCTCGGTTAGGTTACCATGGTTGAACTTCCTCTGCTCTGGCCAGCACATTTCTCGTTGCTCTAATGACAGGTGATACACAACCTATGTAAGAAGAAATCAAATGTCCTTTTAGACAACCGCCCCATGACAGAAGCGAAAAAAAGAAGCAAGAAAAGAGGTCCACCACGAATTGAAGTCCTCATGTTCGCCCCTAAATTTAAACATATGGCATTCAGCAACTACCTTGTCATTATCAGTGATCAAAATCATTTTATCATTCAGAGAGTGGATCAGAAATGATCAAGTGACATGTGATTTTTGTATGCAAAATGAATAAGTCCTTGGTGTAAAGTCCATACAAACTGCTTGATCAATACAGAAGGCTCAGAACATAGATCAAGAAGATGTGAATGCTACTAAGTCCACTACAATATAATTTAGATATCAATCAGCACAGTAGGACTTTGACTTCATGGCTGCAATGCTATTAAAAAGCAACATTTAAGAACATGAGATTGGTGGGTATTGAGTTTCATTACAAAAGATGTTACCTCATGAAATACACATCCCTACTACTTTCAATGTAGATGGTTGGTCAAGTTAATTTCTTTCCTGTCATGATCAAAGTGATATTTATCAGAATCATGGACTTTAAGATCCTTCAGGAAAGGATAACACTATAAATATAAACACCTAACTTGTAAGTTGCAATTTTTGTTGGGTAGAAAACTTACAAGCTTCCTTTTTCTTCGATCAATTCCACTATTCCTCATATCATTTTTTGCAAGAGCAGATCCTGAGGGGAGACCGTATGGCATTGGAGAAAGTGCTGAAGCAGGAGCAGGAGGAGCAGTTGTCAGAGCAACAGTGGTAGCTGGCATAGGTGGCTGAGGTGGAACAGCTGCAGGGGGTGGGAGTGCAGGTGCAGCAACTGGTTCAGGAGGAGGTTTAGGCAAAATGAACTTCAACCGATTGTTTCGATAGTTCTTCCAGAAGAAGAATTGTTGTCTATGTGCCAATTCCTATAAGTTTCAGGTAACAACAAATGAAAAAGATATCCCAAAAGTAAAAATAAAATTATATTGATATCAAATAAAAATACATATTTCATTTAGTGACCATGAAGATATTTTCCTTGCCAATATCCAGACAATCCAGTGCTATTTTTGTGTTATGCCTGAAAATATCCTCTTAACACATACTACTTGGTCTGATGCTACAGGGAAACTGGCAATTGGCAAAGCATCTAAAAACAACTAACTATAGAACCTTTAAAAGAAACCACATCAGCTTTCTGATTATAACTATCACCATCAGGCCAATACCAAATATGTTGCATGAGGTCATGGTCACAGCTAGGGGATCCCCAAGATCTTTGTTACAAAGGAGATTTAAAGAACCAAGAATTCAAATGAGCGATAACATTAATCAGGACAACAGGATCAGCAAGAAACATTAGCACCAAACCTTGTTGGCAGGATGTGCCATTGCATTGCGGAAATTTGCATTTTGAAGAAGTTCAAGGAAATATAGGCAATGAGGATACCTGCAATCATCTTTCTACTTCAGATCATGTATCACATAACAAACCCCAAAGAAGAGAGCTATAAAGGATAACAGATGTTAGTTTTAAGGAATTCAAGACCAAAGTATTAGATGGCTAGCTTTCAAGTTACTGACATGATAAATTTTATGTACTCTGGTCGCTGCCAGTACTGAAGATATTTCAAGTATCCAATAAAGGCCTCATCTTCAAAATAGCGATTTTGAGCCAAATCTGCACCAGAAATTTAACGAGCAAGTTTTAATGAAGAAAATGTGCACAGGGAAAAAACCATTTTGCAAATTCAACAAATCAATACCAAGCAAGTCAAAAAGAACGAATTCGTGAAGAACAAGACAAGGAATGAATAAGATAAGCAAATTTTGACACAATGAATAGCAAAATTTATCCAATTTGCGAGAGTTCGATTCCCCTTTGAAATTCATTTGACAAAGTAGCAGTAAAACCCTAAAAGTCACGAGGAATTGAGCAATTACAATGGATGTAAGTAGGGTTGGCGAGGCACTGCACGAATTCTAATTCGAGTAAGAATCTTTGTCGCCCATCATCTGAATCCTTGTAAACATTTTTTGGCCTGAAATTTAAATTTTAAAAAAAAAGCTGGGATTTTTATATATTCCTTTCAGAATTTTAATCAAGAAAAGGGGAAATGAAAGCAAGAAAGAGAATCTTACGAGGAAGGAGAATTGGAAGCATTGTCACTCTCTTTTGTGGAAGCCATTGAACCTTTAACTCAACATAAAAAAAATGGATAAAACGGGTGATTTTTGGTTGCAATTAACGGTTAAATCCAATGAATCTTTAATAGCTCCAAAACCCCCAAACCCTAGATATAAGAAAAACACAAAATCCTCAAAATTCCAAAGAGTCAATAGAATTGGCTCAGAAGATGGGTTAAAAAGGCATTGGAGATTATGGAAGAGGAAGGAAGCTAAGGGACAAAAAAAGATAATGGGTCCTTTCAGAATTTGCAAGTGGAACAATTCCGCTCTCAAAAAAGAGAAATGCTTGAGCAGAGTGGTTACAGAAATTTGGTGTCGCCAAGGCGGGTCTTACTTGTGCAGGAACCCTAATTTCGTTATTTATTTTTTTGGGTTGCAACTGGATCTGGGCAAGCCTTGGCGAGGACCATCAAGTCCAGGCCCACTATATTTTGAGAAATCAGCCGCTAGATGTAAGAATAAAAATCCTGAAATCCGAAAATCGATTTAACTCGGGATGTTTAGTTTCGATTTTTTTTTATTCGGTTTGGATTAAATTTAAATATTAAATATATATATTAAATTTGAATTAAATTTTAAAATGAGAGATGAAAAATTAAAAAAAATTAAATCAAACTAAATTATATATTTCTCTTAATTATATATATTTTATATTTTTATAAAATAAAAATAAAAATTTTATATCAAGATCTACTTAAATATATTAAAAATTTATATTAAAATAATATATAAAAATTAAAAAAATTATAAATTATAAATCAGTAAATCAAATTGAACCAATAAAATTTAGTTCAGTTCGGTTCAAACTTTAAATTTTTCATAATATTATATAATATTAAAAAAAATAAATTGAATTAAATCCGATCTGAACCAAATCATTATCATTCCTATAAGCTATTGGTTAGTTTTGGATGATAGTGAATAGGGTTGAAAATGATAATTAACATTTATTGTAAATTAATTAGACTCGATTCAAATAAAATTAAAATTTGATTTGATCATTGTCAAATCGAATACAAATAACTTAACTTATTGAATAAGTCGAATTCGAACATTTTAATACCTAACTCAAATTATTAACGAATTTACTTGAGCTTTTAAATTTTAATATATTTTTATTATTTTAATTAAAATTTTATTATTTTATTTTTATATATATCAAATTGTGCTTGAACTTAAATTCAAATATATAATCAAGTGAATATGAGAATCAAATTTATTTTTAACTTTTTATTAAACGAATCTAATCGAATGAATTCGAATAATTTGATTTTTATATCGAATTAAGTTTGAACTTAAAATATAAAATTCGATCAAATTTGAGTCAAATTTCGAACAACGAATTTTGAATCAAGCCCGAACTCAAATTTTTTACTTTTTTTACTACAATTTTACAATTAATCAATTACATTCTTTATGTAATTGATTAATTGCAAAATTGTAGTAAAAAAATTTACAAGTGAAATTGTCCCCAAAAACAACTGGAAAGCTAACCTTCAATGCATTATGATTTAAGAGAAAGTCTTCACTTTATCAAACATGAATCCCCAACATTTTAAACTCATTTACACTGAGAAAATTGAAGTATCAATCTACGACCAGGAATTCTTATATAATACTTCACTACAACAATTGCATCTCTGCCTCATTTATCCCCTTCTAAGCAAAGTACAGGTAAGCTCAGATTAATGGATCCATAACACTCCTGCAAGCTCACAATTGGAGAACAAATCCGGCCGGCCCTTTGGCAAGCAAATTGCAGTTCAACTTTCTCCCTCTATGTTATACAGAACAACAATATGACCATTATAAACTATAATCAATGGTCTTCTCAAAGTTGCAGCTTCTGAAAATGTGAGATCTGTCTTAATATGGCCTGTATCTAATGGGCCGGCTGAACCTTGGAACCATCCTGAAAATGAGGTCAACCGAGTTAATACATTCTATAAGAAGGTTAGTACACAGAAAATATCACATTCAATTCTTTCAAGAATGAGCGTAAAACAAATCAAATTACTTCACAGGACCAGGGTCTGGAGGCATGATTGCGAAAAGATTAAATGTTATAGGCATAACAAATGCTTCTAGCAGAGATCATTATACATATAATTTCTGAGCACAGTTGGATCTTTTCCACTTTCATACATCTAATTCGGAAGAAACAAATAAACAACTGAACATATAGAGAAACCAAAACATATCAAGTTATCCTTTTCTTTGTATCCAGCAACCAAATAAAGCAAACATATTTCCATGCTTACCCATAGCCATATGGAGGATAGAAAGCAGGACCAGGCATGAAAGAACTTTGGGTGCGGAAATAAGGGTTGGGTTCCCTTCCTCGATACTGTTTCATTCCAGGAATATTAGTTCGTTTTGCAGACACCCGTGAATAAACTAAACACACTTTTATTATCATGTAGTTTATATTCATGAAGTAATAATCCACATACATAAGAAGTTATAAACCTTCAACTGACGACCATGCAATTCTGATTCATTTAACAGTAGAGCATTTTGAACAGCATCAATTTCAACAAATTCAACGTAGGCAAATCCTTTAGGTTGACCAAACTTGTCGGTCAAAATTGTCACTCTGTTCACTGTTCCACAGGATTGAAAATGCTGCTGAACTTCCTCAGGTGTACATGCGTAGTCTACCTGTTGTTACAAAGATATATAAAGAAAAAAAGAGTTAGCCCACATCTAGATCATTTGTTCACAAACACTTAAGAAGTCATTTAGTTACACTACACCAAATTGAGGTCATTTATTAATTGTACAGCTAAACAGTCTAGAAGTTACCTAAAGAAGCTGAACATCGTAAAACAGCATACAACAAACTACATCGATATTTCTTCTGAATGAGTTATTATGTGTCAAATTGTTTAGAATCACATGACATCTGTACAAGCTAAGATGTGATTTTCCATGCACATGCACGTAACAAGACATTTTCAAGCCAAATTGAAGCAATCAAATGCTGAAACTCTTCCTACATCCTTATCGGCCAAACTAAAAGCAGAATCATAGTTTCAGCTCTACTTGTAAGTGAATTTTGATGCACTTGCACGCTACAAGACATTTTCAAGCCACATTGAAGCAATCAAATGCTGAAACTCGTCCTACATCCTTATCGGCAAACTAAAAGCAGAATCATAATTTCAGCTTTACTTGTAAGTGAATTTTGATCATCAATATATTAATCCAACAGCAGATAACATAAATGCGACAATTAAGCCAAATAAAGAAACAAATAAGGTTCAGAAAAAAAGAGGTATAGGAAAGGGTTGATAAACCTCACATTACCAACATAAATGGAGCGGGAATCCACTTCTTCCTTTTTAGCTTCGGTTGCAGAAACACTTGAGGAATCTTCCTATACATCAAGGAAACAAAATTAAAAAAAAAAAAACAAACAAAATAAGTTTAGTAGAACGTAACAATTTACACATACAATACTCCATAACTCAAAAATAAATATTCAAATCAATAATAAAGAAGTTTAATTTCCTACTCAAATTTGACAAGATATTTTCTTTCTCAATGTAAGACACAAGTAAATTCGAATTTAAGTCAAATTTGTTAAAAAAATATAGCCAAAAACTCAGATCAGATACAAACCCAAAAATAAAATAAATAAAAAGAGAAAAAAAAAAGAAAGAAGAACCTTGGACAGCTCCCATCTCCTTCTCGACTTTAGCTTGCATTTCACGTAAAGCCCCAGCCTCTTCCTTGATCTCCTTAAGTCTCTTTTTCATGTCCTCCAAGTCCTAAATTTTTCAAAAAAAAAAAAAAACATGTTTTTCATCAGACAAAAGCTAAAATAAAAAAATAATTAAAAAAACGAAGAAAATGGGGCAACCTGGGAGTTGGAATCGGGATCATGCTCAAGCTCACGGTCGTTGCCTTTGTAATCTTCAGCTCCACCAGACATGCCCACGTCAGCTTCCATCTCTCCTTCCTCGTCAGGAATCTCCCCTCCGTACACCTCGTGCTATTGCTTTTCATGTTGCTCCATTCTCTCCGCCTGGGACTCGGGGAGGTAGGAGCAGATCTGTGGATGTGAATGGGATTGGCAGCAGAAGGTGAAATTTGTAGTTATTTCGAATCGTTGGGGGTAGTTTTGGGTTTTCTAGCCCAGCCCAATTCAAGATCTAGATGCAGGCCCAGAATTTATTTCGAGTACATGATTTGGGGCTTAAGGCCCAAATTTTACTTTTTTTTTTCTTTTATTTGTAAAAATATGCAAAATTGTTAGTTGTCTTATATGATTTCTCCTCATTTTATAAAAATTATACTTTGTTAGCCAAATATAATAAATTATACTTAACAATTAAAATTTATTAAATAAAATAATTGTTTATTTACTTATAATTGCCTAATCATACACATAGTATGTTTATAAGTTACATTGATTGATTCATTCATTGTAATGATCCTTTTTGAAGTGTAACAAATTAATATATATCAAATTTAATAAGTCCATTATCAAACACTTAAAAATATAAAACTCATGCTTCGGTGACATATCGCAGGATCAATTAATTTAGCTTTAGTTTCAGCAAGGTCTTTTAATTCTCTATATATTTTTTTAATTTTAGAATTGGAGAATTCAAATGATATTAAATTAAATGTTTGGAGTTCATAATTTAAAAGGATGGATCCCCGTAAAGTTTTTTTTTTTAAGGGTATAAATAAACAGAGTGTTTGATTAATTATTTGTGAATAAATTTAATTTTTGTTTATTTATATTTATTTATTAAATTTAATAAATAATTTTAAATAATATATTTATATTTATTTATTAAACAAATTAAATATGAATAGAATTTATTTAGTTCATTTATATTTATAAGTAAATTTATTTAAAATTTATTTATTTATTATTCATTTATTATTTATTTATAATAATATTAATAAAATTATGTTTTTATTTTTAATCTTAATTTTATTTTAAAGTTTATTTATATTTTTTTAAGATTTATTTATTTAAATTTATTTAGTTAGGATTTATTTATTATTTATGTATATAATATTTTTATATATTTATAAAAATATTTATTTAATATTAACGAATGAATTTGTTTAATTTAATTGAATAAAATATATTTAACCATTTAAATGAAATAAATTCGAATAAAAAAATAAAATTTTCATCAAATATAAACCAAACTCGATCACTTTTAAAAATAAATGAACGAACTACAAATAATTTTTTATTCGTTACAATTCTACTTTTTTTTTTTTTTTTTTAATATGACCCAATGTAGACCGTCAAAACTTGCGGCCGGGCCTAAAGGATTTGACCATAAAAAGCTGACTTTCTTTTTTCTTTTTCAATTTGTGTGCCTTTTTTGGGTAAAATGGAAGGGATGGCTGATTGCTCATTCAAGAATCAACTCATCAAGGTCGTCCTGGCTTTTACTCGGTATCTTCCTTCCATGTGAGTGGTGGAGAGGACGAAAGAAGGAAAGAAAGAACGCCCAACAAAAAAATATTTTTCTCATGCCATTTTGTATAGATCGGAGATGAAGAAATTAGCTAGAAATTGAGAAAGAAAAAGCTCAACTCAACTTTATTATTATTATTATTCTCAAATAAGTAGACAATGATACCATACTGTAGAACATCTCTTTCTTTCACACATGTATATCAGCACAAATGAAGAGTTACAAGAGATAAAATGTTCAAGAAATAGTTATATATCATCCTAGTGATTCCTTTCTCATGGAGTAGTAATACCTGCAAAAATCAAATATATAAACAAATTATAGAAGAAAATTTAATAATTCAAAGATCATTAGAAATGGGTTTATCATTGTTAGCGCCCAACATTTGATTCAATGATCAATTTATAATTATTGCTAAGGACTTACTTCCACACTTGAAGTGGTGAGGAACGCTCCGTCCACAGCCTTCAATTTGCTTAATGGTGCGTTCCACTCCGATTAAGGCTGCCAACTTTGGAGTAACAGAAGGGCACACGCACTCCCAGTGGGTGACCCTAATACGTTGGCAGCAGTTGGCTGATGGGCTGCGGCCGAGTATGACTGGCTTGCATTCAAGCACAAGGAGCCTCTGCTCCTCTTTGCACTCGCTAGGACTCACAGCCCTGGCCATAGGAACCTCAAAAACACCTACTATTACCACAACCACCAAAATAAACATGCCAGCCCATGAGCTTGCCATCATAGCCCTTCTTGTTTTTTTTCTTCTTTTGTTGCTCTATCGCTGGATGCACACACACGCCTTTTTATAGAGGGATGAAACTCTAGCATTCATTGATATACATATATAATATTCCAAATATAGTAGTGGCTTTATTCTTTTTCTTTGATGAGATAATAATTAATGGAGTTCCGTATATATTATTGTCATTGACTTCAGGTCAAGATGAACGTTGACTTTAGAAAATCCTTACAATTGCATTGATTGCATGTGAAAATAATATTTTTACCAAGAAATATACCAATAGTTACAACTTGATGAACTTTGCATAAAATTTTGATTTAAAAAAAGCATTTTCTCTTGAAAATTCACAAACTTTTACATGTATAATTAGTAGTTTCATATACTGTTTAATTAGAATTTCTTATTCGAAGTGTGTTCATAAAATTGCATAAGAATATCTTGATCGTATATAAAAAATGGAACATGCAAAATCTAGAGACTTTGACTGAATATCTTGTGTTGTACTACGATAATTATTTTTACTAGCTTCTTTGAATCCAGAGAAACAGTGGGTTGGAGCTTGGTGCCAGCTAATGGTTATTGATTTCTTTGTAAATAAATTTGCAAGTAGCATAAAGTTGGCTACCTAATTAAACCTTGTGCTAAACAAATGAAACTATGGATCATCAGATAGCTTGGTCTAAAGACTGTTAGATGCATGGTTGAGAAAAGTAGTAGTTGGTTAGGCAGGAATGCATCATAAAAAAATGGAGAAAGAGGGAGAGTGTCAGGAAAGCACAGGCTGTTCTGATTGAAATTTTGCAAAAAACAAAATAGTCTACTAATTAAGGCCAACTGTAAAGACTATACATATGGCAATTTGCTTATTGTTTTTATGTATAGGGTCCATATAGTCTGCCCAAAATAATTTGAGACAGGAAAAGTAATGAGCAAATTGTCAAATTGCCATACGCACACTCGCGCGCACATACATATATATATATATATATATATATATAGTAATCAAGTATATGTTAAAGTTAAAACTATTCTCCATCCATATATATTTTGGATTAATTTGCATCTATGACATGTATGATTATATTGTTAAATTCAACGACCGATTTAGTAAAAAGTTAATCTCACATTAAATTATAAAATATGTATAATTATTAAATTTATAACAATATAATTTGATCTGTTTTCATATATATAATTCCAAAGTTCTGTTAATAATGAGATAATTAATTGTATAAAGCTTAATTAAAACAAATTTGTTATTGTCACTATTGCATCTTTCTTGACTTAAAAAGAAGAAAAAAAATGCAAGAAACCTTTATAAAGAAGTTTTCTCCAATTTTGGGAACTTTTGCTATCGGAAAATTTTCTGGCGGGTTTAATTTTAGTATTCTCACAATCCCATTTCCCAGTTTGAAACCAAAATTATGTATTTTTCTTTCAGAATCCATTGTTTGGTACTTCAAATTAAGGATTTAATTAAATAAAAGTAAGACTTTAAGGATTTAATTAAGTACAACATTCAAAAGATTGTAGATAATTGAACTGTACAGATCAGTCTAATAGAACAAATATTTACAAATCCATTTTTAGGCTCTACTTTTGACTGCTTTGTTTTATTATTATTATTTTTTTATCTTTTTAAAATAAGAATAAAAGCATGTTTAGATATGAAAATAAATAACACTTTGAAATAATTCAAAGTTAAAAATATATATCTTTTAGAGAACCAGATACATGACTTGACTTTCTACCATTTGCAATTTGTGTTTTTTTTTTTTTTTTTCCCTTAGTTTATCGTTGCAAGTTTCTTTAAAGCACTTGTTGTCTTTTACCTTCATGGGAGCCTTCCTAATTTTTCTTCTAGTGAAACTGCATTAATGGGCATGTTAAAAAATAAACAGGTCAAATTAATATTAATCATAGAAGAAATAGAGAAATTAATTAAAATTAATCATTACCTAAAATATTAAAATTTTAATTTTAATAATCAAAATTCAATATCTAGCAATCTCAAATAATATTAAAAAAAAAACATATATAATGGTGAAAGGTTACACAATTGCATTCATGATTGGTGGTCTACAAAAGCTTAAATTACCCCTCAATTTTAAAGATCATGAATTAAAGATTCTTAAACTTGGCAAAATTTCGTAAGTAGAACAAAATTTTCTATAGCTTACTGCATTCGCTTCTTTGTACAGCAAATTGTGCAATAGCACTGGTATATGTACATTATCCTTCTTTACCTACACCATATGGTGTTTCCAAGCAATAGAAAGAAAATGAAATGCAAAAAAATGCAGTCTGCAGCCGCCTGAGAGAATAGTTTTAACTAAGAAACCGAAAGGGAAAAAAGGAGAGCAACGAGACGAGGCCCTGCATGCACCAAGTACATGCTTCTTGATTCACAGGCGAACTATATATACCTGTACTTTCCTAGTACAGTAGCAGCCTATCTATCTATCTATCTATCTATCTATATATATATATATATATTAACAATTGGTTCAGATCTTTGGAGCAGGAAGCAGCCATTTGGTGCCATCAATGTAGCCAAGAACCAGGAAAGGTTGGGCTTCCGCCTCACTTAGCTGCTTGGCGAATGCCACCCGTCCACTGGGATCTGCCCCTTTTCCTGTGCACTTGAATTCTCCATAGAAAACAGTTCTGGAAATTAACCCAATGAAACCCTGTCAGCTTATCTAATTAGTGTACCAAGAAAAAAAGCACAAGATTAAATTTGGAGGGTATTTGAAACTTGGTAGAATTTTCATCCGGCAAAAGAATTGTATACAATCGATCGAGAAAAAAGAAAGCTTACTTGGCACGCTCAGGTTGTAAATTATCAGACCATCCAGCAGGATTGACGACGCTGCTCATGTCAGTATAGGCATACACAACTCTAGGACTGGTCTTCCAGGCCCTGCCCAGATATGTGCCGCTCGCTGTCCCAGTAATGCTGCAATGCACGAAGGAATAACCAGTGTTCTCCGATGAACTTTCCCTGGCTTGTGCTGTAATTACCGTAAGTCCATTATCCCCGTCCACGTATAATTCCGTGCCCTGCATGGAAATTTCATTCATACATTTCCAATCAAATATGGTTGATGTCATTTTTCATGCAAAATTTGCATGAGTTCTTCGAAGTAAGAAAGAATACCAGATACAAAGATTTCCCGCTTCCAAAAATGAAATCAACAGTGCCTCGAATATAGCAATCCTTAAAGAAATGGTTGCCCCTGTCATCACACAAAGTATCCTGGAAACCAACAAGCTTGCAGTTATAGAAAGCCGCCTTGTCGCCAGAGATTCTTAAGGAAACCGCTTGTGCTCCCACCCTTTTTCCGTCTGGCTTCGGAGCAGCGTTCTATATGCCAAGAAATATATATTCAGCAAAATTAATAGTAGAAAGAAAGAACCAAAAAAAAAAAAAAAGAAAAACATAAATTCATTGACAGATGTCTAATGCTTACCGTTATAACGAGATTAGCAGCAACAAAGTAATCAGACTCAACAATAAGAGTGGCGCTGTCTACTGTTCCGCATACTGGCTTCCGTACCCTAATGCGCAAATTTGGCATGTTTTTGGGATCCCCGTACAATGTAATGAATGGTTTAGTTCGCTCAATTTTGATTTTCTCGCTATAAGATCCAGGTCCAATCGATATAATTACACGGTTCGTGTTCCCTGATGGAATGCTCGCAATGGCTTTGGTTATGGTATCGAAATCTCCACCGCCACCTTTGCTTATCTTTATGATTTTAGGTTCAGCCTCAGCCCGAGCAAGAGCAGGATCTAGGGTGCCAGCCCTAGCTGACGCAGGCTTGATATTGGCGTTAAACCAAGCATTCACTTGGGATTTATCTGCTGGTATCTGTAGTGAATTCTGCGAGAGAACTACTGGAGCAAGGAGGAGAATTGAGCAGATTGCTGCACCAACTTTAATATTTCCGATTCTTCTTCCTGTCATTTTTTACTGTTGTTTGAGTTTCTGACTGATTTTTGAGAACTGAAGGGGCTCCAATTTATAAGACAATTGGTCAAGGAAAAGTCTATAAACATGAGATTTGGAGGGTTGCTCGCTTTGCCATTCATTTTTGGTTTCTGCATAAAGCTTTGATACCAAATGCAGCCCACAATTTCGGTAAAAGCCATTAATGAGTTGTGATGAATATAATTGTTGCCTAATTAATAGAAACTATCTGTTGACTTTTAATAATTTGGGAATGATTTCAAACCATCGACTTCAGGGACTTAAAGATTCCTGAGAGTAAAACCTGAATCATGAATTATAAAACTCTATAAACAAAATCTATGTCCAAATTCATTTTTAGTCTTAACTAACACTTAATTAATGATTGTTTTTTTGTTCTTCCCGCAGGCAACACCTTAATTTGCTTTTTCTGTGTACGTCCCAAGAAATTATTATATAAATTCTTTCTATCATGTCGTGGTCGGAAGCCCATCCAATAATATTATATCATATCATCATATTAGTTTTCCTATTTGGTTTAATAAATCTGACATAAAAAAAAATGATAATATGACATATTAGTCTAACTTCATTATATATATCCAGAATAAATTAAAAAGAAAAAACCCTTCTATTATTTAATTTCAATGAAATTCAAACACTCTGTTCTTTTCTCTTGATTTCTTGACGATACTTCATAGTGGAAAAGAGTACAACAATCCTTGAATGAACAATTATGTTAACGATTGTTAAGTGTTCAAGGTGCCACGCACCAACACTGCAGATTCGGACACTGGGCTGAAAGTCCATCCGCGGTACCTTCTGCAAGGCTGTTACCTTTGTAAAAGTGCTTCCATCTCCACCTCAGGCTATGTCGCCTTACAACCGTGCTCTGTCAGGACCGCCATCTCAGGTCCGTAGCAGCAAGCCAGCCGTGATATGTGGTGTGTTATATAAGAACTCTGTGTACGGGGTAGACGGTTGCATTCATGATGCCAAGTTAATGAATATTATTGAAGCCGAGGCTAAAATTTAATGAACATTGATCAAACAGTCAAGGAATATTGCTTCAACCGGTGTTATGACAGCTTGTTTCTTGGTCATCCTAGCCATTTTACGTGGACATGGAACAACTTATGGGAACCTGTTACATGCAATGCGAGCAATGATCTCTCGCAACCTAGCTACCGTCACAAGATGACGAAGGAGAAGGTTGTTGCGCTGCACTGTCTTTTCTGGCAACGCTCTTAACAGAAGAGAACCTGACCAGTGGATCAAAAAAGTACGTTCTAAAGTCATCCCTCATCAAGGTGTGCTAAATATTGTTGAGTTCCTTCCATATGCAGTATAATTTTCTTTGATCCAACCACTTCAATGAGCATCGCCATTAATTAATTGCAAGTAATTGTGGTGGTAAATTTTTGAATGTTGAAAGATTGTTGACTTGAACCCATCTTTATCTCAATTAGTTCATGCAGGTATCATTAATAGTAGCATCTAACAACTTTGGGATTCAAAACCCATTTCAGGCCCTCTTTGAACTAAAAAAAAAGTTGATTTGTTGTTACCGGAACCACGGTTAGCAGCCAGGGAAGGAAACCTTTGATGTGGAAAAGAGGCCTCACTCTGAAACTGATGAGACTGATGGCCCAATATATTAGTCCATCTATAATGGAGGCCTCTGCTTGATTTTGTTGATCACTATTGGCCCAATTATATTAACCCCATATATATACAATATAATTGTTGCGGTAATCTCCGCGTAGCAGCCATGGACCAATCCTGTCCTGTCCAAGTCAAACCAATCATACGTAAGACCCAATTTTCGTCGAAGATACGATTTCCGAGTGCACTTCTCTGCCGAACGAGTGATTCACTTAATTTTTTCCAGCACCCACAATTTGACAGACATAGTTTTATTTTTTTTGAGCCAGAAATCAAATAAAAAACGTGATGAATTAGTCAAATGGAGTTCGAAATTATAAGTGTAAAAATGTTGAGTCCTTCCCGTTCCCGCAACTTTAACGTAGCTTCAATGAAATTACCATTAGTCAAATATTAAATTATATTTATGAGCATGCTAATTGCAATAAGCAAACAATGTTTATAAAATTTGGCTTGAGGTTGAATCATTGGGATTGTCAGTTGTTGATTCAATCGATTCAATCAAACGAAAGCTTTGTTGTTGAAAACATTAGCTTTGTGTTAAATATGCATGTTTAACAAAAGCACGCTTTGGACTTAGTGGTTTGACCATTAATAAAAGATTAATATCCCCAAAAAACATTAAATAATAAAAGTGTTCAAAATCAGTTCAATGTTGAACTGATTTGATTTTTTTTAGTTTTTAATATCTAATAATTCGTATATGTGTTATAAAAAATATTATATTTATATTATATTTTATATAAAAATCATGAATTATAATTTATGTCAATAAAAAAAAATAAAATATAATTTTTTTTAAATTTCATTAAACTTATTTATAATTTTTTAAAAATTTTAAATTATATTATTTTCGTTCATTTATTCATATCGTATTATTATATCATATTTTAAATTATTAAATATCTTAATAAATTTAATTTTTAATTTAATGGATCTAATTTTTTTCTCACTATAAATAAATAATAGTATACTATTTTTTATTTAAAAAATAATATATTATTTTTGTATTAAATCAAGATTTAAGCATTAACCACAAAATTAAATATTCGGATATAATATTATATTATTATTATCAATTAATTAATCGGATGTGAATCAAAAATATTTTATGAATAAGCAATAATAGTGTGATCAATAGACAAAATGTTAGAATTTTAATTTTAATGATTAAAATTTAATTTTTTATAATTTCAAATAAAAATACATAATTCTAATATGATTAGATATTTTGGTATTAAAATGGCAAAGACTATTTATTTTTAATGGGAAATCCTTAAACTACCCTTCACCTACTCCACCCACGGCTAAAGTCTAAAGTCTAACCTAATCTGCTTATGCCGCCGTGGCAACTTGAACTCGAGGATGCCTCGTGAGGAGTATGGATGCCTAACATCAGCCTTGGTATCATTTTGGCAAGAAAATTTATTGGTAGGAATCTTTAAAACAAAATTATTGGTGTCCTTTTGAATTGGAGACAAAATAATCTAAATTTAAAACGACGTACCAAAAATAATTTTCGAATATGAAATGATTTAAATTTAAAATAATTAAAATTGATATGATTTAATTTCAAAATATTTAAATTTAATTCCATTTTTTTGTCATTTTTAAACACAAAACTTTATTAGCAACTTCGTTAATATATACTTAAGAAATGGTATATTTAAAAATATATATATATATATATATTCTTTTTTTGACAATTTTTTCAAGTAATAATCTATAATTATAACCACAAAAACTATTATTATTAATGAATCAATTTGATCAGTTCCATATGTAATATGGAATGTTTCCATTTTGAGGAACATGCAATGCTAAGTCTAAGTAGAAATCCCTGTTTTCCCTCCCTCACTTTCACCTTCACCTTGGTCCCCACCTTGCTTTCCTTTCCACCCATGGCTCCCACCTTTATTTTTTTTTCTAATCAACAGTCAAATGCTAGCTTCCATTCTAAATATATATTATAACTAATACGTTTCTTTATATGTCAACCAAAAACTCTCTCTTTCTCTGTCTTTCAGGTCTTTCTTCTTCATCATCATCAGCCATGTTAATGCTTGTCAACTGTTCAAACTGCCATACTCCACTGCAGCTTCCGCCGGGTGCAAATTCCATCCGCTGCGTCCTATGCCAAGCTGTCACCCTTATAGCAGACCCTCGCTCCGTACCCCCTCCATCTGCCTCCTCCAGCAGCCACAATCACTACCAACAATATCCGCCACAGTCTCCTTACACCCATGCGCCATCCGGATTCCGGACCACCACCACATGCTCACGGCAGCAAGCGCGCCTTGATATGCGGCGTGTCGTATAAGAACACCCGGTACGAACTAAAAGGTTGTATTAACGATGCCAATTGCATGAAGTTCCTGTTGGTTAATCGCTTCAACTTTCCCGAGTCATCCATCATTACGCTTACAGGTAAAGATTTTTCTCTCCTTTTCTTTCTTGAAATTACAATTATTGTAACGTAGTATTAATTCTTTCACGCTAAGTTATTTGACTTTCTTTTCTCTCACATTTGCTCCAAATTAATTTTATCTATTTCATGCGTTGAATTAATCCAAATGAAAAAAAAATCAAGAATATATATTTAATTAGTCTGGCTGCTTTCAGCCATAAGTCTGTCCATTACTTAAAATCCTTGAATCATTGCCTATGAGAGCTTAGCTTATTGTCATGGAGAAAGATCATCACACTTTTTAAAGTGGTTATACGAAGTTAAGCTTTGGATTCATTATGGGTTGCTTTGTTAATTTGATTTAATACAATAATTTCTTATATGATGTAATCTTTGCTGACGATTGTAACTTCTATTATACTTTTAACTTCATATAAGAAATGCTCGAATCATTCAGAATTTTATGAGATGAAGGCGCTTGTAATCTCTCTTTATTGGGTAGTTTTGTTCTCCGGTATTTGACTTGAAAGTACTATGGGTTTGCCGGTAAACTTCTTGAATTATTCCAAATGTCCATTGGTCACATTTGGGTCAGTTAGTGGAGTACAAGCTGGCTGGGAAAACTTCTGATTTTGTTCTTATCAATCCTGATTAACTTTTGAAAGGTTTTGACTATGTCTGATATAAGCAATTGACCTCGTACTTGAGCCAACTAACTTTGAATGTTAACATATTTATGCCCCAATAGTGGGTCAATTTGTTTTAAATGAATTGGAAATTGAATTTTAGATTTCACTCAACAAGTTAAATTTAATCTCTGTCTTATTTTGATATGCATTTTGACATTTCTTGCTACCAAAACAATGTCTCACTTCTTGCGACAATTCCTTGTATCAAGATGCAGCAATGCTGCATTGTTTAAGACTACATACTCCCATGGCTTCTTTGGCTTAACAGATAAAACTTATAGTGTTTGACAATTTGTACAAATGATTTGCAGAAGAAGAAACTGATCCTTTCAAGCGCCCAACTAAACGCAACATAAGAATGGCATTGTATTGGCTTGTCCAAGGTTGTCAGCCAGGAGATTCCTTGGTATTCCATTATTCTGGTCATGGCTCACAGCAAAGGAACTACACTGGAGATGAGGTGGATGGTTACGATGAAACACTTTGTCTGTCAGATTTTGAATCTCAGGGAATGATTGTTGATGATGAAATCAATGCAACAATTGTTAGGCCTTTACCTCATGGGGTTAAGCTTCATGCAATCATCGATGCTTGCCATAGTGGCACTGTATTAGACTTACCATTCCTCTGTAGAATGGACAGGTTAGGGGAGAAGTCCACAAGATACACATAATTGTTGCCTTTTCATATGATTCCAAATTCCTTGCTTTCCCTACGATTCTAATTTTGCAATCTACAACTGTATATGCTTTCATTTGGATGTAGGCAGGGGAGATATGTCTGGGAGGACCATCGCCCAAGGTCGGGAATGTGGAAAGGAACTAATGGTGGGGAAGTCATTTCCTTTAGTGGCTGTGATGATGATCAAACCTCTGCAGACACTTCGGTAATGGCATAGGGTTATATATATTTGTACTTTTAATCTTACTAGAATACCAACTACGTAATCTAAGCTAGATATGGAGTCTAAAACGTTCAGTTGATGCCATGTGAACAGGCCCTATCAAGGATTACTTCTACTGGTGCAATAACTTACTCCTTCATCCAAGCCATTGAACGTGGGCATGCAACTACTTATGGTAACATGCTAAATGCAATGCGGTCTACCATTCGTAACACAGATGAGCAGGAGGGTGGTTTTGTTACAACTCTTCTCACAATGCTCTTAACAGGGGGGAGTCTAGGTGGTGGACTGAGACAGGTATCTCCTTTTCTCAACGCCTAAAAGTATCTGCTACTATGCATATTGCATCTATAATCATGTGTTAGGTATTATAAACTTGATCATCAGATCTCTTGTACAATACTGATCTTAGATTTGTTTAAACTTTGTTGCAGGAACCACAATTAACTGCCAATGAGGCATTTGATGTGTACAGAAAACCTTTTTCCATATAATTGGTAAACATATTAGGGCATACCTTTACTCCATTCCTTTGAGGAAGCCCCTGAACTTTGTACAATTATTGAGAAAAAAGAAACAAATTCATCTTCTTTTGATCATTCACTTATAGTCATAAATGTTTTTATGTTCTCTCTGAGGTAGTCATATTTATCTTCATTTAATTCTAGCAATGAGAACTGATACATGATACCTTTGCCTTTATCTTGAAGTAGATCCAATCCATTGGATCAATTCTTTGAAAGAAAATGATTTTCTATGTTTGTACACAGATTAAACATAAGAGAGGAAAGGAGAAAGAAATTGCTCTTGCCATGAAAACAAAGATCAGAAGACCATTTATTTCTACGTAAGAGATGCGAAAAGCTACTAACATTTTGAACTGTCTTGTTATAACACTTGTAAATGTCAAGAATCTATACGACTTTCTAATCTCGTCCAATTTTTTAAGTCATCTAATGACAAAAAATTATACTTGTAGTTAATTGATACATATAGTCTGTTTGTAATTGCTGTGCAGACAGCTAAACTGCTGAATGTGCATCGATAATGCTATTCTCATTGGTAGACAGGTCCTGGTTTTTGTAATTCAAAAGCATGCATTGCCTCTTATACCTTGCACTATCCTTTAGAGCGATGTCCTCGTATATCTGCAGTTAATGTTTATGTTTTTTTTCAAGATACACAGCACAAAATTTTCATTGAAATTCAGGGGGAAACAAGATAAAATCATATGACAGTTTGAGAGATATTGTAAAAGCAGAACCTTCTTGTCTTTACGGGGCAGTTTGCACCACATCTGGCTCAGTCTTTTGCTTGCCTCACCAAAGGAAGAAGACTTAACCGAACCCCAACTGGCCATGACAAAGAAGCCATAGGAACTGCATGGTCTAATAGGACAACTACGCCTTTGAATCAACTTCTCCCATGCAATGTCTCCCCTTTTCCTCTTTTTCCTCTTCATTTTCATTGTCCTACAAGAACTTAAATCCCTGCATTCCTCCCTGGAAATCCCAGGATAATATTTAACCTGAGATATAGCCCCACTCCTTAGCCTCGTCATTATAGCCCCTCTCTTACTTGTTTCAGGCTTTGCCATGCTTTCAATTTCAATCTCATGATTCTCAAGCGTTAATGGCTCTGAATCCACAATCTGATTTTCTATTTCTTGAGTACTTTTGGGAGTCAAATAGGAAGAGAAACTTGAATTCCGACAAGAGACGTTATTCTCCAGGGAATTCAAACTCGGAAAGTGAAAGTTGCTGTCATTCTTGGGCAAATATTTGTTATGGATATTGAATTTGACAGAGAAATGCAAATTCCCAGAGTCACCCTCAACCTGAATGGTGTCTCCACTGAGAAAACCAGACAACTGCAAAGGCATGGAAGACATTGGAGTTGATGGGGGTGTTACTGTTATTTGTGGGATTTCTTCCGAACCCACGTTCTCTGCCATTGCAGACGAATTTCGAATATTACTTGAACTTGAATTATAAGAACGCAAAAAGAGAATAAAGATTTTGTTGCAGTAATTGAATGGAAAAGGGCCGTTTTGATTATTAAAAAGTAGCAATGTTGTTGCAAGAAAAGAATTGCATCCATTGGCCTTTTACACGCCTCTTCGCAGGCGCAAATAAAACAGATGGCAACCGTCGAGTCGAGTGTAATAAAGGAAAATACTAATACTTTTTGACCATTTGCTTGATCAAATTGAAGTAAGGTTTTTTACTTTTAAATTTGGTTTTACTTGTTAATTGACAAAAAATGTAAAAAACAACAAAAGAGGTGGGTCTCTAAGCCACAGTGACCACAGGCTCCAGCATAGTGACTGGTTCCCAACAAGTGTGACGGTTCGGCCTCCAAAGTTTCGATAGCACTTTCAGTTTCAAGTTTCAACCACCGGATAAGCCTGCAGGACGAAACTCTGCTTCTTAGCTCATTTTAGAACCAAAGTTAAAACAAAACAGCCACACAGGCTTCAGCCAACATCCCATGGCGTCCACCACCACACCCCTTTCCCTCGGTCTTGTCCTCCCTCCCCTCCTTTCTCCACGTCAGCACCGCCATCACCACCTAGTCACGGGGTTTTCCTCTCCAACTCAGAGTCGACTCTCCCTCAGAATTCGGGCGTTGGGCCCTGACTTATTGGGTGATTTTGGGGCCAGAGACCCTTTCCCAGAAGAATTGGAGAGTGGGTTTGCGGAGAAAGTGTTGGGAAATGTTGACACAGAGCACAAGATTCTTATACCTAAAGCCTCAGCTCTCTCTCTTGCTCAACAAGACTGCTCTCCTGTTTCTCCTTTGCAGGCTCCCATGTCAGTTGATGATGCTAAGGCTCTATTGAAGAAGGTGATTTGGCAAATACCCATTTTTTTCTCTTCGTTCCCCAATATATTTGACACAAAGGCTTATGATGATTATGTTTCTGAATTGAGGTTAATGGGATTGAAATCATTGAATTACTTTACTCTAGTTTCTCGGAAATGGAACTTAATTGCGCTTGTTTTGGTGTATCTTTTTATTTGGCTATTGGCGGTAATTGCACTGTCAAAATTTCCAACTTTATATGCCCAAATTTTGTCTTTAAACTGTGGAAAGGTGGAACTTGGGGACTTATTTTTGTTCCTCTATTGGAAGTTGATGTTGGTAATCTGTTTTGTTATCAGCTTTGATTATGTTTTAGTCCCCAGTCTCCAAATCGGAAATTATTTTTCCTTCACTAGTTAGCAAAGGAAGACATTTTAGGCAATCTGTTTTAGAAATTCAAATTTAGGCTGTGCAAATACAATAATTGATGGGCCATTATGGTTGCAAGGTTGCTGTTGGTTTTTATCATGTTTTAGAGGTTATTACTAGCATGGCACAATGTTTCCCTGTTTTGTCAAGTTTTGTGTGTTCATGTCCTACAAGCTTAGAAGTTTTATATAGTGTTAATTGTCGATGTTTCTTATAAACCATATTTGATGATTTCTAATTTGGAGGGTGGGGCCTAACAAGTTTTCCAGAGTTGCAAAGCTCCTGCTAGTTTCTAAGAAATAAGAATTCAATTAAATGAAAATTTTCACCGAGATGGATCACGCATCCTTTTAAAGCAAGTTTTAAGCCCATGCACGAAGCAAAGATGTTACTGATAACGTCTTGTAGAAGTGTTTTCAGTTATTGTGATGTAATGGTTATTCTTAGATAGCTATATGGAAATCTGCATTGAAAACCTTTGCTTGATAAAGTCATATATTTGTGAGTATTCTTGTTGAAAATTAGAGTTTTTTGCTTGTAGGTTGTTGGTTGGAGGCTGTTGGATGAAGAAGGGAGACTTAAACTGCAGTGTTTGTGGAAATTGAGAGATTTCAAAAGTGGAGTTGAACTGATCAATAGGATTTACAAGGTTACAGAAGCCACCGGGCATTTCCCAAATCTCCACTTGGAAGAGCCAAATCAAGTCAGAGCTGAACTGTGGACTGCTTCCATCGGTAAACTTTCCAACTTAGCATTTCTCCTCTAATTGCCTACAAAAATCCCCTTCCAGCAGTTGCAATATGCATTTTATCCTACTGCAAAATAGCAGAGTGCTCTATGCTACGATCTTGTATCAGGCTTGGTCCACCATAGCCCTGACAGGAGTGTTTAATCAAATTGCAGGAGGCTTGAGCATGAATGATTTCATTGTGGCTGCCAAGATAGATGAAATAAAAACATCAGATCTTGCTCCCCGAAAAAGAATTTGGGCATGATTGAAGCACCATTTTTCTTTCTTAAGGTAAAATTGGACTAATTTGATGACTAAGAAGTCATCGTTGCAACTCAATCAGTAGAAAGACTCATGATACTGCAATGCAGTTGATGAGAGATTCAACATATTTGTTATATATGCTCTTTATCCATCTTTAAGCTTGTGCATATGGATCATTTAATGATTTTATTGCCAATCAGTAAAGGTCATTTTTTAACCCTTCAATGTTATCTTTTACTTTGGCCTGGTTTGAGTTATCTAACATTGAAGGAATAAGACCATGAATATAGTCAAGTAATGAATCAACAAAGTACTACCATTTTGAGAAATTCCCCAAGTGGTAGTCCCATGAACAAATTTACCTAGTGAGAGCCGTAAAAGTTACAGTACAACATTCCAGTGATTTTAAGAGGTCAAAAATGGCAAGCATGCTCTGAATATCTATACAATAACCGAATAAGTTACAAAGAAGGATACTAGCATGTTGTGAACGATTACTCCACATGCTATTATCTTATTGCAGATGTCTTCAAAGACAAAAGACCTCGAAGATCTGAAACCATTGAATTTCCAGTAGTAGGGGGTACAAAAACGTCCCAAAAGCGAAGAGTCTCATCTGCCCCAGCAGATACAACAGTTACTCCATCAGGGCTCTACAGCAAACAAATGCGGGAAACTTCAAATTTTCATGTATTTTGCAAATATTCTACTGGGTACTGAACTTAAGTTTGAATAGTTAAACCTGGCATAGGTTGATAATTCTGGATCTGGGATTCCCCAACTCCCGAACTTTGGTCATGGAAGGGTACCTCCACAGGCATAGTTTGTTTTGGATCTCCCTTGTGCTGTAGCCATGGCCACTCAAAATCTCCTTGTGGTGTCTGTTCCACTCAAGCCCACAAATCTGCTCATTTACATCAAATTACTAATAGTAATAGTTAAATAAAAAAAAAACCAAATATTAGATTTACCTGTGCATTGGTTTCTATGCTGTTAATGCAGATTCCTTTTTGTGTATTCTATATCTTAATACAACCATCATGCAAGCCACCTCCTGAGGCAAGCACGTTCTGTTGAGAAGGGCACCAAGCAAGGGCCTTGACTGCCGCACAATGATCTCTGGGTCGATGTAGAAACTTGGATGAATTCATTTTGGAAGCTTCCCATATGTATAACAGATTGTCATTGCCTCCACTTGCCAATCTATGGCCTTCAGTTGACCATTTCAAACCGCACACTTCATCAGCGTGCTTTTTTATGCAGGAAGTCAAATTGTCTGCTCTAACTGCAAATGAGATAATGCATGAGAGAAATTTCGTAAGACTGTTGGAATATCAAACTCAATTGGTGCTCAGTGATTAGAATAATTAGCAGTGAAAGAATATGATTCGAATACCATCATGAATAATAATGGATTTGTCACGGCTTCCTGATGTTAAAATGTGGCCATTCCATGCGGTGGATGCTATCCTTCCACTGTGACCTTGAAGGTCTCTAATCTGTATATAAACAGATAAATAATTGATGCTTCCAAGCCAACATTGGCAGAGCCCTCAAAACAACAAATTGATCTCAAAGAGAGAAGGCAAGAAAGAGACATACAAGTTTGGAAGACTGAGCATCCCAGAGCTGAAGTTTGGAGCTCATATATCCAACAGCTAGAGTTCTGGCATCCTCGGACCAGGTTACACTTGTAGGCCAATCATTCTCACCTTGAACTTGCAGCAACATCTGTACACCCTGGTCCTCTGAGTTCCATAAGTACAGTTTTGGACCCAAAGCAACAGCGTTTTTACCCCAACTCATGATGTTCAAATAGTAGTCATTTCTAAGCCCTGGTGTATCCAAAACCCTCTTTTCTTCCTGCACCCACATTTCACACTATCGATCAATGAACAGTATAAGGTTCCTTTTGATATTAGATGAATAACAAAGAATGTGCAGTCCTGTCATTTCATGAAGGATACTGTCTAAATTTATTAGAGATAATTTGGTTCTTTTTTCTGCTTCACTGTTTAAAGGAAGAATCTTTAATGGAGAATCTAAGCAACCTTTAACTCAAAAGTTCATCAAAATCGAACCAACAGCTTTGATTAATCCCATTTTTGGAATGTTTTAGACGGGCAATTGAAACAATTTTAAACACGACATAGTGACACTGATATTGAATACCTTGGGGATGCACCGATATTGAGTGTGTTTGATCTTATTATCAAATATCGCTGCCTCTTCTTGTCTCATCTTATCAACAAAACGAATTGACTTTCTACTCGATTTTCGGCTTCCTCTGAAAACCATAATCCTTCTTCCTTCAGAATCTAAAGACAGATTCTCAATCAGTTTCTGTCGATATGCTTGCTCCCAGCAATCAAGAGAAATTTATAAACCAACTGTCAGTTCTCTTCTCAAGATTTCTACCGTGTCCAAATCAATATGTCCAAATGAACAAGATACCAGGATGAGAATTTTAACCCCTAATTCATGTTAAAAAAAAAAACAAAGACCTGGATATCCAAAACCAGGAGAAACACAAGAACCAAGATATGTATATCCATAGGCCGAAAGCATGAAGAATATCCATAAAATTCAGAATTCAACAAGGAAACAACAAACTAGAGGGGACCAAATGGTGAAACGTACATTGCAATTTGAAGTGTTCAACTCTTTGGTCCTGACTCCTGTTGGTCAATAGACTCTGGGCTTCATCAAGATCCATCAAACCTCTGTTGGGTAAAAAGCGATCCCCCTTTGCATTGCATGTACACCCAAAAGGAAAAACAAATAAATTCAAGAAAGTAGTTATTAACCAATACTCACAAAACATTCAATGGGAAAACAAAAGGGAAAAGATCACTAGCACCGGCAAATCGTATTGAGTGGAACTGTCGTGGAGTCGTCTTGGAGAGTACCAATCCGATTCCAGGAGTCTCCACCTATTGCTTTGATCCATTTTGAGGTTCCAAAACAACTCTGGAGTCTTTGCTTTCTTTGTGAAGAAAGTAAGAAAGAAAGACGGAAAATGGATTACAACAAACTACAGGGAACTTTGATCTCTCTCCCGCCAAGAGGACCAACCGTTGTTATCGTTCAAACAGTCGGGTCGAGTCCTATGTACTTGTCCTGGGTTCAGGGCCCAAGTTATCGGGTTTTTCTGGCCTATCGTTCTATGACTAGTAATCGATTTGAGCCTAACTTGAAAAGGATTGGCTTGTCTATGATGCTTATCTACATCAATTTGGTTTCGTTGCAAACTTTTGAAATACTTCGACGTGTAACAAATGGCCTGATATTTCAGTATATAACGCCACTTAGAAATCAAGACCCCAAATAGTTCGTTTGTTGACGTTGGTGTCAAGTAGTGCAGTATAAGAGGAAAAGAGAAGCTTTAACTTGGAGAATAGCTTTTAAACTGAAACAAATTACCTTCATTGCGATCATATAAACAGGTAAAATCTGATGAAGCACCTGAAAGTTTGCAGATGCCATAAAGTATTCTCCTCGTTCAAAAGAAAAACATAGAAGGTTTTCATCTTCTCCCTGTCAGAAACTATCTATGAAGTCAAATGGACACAACTAGGTACACTATTAATTCATTAATACATATAGGACGTATGACGGACAGGCGCAACAGTTGGCCAGGCGCCAGTCCTGCGAGAGCTACTGCTATAAGACTCATTTTCCCCTATAGAATCAGCAAACCGATATAGATCTGCTGATGTCCTCTCAGTAGTATCAGGCAGACCAACAAAACCTTCTATTGATAGTGATGACCCAAACAAACCACCAAACGTCATGGGTGCAGATTGCCCAACAGAGCCTTGTCGCCATCCATATGGCAGACCGCTGCTACTCATCATTTGCCCAGCCTTATCAACTTCAATCTCGCCACGAACCCCAGAATAAGAACTTGCTGAGAAGACACCTATGCTTGTCACCATACCAGTGCTCCCAACACCATTGATTCCCACCATCTGGGCAACTCCATTTTCAGGTAAGGAACTTATAGTTGATCCATGGGGTACAGCTGAGGCAGCAGGATAATTGGTGACATGACCAGAAATAGCAGTGTCGTAAGAGTTTGGCACCAAACCATCATATGGCCTCACGCCTTCAGTAAGAGTAGCAGTCCATTGCTCATGCAACCCATTCACATGAGAAGATTTTGGCAAGGGTGACCCTTTAGCGGCAAACTGTGAACGCTTCATTTCTTGACTCTTAGCCCAACTCGAGGAACCCATTTCATCCAGTTTTCTCTTTGGTATCATTTTCTTGTCCTCAATCCTTTTAGTTAGGTCAGTAATTTCTTCTTCCAACTTGACTATCTTCCCTTCAATTTGCCATGAACCTAGAAGCTTTGCTATATCACTACTGCGATCTTCCAAATTCTGGACTAAGGATTTCAGAGCATCTAAATGTTGTTCATTAGCCTTTCGCTGCAAAAAGACATGATAAGGTAAATGCAATATTAAAGAATGATAAAAGTATATAAGATCATAGTGTGACAGCAGATTAAAAAGGACCATACCAGTGCCATGGGGGAATTTTGTGCTTCCTGTTTTGCCCTCATGAATGCTTTTGTAGACTCTTGCAAGAATAAAGTCAAAATTGTCTTAGGGGAGCATTTATCCTCAAGCCCAAAGATAAAAGCAACATCAACAGCTTCGACATGCATTCCATTCTTCACCATAGCCTCTATGATATCTGTACTAGACAAAAGCATTATGCATAAAGCTCAAGTTGTAGCAATGACCAATCAAAAATCTAAATGCAACAACCACCCCACCCCCCAAAAAATAATAATAATAAATCAGATGCAGCCATATTTAGCTCACCATAGCCTTGATATGGTAAAGCAAAGGATGTCCAATTTCTATGAGAATACTCGTTATGGGTACTTTCAAAGTGAGGCAGAACTCAACAACTTTTTCAAAAGGTTGATTACAGTCTTCCAGACTCTTTTTTCTACAAGAAACTGCCATTGCACACACAACCCTGCCCCTCCCTCAAAATCATGAAATCTCTTAAAATCAAGGAGATTCAAACAAGGAAATCTCGCCCTACAACAACAGAGAATTCATGAGCGCATAAAAGTCTACAGATCCTAATCTACATGCACCAAGAAAGCCTCTTTCTCTGGACAACATCTTTGTAAAACCCACCATTTCTTCCATCTTCTTGACCTTTTGATCTAAATATTTATGAATGTAACTTCTAGTATCAACTATTAAATGAGAATCCCAAAATAGCAGCTAACTTCCTCCAAACATTTAATAATCTCTAATCATTAAAATAGATGACCAGTTTGCTATAGTACCATTGCACTTTATTTACAGACCAACTATTTACCTATATTTCCTCTTCCTACACTGAGTTCAGCAATTAATCTTCTAAGACCAAATACCATCTCAATGCTTGAGTAATTTACTTATCTCTAGGCAGGAATATAACAAAATCCCCGGGTATCACAGAGCTGGCGTGGTTTTTTCCACTTTCTTGTTACCAGAAAGAATTGACCACCCTCTCTAAAGCATTCCACTTTTCAGATAGAGGCCGGGTGTCACATGTCAAGTAAACAATCAATGTTGATTTCCTTATTTATAGTTAAAATGGTAGCAAATAAACTCATTTGTTAAAAACTCAACTTCAATACTAATCTATACGGTTATAATCTGCATGAAAGCTATGGCAATTTTCAAATTCCTTGAACAGGTTAAGGCCTTTACACTGAAAAATTAAATGGCAGCCATCAAAACACATTTTTAACTACTATATAAGAACAGTGACACTTCATACTCATAAATGACATTGGTAAAATCCAACAAAATCACAAATTTATAAGCAATTCATATAGCGTAAGCTAAGGAACCCAAAATGCAATTACGTGGCATTTTATCAGGAAGCACAGGAGAGCCCTTTAACGCATCCAAAATAGCCCTGAGATTACACAAACGCAGCAAATTCCCCAAATCCTCACTCCGGAACACTTTTGGAATCCCAAAGCAAGCAACGAACAGCAACAAACCCCTAGCGTCAACTTCACTTGCCTTAGCCAAACCACCCTCAGCAATCAACCTCTTTCGCCACGCAACGGCTCCTTTCTCAGCTTCTACCTTAAGGTCTGCCGCAATCTCAACCTTACCCTCACCGTGGAAACCACCCATCATCAAAAGGAAAAACTCCAACACCAAAACAGAGGCTTGCCTTGCCGGAATCATGGGCGAGTCCTTCGTATAAGCCTTTATGCCTTGTAGAAAGAACCTCCCAATGCAATCTAAAACCAATTTGTCGGGTTTTGGGGCAAGCTTTAGAGCCGCAGGGACTTCTTCTCGAAGCTTCGGGACGTTTGATAAATGGGTGACAATGTATCGACGTAGTCCTTTGCTGCACATCATCTCGCAGAGGCTTTGAATTTCGGAACGCGAGGATTTCGGGGGAGAAGCCATGTCGGGTCCCCTTTTTTCCGTTTTACTATCGGTTTCCGTTGGTTTGTAAAGGGGTTGGGTTTCAATTTGTGGGTGTTGTTGTTCATTGAATTTGGATTCGATGGCTTGGTTGATGAAATCGAGGTGCTTTGTTAGTTCGTCGAATCTGCATTTGAAAGCGTGGATTGCAGAGGAGAGGGAGGCGAGGTCGTTAATGGATTTTAAGAATTGGGGTTCTCGCTTCCGTTGTTCTTCTTCTGGTTGCGGTTGCTGTGGTTGTGGTAGTGGTAGTGGTAGTGGTTGCTGTAGTTCGAGTTGTTCGGGTTCAGTTTTGACAACCGCTAACGTTAGCGGAATGGGGTCCGGGCGTGGTAAAGACAGCGGAGATTGAAGTGGTTCTTGCTTGACGGACACAAGAGTGGTGTCGGAGGTATTGACTTTGATCAAAGGCATGGAAGGCTCGGCCATGACTACCCAAGATGAGAGCAGATCGATTTTAATGGAGAACTAAGCCGCAGGAGCTAGCGTCTGAATTTCCGGTCAAGGCAGGGTATTCGCACTTGAATGAAGCCAGACACGTAATTATATAAATTCAGACTTTTTTTAGACTTTTTGTGTATTTATAAGAATTAAAACTTCAAAAAAATTTTATTAAAAAAAAAAACTTTACTGTTTTACTTAAATAAATTTTTATATTTTTATTACATTGAAATAAGTTATTATCTTTATTTTACCATTTTACTTAAATTGATTTTTATCAAAAATTTAAAAAAAATGACATTTTTATTTTTTTATTATTTTATATGGTATTTAAAATTATCAAATTTATTAATTTATTTATAAGTTATCATCATAAAATAAATGCATATTTATTGTTTGACAAGTAAAATAGAAGAAATTCAGCATAGGAGAAATGAGAAAATGAAATATATACTGGTATTGTATTATTTTATAACTTAAAAGCTTTACTTGTATATATACACTTGAATAAATTAATATAAACTCTAAACTACCCAAAAAACAATCCTGTACCATTTACAGGCATAGGGTTACATCATGACTAGGAATAAGTAACTAGAAGATGGGTGCTGTATCAGACAAGCTGATGTTCCTGTCTGATCGACTTGTAACAATGGGGCTTCCTGAAGCATCCAGATCGATAACAACCGTTTCACCAGGCCTGTAATCTCCTGCCAGGAGTGCTTCACTCAAGGGATCTTCAACTATTGAGGTAACTGCCCTCCTAAGGGGTCGAGCACCATAGGTTTGGTCGTAGCCTTGTTGACAGATGAGTTCCTTGATTGATTCAGACACCTCTAAACCAATTCCGAGAGACATGAGCCTTGCCTTAACCTCTTGCAACATCAGGTTTACAATCTCAAGCATCTGAAAACAGGTGTATGTGATCGAAAGTGTTTCAGTATAACATAATCCTAGATGAACAGACTTTAAAGCCTTGAATTACTTTTTACTATTCTAAATCTCAGTAATTTTTCAAGTTTCAAGCCTTGGAAACGGAGAACTTAGCAAAGAGAGGTTGTTTCGGACAGATTCCAGGGACAAAAAGAATATAAGAGAACCTCCCAAGGGATGACACAAAAGTGGCTATTGTTTAATGAATCAACAGAAAGTTACAAACCTGAGATGTCTCCAGAGATCGAAATACAACTACTTCATCAATTCTGTTGAGTAACTCTGGACGGAAATATGCCTTGAGTTCTTCCGTTACCAGAGCCTTCATTCCAGCATATGAAGTTGAGTCATCGTCCTCGGGCAAGAAACCAATCAAGCCACGTCTACCTTTTGCAATGGCAGAAGAACCCAAATTCGAAGTCATCACCAGCAATGCATTCTTGAAAGATACTCTTCGACCCTGATATCAACAAAATCTCTAATAAGAGACACCGATAATCAACTAATATCAATCAAAGTAATTGAATGTTACTTTGTAAAGATGATGATTATTTATCTCTAAATGTCTCAAAAGTGAAAAGCACCAATTATTATTTTCATCAGTACTAGCATCTTAGATGAGTGCACTTCACAACATACAAACCTGTGAATCTGTGAGGTGACCATCTTCAAACAATTGGAGAAGGATGTTGAATATATCCGGATGGGCTTTCTCTATTTCATCAAGCAATAACAACGTAAACGGTCGTCTTCTAATAGCTTCCGTAAGCATACCCCCCTCTTCATAACCAACATAACCTGGGGGTGATCCTATTAATTTACTCACTGTATGCCGCTCCATATATTCACTCATGTCCAATCTAAGCATGGCATCCTCCTGTAATAATGGTATTAAAGGACAAAAAAAAATATAGCAAGATTAAGAAAGTGTTAAAGGAGACATACACCAAAAAACAAACCTTAAACATTTGGCTGCTCAAGTATTACTTTTTTCGAATAGAGTTTTCTTTCTTGCCAAAAGTAAAATGCTCTCTCCTTCAACAAAGCATATCTTGGATATGTCAAAATTATACAAGAAAGCACACAAATAAATAGCCATATTTTGTGGTCTAAAATTATATAATATTTATCATGCATGATAATTTGTTTGGGTTGAAAATATCTAATTCCCTCCCTCCACACATGAAAAAAAAAAAAAAAAAAAAGAAGAGAAAAGTGATACAGTGCTCCTGATCAAAGACCCATAGAAGTAAAATTTTGCCAGAACTAAAGTTTTAGTATTTTGTAATAAGTCTAACCATATAAGAATGTATACTACTGAAAGGCCAAACTTTAAAACTGGTTTCAAAAAGAGAAAGGCATGAATAATAGCACGAAGCCTTACCGACCCAAAATAGCACGCTGCTAAAGCTTTTGTTAATTCAGTTTTGCCAACCCCAGTTGGACCGCAAAAGATCATTGCAGCAATTGGTCTATCAGGATCCTTCAGGCCAACACGAGATCTCTTAACGGCTCGAGAAATGGCAGCAACAGCCTCATCCTGACCAACAACCCTTTTCTTAAGCTGCTCATCAAGGCCAACTAGAAGCATTCTTTCATCTGCAGTGATCTGCTGCACTGGGATCCCTGACCAAACTGAAGCAACTGTTGCAATCTCTTCAGGTCCCACTACAGGTCTGAAAGAACCACCACAAGAAATTTAGTTACAAACCAGACAGAGCCAAGAGGACCAAGAATCTAATGGATGTATTCTTCAACATGACTTAAAGCAAAAAAAAAAAATACATACTCATCATTATCTGAAGTGGAAGGCAAAGGGGATTCCAAAAGGAGTTCACTAGAATCATCAACATTGGAAGCACCATCATCATGTTTCATCCTACTGGTCATGACCTAATAATGATAAAAGAACCAAAAGGAGGTTAACAGCAAATCAAAAAACTAAAGTACATCACAGGAGAAAAGATATTACCACTTCATGCATGGCCTTAACAGTTCTGATTTCTTCCCAATAATCATCAGGTGCCTTTGAAAGAATACCAGTTTCCTGCTCTCTTTTCCTCCTAAATGCCTCAATATGAGCTCGACTCCCAGCCTCATCAATGAGATCTATCGCTTTATCTGGAAGATACCTGTCAGGAATGTATCTTGCTGACAGGTACACAGCAGCATTTATTGCTTCCAGAGTGTATCTGCAGTGGTGATGAGACTCATATTTTTCACGCAGACCAAGCAGTATCCCAACTGCATCCTCCTGTAAGTAATAACATCAAATCCAAATAAGAAAAAGAGGAAAATAGACAATGATCTAAATATACAAAAAAAGTATTAAAAACAACCTGGCTTGGCTCATTTATCCACACTGGCTGGAATCTTCGTGCTAATGCTTTATCCTTTTCAAATTGAGTCCTATATTCCCCTATAGTTGTTGATGCGATACACTGCAATGATGTAATATTAATGTCCAATAAAAATGCACAAAAAGAGCTTGGTCAATGAACAGACTTTAGTTCCTCGAAAGTGCATATATCAGGGTTTGACAATAATAAGAAGAAGAATTGCAGCATCTATACTAAAATATTAAGGCAGCCCCCAAATTGGTCCCTTTGCAGACTAGGACTCTTTCAAAAAAAATTGAATGACCCAGACTTCCCCCAGCTAGGGCTTCTCCTTTTTCTCTCTTTGCTCCCTCTCTTCAAACAAAATTTGCCCATTAAAGATCTGACACCTACCTCTCTATGTTTCAAAACTAATTTTATCTTCCATCAGTAAAATCTTCTTTTCCTTTCTGCTGCAAGTAGGTGGAAGAATATAAAAAATGCACAAAAGGTGCCAACTTCAACCCATTTAAAAAAGCTTTGTAGGGGGGAAAATTGGTCTCAATTAGAAGGAACAAGGTTGCCACCTTTTAATTCCAAGAGGTAATTCAGATGTATTGATGTTGTTATTCTTTAATTTCTAAATGTCATCCTCAATGACTGCAGTTAACAGCATGCCTATGTTTTTGAAATTTCAGTAAACATTTACCTGTAATTCACCCCTCCCAAGTGCAGGCTTCAATAGATTGGCAATGTCAAGACCAGATCCCTTACTTCCTCGGCTAACTGTACCAGATCCAATAAGTGTGTGAACTTCATCAATAAAAAGAATGACATCACCTGCAGAACAAGTACATCAAGTATGAGAAACAACAGATTTCATACTTCAGCTCTCAAAAGAGCAACTCCTCAATGTAGGCACCTGATTTTATTGTCTCGCTTAGCAAAGCAGTAACACGTGCCTCTAATTCTCCCCTCTCCTTTGCACCAGCCATTAGCAGTCCTATGTCCAAGGACATTATTTTTTTATTCTGTGCAAAGAAACAAGCAACAAACTAATAAATTTGGAGATAAAACCTCATGAGAAGTATAACTATTGGCATTTAGATCGAGTAAAAAGGAACTAGTTATACTATCTAGAACATCAGTGGCATGTGAAGAGACAGACCAGGAGAAATGCTGGGATTTCTGCCTGCGCAATACTAATCGCAATTCCTTCAGCAATGGCTGTTTTACCAACCCCACTTTCACCAAGAAGAATAGGGTTATTCTTTGTCCTGCGACAAAGTATCTGAACAATTCTTTGAACTTCAGTCTCTCTGCCAATAACAGGATCAATAAGTCCTTCACTTGCACGAGCTGTAAGATCCACACAGAATTGAGCCAAAGCACTTTTCCCTAACAACCACATAGAGGTACAACCAATTACCCTCTGTTGGTCTAAAAAAGAATTATAAAGAAAGAGAAGGAAGTCAAATTTCTACCTCTTGCCTTGTCAGAGGATTTCAAAACAGCAGCATTACCAGAAAGAGATTTTTCACACATCTTTTTTGATGACATTGAAGGTTCCCTACCGTCTTTTGCTAGCTCCCCTTCCAGTCTGGTGAATGCTGCATCTGCCAAGTGATTTACATTTGCTCCCAATCTGATATTTTCAACACAAAAATTAATGACATGAAACTTGCATAGTATGTGCTTCAGACCTAGATGGTTATGCAAATGTGAATCACTTGGCAGAGAGACCAAGTGAATCACTTATCTCTACAGTCACATGTTAACTTTAAATTGTTACTTGGTCTCTATATAAAATTAATGACATAAAAAATCTAACATAGATTCAAATGCTAAATTCCTTTAAATTGTAGTACATTATTTTCCTTCCTGCCCCTCTTTGCATGACTACATGCAATGCAAAGTAAAAGCACTTTACATCACAGAAAGAATCATAACGAAACAACAAAAATCACGCTTCCTCATGTGCTTCTTAATTAACTATCCAATAACTTCAAATGCCAGATAATTCAAAACAAAACAAGACAGCCCATGTTAATGTTCTATAAAGTGTTCCTTGTTCCACCAGCAAAAAGGAAACAAATTTGCGGAAGAAAAGAAAATTTTACCTTTTAAGGACCCGACCAGCACTTCCATCATCAACGGTTAACAAACCAATAGCAATATGCTCGGGTGCAATAAAATTATGACCCATAGTTCTCGAATACTCCACAGCAGCCTCAAAAACCCGTTTCGTGCTTATTGAAAACGGCACATCCGTTGAAGAAACAATAGACCCTTCTTGTTTACCCGACGCAGAACCCGAACCCTCACCAGAATCATGATTACTACTTTGCCAAATGCTACGAACAACCTCTCGAGCCTTATCAATCTTTAAGCCTAACCCCAAAAAACCATTGGGGTCACGATCTTCACCTATCAAACCCAGCAAAAGATGCTGGGTAAAAACCATGTCCTTGCCCAGAGATTTAGCTTCTCTTTGAGAAAGGATCACGGCTTTGATCGCTCGCTCTGTAAAACGCTCGAAAACTGCAGAAATTTGAACGGGTTTTCTTCTTTTACGAGAATGGGAGTGTTTAACGTGAACAAAGTTATTGTAACGAGAGATTGAGAGACCAAAACAAGAAGAATTTGAAGAAGAAATTGAACTATTGTTATTTCGATGGAAATGGAAAGGTAAACGTGGAGGTGATGAAGGATGGGAAAATAGGCAACGTGAATGGCAATGGATTGGTAAAGAAGAAGACGAAGAAGAACATAAAACTTCCATGTTTTTCGGGATAAAATTTTATGTTTTGGGTTTTTTTTTTTTTAGTTACGAGTTTTCATCAAGGATGCAAGGAGCATAAGAAAGGAGAAAATATAGTCTGAGGTGGAGCTGATGTCCAATGGAATTTAAAGGATTGTTTTTTTGGTTCGGCTGTCGGGTGAAGGAAAGAGAGGAAGAAGAAAGGGTTGGAGTAGAAGAGTAGGATTGACAAGTCAAGCCACAACCTTTTTGTTGTGTTGTGACAAGAAAAAGAGTTTGAGTCTTACTTTTTGCTCAAAGCATTGGGATTTTGAACAAGTCGCACACGGAAGTAAAACAAGCAAAGAATAATCTTACAAGGTTTTTGTCGAGCCAAAAGTGCCAAGTCCCTGCCTGACAAAGCCAAAATTTATGGTACCGTCCAGATTGGCTGGAGACGCACGTTTAAGTTTCGGTTCCATGGTTGGTCTTGGTCGGAGCTTAGAATCTTCCTTCGAGGTTGATTTTGCATGAGCATTTGCATTTCGAGCCACGGATGTGTTTTCTTCTAAATCAATGCTGTCTCAATCTCACAAGTTTTGAGCTGCCACTATGCCTAAGAATGGTAATTATGAAAGTATAGTAAACCAATATGGAAAAGCAATAGACATGAACTGCAAAGTCAAGAACCCATCCATATCAACTCTAGTGTCTTCAAATTCGACTAAGACTTTGTCAGCCTATCCATGATCAATGAATATGAATGCAAAAATCAGGAAAAACGCATGCATTCTAATAGAAATTTTACCATGTGAAAGTTACACAACTAAATAGTTAGAATATATTACATTCTTTTTATTAGTTTTAAGCTGTCATGACATTTTATAGTATTTTTCAAGAAGTTATTTACTGTAAAAGTTGTTGCACTTGTATCTAAAACACTCATGAACCTCTAGAAATTGCCATGCTCATAAGAATAAAGATATACATACCAGGAAAAGAATCATAATTGCTGCATACTAATTAAACAGGCTATGTCTTTGTGGCCTACCTATCATAAGCATCAAAATGGGTTTCTAAATGTGGCATTGTTGGTAAAAGTAGTGATGAATTCAGCTCCACCACTTCATCCTTCTCCAAGATTCAGCTTTTCAAGAAGGTAAGGGATTTAATTGCCTCATCAAATTCTCTTAAAATACAACTTCTAAAAGAAGGTTAAGAATCAAAATTTGTCTGGCATGATTTATTGTACAAACATCCTATAGAAAACTGAGATACAAGGTTCAGCTTCGGCGGCTACCAATAATCATTGCATGAGCAGGTTCCATCTTGAAAGTGACGGAGCTGATTTGCATCTCTAACAACAAACCTTCCGCCCATAAACATAAGAGACAAATTTGAATGCTGAGTGGCGATTATTGCAAATATGCAGATAATCTGTAACCTGAATTGATATTTCTGGATCAATCTTCATGATTCCGAAGGCGACAGCAAGCTTTTCACTGTGATAATTTAAACTGTGCTCCTTGTCTTCCTCTCCCATATCACGAGGACACATGAAAGGTTTGGCATATATCCTACCATCTTAATCTCATTTCTCAGGCTCTTTACTTCCTATAAAGCTCCTGCAGGTATGGGTTCACTCGATCAGCTGTATGGAAGCCATGAGCCTCTTTACCAAACTCAATCACACTGAATGCTGAAGGCTTTCTCAATCCCCTATCCTTCATGTCTTGCTTCAACTTCCCCACTTCTTTCCATCTGTTAGAAGCCGCATATAAGTTTGACATTAGCACATAGTATCCAGCATGCTCTGGTTCAGGTTCGAATAAGCTTCTTGCTGCAATTTCTTCCAATTCAGTATCCCCAGGGATTCTGCAAGCCAAAAGCAAAGCCTCCCAAGCACCATCAGTTTGTGTTATTGGCATCTGTTGAACCATATCAAAAGCTTCATGCAGGAGTCCAGCTCTGCCTGGCATGACAACCATGCAACCCTTGCAAGCATAGTGTTTTGCCTGGGGTGTAACAGAGTGCTTTTTAATATCTGCAAAACATTTCCTACCCTCATCAATAAGATCTGCACGACTACAGGCAGAAAGGAGAGAGGTAAAACTTAAAAAGTAATATGGTCTGGCTTAATGCCTGCCCGTTGCATTTGTGAGAAAAGGTTCAATGCTTCTTTCCCATATCCATGCATGCCACATCCAGCACATTTCATGAAGTGGTATTCCTTTCCCTCGTATGGATATCATTAAAAATCCTGGTAGCAGTGTCTAAATCCCCACATTTAGCAAAAATATCTACTAGGGCATTACGAAGAGTTGAATCAATTTTAATCTTTTAATCAATCATAAAATCATGGAGTTTCCTTCCCAGATGTTGAAAGCCCAAATATGCACAGGTAGATACCATGATCAACACCGTAACTGGGTTAGGCTTACAGCCAGAATCCAGCAACCCCTCAAAAAGTAACACGGCAATAATTGCATTCCCAATAGACATATCCTCCAAAAACCTATTACAAATGGCGCAAGCATGAATTATTTTAGCTCTCATCGTATGCCCCAACTGACCAACAGCAGAGGCATCACTTACAATGGCCATGGTATCTGCCAAAACAGTCATCAAGTTGCATTTTTTGGAACAGATGTGCCTTATGGGACTGTTCAGCTTGTTCATAGGTCGTGATCAAGGCAGTCCAGCAAACAAGATCCCTCATTGGCATTTTATCAAATATCTTAAAACCCTCAATAGTTTGTCCCCTTTTGCATGCATGTCAACTAAAGCAGCCTCAACATACAAATCCAAATCAAACCCAATCCTTGTAGCATCCTCATGACGAACTTTCCCCTCAATAATCAATGATTTCAAAGCACATGCTTTCAGCACAAAAGGGAAAGTGTAGTTATTAGGGGAAATACCAGTTTCAGGCATAAAAGAATACAACTCCAATGTTTAAACGTGGCAACCACCATTTGCATATGCCCGAATCATTGTATTCCAAAGAAGGGAATTGGGTTTGTCACCGTGGATGGCATCGAACACCGAGCAAGCATGTCGTGGTCTCCAAATTTGATGATAATTTGGGCACCCAAATGAAAGCTAATTGATAATGCCTGAAGCAGCATGTGAAGAGTAACTGTTTGAGTGAAGCCAATTCATTGCATGAATTAAGCAGTCTATTGCACACGTTCTCTGTTAAGCCAAGAAATGAACTAAAGGCATAGTTGGTGTTTAGTGAATGAACAGCATATATGATACATAAAGAATTAAACTAAAGGGACCTCTTGGCCAAAATAATAATAATAAAGGGATCTCATAGCTGGATGTCTCCATTTCAGGCTTCAAGTTACCTACATCGATCAAAGAAAATCCACCATAAAGTCTATTACAGGCTAAAAATTAGGTGCAGATGCTAGATCAACAACTCTAAGAAGAGTCAGCCTGGCTCCAGAGCTTCTCAGCGTAAGTTTTATCCTCTTCTTTCTCCTCTGCAATATAATTAGTTGACTCACTTACCTCCTCGTCTTCATCTGGGACCTCTTCCATCATATTTTCTGTATTTTCTACTTCTACAAGGCTCTTTGTCTCACGTTGTGAAAGTTCAGTTAATGCCTCCCTCATAGCCTGTGCTGTTGCTGGTCTGTCCCTTGGCCCATATTTTGGTGCAGGCATAACAAATGGCAAGGCAATATCATCCAACTTTGGGCTACTTTGATTAGCAATGCACTTTGTCTCCATTGGAGGAAACACAAAAATGATCCCAAGTTCATAGTTACAGATGTGAAGCCTCATAAAAGAGTTGGTTTCATTAAGTCTACTTGGTTTTATCCCAACTGAACTGGAAATAGGCCTTCCCCAGGCAGCTGCACTAAAATTATGAGACCCACAGTAAACCCAACCAAATGAAGATGAACCTGCCTTGGACCAGAAGCGCCTCCGTGCAACCTGCTTGGCATTTGCATTTTGTTAAGTTTTTTTTTTTTAAAGAAAAATAACCATGAACTCTACAAGCATTTGGCAACATGAAAAACAACGCTCAAAGTTACAAAAGCAACAATATGAGCACAAATAAGACATACAGTCAAAGATTTATGGGGTAAGTCAAACTAGACTTAAATGTTATATCCTGAAAGCAAAAATAATGACAGCTCAAACAGGGACATAGTTCACAAACAATCCACTAAACTTGACATGCTTTAGGCAGTTTACTTGAGACTATAGATAATGCACATGTAGAACTAGAAATCTTAATTCAAACAAGACTCGAGATTCATGAATTGTTTGTTCAAGAAATTTTCTGATCATTCAAAAAGCAGGTATATTACCTTAACATGCATTGGATGTCCTACTCTATTGCAGGGAGAAGGAATTGCATTGTGAAGGATGTCCAAATTTCTCAACCTTTGCCATGTTTTCTGAGCAAAGAAATGTAAGATTAACAAAAGTGTGAAAAGAATAATACAGGGTATTACAACCATTATGCACAAGTACAAGTTGTGACAGACCATAAGCGTATGGTTACAACTTGATCCAAATTACCTTCTTGAAAACTACCACATTCCTATTTATAGGACCATCAGTTTGTAGTCCAATGGACTACAAACTTTTCCCAACCATTTAGATCATTTATTTTGTACCGAGTTCTAATCTGTGTTTTGGTAGGCCTTTGCACTCTAGGAAAGAAGATACATATGTTTCCACAAGCACGATCTTCACTCATGCATTTCACATAAAGTTGGGAGATGAATCATGGTTCTTTTGTTCAACTTAGGATCTATAACCAAGTGTCAAAAACAATCGCTCATTATGATGGTCACAGTAACAGAGACCTTACCTCCGCAAAGCAAAGAATTCTCCTTGAAGGAGAGATGCCATTACATGCATTTTTCACCTGCTCGATAGTAGGAAAAATAATTCTAATGGATGGATTTCTCAATTCTTGACTAGCAGTCCAGCATCCCCACTGACAAGCAACACCATATCACTGTGTGTGTATATATATATATTTAAAAGCATGATGTTCAATATTTCAGACATAATGCCAAATCAAAGTATGTATGTTACCTCCGGATCAGACTCCTCTGAATCAAAAATCTGTGATGACTTCTTTCCAACAGATGCTGCAAAAGCAGCTAGAAACTGTGCACCGACAGATGAGCCAATTGAGGATGCACCTTGAAAACAGAACATTTATCAATCAAAACTAATAAGAAAAGTTGGTAGCTAACATTTGGAGAAAAAGAAAAACTCACCATAAACAAAGTCAGATTCTTGTGACTCAGGCCACTTGTATCGACCTAAAACCTGGAGTAGAGAAAGGAAATTTTAAGATGATTATAGTATCTTTACAAGCCATGTGACAGATATAGATACACCATGATCATTAATTGTTTCAATTCCATATCAACCAAAATGCAGGAAATTTTTTTGTTTCAGACACTAACCATAAATGCAGATTCAATAATTGCAAGAAATCATGTTGCTACAGATTCCAACTGCTTAAAAACCTTGATATGGCTTTCAAATGCCTTGCTAGGCTGTGTTTAATGGTAAAAAAAATTAAGCACTTGATAAATGATTTTACAAATCTATACAATCACAATTTTAAAAGGTCAAAATTATCAAATAGAGCTTGAAGATTGTTGAGAAACAAGAAACTCTAAATGCTAGTGGCCATTGTAGAGATTTTAACATACAAATACAACATAAAACCTTACTTTTGATAAACAGACGTTGCATTAATAAGACATTATGACACATAAATAACACCAGCAGCCTAGTATCACAATAATGCACAAAATGAAATTCATAGAAACATGAGTAAATTTTGGATTGAAGCCATTAAGTTCCTTACCTCTTGAAGTCGCCAGAGGCCTGTACACCTCTGAACTGCAGCAATGAGAGAGCATAATGCAGCAATGTTTTCGGCTTGCATCGTTTTTGACATATCTAAGAAACTTGGACCCTGCATAAATCAACACATGATATGCTTTAAATAGGTTCATTAAAAATATGAACAGATGAAATTTAATAATTGAGCCACAAGCTGTATAACATGATAACATCTAGAATAAATAGCAGAAATACCATGCCTGTGACACATGCAGTATCAACCGTACTTTCTTGTTGTTCCCCTCAAAAGAAGCTTTAAGGGCTTCTTCATGATATACATATCCATGGAATTCAAAGAATCCCATATCCCATAAAGGAGAAACCCATTTTGCAACATTTCTAGGAAGAAAACCAAGTTGAATGTGATCTATGCTAGCCAGAAAAAGGAAACATAATTGTCAGCATAGCTAAAAGCAAGAAGATGTCCAACTCATAACATATTATCTATTAAGGGGACAAAGGCATTAACATCAAATAGCTCCTTAATTTTAAACCATGATAAACAATCTTACAAATCCATGATGATGGTCACTATTAAGAAATTTAAAGTCAACAAAAATACCAATTCTCAGCAAACAAGGAAAATGTTTGCAACACAACTTCCAAATGCAGAAGGTTTCTGATAAATAAAGATGATCCCACATCCGAAGCAGTCAAGTTTAACAGAAGTTCTTTTTCCAGTAACTACTGATACATCCATACTGTTTTAAACAATTTCTAAGGCATGTAATACTAACGTTTAAATTTGTCTAAATTCTAAATCAAATTATCAGAATTTTACCTCGTTCAGAGAGTTTATCAGGGTTAGCAACATGAACGCTCACAGCATTCTCATCCACAGGGTTATTTTTGTTTCTTCTCAGAATAACATTCAACATCCCATTTGCATTTTCACAAGTTTTGCCAAGAAATAATGCCAGTTTCTTAAGTTGTACACCATTTCTGTCTGCTGCAGTACGAAAAAGGTGACTCAAACCAACCACAGATGTTTCAACCAGACCAAGGAATTTCACATCAAATGATGAGGGCATAAACTGATTGGCCTGAAATAATGGAAACTTAATAAGATTCCTTCCTGTCATCTAACCTAATATAAAACACATGTAAAACACCAAGGCCTAGTTGCTCACATAAACACCGAAAACCTACCTCCATCTTAAGGTTGTAGCAATACTTTCTGAATGGTACATATTTCAAGTCATTTATTATTCGAGAAAATGGTCAGAACAATAATAAAAACAGTAAGCCAGCTTAGAATTCAAGAGTCTATTTCACAGAGGAACATAAGAACCGGTGATAAAAAGCATGATGAGTATGAAATGTATGGATTATGATACCTTCAGTGCTCTGTCAGAATGTATTCCAGGTAAGGAAGCTACCAGGTGTCCCATAGCACTGGTAAAGTCATACTTGGTCAACTCAATAATCCAGTGTGCCTGACTAGGTACATCAACAATAAGAGATGCCATAAAGCCAGCTAGCTGAGCAGCGAAGTCAGATCTTGAATCTTGAATCATCTCTCCATGAGAAAGTGAAAAAAGAGACAAATAATCAGGTTCCTTTCTGCGAGGAAAATCTTGCCACCAAATGGTGTTGGTCACACTCTCCCACTGCAATATTGGAAAGAGCTAATCAAAATAACAAGTAAACAAGAACAATATAAACATATTCTTTAGCTAAACAAGAAAAAAATAACAGCTAGCATTTTTCTGAGCAAAATAAATCAATAAATAACAGCCAGCATTTTGATAGACAAATCAAACATAAACATCCTTCGAGGCAAATATACTAGTGTAGCTGAGAGCAAATTTAACCAACAACTTGAAAACTTAAAAAAAAAAAAAAGGAAGAAGAAGAAAGAAACAAGAGGAAAACGGTTAGTCTAAAAGGTTATCACAAACAATAAGGACTAACGTGGGATACTGAATAAAAATCCGAACTGCATCATCAAACTTCAGCAATTAGGTACTTTGGATAGAAAGAAAAACATATGCATAAGACATACATGCATGGAGAGAAAGAGACAAAGAGATAGAGAGGCTTCATCAGCATAGAGGACATAAAATCAAATAGAATCTACCACTGTTTAAAACATCAGGATAAAGAACTCTGATTAAAAAAACATTGAGGTAACCAAATTATGAAATCAAAACTTAATTATGCACAAATCAGCCATGTGTTATTTAACGTATAGCAAAAACATAGTAAAAAAAATCACGAGACATAAAAAAATTTAATCACCTGTTTTGCAACTAAATTAGCAGAAGTAATGACGATACGGATACTATCGTCTCTTTGCAACACAAGCAATTTTGGGTGATGGCAAGCAATTCCTCGTTTCTTGGGGTTATTACCAAAAGCAATAACATCAGGGAATGGGGGAAACCTAATACAAAATTGTATTACAATTAAAAAATGATGCCTATATCAGCATGTATAACTTTTAGTATGATCAATTAAGTAAAATACTTACACTACAACCAAGTTTGGATAATCAGGGAAAGGCATGGAGCTTCTTGCATCAGAGCTTGAGCTCCAACATCTCTCAGCATTATGACAAGCAACTGTTACAGGCAGATGGCAAGGAATTTCACAGTGCAATACAAACCTACCAAAAAGACTCCATTAGATATGAATACGGAAAAAATGATAAAGATTATGTAAGATTGCAATATTAAGAAAGGAAAGACATATGTAATTCAATTTATCACAATTTTAATGCTAAACAGAATTAACCAATTTTTTGTCATAGCAATGAATACATGTAAGATGTAAAAGTAATCATGAAAAATACTTTCTACAGAAAATTGTGTAGTTATAGAAGCTCTAAGGGATCCTCTAAGAACATTTTCCGGTGGAGACTTTTATTTAAGGAGAGCAAAAAGACAAGAAATAACTTTACCATAAAATGTCACTTGTAAATGTAGCAATGAATATCTGTGAAATGCTTTCAACGGGATACAGAAGTTCTTGCAAGGAAATAACAGGGTGAGTTGATGAATCACAGTCCAAATAAGCAAGGCGATTGAGGTAAAACATCTTCCCAGGTGCTGAACAAGAGTTTGTAGTAATCTTGCTTGTCCCAACACCTTCAATGTCAGGAGCATTTTCCTTCTCAGCATAATTTAATAATGACATCCCAGGCATGTCAATGGCCGTAGCATCCTCACCACTGCCTTGAACAGTGCCCTTTCCACATGGAAGATCACTAGGTAAAAGATCTCCAATTAAGCTGTCGTTTGCCTCTGAAGTTGCCACTTTTCTAAATGAACTGGGCTGCATAGGGTTGTCCTTTTTATCAGATGATTGTGGTTCTTGCCTGCAAAGAGGAAAGATGCTACTCACCTCTTCGTCACTGCCCATTGCAAATTTCATCCTATTACTTACTGTCAACCCCAGAAATCTGTGGTGTCCAGAAGCTAAATTATCAAATTGCCTAATGCAAGATATGGGGTCATCACTGTGCAATATACTCCGGCACTGACTTAAAATAAACTTGGCTCTCCCCATTAAATCACCAGATTTCAATTCAGAGAAGTCACAACCTATGGTCATCTCATTAGCTGGGATAGCAAAAACCCTTTTGTTCCTCTTCCCACTTGACACCGTTCCTTGGGAATTTCTTGATGAAAGCATTGTGCCAAGCGACCAAGGCCTCACACCAGTAACCTCATCCAACTCAGAAACCATTTCCTCCTTAAACACAATTCCTTGAATCACAAACCCAACTCGAACAAGTAAACTACAGTCATTTTCATTCCCACAAACAAGTAAAACCTCATCACCAGCAAACAATTCCCCAACCATACCCCTTTTAACCCTTACCCCATTCACATAAACCCCATTCAAAGAAACCCTAACACTAGAAAACCCTAAAACCTCTTTCTCTTTCTCTTCCAATTTATCATCAGACAACGAAAATCTTCTCCGAAATTCCCTAACAATAAAACCAAAATCATCCGAAAAAATTGCTCCATCGAGAATAAAAATTTTACGGTCAACGCTGTCATATAAAATCTGGCAATGTTGTTTACTTACGAACCGATTGCCGAACGTGAAGTCGCAGGAAGCATTGTCTCGACCGATGGTGTAGGGCCGGTCCGGTTCGAGGCGGAGCAAGACAATAGGCAAACCGGTGGAGGGAGAAAGCAGAGGGAAATCGAAGGTGTTGAGTTCGATGAATGCTGATTTTTGTAGGGTTTTGGGTTTTTTGTGAGGAAAATTGGGATTCTCTTCGATTCTCTTCTTATTTCTGTTTGGCAAATAAAAAATCAAGTCTTTCATAAGAATAAGATGAATGCTGATTTTTAGGTTTTGGGTTTTTTGAGGGAAATTGGGATTCTCTTGAAGTCTCTCCTTATTTCTGTTTGTCAAAGAAAAAATAGATTCTTTCCGAAGAATAAGATGAATGCTGACTTTTTTAGGGTTTTGGGTTTTTTGTGAGGAAAATTGGGATTCTCTTCTTATTTCTGTTTGCCAAAGAAAAAATCGAGTCTTTCATAAAATAAAAAAAAATTAAGGAAAAAAACAACGATTGAAACAATTATGAATAAAAGAATTGGAATTTGAAGTGAACAAAATTGGGGATGACAGTTGATTCCCTCCTAATTTTATATGTTTGAGATCGCGGGGGAGCTAAGCCGGCCATTGGCTTTTATATCGTTAAGGTTTAGAATTGCCCAAAGCCCGGAAAGCCCAGCCATTTCCAATTAGGGCTTGGGCTAAAATTTTTTAACCCAAACCCAATCCCCTTCAACTCTAGCTTATTATTTTTATTAGATAATAATGTAGTACTTTTCATTTAAATTATTTTATTAAACAAATTAATTTTTATAAATAAAATTAATTAATCACATATATTTTAATTAAAAACAAGAAAACAAAAAAGGGTATTTTTTATTTTATTATTATAAATTTAATTTATTGGTTGTTAAGTAAGACAATGTGAATAAATATAAATATAGTCCACCATTAAGCTTTCCAATCATCTTCTAGTATATTATAGGAATATATTATTAGTAAAATTTTTTAATTTTATAAGCGAAATTAATAAGATGAAACATATTTTAATTTTTTAAATTAATTTTTTATTTTATATATATATAATAAATATATATATATCATCCTATTAATCTTACTTATAAAATTAAAAATTTAGTTATCAATATATTTAATAATTTTGTTATTATAATTATAATTACTAATATATAGAGAGAAGCGCGTGAAAATAACAACGAAAATTAATTAATGCGGGTTTCGGTTTTTTTATATAAAAAATTAGTTAATGTGAAATATTTTTTAAATGAACGTAATATTTTAGATACAATAACAAATAAGGCCTTTTAATCGTGATGAATAACAGGTTTTTTTTTTTTTAATTTTTAAATAAACATAATTTGAAAACATCCATTTGATTCTTATTATGGTTCCACTTGGTTTTTATTTATCAATCATTTTGAATTTTAATTAATTCGAAATCAAATTGAGTTAAAGAGAGTAAATTTTTTCAAATTTATTTTTTTCATTCATAATATTTAAAATTAAAATTTTATTTAAAAAAAATCGAACTCTTTATCATTCAAATCAACAAATATCGATGATTTTTATTTATTTATTTAATAAGATAGTATTTATAGACCCATCACTGATTATTATTATTTATTCATAGAACAATGATTCCATTTAATTAAAATTAATAATTAAAAATAAAATAAAATAACCTAAGTAATCGACTAAACGTTGTGCTTTTGTTATTTCCTTGTTTCATGTAGCCGTTTTGTTTTTCATTTTCTTTTTTTTTATGTAAAAAAAAATTGGGACTTAGTGAAATAAATATAATAATTTTATCATATAGTCCAAGATTTTCCAAGTCGGTCTTATAAAATAATCCCAAATGTGTGTTCCTTTAGCAATAAAATCCAAAAACCCTACTTAATATATGTTAAAAAACACTTTAACCTTCTTGTTTTAAATATATTGTTTCATCATTTGATCATCCAAAGCAGTTAATTAATTGTTAATCAATAGTTCCTTACAAATAAATTTAATAATTTGTGTATTTATATTATATAAAATATTAATAATTTATATATTCATATTTTATTTTATATGAAAATTATGTGTTACAATTTGTGTCAACATAAAAATATAAAATATATTTTATTAATTTATTAATAATTTTTATTAAAATTTTAAATTATATTATTTTTATATTTTTTATTGAAATTATTTTCATATCGTCTCATTGTATCATAATTAAAATTATAAAATTTACTTATAAATATAAAATAAAATAATTAAAAATTTAAAACTTAATTCAAATAATAATTAAAAATCATACATTAAAAGTAATCAAAATAAAAGGTCATTATTGATTTGAATACAAAACTTTTACATCAATACAGATAATAATTGAGACAATCCATGTTAGTTAGAACCTGTCAACTTCACTCTTAACAAAAGTATTGACAAAATAATTATGTTTTTTTCCATGAATGTAGCATGTGTGTATTTAATATATTTTTTTTTACAACAAGTGACCGATCGAGGCGCCAGGCAATTCCCAATTGAGTAAGTGCGCGACTGCCAACTCGAGATGCCAGCTGCTGCTGCTGAGTTCCGGGAAGGTGGAAGAGTCAGTGAGTCAGAGTACAATTCAAGCCAAAAGTCAAACAGTGTTGGCTAAATAAATCACCGCCGGTAAATCTGTTACAAACTTTTAAGAGGTGCTTCCCATTGATTGCATTAAAAAAATATAAGAATTTATGGTCCTAAGGTCAATGGCTCAAATTTGGGTGTTGCTTCACCTAACAGAGCACTACTCGTGAAAATGGAAAATTCACTGACTTCAACAACCAAAGCAACAAAAGGCAAAAAAAGCAAAAGAAAGGGAATGTGACGGTGAAACTCTTTGGAATTTGTTAGTATTTTATTGCAAACAGAAATGTGTGATAAACTTGAGCTTAAGATTTGTAAATATAGATTCTCACTGGCATTCAAATTAATTTCAAAAGAGAACATAAACAAAAAAAAAAAAAAAACCCATTTTGTTAAGATTCATATGGTGGCTTTTGCCAAAACAAAAAATCATAACAATTAATATTGTCAGTTATAGGTTGCCTAATATATTTCATAAGACATTTATAAAAATAAAAATAAAAAACCTTGGTGTAATCATTTCATAAAATGATTATGTCAGGAATTTTATGGTATTAGCCTGTTAGGGAGACAAGATTAAATCTTTGCAAGAGAATCCTGAAGCCAACATATATTTTCATTGCTTGAAATTAATTAAATGAATTTATAAGTAGTAATTGATTATTGGCTTAGTTAATTACAAGAAATTGATGATAAAAAAAATTGGCTAAATCCAATTTTATCTATTAGTTACATCAGAACCAAAAGTTTAATCATAAATATCTGCAACTTTTTCTTTCCCAAAGCTGAATAGTTTCCAACATTTGTTAGCATCATGTCTACAATTATCAACACCAAATACACATTGTATGGCTTTTTTCGCTGCAATTTGCTAATCAATTTCGACTAAAGTTCAAGTTCTGGGACAGCTATAGGAGCCAAGTGAAGCTTATCTGATCATGTTAACATGGTTTGTTACAGTAATTTCAAATTCACATTCAAAGAAAGTAAGGCAAAGCAAAGCAAAGTCATTAAGGCTAATCTGAACTGAAGGATTGTATGATGCACGTGGAAGAAAAAAGAGAATAGGAAACTTCAAATGAGTTCCCTGAAAAATGTAAAAACAAAAAGTAAAAGAAAAAGTTTTTTTTAGTCGGGTTTTACCTGGTGTTTCAAGCAAACGCAAGACCCATTGCCGAATGATTATAACCGACAACACGGTAAGTTACTGGTCCAACCTTCATTTCTCTACCGCGGTGAATATTTTATCTGAAAGCTGTCTATAAATGGACAAAACGCAGTTGCTCTTAAACTTGTAGAGAGAAAACTAGGAGTATAAGAAATCCAAGAGATATATTGTTCTTATCAGAACAGGCTGAGCAAAAAAATTGTTAAATATTGTCTTTGTTTTCTTCTAGTTTTCAAACTTGGTTTGCATTGTTAACGAATCTTTTTTTTATAGCTAGCTTGGAAAGCAATTTCTTGGAGAGGAGTGGAATCAAACTACAAGCAGAAGATGAGTTCGGAGGATGGAGATCGTTACCATCATCAGCATTATCATTCTGATACCGAGGTTTTAGGAACCGACAGAGTGCCTCATAGTGGTCCATTGAGTGGGCCTTTAAACAAAAGAGTAGGAAGGAAGAGTGCCCGGTTTAACGTTCCGGACTCGAGCTCTTCAAAAGATGATGGTTATGTTGAGATTACCCTGGATGTTCGTGATGACTCCGTTGCGGTTCACAGTGTAAAGGCTGCAAATGGAGGTGGTTTGCAAGAAGATCAAGAGCTAACTTTGTTGGCCAAAGGTCTTGAGAAGAGATCTACGGTGGGATCATCTATGGTGAGGAATGCTTCTGCAAGAATTAGGCAGGTGGGGCATGAACTTAAGCGCTTAACATCGTTCTCCAAGAAACCTGCTCGCTTTGATAGGACTAAGTCTGCAGCAGCTCATGCTCTGAAGGGACTCAAGTTTATTAGCAAGACTGATGGTGTACATGGATGGCCTGCTGTGGAGAAGCAGTTTGATGAAATTACTGCTTCAAACAATGGAGTTTTGCCTCGTTCAAAGTTTGGCGAATGCATAGGTATGTTTGAAATAATACCAAATCTAAACTATGGCTTTTAGAGTAAGGAGTTGCAGATGTTTTATTAAGTGAGAATTTTGTGAATCCTTGTCATGGCAGGAATGGAGTCAAAGGAGTTTGCAGGGCAGTTGTTTGATGCACTTGCTCGAAGACGAAACATTCAAGGTGATTCAATTGATAAGAATTACCTGAAAGAGTTTTGGGATCAAATCTCGAATCAAAGCTTCGATGCCAGGCTTCGAACTTTCTTTGACATGTAAATTTGCTCATGTTTTCTTAGACTAATTGTTTATCAATAAGCTATACACCTTGCTTTGCCTTCAGAGCTTGATCTTAAATCATGTGGTTAACAAAATGCAGGGTGGATAAAGATGCAGATGGAAGAATAACTGAAGAGGAAGTCAAAGAGGTAGATCAAGCATGTGATTTGTAGTCAGATTTTTCTGACATATTTTTTAGTCATAATTTATCTCACTGTTGATGTGCTTTTACAGATTATCAGCCTCAGTGCCGCCGCAAACAAACTCTCCAATATCCAGAAACAAGCTGAGGAATATGCAGCCTTTATTATGGAAGAATTAGACCCAGACCATCTAGGATACATCATGGTAAATTGAAGCATTTCTTTTACTATTGTTGTTGGCTCTATGTCTACTTTTTGCTTCAATTCAATGACCAGAATTCTTATATTTTAAACAGATAAACTATCTGGAAATGCTTCTGCTACAAGCACCAAGCCAATCTGTAAGAGAAGAAAGCCGGAACCTGAGTCGAATGCTAAGCCAGAAGCTTAAGCCTACATATGACAACAACCCAGCGGGGAGATTCTACCGGAACACCATATATTTCTTGCAAGATAACTGGCAGAGAGCGTGGGTGATGGCTCTGTGGATTGGGGTTATGGGTGGCCTATTTACATATAAATTTGTGGAATATCAACGAAGGGAAGACGTATTTGAAGTGATGGGGCATTGTGTTTGCTTTGCCAAAGGTGCAGCTGAGACACTTAAATTGAATATGGCTCTGATTTTGCTAACAATGTGCCGTAACACCATCACCTGGTTAAGGAACAAGACAAAATTAGGTGTTGTCGTTCCCTTTGATGACAACGTCAACTTCCACAAGGTAACAGAGAACATGTCTTCGTATATGTTAAGAATTATAAGCTTTTAAATTCATTAATGGGGTTTATTTGATTACTTGATTACAGGTGATTGCAATTGGAATTTCAATTGGGGTTGGCATACACGCAATTTCCCATTTGGCATGTGATTTTCCCCGCCTGCTTCATGCCACTCCTGATAAGTATGAACCAATGATAAAATATTTTGGAGAACAACCCAAGAGCTACTGGCATTTTGTGAAGCATACGGAAGGAGTAACTGGGATTGTAATGATGGTGTTAATGGCCATAGCTTTCACGTTAGCTGCGCCTTGCTTCAGGCGGGGTAGGATGAACCTCCCCAAGCCTCTCAAGAAGCTAACTGGCTTCAACGCCTTTTGGTACTCTCACCATCTATTTGTCATTGTTTACACTCTCCTCATTGTGCATGGAATTAAGCTCTTCCTGACCCACAAATGGTACAAGAAAACGGTAAGCAATGATCACAAAATCAAATTCCAACAATTCAATACTATATATATTAAACATCCATGTTAACTTGATTCTTTTGGAAATGACAGACATGGATGTACTTGGCAGTTCCAGTTATCCTTTATTCTTGTGAAAGATTGACCAGGCTGCTTAGATCAAGCATCAAGGCAGTTACGATGGAGAAGGTAAGCAATTTGTCACTTGACGTAATCCAATGCAATATTTAACTCCCTAGGGTAAAAAGAAAAATGAAATTCATCCGGATTTCTATTTCTATCATTGCAATGTTTAGGTTGCTGTTTATCCCGGAAATGTACTATCACTTCACATGTCAAGGCCCCATGGATTCAGATACAAGAGTGGACAATACATGTTTGTCAATTGCGCTGCAGTGTCTCCATTCGAATGGTAAGCCTTAGCGATCAGATTCAAAATATGGGTCCGACATATCCTGTAATTGGGTTTTTTAACCAAACACTGTCAAAGGTATACTTTTCTTTTTAACATGAAAATGATTGCTGATCACATGGGAACATACAGGCACCCATTTTCTATTACTTCCGCCCCCGGAGATGACTATATCAGTGTTCATATTAGGACACTCGGTGACTGGACACGACAACTCAGGACCGTATTCTCAGAGGTGCATAAAATCGCTAAACCGTAGTTTCTCGTTTTTCAAAATTGACGGCTTAACCATCTGATTAGCTAGCATAGTTGATATTCTGACTAAAACATAAGATTTTTAATCTTGGAAAATGTTGTCAAGGCTGCCGAGATTTACATTCAATTTGTTCTTCCAGGTTTGTCAACAACCTACTAATGGGAAAAGTGGCCTCCTTAGCGCCGATTGCTTGCAGGGAACTAACAACCCAGAGTAAGTCATGATAACTCCATCAACATTTTCTCTAGGCTTGATTAGTGGTTCATGCGGCATACGTGACAAGCATTACCCTTGGGTCAAACCCTGCCAATTTAATGTGAAATGAAATAGAGCTGTTCTATATAACTCTGTTATACTTTATTTGGAGCATCATGCATGACACCAACTTATGATTCTTTAGACGCATATAAAACTTTAATAAATGCTTGTATGACTGAAGGAGAGCAAGAATCATAGCATTATAATTGGTAAACTCAGGTCCTAAGTGATGAACTGTGGAAACATAAATAGAGGAGTGGAGAAGAAATGAGATTGGCAATCTCCCGTATGATAGCGTAAAAGATACGCCAAAGATAAGCCACATTGATGAAAGTCCCCATCAGGACCGACCTGGTCCACCATTTCATAATGCTATACATATTTTAGAGCATGAACCCTTATCTTTTTCTGATAGCATAAAAGATATTCTACGGTAAGGAAATTCTACTCCCTAGTTTATCTCTGTCTTCATGATTGCAAATTTGACCATGGAATGGTGTCCTGGTTAGAGCATGCAATTGGCTGCTATAGAAATGTCATTTTCTTTGTTTATCATTTCTCCTTGTCATGTGATGCCATATGCAATCCCTAAGGTCTAAGTAATTTGAAATTAGAAATTACTTCTAAATTTCATGAGTTGATCTCTTTTTTATGTCTGTCAGCGTCCTCTAAGCAAGAAGACAAAAAACATAGCATCACGATCTTGAAAATAAGTAGGAATTATATATCTTTCAATCACTATGTTGTGTTTGTCCGGCCATAGAAAATTGGGTTGCTTAGATAGTTATAAACAATAATTTCAAAATCTTGATTCATGAACTAAATTATTGGTTGCAAAACCCGACTGAACAATACAAACATGCAAATGATGAAATTTTGGGAACATGGTCTAGTCAGCTTCAGAATGGCCTATGGCAAGTGTTCACAATTCTTCCTAGATGGAAGTGGGTGCCACAAACACAAAAGAAAGCGCAAAATGTCGTTTTCATGTTTAGTTGTAGATTCCTTCAGGCATATCATTTTTTCCTGAAAGGAAAAAAATGAGTTTCATAAGACAAATGATGTGCTAATAATGTTTTCTTCGATGGGATATTGGTGGTTGGACAGTTTCCCAAGAGTTCTAGTCGATGGGCCGTATGGGGCACCAGCACAAGACTACAAGAAATATGAAGTGGTTTTGCTAGTGGGGCTGGGGATTGGAGCAACCCCCATGATCAGCATTGTGAAGGACATAGTGAACAACATGAGGGCTATGGAGGAGGAAGAGAGTGCCATGGAGAATGGAAATAGGGTTGGCATTAATAAAAAGAGTCCACCAAATTCCAAAAGAAAAGAGAATTTCAAGACAAGAAGGGCATACTTTTATTGGGTGACAAGGGAACAAGGCTCCTTTGATTGGTTCAAAGGTATAATGAACGAGGTAGCTGAAATGGACCATAACCATGTAATCGAGCTCCACAATTACTGCACAAGTGTATATGAAGAAGGTGATGCTCGCTCTGCTCTCATTACCATGCTTCAGTCTCTAAATCATGCCAAAAATGGCGTCGACATTGTTTCTGGTACTAGAGTAAAATCGCACTTCGCTAAGCCTAATTGGCGCAATGTCTACAAGCAAATTGCTGTTAACCACAACAACACTCGAGTTGGTATGTTCACTCAACTGTCCTTTCTTTTTTTTTCCTTTTGGTTATTTTAATTTCCTTCGTAAGACTATTCAACTTGAAATTTAATTATAGAATGTGACAATTCTAATGCCTTCAATCATATATGCTTTTAGATTAAAAAAATGAGTGATAAACTTAAGAGTAGTTCCTGTTAACTTCAAGTGCTCCATTATCTTCTTTATATGGCTTTAAGTGTTCAGGAAAGCAATACTTCTAAGCTTTATTTATTGGGTCTGTCTTTTTGGTGAAAAGGAAAGAAAAGATAATTAATTAGGTTGTGTGTTTGATAGAAACTCTCGTCACGTCATTATTAGTGTTGAAAATAATTGAACTCTTAAAGATTCGGTCCATAAAACGATATTCACAAGATGATAAAAATATTTTTCATCACGTAATTACAACGATTTTTAATAAAAAAAATATCATTAAAAAATGCAGTGTTTTTAATTACGACAATAATGTTGTAATACTTAGTATTGTTTAAAAAATAAACGTTTTCCAATTTATTTTAAGTAATTACCGTTAGAAACTTCTTAGGTTAACATGGGAGTAATTAATATGTAAAACCCAACTTCAATTCCCAGGTCTTTCTTGTAAGAATATAAGAGAGACCATTTTATAGTTATGGAGGAAAGAATCTCACAGAAATTTCATATATTGATTTAAGAAAAAGTTTTAGTGGTTTTGATGATGACGATGATGATGATAAATTAATTTGAAGTAATAACCAATGTGGGACAAATATTGTTTGTTGAATGGCAGGGGTGTTTTATTGTGGGGCACAGGCGCTGACGAAGGAGCTACGCCACCTAGCTTCAGATTTCTCTCACAAGACGTCCACTAAGTTTGATTTCCATAAAGAGAATTTTTAATCCACGTTCGCATAAGGATACGCTAAAGAACAGCCTACAGCTCACTTAGTGCATGTTCCATCCACCTTGATCCAACTCTGTCTCAATTGTACAAAGACCTTGGCCCCGTTTTCTTCACTTCTTACAACGTGGGTTGTTTTTTTTTTTTTTTTTGTAATTGTATAAATTATAATGGTTTTATTATTTATCCAAGTCTTTTCTGCACAAAAATTGGTAAATAATTGAGTAAAAAAAGATGGTGCGTTGGTTGATTGGGAGGATTTGGGAGGCCATGGTAGCCCACCAAAAAGAGATTTTGCTTTTAGTCTGTTAGATGAGAAATACGCAAGCGTGAGTGCGCACGTTCTAATTTAGTCCAACAGGTTTAAGTGGAATGAAAAGTTGGATTTGACAGTTAGCCATAAAACGCAAAGACAGGCCTCCTGAATCCTGACCTTTCATTTATGTTTCCGTTTTAACCTTGGGAAACTGGGCTTGATTAGTTGGGTTGAGGTCACGCCTTGATCCGCAGCCTGATTGGGTTGGAAAGGGATAAGGGGTTTCTTCATTGCCATGTTTCCTACATCTGGGATTTTGCTGCTGATAAAGCTGGGAGAGAGTGCTGCTTTTGATTTTAACTGTCTTGGCACCTCCAGCCTCTCTAGTATCCTTGTAGTATTTATATCTAGCTGCCTGCTGTTGTCTGGTGGGGATAGAAGTAGAACTGATTGATCTGACTTGGGCTTGGGTGTACAAGTGGGAGAATATTTCACGGGGATTTCATTAACAACCAGTCGCTCCCATTCTTCAGCAATAGAAGCTGTGGTTTTGTCTTCTCCAACTGTCTGATCTAGCTGTGACGTTTCCTCATCTACAACCATGGCACCGACTGATGAAGTTGATTGTGCAATCGATTGGGTGGAGTCAGGGTTGGTTGAGTCTGGTTTAGATGTTGCCTCATTCAGTTTAGGTGGTACAGACCTGAAATATTCATCTCATCAAGGTGGCAAATATCAGAAAGCATTCAACATTGCTGACATGATGAGTCGAAAAAGCTGAGCTCTAAACTCATGAAAAATGAGGCCAGGTTAAAAGAAATAACATATTTTTTTTGGTACAAAGAAGCCTAATCTGGAGATAATAGCATATTAGGATATGTTATGAAATCCTAATCCTATAAACTCATATAATGCTCTATAATAGAGAACAAATAAAAACTAAATAATGTGATAACGTGCTTGAGAATCTGTCAATCAGCTAAGTAGCATCTCTTATCACTTCACAGTTCAATGGATATAAACTGGATTCATTCATTTGATGACAAGAAGTAAAGTTCCACTAATCTATGAATAAAAGGGCCTCAAATCCCACTTATCTCCCCCCACTTCTTTTCCTTTCCCTAATTCCCTTGTAACAAAACCAGTCTAACATATGGCATTATGCTTTCTGAACTTTATGAGCTGAGATGTTTACAGCAATGATCTTTACCATTAATAGGCTTTGAAAACTACTCGCCATCAACTCTTAGATTGTAAGAAATATTCAACTAACATAAATATGCTCTTTTAGGGGAGAAAAAGAAAAGAAAAGAAAAGATCTTGACTCCACAAAGTGCAGAAAAAAGCATGCACAGTTAACTGTTTTTAATGGGTATGCATTTGGACAGTTTCAAAGCAGATAGTGAGTATGGTTACCCAAATTGTAAGCTCTCCTTTACAAGCAAGTTAAGTTTTTGATGGAAGCCTCTATCATACAGGATTGGATTGTAGTCCCTTGAGTCCAACTGCCACAAATTCATAAAGAGTGGAATTGGAGCAAAATATGAATATGTCAACCTTCAAAATTAACCATGCAACAGTAAGAACAAAAAAGAGATACTTTCTGGGGGGAAAATATGCGGTTAATGCATATGCGAGTACAGCTTTAGTGCATAGATCGTATGTAATTTAGAACTTCCATACCAAGACCAAGTGGCATGACTCGATGTGTATATGGAATATTTTCACATCTCTGATTCCAATAATTTTAGTTAGTTAATTTATACAGCTTGCAGCCCCTTACAACCAACTATATTATACAATGCAAGGTTTGGACAATATATACAGTAGTTTTTAAAGGAGAACACAATAGTCCCTTGTAGTAATAAGAAGGTGATAAAAGGACAAGATGGAGCTGGTAAAAGAAAACATTGATTTTGATCAAATGTGAAACTAGACAAAAATAATAGAATGGGAACAGATAAAGAAACTACAAAGAAAAACTTCTAACCTTTAATAAGGAGGACTGAATGGAAATCTCAATCTCTTTAGGCACTGAATGATCAATGAACCGATTGACATCAGAAAAAGGCAAGACTTCCTCTGATCCTGCAAGGCGCTGCAAGTTTTAAAACAATCAAATAACACAGGTTTACCAACTGATCTTAACCCCATCAGCTAGAAAAACTGGACCTAAAATAGAAGCATAACATTCTGTTGGATGGGTGGATTACAAGGAAGACACTTGACTGGAAATATTATTTAGCAATGAACATATAGATCAACAGCTAATAATGAAGTAGCTTAATAATCACCCTGAGAAGCATTGGTCCATTCTCTGAAGGTTGAAGAATATAATAGCAATTGAATGTTGCCTCCCTCATGGTTTCTACATTGCAATTTGAAGAGCACACCAAGCCTTGGTCCAATGAATGTAGAGCACTGCAAAGCCCTTTGAAGACTGAAAAATTATATCTGGATTATGAAAATGCAATAATAAAAAGAGGAAAAAAAAAAGAAAAGGAAGAACAGGTTTCACAGAAAAATTTCTCACAATTGTATATAAACATAATTTTATTAATACTCGAGATAGTTTTCAATTGTCAGAAATCCTAGATTAACTGCCTCATTAAACATTCATATTGCAGAACAATAGCAGGCAAAAGGACTTCCACGCACATTGAGCATTTAATTCTAACTGATCCACTTCATCTGAGGCAGCTTCTATATCTGAGGAAGTCGATGGAGTTACAAAATAGGGATTCCCAAATAAAACTCCTGTGAGAAATGCCAATCAAGGAGTATATGAGCCAAGCCATAAGTTCGAATAAGATAGTAGCAGCATTTTAAAAGATGCAATGACTGCAAGATATCCACTAAGACGTCAAAAATGGAGCTTCATTTCGAGATTTACCTTCACTTAGAGACCGTAGGTTGGTCCGCTCTATTATATTGAATTCGACAGGTGAAGAAGCCTTTTGAAGTTTCATGGAACTTTCAAAAGAGGGCATAAACAGGATTGTGTTTTCTCCAACCTTCACAGAATTGTCAATCACATCAAATGCTCCAAGTTCATGGCAAGTGACTTGACAAGAAGGCCTTTCAATCCTACTTTTTACCGCATTGCCCAATGGAACACCATGGCACCTGCATGTCTATAGGTAGTGGATCCAAGGATTATTATTCTGCTTGCAAAAGGAAACAAAATTCTGCTTGCAAAAGGAAACAAAATATGGTACAATCAAACAGGAATATTGCCTTCATGCATGTAGGAATGTAAGAGCATAAAGGCAGTGGCACGTATTACTACTGGAATATAAGCATGAGAGTGGGAAATAGGCATGGAAGCAAGGACAGTAGATAAAAAAATCTTAATATTACTACTGGAAGAACACAATAGCCACTTCAGTCAAAAGATCTTGACTATACCAGATTCAAAACTGCTATATCATACAAAATTTACCTAACCTAAGCCATCAGCATTGATTCACTTGAAGGTCTGAAAACTTTAGTAAAATTATTTCGTTTCAATGATTTTGAAAAGATCTTTAGAGAAGAAGTAGCAGCCCATAGTATTGGTGGAACAAGCTATAACTTGCAAATTAATCATAAATAATGATCCATAAGATATCATATGAAGAGAGATATAGGAATCCTCTAAAGAATATAAGATCCTAAATCACCAAGCTTTAAGGCCTATATAGAAGACTGATGAGAATGAGAGTGAAAAAAGACTAAAATATATGATTATAAGTTTATTTTCCAGTTACTCAGGAATTTCTATTCATGGTTACCATTTGATCTTTTGAGATGCCTAATACATGGAGCACTTCAATATATATAGAAGCTAGGTAGATTTTTTGTTAACTTAAAAAATTATCTTTTTGAATAAATTTCAAACTAGTCAATCAACAATAAGAATACACTAAATTGTAGCTAAATTAAGATACACGTTGAATACCTTACAGGTGTTGAATCCATCAATTATAAGATTGACAGAAGCAGATAAATTGCAGGATATCTGCTTCAAAGAGCCTGCAAGGATACTATTAAAGATAAAATGAGCCTGCAATGGCTCTTCCATGTCATCCCTTAGATCTTGTAACCATTGTTTCACCAGGCCATGAAATACTTTGACCTCTGTCACAGTTGCTAGAATATTACAAAAAGGCTTCCATATTTATAGATAATCTTGCGTCTCAGTTGGCTCAAAATACTAAACATTTGATTGAAACATAGCAAGCAATTGTTAACAACAGCATGCAATTCTTAGAGATCCGAGCCTAAGCACAGGATGTAAATAGCTCAACAATAATGAAAGTGTCTGGAAGGAAATCCTACTTTAGTTTTCAGGATTCTATTATTTCTGTGAAACCTGATCAAGAATTTGAAGGGCACATGCACCTCCCAACTCAAGATTCTATTTCAACCTAACAAGCATAGCAATGATACAAGCAACTCACTAGGATAAAAATCCCATATTGTCTATAATTTATATCAAGCAGATTTATTGCCTAAATGTTACAACTAGTTAGTTTTCTGCATCAAAGTGAATATATTATAATTATATTTGTGGTTTCTGCTATTCATTAATGCAAAATGCCCAGTAACTTGAGCTAAACAGTTTGAAATGTACATAGTTATCGGTTATCATAAATGTTAAGACTCCTTGAACTTTAAAGCTGCTCATAAATGTTAAGACTTCTTAAACTTTAAAGCTTCTGTTCTAAAGTACATGCAGGGGACGGTTGAAACCTGGAAGGTAAGATTGAAAGGAGCAGTTGTCAAGATCAGAAATACATCTGGAAAAAGTGTTGATATTCTCCCTTATGTCACTAAGATGGTTAGATCTTTGTTCAAGCAAAATGAACTCCACTGAAACACATTTATCTGCGGCATCCTGTGAGAAAACAGAGCTTGAGGGTTATTTAAATTTCTACAAACCCAAAGAGATACAAAATCCAAACTTGGGTAATATATAGCTCACCATAAGTGTTTCTTTCAAGGCAGAGTCTATATTTTCAGGTAAAAATGAACTCAAGACAATCACTTTTCGCACAATATCTTTTCCTCCCCACGAGTACAAAACTTCATCACTCAAAACACTTGCAAGTTTCATATCTGCTAAATATAATCAAAAGAAACATTCAATCAAACTCAACAAAAAATTATAATTGATTAAAAATGAATAAACAAATAACATGAAACACTAATTTCAATATATTTGTTACATATAAAATTAAAATTAAAGTTGTATTTTTAACTCTTCAGAAATGTTGTTTGGCATTTATATCTAAACCTAATTGATTTTACATTTCGCTTTCAATTTTCAAAGCAAAAACGTTGCTCGAGAGCGAGAGAGAGACCATGGCAAGGGAGCGATCCAGAATCGTTGATCTCAGGAGAATACGAATCGGTTGGCAAACTGTTAACAGCGTGGTGGAAATCACGAAGACTGAAGTCTCCTCTCGGACCATACGCCACCTTCAGCTGTTTTCAAATACAACAGATTTCAAGTAAAAAACACATCTCATCTATCGGAAATCTCCGACTAAATCAAAAGGAGTTACCTCGTCGGAAGAAGAAATGCGGTTTTTGATGACGTAGCACAAACCGATTCGATCTCTGAGAGGACCCGATTTACTCCTCCAATTCGACGAAACAGTGTAGAAATTAGCGAGCTGTAACATTGACTGCGAAATTCGCAACCAAATTTCTCAATTTATCAATCGGAATTTGTGGCAAATTTGATCTCCGCGTTTTGAAATCGCTTACCTGCTTTAGGTCTCTGAGCAATGGAGGCGAGAGGCTACGTAGATCCAGCAAGAAGCAAAGGAGAACCATATTTTTTTTCTATCGTTTCAGTCCATACGTCAGTCGATTTTGGAAGGTGTCGCTTGGCGCGGTATTGTTTGATGAAATGCCGATTTGAAAATTTGGTTTATATAGATGAGACAATACTTCTGTTTCGCCCCTGTACTTGTTGATTTTATAAAGATGGCTCTCCTACTTCTTAAATCTACGTATTTCCTCTCTATTTTTTTGGGTTTATTTTTGAATTTGTTTATTTAGTTGGTGTGAAAATTAATTGAAGAAAAAAAAGGTGAGAACATATATTAAAATAGGGATATTTTACGACACACTTCCAATCAAGCAGTGCGAATATATGTTAACCAAACATTCCAACTTTTTATATGATGTCATAATTATGATTTATTATATTACAGATATTTGATTTATAAAATCTTAAATTTTAAAAATATATATAATTTTTAAAAAAATGCAATTTTTCATGCATTCCGTTTTTTAATTACTGTATTAGATTAAAGAGAATATGAGATTACATAATCTTATATTTTTATTATAATGTCTTTTACTAAATAAAAAATATAATAATTTTTTAATAAAATAATAAACAAATAATGCAATTTCAATGATCAATTAATATCTTATTAAACAAAGTATTGCAATAATTGATAATTTTAAAATACAATTACAATAATCAATTATTAAGTTATAAAATAAAATAATACAATAATTAAATTATTTTTAAAAATAATTATAATAATCAATTACTAAATTACAAAACAAAAGCATCCCATGATCAAGCATGCATTCTTGTTGCATGATTTGACAGAATTCCCTCATGATTTGACAGTGAAGCATCTATCAGTTTTAAGCCTTTCCACGAGAGAAAGTTTTATCGTAAGCCACTTTACTGTTAACTGTCAATTCCCTAGATCACGCATGAGCAAGCATGCATTGTTGTTGCATCTGCCATGAGAAACAAATTGAAACTCTAGTACTATGATAAAAACGATACAATTGCAGAGAAAGATTTCTTCATTACTGAATTTTTATTGAAACAGAAATAACAATCTCTCGCTACAAACCCAAAAGAATCAAAATACTTCTCAATTTGCCTGGAAGTAAGCAACAATCTGACACAGCAGAAAGGTAGCTAAGAACTCTGGAAATGCGTATTTATTTTTTTAACTCTATTGGCAATTGCCATCATCAGTAAATATTCATTTCTTCTCAGACTCCAGAAAACAAGTGTTGATTGAGGATTCCTTCGAATTGGAAAGAACCTCAGACACAAACTTTATCAAGGAGCAGAGTCCACCCAGGAAATTATGATCAATAACACCTTTGCCTTCCACAACATGAGCGAAATCTATGAGTTTAACTTCAGCAACTGGAGTCCTTCCTTTCAAAACCGATTCCCTATCAAACAAGATAAGAAGTGAACATGAATGAAAATGGTAAATAGTTTGCTCCTCAAACCATTCTTTCAGCTCCAATAATTGTTCCAAAATCCCAGCAGAACCACCATATACGATAGAAGCAAAAGAACAATCTGGGTTCACATTTGAACCAATAGAAGAATTTGATGAAACAAACTTTCTCAAAACTGATCTAACATTATCAGCAGTAAAACTCTGGACTTCCTTCTTTCCTGGCTTCCAGCATCCCGATTCCTTACTCTCATATATCCGCAATCCAGCTATTCTGAAACCTAGGGACACGGTTGTGGTTCTTCTATCCTTCTCAAGGCACTTTTGGATGTAGTTGTCAGATGCTTCAGGGTACCATGTCCTGGAACCAATCTTAACATCCATGATAGATGGATTAAGGCAATTTGAGGTTAAATCTTGCAAGACAAGGTGGGGGAGCAAGCCAGAACCGTCAGATGCTTCCAAAAGTTGACTGCCATAGAAAACAGGAAAAAATCTGCGGATGTGGTCTGGAACCTGTGTATCGGAAGAGAATGATTTATAGAAGGTCAGCTCCTTGGTGCCACGTTCAGCATCCTGGAGAGGCTTGTAGAAACGTCCTGAATCATCTATGAGGGGGCCAAGTTTTCCATCAATGGCTTGGTGACCTGCAACCTGATGCTTTGGAACCTTAAGCATGGTGTAGAAACTGATGACCTGATAACAAAGACAAAATTTTTTCACTCAATATTTGCTTCTTTTTCAGCAGTCAATTACACAACACCATCAGAATATGAAAGGTTCTGATTCTTAAGAAATTAGGGGCCCAGCCCTCAAAGCCACTTTAAGACAAAATCTTTTGAAAATCACAAACTCAAGAAATAAGTTATACTCATCAAAGAGAGAGAAAACACATTTTGTAATATTTACAGACTGTAATTCAGACAAGTAATCTAGATAAAATGGAAAAGGCAGCAAACAACCTAATCCCAACCCCTAAGAGAACATTATCTTCTTCATGTCAACAAAACAAGGCATAACCAATAATTCCCTATTTTATAAAACAAAAATGCAAACAGAAATATTCAGGAAAACATCCCCAAATTCTTAAAACAAAACATAAAAGGGCACAAGGAAAATAAATAGTTTGAACAAGTTCACTTCTTATTTTTAGCAAACACAAAGGTTTAAACTTTGACCTACAATGAAACCCTAAAAATTCATCTCCGTGCTCAACAAGCACCCCTGCTAAAAGTCAGTATACAATTAACCAAAAACAGCATCAAATATCAAATTAACCCAATTATAATTGGCCAAGTGACATTGTTCTTTAGCCTTATGTTGCTTTGTGATTTTCACTCAATTCAAAAAAGTAAACTTTTCAATAGTAGTATCCCAAAATTTCCCTTTTCCACAAGAAAATCAATAGCAATATCCAAATTACTCTCTTTTTTTTTTTTCCAAGAAATCCCAATCCAAGAATCTAACACACCAATCGAAAACCTGGAAACTTTATCTAAACATCAAACACCAAGAATGTCAAACGAACCCAAAATAAATTTTACAAGTAAATGAAAATCTGAACAAAAAATCTGAACAACTGAAAGAGATCAATAGAACAAAGATGAACTTACAGTTGAAAGAGTGATAGAGCTTTTGCAGAGGTTGAAATACGATGCGGGGGGTGGAGGTTTAAAAGAGAATCCAAGATGAAAATTGGAGCGATGCAGGCAGTTGTCGGTATGGTGATTTGAACCATTTTTTGAAGTAATCTAGTGCGTGAAGGTGCAGGGAAGATTGTAAAAAAGACACGGTTGGTCAAACTTCAAAGTCAACAGGTTTGATCTTGACTTGATCCTCCTTTTTAAGTTTTCCTTCACTTCCTGTTTCAGCTTATTGATGTAAAATATTATAAAATCATACCATATAAATATGATTAAAAAATAAAATATGAAATTAAAAAATATATATTTTATATTTTTCTATGAATATTAATTATAACACTTAATTTTTTTAATAAAATATAATATAAATATATAAATTTTAATATTTTATATGATATAAATATATAAATAATTCACTTAAACTTTGTTTTTTTCTTAAAATAACTTTTTAGTTGAGAAAGCTGCTAAGATTTCAATTTTAAAAAAAAAGACGGTTTTCTATAAAAACATTTGTAGGTTTGAATTTATATATAAAAAAATTACATATATAGGAATTTTAGTTTAAATTTGTTAGAAATCATTGCAGTCGATTGAAATCATTTTTTTTTATCTGTAATTATTCCCCAGAAAAGAGATTCTTCCAAAAAGAGCAGACGAATGGTAGCTGGCTTCTTTGAAGAAGCTGATTCTTTCCTGGGCTATACCATGCATGCTAAAATAATGCTTGGTGGCTTGAATTTCGATGCCCAATGTGGTCCAGGAACATGGTAGGCAGGTCAATGAATTAATTAATTGATCCAGAATTAGATGCCTTCACGCTGCTGCTACTACTGTTAGCTTCATTTAGGCGATGGAGGACCAAAAATGGCGAGATAACCAGACACATAAATTGGACCAACTTTAATTGGAAATGCAAGGTGGTGAAGAGGGACCAAGACTAATACTCTCCAGCAATATGGCAACTTGGTTTCTTGACATGTGTCCGAACATGTCATCTCGGATGACACGCTTGTTTTGCACCCTTCTCTTCCAAGGCGGTTTGTTCTGCTTTCTTGTCAGAGTTACAACCTCAGCAAGATTTCGCCAACAACAGCAACCAGTCGCCTGTTTTACCAGCTTCACATCGTCTTCTACCTAGCACTTGCCAAAAAATGGTACAATATCTCTCTTTTTGTCTCGGTTTTTGAATCTGGATCAACAGATCACACGATTGTTGGCCTCTGTCTCGTATTTCTCTTGAGGAAATTGACTAGCAACTTGTAAAAGAGAGGTCATTTGATAAAATATGTGATAAAATGACAAAGGGTCCAATTTGTAGGCTAATACAGAACTTTGGTCACGGCAGATATGCCGTTGTTCCCACTTGCAATATGATAAGAGCTGCCATGCAAGATTGTTTAGGACTAGTGTCAGAATCTTCCGCCTGATACTTTTATCTGGATATGGTTGATCATAACTCATGATTTTGGAGAAACTATAGTTGCTGTCAGAATCTTCTTTTGTAAGAGCATAAACAGTCAGAACCTTAGCCCATCCCAATGTGTGTTGAGTGGTGCATGTCTCAATGGAATCAACTTTTTTTTCTCTTTTTACCTTTTCCCCAACTTGTGGTTCTCCATCCTGAAGATAACTTTAGAAGAAGCTGAAGTTAACTTCATGCCTTTATACTGCCTTTTTTTCTCATGTTAGCATGTCCTTGAATGCGATACCGATATGCAACCTAGACAGGATAACATGTGCTTTAGACCTTTTGATACTCGGAAAGCACATCAGGATCAGATATGCAATCCTTTTTTCTTTCTTTTTTTCTTTTTTTCCTTCAGTTACTTTCTTTATAGGATATATTTTCCCCTTTTAGCTAACATTATAAAACAGGTGAAAACTTATAAAAAATTCTCGGATATGTTCTGTCAGAAAGTTATGATTCATTTTACCAAGTTAATAAAACATCAGAAGCAATGCAAGGAGCTGGCTATCCATTTTATCTGATAACCTTATTTTGTCAAGACATTACTCTGTGCTTTGGCCAGGACAGTAAAAATGGAAGTGAATGTTCAAAAAGGGTTGTTGAAGCTCCACAAATTAGACGTGCATTGACATTAATGGATGCTGATTTCTTTAATGAAACTAAGGTGATGAATTTGGCACTATGGATTTATTTTCGATAATCCATCTCGAAGTGGCTATGGTTGTAACTAATTTTATTGTCTTCAATTTAATTTCTCTTTGGTACTGGAGATTGCAAAGGCTGCAAAACAATTCAATGTTCCCATAATAAGAGCTAACAGGAAGTTAGTTGCTTCGGTTAATGGAAGGTTGCATAATCCTTCTCCTTTGGTTTTAATCCTGAGTGGAACAAGGAGAAATCACAAGGCATAGCCAGCAGGTTTAATCATCCTTCGAATTTAGGCATTGGAAGGCCAAAGAAGAAGAAGATATTGCTTTTATGAGCGTGAGTTAAATGATGCTGCTATAAAACTGCATCATTGTCAATGATCTAATTTTGTAAGTGACCTTTCCTGTTTTTTATCAGGTTCTTGAGTTAGGACAACTCATTATGACAAAACAGATTACTTCAGAGGAACTTACAAGAATTTTTCTGAAGAGATTAAAAAGGTAGAAATAAAAATATCTGGTGATGTTTATCATGTATGCTGTCTATGCTCTATTTGTCCAATGAGCGATTCCTTACTGCTAAAAGACAAGGTACAATCCAGTACTCGAAGCTGTGGTTACTTATACTGAAGATTTAGCTTACGAGCAAGCAAAAGAAACTGACAAGTTGTTCTCCAAAGGAGTGTATTTAGGTACCTCTTAAACAATTTGCTGCATTATAATCTAGGAATAACCATCAACCTTGCCCTTAACATTAATAACTTTTTGTTAGAATATATTTGTAATATTTGCAGATTTGTATTTATCTTAATCTTCACTTTTTACTTAGAAAATTCACAAACTGTTTTTTCTTCATTGTCCTCCTTCCAGCCACCGTTCTACTCTTCTTTTTGCTGCTTGGATTCTGCTCACATTTTATTGTTGTTCTGGCTACATTATTTATCCAACCTTGTAGAGTGGTAGAAAATGCTTGTCTGCATAACGAAGTTAACGAATTAGCTCTTTATGTATTGGTTTATTGTCAAATTGCCACATGGTTCAAGAGCTAAAAGTCAGTTGGTGTTTTAGGGCCTCTCCATGGCATCCCTTAGGGGTTGAAGGATATAATCTCAGTACCTCGTTACAAGACAACTTGGGGTTCAACAACTTTCAAAAATCAAGTGCTTAATATTGAAGCCTGGGTATATAAGAGGTATTATATATCATTGAAATCATTGTGAACTACATTAAGAAAGTATTTTTTTTAGTCAGATTATCTTAGTCACTCTTATGAATTCTCAATGCAGGTTAAAATCAGCAGGGGCAGTTCTTGTTGCAAAGCTTTTTTCTGGATCACTGGCCTCTGATGACATCTGGTTTGGTGGTAGGACTAGGAACCCATGGAACATTGAGGAATTATCTACAGGCTCATCAGCTGGACCTGCTGCCTGCACCTCAGCTGGTATTCTTGATTTTTAGCTCCATTTATTATACATCTTAGACAAAATTATAATAAGCATGAGATGATCAGATGATGTTATAGAAACAGGCTATAGCATTTGTAGGTATAACAATCTTTCCCACAATCAAAACAACCAAAAATGTTGATCTCATATGAGAAGTACTACCTATACCAGCTGTACATTGCTTCATCTAAGAAATTAAATTCACATTACTGGTATGGTTCCATTTGCAATTGGTTCAGAAACTGCTGGCTCCATTACTTACCCTGCATCTCGGTGTGGAGTGACAGCATTGCAGCCAATTTTTGGCACGGTAGGACGAGCCTGTGTAATGAGCCTATCAGAAAGCTTGGTAATATCATGATATAGAAGACATCTCCTTTGAGTGAAAGTAGTATCCAGCCACCACTTTCTGATCTGGGAGTGACATTTCAGTAACTTTCTATCTCTCTCATTAACAGGACAAGCTTGGTCCATTCTGTAGATAGGCAGCTGATTGTGCGGTTAGTCTGGATGCCATCAGAGGAAAAGATCTAGATGATCATTCATCAAGGGACATTCCCTTTGGTGGCCCATTCTTAGTTGACATCACAAAGCTTATAGTTGGATATCTTGAAGATGCTGACAAGGAGGTGCTATTTCACACAGATGTGTCTAAATCTTGAGTTTGTTAGACAACGGATGCTTAATAAATAAATAAAAATAGCATAGGTCATGATTGCTATGAGTTGATTTTTTTTTTCCTATTTGATTGAATTGCAACATTATATTTTTGCTGAGAGACAACTTTTCTAAAACCAGGTTGTTCATGTGCTTGAATCGAAAGGTGTTAAGGTGGTCCCTTTCAAACTGAGCTATACTGTCGACTCTGTTCAAGGCGTCCTAAATTTCACAATGGATGTAGACATGTTGGCCCACTTTGATGAATGGCAAGTTCTGGGAAGGATGATGAATATGAAGCTTAAGATCAATGGCCCCTTGAGTTACGTCGTGCACGTGTAGTTTCAGCTATAGACTACATGCAGGATTGTTGTTTGCTCTTTGATTATTAATTGATATATATATATATATATATATAAATTCAGTATTTGTACGTATGATCACAGGCACAAAGAGCTCGGGGAAAGTTAATCCAAGAAGTAAAAGAAAGTTTTACTGTTGACGCATTGATTGGAAATGCAACTGATTGGGAGCGAGAATGCATGGGAAATCTTGTAGGTTTGCCTGTAATGATTATTCCGACCTGGTTCACGAACGTATCTAATCCGCCTCCTAACGGTACTCATAGAAGAACCACCGTCAACACAGGCATTTATGCTCCTCCTAACCATGATCACATTGTAAGCTCCCAATTCAATGGCCATTGTGGGTTGAAACGCCTGGTAGACGATAGAAATTACATCAGAAATCTAACTGTCTTGTGTCTCTTCTTCTTGTTGTCGTTTCTTCAATGCAGGCATTAGCATTGGCAATGGCTTACCAGTCGGTCACAAATCACCATAAGCAACGCCCTCCCATTGATGATCTTGGACCAAATAACACAATCCCCAGTCCCCCCCACAGTTACCATCCCTCCTTGACGCTTACATCTTTAACTGATATAAAGTAACTTATTGCTTTCTCAAGCCAGCTCCAACAGCCAACCTAGTACAACCTCCATTTTTATGCAATCATATTTTTATATTATCTTTATCAGCACTTTCTTATTTTCTCAGCTTGTATGTTAGATAATTAATTAATGAATCAAAAAAGAAATAGGGCAATCCCAATAAAAACATGGGATTATGTTATTAAAAGTTGTAATCTACCACATTTGAAAATAAAAAAAAAAATAATAGAAAAAATTGACCAAATAAGAATATATACAATTAAAAAATTCAAAAAATTTTAAAATTCTTAATATAAAATTTAATATTATCATAATACAATACAAATTTTACCTTAATTCCTTTGATAGCAAGAAAAGACAAGGCTAATGCTAAATCAAGTGAAAGTGCTAGGGGTGAGTAGAAATTAATTTAAATCGATTTAATCAATTAAAATTGACAAAAAATAATCAATTTAATTTATTCAATTTTAGTTAAAATTAGTTTTTTGAAACTATTAAATTAATTAAATCGATCAATTTTTTATTTTTAAAATTAATTAAATTAATTAAATCGATTGATTTTTGATTCTTAAAGTTAATAATTGAATTGATCAAATTAATTAATTTTTTAATAAATTAAAAGAATTGAGTTAAATGTAAAAGAATTGAAATGAGTATTTTTATTTATTTTTTTAATAAAATATTATTAAAATTATTAATTTTTTAAATAATTTAATTTAAATAATATTTTAATTTAAATTTTATTAAATTAAATTTATAATTAATAATTATTTATAATAAAAAATAAAAATTTAATTACTTAATCAAATCGATCAAATTTATGATCAATTATTTAAAATTTTTTGATTAATTTAATTATTTATTAAATAAAAATCAATTAATTTAATAATTAATTTTTTAAATCGAACCGACGAATCCCTGACCCCTGCAGCCCAGATGCAAAAAAAAAGGGTAATTGTCAGATAATTTAATTGTGTTCATTTATATGTTAGTTATTACTGCATTTCCTGCAGTCGTAGTAAATAGTAAGAAGACGATGAGGATGTGAAACTCATGAAACTAAGTTGATAGATGCTGTACGATCTGTGTCATTTCAAATCTATCCCCATCTTTTTTACTGTTTGGATCGGTTTAAAACAGACTTTCTAACTAATGATAGAAGTTGAAATTAATTACTCCACCTACTTTTGCAATTTCATATTATTATTATTTTAACATAAATATATAATTAAACGTGTAAAAAAGTTACATATTTCTTTAATAGTTTTTTGTTTATTTTATTTATTTTTGTTTAAATTACTTAATGAGTGAGTTAATTTTGATTAATTCTCTAAAGATTTTTTTAATTTATTGATTGGTGGTATAGATAAATCATCTTAGCTCTAAATATTTTTAATTATTTTATTAATTTAAGTTCATCCAGTTATGAATCTAATACATTTATTTTTTTTTAACATTTAATAAAAAATAAAATAACAGCTGCACAAAAATTGATGCAATTCACAAATGTCACATTCAATTTCAGTAGTAAATTAAATTATAAACTTTAAAAATTCAACTAATTTTTTAACTCGTCATTGATTGGACCGGTTAAGTCGGCCGTATTGGATGTCAAAACGAGGTAGTTTTAGATATAGATGGAAACGAGGTGGCTTTTAGATAAAGATAGATGCCAATGGGCAAAATCTAAACCTTAAACCCCAAAAAATCAGAAATCGTCGTCACGACTATCAAAATCGTGGCATTTAATGTAATTTTTCTCAAAACTAAGGGTATATTCATTCCCCACCTCGCGTACCTCTCCGTGTATGTATTTGCATTCTTCGACACTATCTTTAATCTCTCTCTGGTTGCCGTCTCTTTCTTGTCCTTTGTGTTTTAATTTTTTAATAATATATTTTTATTCTCCAAAATAATAAAATTTTTCAATAGTAAAACGGAGCCAAATTAATATCTTTCAATATTCGTTTTTGTTTAGATCCAATAAAGTTTCGGTTTTCCTCAGCTGATCCAGGTAAAAAAATTGAATAATTTTCGATATTTTTGGTATTAAATCTCTTTTGTTTGCATTGATATAATCTGATTTTGCATGAAATAATTTTAATTACAATTTTATTTGTTTATTTATTGATAGCCGTTGTTGGGTCAAAGTAACAGATCAAGACGTTTTAAACCTACTCTGTTATTAATAATTCAATGTTTCGTCGATGCATGTAGCGTTTTATAAGATTAAACGTTGAATTATTGGTCGTTTTGAAGTTGCGATGAATCCGATGTTACAGATCTGGATTTTTTTTTGTTTTGAATTCTGTTATATAGAATGTTACTAAGATTTTTGGTTATTTATTGAGATAATGACGTCGAAAATGAAGTGTTTGGTAATTTTTTATGTAGATCTTAGCTGTTGAGAATGGCGGCACCAACAGCTGGGGGCACGCAATGGTACAAAGCGAAAGTCAAAGCAGTTCCATCGGGAGATTGCTTGGTGGTAACGGCCAACTCCGACAGGCCTGGACCTCTGCCTGAGAAAACCATTACCTTGTCATCTCTCATTGCTCCTAGACTGGTAACGCTCACTTGAATATGCTTTTGCATTTGGCTTTGATCGTTGTCAAATTTAATGATTTGCATGTTTGTTTGGACATTTTCTTGTTGATCAATTTAGTATTTGTTTGGATAATGATTTTGTTGAGTGAGAGTTATTCTCTAGAGTTTATACTTGGTTATTGTTTTGATTGTATAATTTCCAAGGTCTATGATAAAAATTTTGGATGCTTGTTGTTTCAGTCAAACTTAGCTGATGCTTTTGTTTTGTGTTTTTTTCCCTTTTTTTCCCTCAACTTATTAATAGGCCCGTAGAGGAGGTGTTGATGAGCCATTTGCCTGGGAAAGCAGAGAATATTTGAGGAAGCTCTGCATAGGAAAGGTGCTGCTCCTTTTGGATTTTTTGGGTCATTGTTGTTATAGAGGACATTGGGTTGTTTAGAATGAGAGTGATCTAAATTCATCTCCTCTTTACTCAGGAAATTACTTTCAGAATCGACTATGCTGTACCAAGCATAGGCCGAGAATTTGGCTCTGTTTACCTTGGCAACCAAAATGTTGCAATGTTGGCTGTCTCTGAAGGCTGGGCAAAGGTAATTTGCTTTTCAGTTTGTCATAATACTGTGGAAGGGTGATTCAATTTTTTTTTTCTCTTTTTCTTTTGTATTTACTTTAACTGAGCCAGGTTTGTACAGGTTAGGGAGCAAGGGCAGCAAAAAGGGGAAGCAAGTCCTTTTCTTGCTGAATTGCTACGTCTTGAAGAACAAGCCAAACAACAAGGTCTGGGTCGATGGAGCAAGGTAATCACTTTCCCCTTTGTAGCAGTCCATTATAAAAATGGCTGTCTTAGTGACCTAGTAGAGAGTAGTTTTTAAATGATCATGGTTTTTGTAATTGTGGTTGTAGGTATCGGGTGCTGCTGAGGCTTCTATCCGGAATTTACCTCCATCTGCCATTGGTGACCCTAGTAACTTGGATGCCATGGGTCTTCTAGCTGCAAATAAGGGTAGCTCAATGGAAGGTATTGTTGAGCAGGTTCGTGATGGTAGTACTGTTCGAATCTATTTACTTCCGGATTTTCAGTTTGTGCAAGTGTTTGTTGCTGGTATCCAGGTACAAGTTCTATACTTTGGTTCAGCGACATTTTTTTTTTTTTTAATTTCCATTCATCATTTGAGTTTTTCTTGTAAAATATCTATAAATTTTCTGTTTATTTAGGCCCCTTCAATGGGTAGAAGGGCTGCTGCAGAGACTGCTGTTGAAACGGATTTGACCTCTGGTGAACAAAATGGAGATGTTTCGGCTGAGCCACGGGCTCCCTTAACATCTGCACAGAGGCTTACTGCCTCATCAACAGCTTCTGCTGAAGTTTCCCCCGATCCATTTGGACGAGAAGCTAAATATTTTACAGAAATTCGCTGCTTGAACAGAGATGTGAGTGAATGAATACTTTAAATTGACTCATGTGGATGCATTATGTATAGATAGTCTAAATTCAATGTTGATTTTGTAGGTACGCATTGTCCTTGAAGGTGTTGACAAATTTAGCAATTTGATTGGTTCAGTTTATTATCCTGAAGGTGAAACGGCAAAAGACCTTGCTTTGGAGCTTGTGGAAAATGTATGTTATTGTATCTTGTTTTGCTGAATGCCTGACTTATGTTTTAATAAATGATATCAACACTGAATTATTACTGAATTATAGTTTGTAGTATTCATGTTTTAGACTTAAGTTTTTTGTTCTGCTTTTGCTTGTAAAATTTTTTACACCCTCAAAAGCATTAGGTTCTTCTTGATAATAATATGAAAAATTTTCCTTCCAAGAGAATTTTGTACATTTGGACCATCTTTAGAAGGTCTTTTTAATTTGTTAATGAAATCCTATGTAAAGATTCCTTATGTTTGCAAATGGTATGGAAGCAGTATCATAGTGGTGTTTGTGTAAGAAACTTGATGATTTTCTTGCCTTTTGTCTCATTTTGTTTATCATGTTTTATTGGTAAAAGTAGCATTTCCTCCCTTAAATGCAGATATTTAACAAGGCTGGTTTTTTATGTTCCTTTAATCTGTAATTTCCTTTCTCTTAAATATTTTTAGCTGCTTTTCCAATGGTCTGCTTTAGATCTCTAGCTTACCTTCTCTTTCCTTACCACTATGCAAAATTGGCAATTTAATGTTATGTGCCATATGTACCCATATCTTAATTTTTTATGTAATTGTGACTGGTTTTAGATGCTATGTTATTGGTGCCTTGGGTTTTATTTCTTTGCTTAGCAGATACTTTTTCATGCCAATATTTTTATAAAACATTCTTCTTTTCTTGAATTTGTGTTGATATATTCTGAATACTCTCTTGCCCCCTTGCCTTCCCTCTTCTCTCAACCTAACCATTTCTTCTCAAAATAAAGGGTCTAGCAAAATATGTTGAATGGAGTGCCAATATGATGGAAGATGATGCCAAGCGGCGGTTGAAGGCTGCAGAGCTTCAAGCCAAGAAGACTCGGTTAAGGATCTGGACAAACTATGTACCTCCAGCTACAAACTCAAAGGCAATTCGTGATCAAAACTTCACAGGAAAGGTAATAGCAACAGTATTTTTTAATAAAATTTTCATGTCGTTGTCTTGGATCACTAATATCAAGTTCTTGGTTTTGTGATTAGTTATAATAGTATGGTTGTTTCTTAGGTTGTGGAGGTTGTTAGCGGGGACTGCATTGTTGTGGCTGATGATTCTGTCCCATATGGCATTGCTCTTGCAGAGCGCCGAGTCAATCTTTCAAGCATTAGATGTCCAAAAATGGGAAATCCTCGTAGAGATGAAAAGCCAGCTGCTTATGCCCGGGAAGCAAGGGAGTTTTTAAGAACACGCCTTGTTGGAAAGCAGGTTTGAATTCCTTTTTTTATGATCTTATTTTGGTAGTGTTAGGAACCTTTATTTATAATCTGTCAACATACTTTTGTCAGGTGAATGTACAAATGGAATATTCCCGGAAGGTCACCATGGCAGATGGAGCTATGGTACCTGCAGATTCAAGGGTAATGGATTTTGGCTCTGTCTTCCTCATGTCCCCTGTTAAGGGTGATGGTGACGATGCTTCTGCAGCAGCCCCATCCGTAGCTGGTAGCCAGCAGCCTGGCTTGAATGTCGCCGAGTTGGTGGTTGGACGTGGCTTTGGCACGGTGATAAGACATAGGGATTTTGAGGAAAGGTCAAACTATTATGATGCCCTTTTGGCTGCTGAATCTCGTGCAATTTCTGGGAAGAAAGGAATTCATTCTGCTAAGGATCCTCCAGTCATGCACATAACAGACCTTACAACAGTCAGCAATCTGTCCTTTATGTTAATTATTTGCTTACTGGTATATTTCTATTTCTTATCTGAATTCTAATTTTCATATACTGTCTTTGTCTACTTACAGGCATCAGCCAAGAGAGCTAGAGAGTTCATGCCATTTCTGCATCGGGGCAAGAGGGTTCCAGCTGTTGTGGAATATGTCCTAAGTGGTCATCGTTTTAAGTTGTTGATCCCTAAAGAGACTTGTAGCATTGCCTTTTCATTTTCTGGTGTTAGATGTCCTGGTCGTGATGAGCCCTATTCAGATGAGGCCATAGCACTGATGAGACGAAAGATCATGCAAAGAGATGTGGAGGTATAGGTCTTTTCTCTTCAAACTGCTTGTCTGCCATTTAGTTGTTTTTCTTTTTTACAAATGTATGTTTTTCTACATAGATTGAAGTGGAAACTGTCGATAGAACTGGAACATTTTTGGGGTCTTTGTGGGAGTCAAGAACCAATATGGCTGTAACACTCCTTGAGGTTGGCCTGGCAAAGCTACAAACTTCATTTGGTGCTGACAGGATTTCTGATGCTCATCTTCTTGAACAGGCAGAGCAGTCTGCCAAGAGGCAGAAATTGAAAGTAAGTAGTAATATCTTTTATCACCATTGTTCTTTCGGTAATGCTAGTTGAATATTTTTTGCCTTTATTTATCTTTAAATTTTTATTTCTAGATTTGGGAGAACTATGTTGAAGGAGAGGAAGTTTCCGATGGATCAGCCACTGTTGATAACAAACAAAAAGAAATGCTACAGGTGCTCTAGGAAAATTAAATAATGCTATCTGACTGTCATGAACTGGTTAATTACTTTTCTTGTTATTTTCAGGTTGTTGTTACAGAAGTATTGGGTGGTGGAAAATTTTACGTCCAGACGGTTGGAGATCAAAGAGTATCATCTATTCAGAAACAGCTTGCATCTTTAAATATTCAAGAAGCTCCTGTGATTGGTGCTTTTAATCCAAAGAAGGGCGACATTGTCCTTGCTCAGTTTAGTATGGATAATTCCTGGAACCGGGCACTGGTTAGTTCTATGTACATAATTTTGAATCCTTACAGCTTTTTGTTTTTGTTTTTCCTCTTCTTCCTTGTGACTTTGTATGGTTTTGACGCTGAAGTGTCTTGTGGCAACTGGGTCCATACTTTGCTTCTTGTGATTGTTGGGATAACGGTGGGGGTGGGTGAGTTAAATAGCATCAGTCCTGTTCCAAAATAGGCAACGATCACTTAAAATCTACAGCTATAACCCTGTAATAAGATTTAAATGCTAAAGAACGAGCCATGTTTTGTAATATATTCAAAATTGATGGGAGATATTGTGAAAAAGCTCAAGGTTCTCTATCTACCAGATGTTAGGAAGCATGGTTATATTTTGTATTTTTGTGGGGTTTTATTTCATGCTCACCTGTTGACCATCTTTGTATGCCACTTGACACATTTCACTTCTCTTTTATTTATGAATGCATCTTGGTTTGTATTGTGAAGATTGTCAACACACCTCGAGGAGGAGTTGAATCTCCGAATGACAAGTTTGAAGTGTTTTATCTTGATTACGGGAATCAAGAGGAGGTTCCATACAGTCAATTAAGGCCTCTTGATCCTTCAGTATCAGTCACTCCTGGACTAGCTCAGTTATGCAGTCTTGCATTTCTTAAAGTTCCAACCCTTGATGATGAATTCGGTACTGAGGCTGCCCAGTTTTTAAGCGAGCAGACATTAGGGAGCTCTCTGCAGTTTACGGCTGTCATAGAGGAAAGGGATACCTCTGGCGGAAAAGTCAAGGGACAGGGAACTGGCAATATTCTCATCGCAACTCTCCTTGCTGAGAAATCGGACCTTAGCATTAATGCTACAATGCTGCAGGTTTGAACGATAAAACAATCCCTTTGCAGGTTTTTTTTTTTTTTTGTACATTTTCATTTCCCTATCTAATTTTGGGCACTATTTTCAGGAGGGACTTGCTAGGTTGGAGAAAAGGAAGAGATGGGAATCCAAGGAGAGAAAGACTGCGCTTGATATCTTAGAGAGCTTTCAGAAGGAGGCGAAAACTACTAGGCGTGGAATTTGGCAGTACGGAGACGTGGAGTCGGATGATGAGGATACACTTCCTCCAGTTGCAGGTAAGAAAACTGGTGGCCGGCGATAGAATGTAATAATATTAATCACTTTGGGTACCCCTAAAGTCACTTGGGGTTACACCAAATGAGTATAGGTGTCGGATCATTCTCATTTCAAGAGTTCAGAACCTAAACTTTGCTTAAATTTTGGCTTTTTTTTTTTGTTCTTCGTAGTGAGGGAACAATTTTTTTAGACATGTTTAAATAAGGTGGACTATAGCAGAAATGCTGCCAACATCAGAAACATTTTTCCCGTTGGATAGAAATTTTCAATTATCTTTTTTGTTTTGGTTGTATATTTTTTTGAGAAAAATTTTAGTTATCTGCTGAAATTTCTTTTAATTTTCTTTTAAAAAAAAGATTTTACTTTGAAACTTTTTGACAAGTGGGAATGCTTTTTAATCCAAATAATGGATTTCATTGAAATTTATACTGAATATTTGATAATGTTATGATTACCCACGTTTCAATGGTTTGAAATTGATCTGTTTAGTATTGAAAATTGAATTCAGTATCTGCATATATCCTTGCTATATATAATGAGGTTTCTATGCTACATTTCACCTAATAATTGTTCAACTAATTTCTCCCATTTTGTAAAACATCGCTCACTGCTTTTTTAACGTTGCACCAAATTAATATGATAAACATTTAAAAAGATGGTTGATAGAACTTTTAGAAGATCACAACGTCAATTATATTAGCTCATTGATGAAAATAGTACATGTAAAATGGTTGGGAAATGTGAACTATGACTGGAATTTGCTCTAAAATATAATTTTTTTAATGAATATAAACATTCATTGGAAGTTAGGGTTACTACTTACGACCCCTCGGGACGGGAAGGAACTTTTGCCTATTTCGCTCCGACTATATACCACCTTAACATTAAATTTGTTTTAATACCAAATCTTGATATGAAAAAAAATAAATATATATATATATATATATAACCTACATCTGTATCGATTCAAATTTATTTTATATATTATTTTAATGTCATATGCATGTTAACTCATTTTAAGTATGTTATTATATTATTAAATTAATCTTTTTAACAATATTAAATAATAATTTATTAATATAACATACATAAAAAAATAAAATACCTTATCTTTTCCATATATCCCAAGAATAGACGGAACATTCTGAATCAAATTCCCATTTTTTTATTTTTAAACCGACTCAACCCGGTTTCAATCCCGAATTTTCAAAGAGAACCCCACCCTATGGAGGCAGGACGTAAGCTGGGATAAATCGCCATCCCTCTCGTCTGTAAATATAACCATAATCGTTTTCATTCGAAAGTGTAGGGATATATCCATTCGAATAGAAGGGAAAAAGGGGATGTAGATGCCGTTCATCTCACTTACAACTGCCAGATTGATAACTTTTGTCCCATTTTAATGGATAAATTCATAAGAATAATCTTCCGACATAATTAACTCAGATTTTTTGACAGCAAAAGTGTAACAAAGTTCTACATGTTCTACCATTCATTGGCCCCATCGGGGTTTCAAAAGTCATGATCTAAAGTTCAAAGTGACAACCATATGCTTTAGCAGCACATCATAAAACATCAAATCCTCAAACTCCAAGTCTACTTGGTTTTTGCTTTTTGAGGCAGAAAACTGTCTCATTTACACTCTTCAATTCATACATCTACTATTCAGAAGTACCAAGAATGTTTCATCTATGAAAAACACCTAAAGCGCAAAAATTTGTCCAATGCGAAACTGATAATCACCAGCCACTAAGTGTCGCGCCTCCTTCGGCGAGGAGCAGCAGCAGTTTCTTCTTTTTCTTCCTCTTCAGCCTTTTCTCCACCGCTTCCTTTATCATTTGATGTCTCAGCAACCTCTGGTTTCTTCTCTACTCTTGGCTGCACACAGTTAACCAATGGAGTAAGACAAACAGAGGCAGAAGACAGAACAGAAAGATAAACTGACAGAAGGGGTTCAAAAAACTTACTTGCTTCTTCCCACCAAATATGAGCTTGACGAAAACTGTGAGGATAATCACCAGAATAGAGACTAGGACACCAATTGTGAGGTTTGGTTGTTTCTCAGCCTTCTCAATGAGGTCCTATAAGAGAAACTCAAAGTTTCAGATGAAATCCACCAATGAATTATCAATTTGCATATAAAAGAGCATATTAAGAGAACTTACGAGAATTTGAAGCTTGTATTCACTTAAGAAAGGAATATCAGCAACCTTGTATAGGACATCAAAGACCTTCTTCTGCAGGAGAGATATTACCAACTTTTAAGTTATATGGTATGAATAAGAATAACAATAGCAAGTAAGATTGCCAGTGCATTTACCTGGAAGCCTACAAGCCCGTCTGAACCAGCAGCTTCATCCTCAGCCTTCTGTTTTTCGTTCTCAACCTCAAATTTGGGCTTCCATGTGGTCTCCCGGTATGACTCAGCAACCTTCTCATTTTTAGCTATCAAAATATTGTCAAACAATATACCATCTTGCATAGTCCAAATCTCAATACCAATGGCAGCAATAGGCTCAAAGTCAGGCTTGTCAAGCTCAAAATAGTTGGGGTTTGGAATCTCCTGAGGCTTCCAAATACCCTTGTAATTGGGGTTGTCAATTAGTGGAGGAGACCATTTTCCCTTGTAAGCTGGATTCCTCTTCATTGGTCTCTTCCATTCACCACAACCAGGGGCCGCCTCACACTTTGGGTTTTCAATTTTTGGAGCTTCCCACTCACCATCCTCTTCATCATCCCAATCTTCTGGCTTGGTTGCCTCAGGATCATCTATCTCCTCAGGCTCATCATCTAACCATCCTTCTGGTTTCACAGCCTCCTCATCTTCAATTTCCATGGGTGCATCCTCATCCCAATCATCTGGCTTCACAGCATTTGGATCAGGAATCCTTGCTCTCTCATCCCAGTCCTCAGGTTTCTTATCATCTGGATCGGGAATTGTCTTGGCAGGGATAAGTGGAGGCTCAAAATCTTCAGCTGAGAGGAAGTTTGCCTTCTTCTTCTCCTCTCCATCAATCATAATTCTAACCTCATTGTCAGGTTTCAAGATGGCAGTGTACACATGAGTAAGCTTGTCAGAAGGGACAGAGAGTGGGTATTTAAGATGGTGTTCAACGAATTCCCCACTTTTAGGATTCTTATGCTTCAAGATGAAGTGCACTTTGTTTGTGGCCCCACATTTGTCAGGTCCAAACATGATAGAGTAAGGGCATTCATTGTCAAATTCCTTAGGCTTCCACCCAGCCTCTTGAGGACGAAGGTATTTCAGATATGCACCACCACATTCAAGTCCATTCTGGAGGCGAGTCTCAAATTGAAGCACAGTGGTTCCATCCTTGAGACTCAGTGGCTCATCAAGCTCATTCACTATTGCATACTTCCGTGCCTTCTCACTCACAAGAAGCCCATAGTCATCATGCCCTTCGCTCTTTGAATGCTTCCATACACCTGCAACCCCCGAACCACATCAGAATATATATATATATATATATATATTCTTCAACTCCCTAAAACATCTAATAAGCCTATGGATATCATATAACAATTCAAACAAAAATAAAAAAGGCTTTTGATACTTTACAACTGTCAAGACTACCTCAAACTTCATCATCTCAAACTTGAAGTTATCATGAATGCAAACGTAGAATGAGGTAAATCAAATGGAAAAGAGACACAAAGTCCACAAATTTCCAGGGCAGCTAATCCCTCATCAGAAGATTGATAAACAAAAAGAACCCAATGATGGAACTCAACAAGATCATCAAACTTTCTAATGCATCACAATGTAAGCAAAGCAATGAACTTGAAAACTAAAACCATCATTTCACATCAGGTCAGGATCAAAGAAATGGTGGATAACATCATAAATCTTATCATTACTTCCACTTTACCAAAGATCTCATCTTTGCAGATTGCTTCTATGCATATTTTGTTTCTTTAATTTCATATATTTATAATAAAAATTAAAAAAAAAAAAAACCTCACCTTTATAATCATCTTTATCAGAAACCACCCATCGCCCATCAAATGACTCTTCAAATGAATCATAAAATACCTGAAAAAAAAATCCCAAAAAAGAAATTTCTCATTTTCAATTTCACAGATTAAAAAAAAAAATTAGCAATTCGAGGTTAAAAAAATTTTAAATTACCGCATCATCATCGGCGGCGAAGCATAGGAGCTGCAGCAACGTGAAAGCTAAGAGGAGAACAAGAGCGAAACGCCCCATCATCATCAATCAAAGAACCCTAGCTCTGATGATGATTCAAAATTTTTTGATCTGGATCTAAAGCTAAATCAGAGCTGCAACTGTACGTCGAGGACTTTTATAGATCTGGGTGACACTGGCGTCGACTTGTTTCTCCCAAAGATAATTTGCCACGTGAAATTAACCAATACTAGTTTGCCACGTAAGCAGATCCAGCAACTTCGCTTATGTACAATATTAGTACATGATTTTCTTACGTTGGAAACCTTCTTTTTTTCCTTTGCTTATTTCTTTGCCAGGCTTGACCCAGTCTAAAGTAGGAAATGGTTCGGTCATGGCCCGTTTGGCGGATGCTGATTGGACCGGAAAGTGGCCCATTAGCAAAGTCTTCCTTTTCTTATATTTTACAAGGAAAGTTGCTGCTCAGGGATTAGGTCAGAAAAATTGCAAGATTTGGAGTAAGTTTTTAATATTTATATTTTGTAAAATATTAAAATTTATATATTTACATTATATTTTATACCAAAATTATATATTATAATTTATGTCAAAAAAATAAATTATATATTTTTTATTTGATTAAATTTATATATAATTATTGTCAAAATTTTAAATTGTATCATTTTTATATTTTGTTTTTGTATTGTATTTATATCATATCATTATATCATATTTTAAATTATAAGGTCTAAGTTAGAGATCACGGAATTCACTTTTTAGAGCAGTTTGTTAAATCATATGAATTAAATTTTGAAATTTTTTATTCATATTATTGTTATTATTATTATTATTTTATATATATATATATATTATATCATTGATAAAATAAGTTCTAGAATTATATATGAGGTTGTTTAGGATCAATAATAAGTTAAATTTGATGTTTATTTTGAGTTTTTTCAATTCGATTTATTCATGTTAATCTATTAATGTTCACATTTGTAAATATATTATATACAGATTTGATTGAAATATATTAATGTTCACAAAATTCACTTTCCTTTTCAATTTACTAGATGAAATAAAAGTAAATGGAAGGGTGATCCAGCTTCCAAGGTTGAGAAAATTAGAGCTTCTATGCATGTATGAGATCCTTTGCTTATAGCAGTAACTACTAACTAATGCTCAAGTTTTCAACTTTAATGAACTCAGTTAAAACATCAGTTGCAAAATCCTGAGATGGAAATGCTCAAAATTAATGAATTTCACTAATGTTAAAAACCAGTTTTCATATGCATGAAACTAATTATGTCTGTCTCATGCTCCCATGCTTTAGTTGAATTTTCGGTGAGAAGCGATTTTCATCGTGTCATCACGTCCCAAGCCTTAGTTGCCAGCCAGCTTGTTAGCATAATAAGGTAACCTTTCTTTATTAATTGATCTTTGTTGAATATATAAGCCATTGTTGTGACTCCAAGCTTTCAAATTAAGCATGTGCATTTGAGGGAATCCATATATAGACGATAATATTACAAACTTCGATATAGCTAGTTATACACTTTCAGCATGAACTTCCAAGCCGTCCAAAATCAGTACTTGTTACAACTGAGAAAATTAGGAGTGTTGCGTTTGATTTTTACAAAGACAATTTCATAATATAGAGATGAGAACTGCTGCATGCATTTTAGCAACTGATAAATTTATAACCAGGCACTGTTTAATACAAACCAGTATAAAATTTTCATGTTATATGCATCAGCAAACTGTGTAGCTGAGCTGAACTAGATAAAAAGCTACCTGGTTTCCAGCATAGCCATCAGGGATCCAGGGTACATAGTCGATCTTCTGCTGATCACATCAGTAGCCTTTGCTGATGCTGATAGACTGAGAGCCAACATTCTCTAACGCCCTCAAATCAATGGATCTCTCCTGGGATAACAGCAGAAGAGCCGTTGAGGGAGAGAGTTAGAGACAGTTGGGTCCCCGGTTTCTTCGCTTGCAAAGAGAAAGGAAATTAAAAAGCAGGTGATAAGAAAGAGTTGTGAGATTTATTTATAAACACTCGAGAAAATTTGTCCCTATATCTTTTTTTTTTGGGTACTTTTTTGCCTCTTTTCTTGTTGTATTTGGTTAATATATAAATGATATAGACGAGACTCTTAAGGTTGCAGACAGTTTTAGCCGATGAAAGCAACTTACAATGAAACTTCTTGTTATTTTCTGACATGTTATGAAACTCCAAGATGTTGAAAGAATATAAATTTTTGTTTAATGCAGTGTCTTTGGTAACATCCTATGAAATTGGAACAACCGTTGACGTTTTAGTAGATTATGGGCTTAGTTAGTGCCAAATCATTTGGATTCAATCAAAAGTTCTAAAAAACAAAACGACAACAAGAACTCAATCTCAATGAGTAATTAATTTCAGAGATTTTGCTCTTGTTGCCCAATGATGTTTCTGAAAATATTATATACTCAAATGTCACAGCTGGGAGCTTATCGACACGAAATCTTCAAAAAACTAATGAGAAATGCCAGTATGTCATGTACAATGGTGAAAATGGCCTTTAACAATCTCAAGGGCCTCAAGAAACTCCGTTCTAAGGGTCCATGAACAATTCTACAAATACCAGAAAACAGATGTTCCACTTCTCAACGTCGCAGCCCCCACTAAACTGCAACTACTGTTAGTGAGTATGTCAAAGTTGGGTTTATGCTACCTGTTTTGGCTCCGAAACTTTCCAGGTTATATTTCCATGTTCGTTTGGTGTAAGAAATAATTGTAGGAAAGGCCAACCACATATAATGACAAATCCACCATTTTGCACAAGGATTCCTCTTTTGTCTGTGTTTGCATTTGGAATTTGGGGGTCTTCACCATGAGTTCAATGCCAAACTCCCTATAACCTTTTGTGATTGCAGCAACTAACTTGACTGATACAGCCATTGATGATTTTACCGAGATTAACCTTGATGCAGAACGTCCCACTTATTATAGGTTGGGGTTAAGGTCCCCTAAACAACTACCCTGTGACCGAAGTTAGCATAACCTTCATCAGTGAAACCTTGGGATTGACAAATCAATTAGTACACAAAAGGCAGCATGAGTTACTGCTATTTATAAAAAAAAACATGTGTTATTAATAAATTGGCAGGTGGATATGAATGAACAAGCTGGTTAAAACAAATTTATTACTATATGATATTATCAATTTTATTGCTAGTGGTGATCATTACTCTACCTTTTAACTCTATTCTTAAACAGATTAATTACCTGCAGACAGGATGGTGATCCTGCTATGGACAGGAGGCGAAGTAAAAGCACTGCCTTCATTCACCTATATGGTGCAATTCATGAGGAGTAAGCCTTCAGTTTCCCTCGCAGGGTCCAACAAGGGATATTGGAAGCCTTTGAGGGAAACTGGAACCTTCTCCGATTTCTTCAAAAAATCACTCGCCAAATTACTAAGTATGCTTAGTTGTTTACATGGTGCAATTCATGAGGAGTAAGCCTTCAGTCACCCCCGCAGGTTTCCAACGATGTTGGAAGCCTTTGAGGGAGCCTGGAACCTTCTCCTATTTCTTCAAAAACTACTCGACGAATTCCTATGTATGCTTAGTTGCTTATGCCTATCATAACCTCTGGTGGGTTTATATAGAGAAAATTGCCCCTATTTGCTGTGAAAATTGTGTCATATCCTACATGCATGATGGAACATCAACTACTACATCCTTCTACATTACTCCATTGACTCCTGTAAGCGAATAACTATCTGGCTCCATTGACTCTTGTAAGCGAATAATTATCTGGCTTTTGCTCATGATCTGTTGAAGTATTTTGTGTCAACTTCTGGGATCAGTAGCCTTCAAATCTATACAGAATAAAAGGTTGATCTTAGTTAATTGACTCACCCCATATTTCAAGAGTCAAGTGAATATCTCATACTTTTCTTTTGCAGGACCACCTAACTGGATGGTAGGTATGAAGTTATTCTGCAATAATATAAATCATGTCCCTATCTAGAAGAAAAAAGTGACACCACTAGAACTGTATATATACCTCTCACTGTACTCATGGAATCCTTACCCTGACTGCCAGCTGAGGAAAAAGGCCATCACCCTCAAAAGTCAAAATGTAAGTAACAACAACATGCAAAATGGAGGAAAACTTGGCTGGAATACACAATTTTTCATAGATCAAATGAACTTGCCCAGCCAATTATGGGCCGAACAAGTACCCAGTGTCCAAAAAATCAATGGAGTAAACATGAAGAAAGGATTTTCCCTGAACTACCATTTTGTAGTCGGCATCTATCCTGAAATCTGCAAAATCACAAATCAAACCATATAAAATTAATCTTGAAGAATCTAATAGTTTCTTTACCTTGTAATCTTCCTGGAATCGACATTATTGGCTCTTAGGATGATAAGGTTGGTGGCAGAACGTAGTGGAAGGAATATATAGGCGTAATGGAGACACTAGCTAAGGAATGGATTCTCAAGATGTTAAAAATCCGCCTTGTCTTGAATAAATGGGTATCAATCAATACATATTTCAACAGTAAGGATCACTCACTAATTGTCAAACTCAAACCTGTCCACATATTTCTTTACAATTGCTTTTATAAAATATGAACAGACAGCCTCACTACATACAAGCGTCATTTAAGAGAGCTTTATTGAAGACTGGAAATTTGTAGTGTCTGCATAAAGAAGGTTGGAGCTGGAAAACTTGAACACTTTGTTACGATGGAACCAAATATCAAACATTGTCTGTTTCATGATTCATATATAATTCCTTGAAGGGTTTACAACAGACATGGAAATTGTTTGAATGATTGGATAAAGAGTTTAAAAGAGCAGGGTGTGGATAAAGAGGAATAGGATGTTGCTCAGCTGCAAACGACGTGGGGATCTTATAATCCAACCAGATTGCACGCTCTTGTTGAATTATTGTATAAATAGCGGGAAAAGAAGAATAGATGAATCAATGAACTGAAGATTGAACCAAAATCATTACTGTCTTGGTATCATAATGTCAAGGTTCTTTGTAGTGAGATCAAGTGGCAATTAAGGAGAGAAATAAGAAAAGCAGAATAAACAAAATCTTATCATTGTTTCATGGCATAATTGGATCTTCAGGACAGAAAGAAAATTTTACAGCTTGAACAATTCGAGCATCAATTTAATCTCATCTCTTCTTTCTTTTGGATATATAAACATCATTAAAACTTCATGCTTCTGCCATAAAGAGGCTGCAAAACTGCACTGAGAAACTATAAACAACTTCACCTAATTAAGTTCTTTTTACGATCAACTGCCTGGAAAAAAAATAATAATCAGACAGCCATGAAATTTGGTTATAATTTCCCACACGAATCCGGTGTAGTGGTATCAAATATTACCTCGGATTTGCATATTTAGGCAATGAAGAGTGAACACCGTGCTTCTGTTTTGTTGAAGACTTGAAAATTTGGAATGCCTATGCTTTCCTGTTCTTATTCCGCAATGCAGTTTGGTCCATGTGGTGTGAACAATGTTTTAACCAAGTAAAGCGAGATAAAGAAAAAAAAAATGATCTTTAATCTCATCAAGTTCTGTTGCTTTGCTCCCTAGTGAATGACTAAGTTGACTTGGAACATCCGCTGCAAAGGCCATCCTTATCCTCAAGCTTGAAATTAGCTTGTAAATTGCTGCTACTTACTTTTACCTTTGCTTCTATTGAAGAAATTAAATATAGATATATTAACCACTTTTTATTTATTTTCTAAAGTCGAACATTTACCCCCTTGACAATCAGACCATATCTACAGTTTATTAATTTAACTGATTTTAATGAGTTATATTTGGGAAAATTTCTGGTTCTTTTTTTGGCAAACTTTTTGCATTTTAAGTGTGTGCAATGCATCCTCTATGCTCCCAATTCTTTAGGGAGAGTGGAGCGAAAGACTACTCCTCAACTGGCAATGAGACAAATATAAAACATATATTTCCATTCTCAATAGTCCATCCTTAACCATCAAAGCTTGAAACCGACATCAAAAAGACACCAGCCTCCAAACAAAGTGAAGCAACAACTTCATCTATATACACTACAAGACAAAATTGCCAAACCAAATATCCCCATTATATTACTGTACAGTTACATCAGGACATGAGCCACTAGCTAGGTGGATCTAGAAATTTCCCCTTTCCCTCATCAAAAAAGGCAGAAAAACAACCTCGTTATGCATGCTAATTAACCATCTAGACCAGGAAACTTGGGATTAACACCAGCTGATTTCAGGGTTTCAGCCCGAGGCGTTGGCCTATGAGCGAAAACATCACCACGTGTGGGATCATGAATGGCATAGTCATCATCATTTTCCTGAACATGGGCAACTTTCCTAAAAAACGATTGCTTGATTAACCTATCAGCTTCATCCAGCACGCGATCAGGCTCCTCCACCTCCGGTAAAGTCTCCCTTCTCTTCTTGTTTACTCGCACTTGAGGTGAGTTCTTCAGCTGGTGAAGTGCCGTGTACAGCCCCATGGTGGTTGACAGCGCCATCATGCCAATTGCTACGTAGACAGGCACGAAGTCACCCCTCACTTTCTTTGGTGGCTTGACATCTTGAGCATACCCAAAATCGGCTGTTGGTGCGTATGACTTCATTTTTGGTGACGTTGAGGTCGCATATGTGGCCTTTCCTCGCAAGTGATTTGCTAACTGCTTCAAATAACCCTGCAATAATCATATGGAGCAAATTTTAATAAGAACCCAAAGAAGAAAATCAAAGTGAAAACATGAAAAAAAGTGCTATACAAACAAAATACTTACAGTTGATCTAAAAACCATGATTCTTCACTGTTGCTCGATTGTATTGTATTAGGAACTGATAATGAAACTCTTTTTTAACTGATGACTTACTGGTGCAGAGACAAGTTAGGAATCCTGGGGATTTATAGCAGGATGCAGATAGCTGGAGAGATTTCTGGAGCCATCAGCCCTGTACCACAACAGAGAACTGAAGTGACATCGGTCAAGATTTTCAAGGGTACACCTTTAGCGTAGAAGCCTCCTGAAGGGGCATGGCATTCAACTACAATTTCTGTTTTTTCTGTTCGTTTATCTGTTTCCATTTGGTTTTATCATTGGGGCCAATAAGATACAAGACCTGATCCTAAATTGTTAATTTGTCTTTGACCCAACCCAAATGAAGCTCGTTGGCTACATAGACGTAGTCCACAACACATTCCCCAGTTCACCTCTGAATAAGAATTATCTTTTCCATAGTACTTGTGGTTTCCAGGCTTCATTACATTGCATCCAGAGTCTCGTGACTTCCATCGTTTTGTAAGGGACAGAGTGGAGAAGGGAAAAAGGAAAAGAACCCCAAAAAGGGACATCAGCGTGGAGGTGATTTAGTCTGAGTACGAGGTTTGTAAGCAAAAACATCTGCAGGAGGCACGACATGTTGGGTTGGGCCTGTTGCAGTAAAAAATACGTGAACGGCAGGATTCGAACCTGCGCGGGCTGAGCCCACATAATTTCTAGTCATGCCCGATAACCACTCCGGCACGTCCACCTGATTAAGATTAACAGCTTTAGTTAGAAATAAATCTTGTTTAATAATCTGATTTGCCCCCACTTCCGCAAGGCTGGGAAAGACCTGATTAGTAATGCTGGAAGTGTCAGCCATGCCAACCGACCTTGACGGTGATTGCCACTTGACTGCTTCGTTTGCATGTTCATTTAAACTTCAACTCATAGATGTGATTTAAGCTTGGCTTGTTAAATAAATATATTAACTCTCAGGAAATTGATGAGATGATCCTTTCATCTGAATCGATAAATATTTTATGGTATCAAACATTTATGTAATATAAGTAGAACAATCTCTTTTCCCCCGTACCACCTCTATCAATCACCAATTTTCAACTTTGCATAAATTAAAGATAAAACTCCTTGGATTTTAGTGTTCCATAACCCATACCACCTGTCTCAAACTTTGAACAAAAAAGACAAGAATATATCTTCATCAAACTTCAATTATTCCAAGGAACCAATTAACTTAATTAATCACTCCACGATCAAGACAAAGTGTTTTTTGTATGGTTTATGCTACAGTCTTTCCACATTTAGCCCTCCCTAATATCTGCCACTAATCTTGGATTAGTGCCAATTGACACATAGATTCTCACACCCTTCCCATTTTCTAAAATGGGGTTAGAGTAAAACTAATAAGTGGACGGTGCAAAGCGTGTGTACCCCCAATATATGAAAAGGAAAGGGCATATCTCCTTCCCCTTTAGACTACTATAATATTTTCTTTCCTTTCTTGCCATGACTTGCTTTAACTACCTTTCCTTTTGTTTATGGTTTCTTTCTCTTGTTTGGAGAGGGAACCCTCCACCTGTTATGTAATCTTTTCCTCCTGTTCTTCATCATGGCTTTGGCTTTATTTTTTCTCCACGTGTCATGACTAGGTCTCCTCCCACTCTCCTTAGCTAGAGTTTATTACTATTGGGTTTAGAATAGACAAATGGATGGGTTTAGAATAAATCTAAAGGTTTGTAAATGAAAATTTTGAGTTTTTTTAGGTCATAGAAACATTGATCAAAGACTAATGGTACAATTTACCCAATGAGATAAGTAAAATCAATGAGTCTATGCATGCAAGTAATATTAAGTACCAGGCTATGATGATTAATGGAAAAGCAAAAGAATAATAATATTCTGGGTGGAAGATAAGATGACCCAATGGGAGAATAATACGATGGGACCGGTGCAAATTTGACACTCTTGGCTGATCTGTTTTCTTTGTCTTTTTCCCTAATTCTTTAGAAAAACCTGAAAATTTAAGCCTTTGACACCTGTCTAACAGTGTCCAAATCTCTTTATATAAGCAGGGTGTTGCATAAACAAGGACAATGCAATTCAATCTGTTGTTCTTATTCCTTCTATCTGAGCTCTGAGCTTAAGTTTCCTGCCAAATATGTGGAGAAAAAAGAAGAAGAAGAAGGAGGATACAGCTATGGAATACTACTGCATGTCTTGGATAATACTACTACCCTCTTCTTCCTCCTAGGGGAATTGAAGGGGCAAAAGGCAAGTCATTGAGGCAAAGGGAAGGCCATGCCTTTCTTCCGGATTTTATTTTTCTTACCATGTTTCATCTGCATCTCAATTCTCAACTCAGAGTCAGAGGTTCAGATCCAAAAAAATACGCCAAGAAAGTTCAAATATTAGCAGATTGAGTTGTTCCAAGTTGTTTGATTTTCACTATTTGTTCAACAAAAATGGTTGCTTGTAATGTTATCTTTGCCATTATATTCTGCTCTTTCCATTTTCCCTTTGTTCAAAAATGTTTCAAACTCATCTGTCGTAGCTGCTAAAACAATACGAAAAGATTGACCCTGTGAAAAGGGTTACCTGATTTGTTGCTTCAATATTGCCAGGATTTCCTCAGCTGACGAACGTGGGATTATGAAATGGGCTGTAGGATAACCTTGGGCTTGTTTCAGGTTATGACTTATAAATAAATTGTTCTTCATCGACATGCTATTGTACACACAATTCTCAGTTTCACAGTAATTCGTTTAGTCTCTAAACCAAGTTTATGCACACGGATTTTTGCTGGTAATTCTTGGCACTTCCATGTCTCAAAGTATATTTGCATATATCCATGGCTGCTCTAAAGTGCAACATAAAATCTCAAGTTTTTCACCCAAAAAGAAAGTCAACCAAAGACATGAATAACAAGGAAACTTCAGTAGCTCATTATCGCAAATGTCACTCATATGAGCAAGACATGCAATTTTGTTTTCCTCCTTGCCTTTCTATTCAAGCTTAGAAAGGTGTTTCTGAAAAGAAAAGAAAAAAAAAGTAATGTTTGCTACTGCACAAACAGGTAAATGCAGAAGTCAAAACATATGGGCATGTTGTATTTGACACTTCAGCACAATCAACAGAATCCTGTAAAGTTCTCCATGTATCTTGTCTTCATATTATCAACAATCCCATTAATAAAAAGCATTGCCCTTAACAAAGAACCATTACTTAGTCCTCAGTTACTGAGCACTTTCACCATAAACAGAATATATATCAAATGCAGATCAATCTTTTTTATAACCTATAACTTTAGTAAATCAGCATCTATGAGAAATCCTTCATCTCTTATATCTGACTCAAAAGACATTATGAACAAGAAAGACAGGCAAAAGAAGAAAAAATGAATAGCATAATGACATCATTATGTCATATTATAAACCCAATTCTCAACATTTTGTTCAGATAAGCCTGTGGAAAAAAATATTTTTACTGCAAAACTATGCTCCCCATTCTCTGAAGGGGAATTATCACCTATTATATAACTGAAATAATCATGCTACTTGTTTAATTATCTTATTATCGTTATATTCGTCATCAACTCTACTTTCCTTTTCAGGAATAAATGTGAGGCCACTAGACCTGACTACAGAACTTCTCTAGCCCAAATCTAGACTCTTTTTCATAGCCTCATAAACCAAATACGTAATGCTTGCAGCTGGGACAACCTTGAGAAGATTAGGAAAGAGTCCCTTATAGAAACCTCTATAACCTTCATTCTGAAAGGTTCTCCAAAATACATCAGACATTCCCTTATATGCAGCATCAGAAGTAGTACGTTGAGCTTGCATTCTGGGAGAACAAAAAAAAAAACAAACCTAGGCAGTAAGCAAATATAACAAAAATGTGGAAAAAAATACCAAAACCTGTATATGATAATGCGGATGAACCCAAATTACCAGAGAAGGGGGACTTTTACACATTATAATCATACCTCGTTCTAATAACCTGCAAAGGATAAACGCATGTTGCCCCTAAACCTCCAGAAATTGTTCCACAGCCTAGTTGCAGAAGAGGACCAGGTTCTACAAAAACAAGAAAGAGTCATCAGAAAGCAATTTGAGTAAGAAATCCAGAAGAAACTCCCAAGTTAAAAAAAAGTAAAGAACCAAAAAAGACAAAAAAACAAGAAGCAAGCCCAAAACACAGGAAGCGGACAGAAAAGTACCAGTATCTTGAAGAATATATGTCCTTGAAAAATCTTTCAAGGTCTCATAGACAGCAAGGTCAATGCCAGCATATGGGATAATCCCAAGAAGAGATGGCACAAGACCTTTATAAAATGCTCGAGGTCCCTCCTGAACCCATATATCCTTGGTTAGTTTCCCCAGATTTGGAGCCCTCCCACCTTCAGAAGCACAAGTCTGTAACCGAGTTTTTACAAGATCCATTGGGTAGATAACAGATTGTGCCACTGCACCTGCTACGCCACCGGCAATAAGTCTCCCACTGGCACCTATATCACCCTTCTTATCCCCCATACTGTCTCCTATTACATTTTTTAGCATTTCATATGCATAGAACTTGATAGCACTTTCAGGTGCAACCTTCATAACATTTAACCCATTACCTCGGAAAAACCCCAAAACACCATCTTCCTTCCATATCTTCTTTACAGCTGGCAGAATACTAGCACGTGTAGTCTGCACTTGCAAAACCACCTTCAAGCGATCGAGAGGAGCAGTTGCAGTGCGAGAAGCTGCTCCTGCTATTCCTCCTGCAATAAAATATTGGCTTCTCTTAACATGTTTACTGATGCCTTGCGGAATAACAGCATGCTCTCCAATATCTACATGGCAAACCCTTTCCCAATGATGATAGATGTTCTCAATAGTAGCTTCATGAGGATAGAGTAGAAGGAAATCTCTCCATTCTTCAAATGTTATGATTCCATTATTGTCCTTATCAACATGCTCTACAAATCGAGCAAGCTCCTCATCATCAATTTGAATCCCTGCAAAATACAAACTGCCAGGGCTTATAAGATGAAAACAACCGTTTAATTGCAACCACGGGAACTACCAGCCCATCCACATGAAGCATTTATAAGAATTAAATATGTGAAATCATGATGCACAGGAACTATTATGTATTTTCATTGGATACAGTGAATTCAAGAAGGAAGCACTTCCAGAAACCCACACAGTACACCATAGATCAAGTATATTAGAAGCAAACCCACAGTTTCAGAGTCTCTGTAAATCCCAAATTATGATTCCAAAAAGCTTAGAGGTATAAATCATGGAGGGTAAAAAGCAAGCACAGACTCATCAATAACACGCACAAGTCCAAGTCTGTAACATGTTTACTCATTATGTAAGAACACCAAAAGATACCTAAATTATATATTCCAAGAAGAAACTGTCTCAAACATCCAGCAAAACAAATTGGCACATAATTTTTATACAGAGAAGACACTATCTTGACTATCAAGCCAAAAAAACTAACACATGAGTATACAAAAAAGAAACTATGTCAAATGTCAAGCCAAACAAACAGATTCCTTAAATGGCGGCAAACATCCCTAAAAAGCTCACATAGAACCTTCATTGCCAAACTATAGGATTCATTGAGGTACCTCAACAAATAAAGACGCATTTATAAAAGTAATGTTAAAAATCAAAGATTCACATTTAACATAGATTTTAGAGAAAAGAAAACACTCATTAGCAACCCCTCTAAAACAGAACGAATCTATAGTTCAGATTTCTGCTCACCAATACTTTGGTTTCAGAAAAGTTAGAATCTAAAAGAACACACTTTTTAACAACAACAAAAGAACACCAGATTCAAAAATACATCCAATGTCCCTCATTCTTTTGTTGATTTAAGAACTGAGATAAGAAAAGTTAAATATAACCTCACAACAGGAAACTAATCTGGCATGCGAAGCCTTACAACCTCTCATAATCTTCCCTCAAGATAATTTCAAACAAAGGCTTTGCATAGCAAACTGGTGGAGGAGCTTCCAAACACCTAAATATAGCCTATACCAAATTCCTATAGAAATTTGAAGTAGACAATACATACCCACAACTCTTCATTACCAATCAAAATACAGCTCTTGTTAAGCTCTATAATGATCTCCAAGGTCAAGGTTTATCTTTCTTTACTGCCATTTGCCACTCCAATGGGCAAAAGACAAAGCTGTCAAAACACACTGACATCTGACAGCAAGCGTAAGACATTCAATTAAATTTCCGTTACAGATAAGTTTTGAGAGTACATCACATAAAGTATTAAAAGAAGTAAGTCACACCAGGTAAAATGTATGATTCAGTCCAGTTAGCATAAATTATTTCACAAATTTTACCTAAGATTAACAGCATTTCTCTGGCCTGAAGACTGTCTCATTCAAGCTTGTTATCTAGGCACCCACGCCAAAATCTCAAATAATGGGAAAAGTTATACATGCTTATCAAACCACACCCCCCCCCCCCCCCAAAAAAAAAAAAAAAGATTTTAGGCACCAAAATATCACAAAATGAAAGCAATCTATCACCAACAAAAAAACAATGTGCTTCTATAACGATCCATCATTGAGTACAGCAGTTTTTTTATAGTTGTTTTAATCACTTCAATTAGTCCCCAAGGAAAGTTAGCCCAATTGGAAAATTATTAAAAGATTTTATAGAAAGCAAGAAAAAATTCTAGTGTTTAATTACTCTATCTGCTTTTAGTTGCAAACAAGAAACCACACCACAAATTCTCTGGCAAAAACATACAGTAAGAATTCAAATTACATACCAAGATTGCAAGTGCTTCTAATGAAAGGGACATTAAAAAGATCACAGCTTCTCCATTTATAAGCAAATAACCTCGAGTTGTTCAAACTTTCTAATGATTTCACTATCAACCCCAATCAATGCAACTATCTCACCAAACCAATGAAAAATATCAAGGTAAGAGAAACAAAGCTAAAAATACTCACTTATTATAAAATAATAATAAAGAGAGCATAGCATACCAGCCTTAACAAGCGCATCCCAAAGCTCCTCAGGCAAAATGCATCCATTATGTTCCACATCAATAGCTTGAAAAATCCTATAAAGTTCAAGCTCCTTATCATCCATATACCTCTTGAACTCTTGATAATCCACACGCCCATCTCTGTTAGCATCACAAACTTTCAACAGATCGTTGGCGTACTTATACTCAGCCGGAATCTGCAAAGCTGAGAGACCCTTTTCGATCTGAGCATAATCCAAGAATCCCACATTGGCTGCATCAAAAAAATTGAACAAACTCCGAATCCTTAAATCCCTTTCTTCCTTGGTCTCCCTTAATGCTAAAAGAACATGATCCATTGAGACAGGTCCGGATTGTTTGACCGGGTTGCAACATCCGGGTCTGGATTTTGCCTCCATTTTAGGCAAGCCTACATGCTCCACACCCTGCCCTGCTGCCCCAGACATAAAAACAACAAAACGACAACGTTTTTAATTACCTTAGCAAATTTCACCTCTGTTTATGTGAATGTTGTCCCAAGCATGGAGGTTTGGAAAGAAAGAGATCTGTTTTATAAAATTGGAAACGAAGAACAAAAAAGAGGACCTTTTTTTTTCTTGAGGGAAAGTAATAATAATATACCCAAAGAATCAATCAAAGAAAGGATCCAAAAATTTGACTCGAATTAGTGGGAGAAATAAGACAAAAGATGCAGACTGTTGAAGGAGAGAGGAGGTCAAAAAGAAGGAAAAATAGAGTCAAAATTCAAAAGCAACAGGCTTAGTACATAAAAAAAAATGAGATAAATTCCATGTCTTCTTAATGGGTTTTCGTCTAAGATCAAAATCAATCAAAGAAACAACATTACAGCAGATTGAAAGAAGAAAAGGAAAAGGGAAAACGGGTTGTTCCAATCAAAGAAAAAGCAGGTGAAAAAAAAAAAGAAGCTAACGGAGAGAGAAAGAGTTATTACAAATTGGGAATATACACGTGCGAGATTATTTAAGGTAGAAGAAAGAGTAGTGGTGCCAACGTCCTGACAATGAGATAACACGTATTGGCCCCCCCACAGCTCTACACCTTCCAAATTGCTCGTTCCTTTTGTGGGCTTTGAGATCCTCGAGTCAGAATCAGATACAGAGATTAAAAAATCTGAGTTCTGGGTTTTGTTTTTGCTTTTACCTTATGACTTTCCTTTCCTTTCCTCTCTCTATCTACCACAGGGACAGGGATTGAAGGAAGAAGAGGCTGTCAGAGATAAAAACAGATACTTTCGAATGTTAATATGCTTTTGTTTTTAACCTTTAAATTCCGCAATTATGGAACTCCTTTTTTTTTCCTTGTGGCAGGGGCCGGGCCAGTTGTGCTCACGTGATTCTCATTTCCTCTGTCTTCTTTGGGAATATGGCAGTTTTCTTATACTTTTTTCATTTTTTCAATCCTTTTCTTAGCGCTTAATTATAGAATTGGAGGAAATTTCAACTAAGGTTGTTAAGCATATTCCCATGGATTTGTTATTACACTATGAGATAATAAAAATCTTTAGTTTATAATTTTTTTTAGAAATTTATAAGAGGTGATAGCAATTGATTTACTGTATTTTTTTTCACCCATTATAACTCATAAATGTCAAGTAGCATGGCATACGGATTCGAATTATATTACATTCCAACTATTTTAATTAAATAAAATTTTTTTATTTAAATTGATTCAGAATTAGATTAGAGTTAATTTAATTATTTTTTAGATCTTATTAAAGATATAAATTTTGGATCATGTTTTTTGAATTTATATCAAATTTGAATTTTGAGTTTTTTAAGTTCATATTATTTACATTCAAATTAATTTAAATTTAAATCTTTTAATTTTTGTCAAATGGGATCAAGTTCAAGTTCAAGTTTTCAAATTCGGATTATTTTGACACTTAACAATGAATATACTAAATATAAATAAAATTTGTCGAGAGAGGGCTCGTTGACACTGTCATGAATCCACTTGGCCTATCTTTGCAGGATTTGCCAATGCAGAAGGATGAGCCCTTGCCAAATCCTATTTGGACCACTCATACTCCTTACCCATGATCACAAATGGCTACCATGACATATATATAACGTTTAAAAAGTTCATAAAATTTGGAGCGGGAAAGACTCTGATATTAAAAGCTTCAAACTGCTATAGAGTTGCATTATTCAATGGCTATATGTCACTAACATGACAACGATATTACTGGAGATCTTAGATGCAATACACGCTAAAGCTCATGAGAACATATTCACATCATAATTGCTTCATAGCCATCTCTCTCATGTTTAAGCCGATATCGAATGGCAACAGCAATAACTGTTACCAAACCCATCAAAGCTACCGCTGCCCAAAGGATGGTTAACAGTAGAATACTGTCCTGTGTCTGCATGAGATCATGATTTCATAAAAAAAAAACAACAGAGGTTTACAGCTAAGTTGTTGATAATCAAGAAGCCTCATTGCAACTATACTCTCACCTATTACTTAAACAAAAAAAAAAAAAGAAGCTTTCATTGGATTAGTGGATTTTCTTCATCAATATTTACCATTTGAGAATTAGAAACTTACTTGAACAACAGTCTGCAAGGTGTGCATTGGATTGGGCAATTGTTCTGCAACCAAGATGTAGAATAGCCCCATGACTCCGTAATGATGTTGGACACTACTGTAATTAGACTCCAGAATGAGAGTTTCCCCCACGGATATCTTGACAGTACCTGGTTGAGGATAGCAGGTGGACATTCCTACAATATAACCAGCTTCATTCCCTGCTTCCTCACCCACCCCATACAGTGGCATTGAAGAACACAGAAGTTGGCCATCCTGAATTCGGCACATGCAAACAGGCACAAATCATCATCAGAAGAAGGCATCACATTACTGGAGTTCACCAAATGATCACATTAAACATCTAAATTTCTTTTAACATAAATGAGCCTTTCTGTTGCTTAGGGATAGTAAGTGCCCTTTATAGAAGAGATGTCAAAGTACCTATCTCAATCCTAAAACAAGCCTAGTTTCTAAATACTAGGATCCATTGTTGCAGATAGAGTTATATGGTTAACATGGGCAGGCTGACTGAAAATTGCACACTGACCACTCTCCATTATGTCATCCTTCTAAATAAAAGAAAATTGGCAAGAAACATAAATATTATGTAAAACTAGGATGAAAACTGCATCACGCATTTGAAAAACAATTCAAACCAATGGGATAAGTATAAAAAATGGTGTTGCAAATGCACAATCTACTTCATCTATGTACATATATGTGTGTGTGTGTGTGTGTGTGTGTAAATAAAAAGCAACTTTGCTGAAGACAAAAGATGTAGGGAAAAAATAACATAGACGTGCAAAGTAGAAATAAGACGTTTCAATACCTCCCTATAGAGAGCAGAACCAGAGCCCCCTGAATGTTGGTGTGCAACACCATATATCACATAACCACCAAACGGCATATCAAGGCTTATCCGTTTGGTGTCAATGCACCCATCATCAGCCAATCCACTGCCTTGGCAAGATTCAATATTATATTCCACCTGCATCAAAGCTATTCAGCAACCTGATATCTCAGAAGAAATTTTATTTGACAAAAAGATTTGCTGCAGCACATAAACAGTTCATCTACCTTGCAATCGTGCTCAGCAATATTCCCTGTTGAATTGCTAGACCTTTTCCAATTATCAGTAATGTCGAATATATAAATTTTAACAGGCACAACAGAGCTATCCATATCGACCCATGTCACAGTGTATTTAAGGTAAAGGGTTCTTCTAATGCCCTCAAACCCTTGATTCACCCTGCATTGTGTGTGATCATAGCAACATAACAAACCCCCTTTGTAGTCTGGCCTCAAATGTCTTCCATGTCTGTCCTCCGTAACATTATACAGATCACACCTGCACTCAGTGCATCCCAACTTATCTTCCACACCCCTTGTATCAATGGCATGAACATTAAGCATCCACATCTCCTCAAACCCAGGAGGAATCTCAGCAGGATTACCAACTTCTATTCCATATGGATCAGGAACATGAGTTGCAGTTTTTCGTGTCTCAGAACCAAGGCCAAAGAACTGACCAAGATTCTGACAAATCCCACTATTTCTCGCAGAAATATAATCTGAACTGTTAGATTTTTTATTCTCTTTAAACTCAGATAATTCCACACCTTTACGTGCATAGTACCTTACAACAACCCAATGATGGAGATAAGTCTCATGCAGGGGACAGGATTCCCAGCCTCATCAATCACTTCTGCATCAAAACTTTTCAAGGCAATATGACCTTTTGGAAAATCGATATTGTAATAGAATCTATCTTCCACTGATCCTGGTCCGAGAACAAACTCAGGTGATAGAAAAACAGCAGTTTTTATCTTATTTTCATTTCCCCAAAAGCCTTGTGAATATGGTAACCTTAGTGTCACCAAAATCCCAACCAAAAGTAACCATCCTGGATTATAGCTTTTCATCTCCCTGCCATTTCAAAATCTTGAGTCAAACCATATAATATCTTCTGAGCTAACCATATATTTCAATGGAATCAAAATTCAAAAATGAAATCAAATAAGAAGACAGTTACTGGTATGGGGAGGGTATAAATCATCTGCAAAATGATAAGATTATGTATAGACAATTCAAATAGATGCTTGAATACTATAGGAACCACTCAAACCAGTATAAATGACTATATGATGCAACTCTGAAGCACAACTGTGAAAACAGCAAAATTACTACTGAACAGTGATTTCTTTTAAAATTTGAAAAAGGTCATTCTCAATTATTCACCTTTAGCCGCTTTATTTTGATGGGTTTCAAGTACCATTTTCCCCCATGAAAACGATATATTTTCAGAAATTGACACTCCTCGGTGCATGGATTCATGATGAAGATATAAATAATTATTCATGTTTGATTATTAAGAAAAACAAAACCCAAGATTCAACGTCCCAAACACAGCAGTGAAAATTTCCCACTTGGATTTTATCAAACTACAAGTGCAATCTGCGGTGAAAATACACAGCCAGGGAATTATCAATTCCACGGCAAAAGCAATCCAAACAAAAGAAATCCCAGAAAAAAAAAAAAGAAGCTAAATCTTGTATAGGATTAGCAAAGATAAAGAAAATTAACGCAACTGGAAAAGAACGGGAAAAAAACAAGGCAAAAGCTACGTACCTAAGCATTCTGAGATTACGTCTTCACCCACCAGTCCTTGCAGTCCTGCACCACTTGTCTTGAACGTTCCTACGGAAAGAGAAATTTCAAACTCTTATAGTTGAATATATATATAGATATATGAGACAAATAGAGGATTTGCCACGTGTTTTTACGAGAGCATTGGCTTAGGCTTAGCTATTTACGCCATATCCGAGAAAACATTTTCATGAATATGATAATTTTGTCAATACGGGAAAAGACGGGATGCAAAAACATAAGCCATGACGCCAATCTGAAAGTAATTTGACTTTGGTATTCATTTGTTAAAAAACTTAAATTTCCATTGACTGCTACTTGTTTAGCAAGTAACGTCATTGCTTTTTTTTGTTTTTATGTTATTTTTAAGGATGAAAATTTTTTTGAAAAATTAAAAATTCATTTAAAAACATAATATTTAATTTAATTCAGATTGATTTTTTATTAAATTTAAATTAAATTTAAATATAAATATATATTAAATTTAAATTTAAATTTTTAATTAAAAAAAATTAAAAAAAATCAAATCATATATATTTTAATTTATATTTTTTAAATTTTTAATTTTATAAAAAAATTTTAATTTTATATCAAAATTTATTTAAATATATTAAAATTTTACATCAATTAATATTAAATCGAATTCGATCGAAACCCAAACGTTATCAATTGATGTTGTCCATTGAATTCACGTCGAAAGGACAAAACATATGTTCGGGGGCCAAAAACTGAATGGTTAAGAAGAGGAAGACAAGTCGAAACCATACAACAGTAGAAAATGTTCCGTTTCCCACTACACTCTCTTCTCACAACTTCCATGGCGATAATAATAACTGCGACTATAGTGGCGTATCTGTTTTGGACAGATGCGCCAATGTGAATGCCATCGAGCTCTTTCAGTTGCCCACGGAACCATCGCCACTGAGCCCATTAGCGGCTTTTGATCCCTCTAAATGTTGCCGAATTGACTTTACAAGCTATAGTCTTTGCTGAAGATTTATGCTATATATTAAAATTATCTTCCAAGGATTTTTTTTTTTTTTTTACATTTGTCCAAATTATTAATTTTTTTATTAATTTTTATCTTTAGTTAAAATAAAAAATAAATTAAATATTTATAATTTATAACTCTTTATTAAAAGAATTTCAAAGGGATTAGAGAGTAATATTTATCCTAATATTATAAAATAATCATTTTATCCATTAAAAAAATAAAATAATTAACAATACTAATATATAAAAAAATTAAATTACCCAAACGCATTATATTATGATATCTGTCTAGTATTGTAAAATAATCATTTTATTCTTTTTAACATTATAAAATAATATTTTATCCTTTAATTAAAATAAATCTAACATGTAAAAAATATGTTAAAATTTTTAAAAAAATAATATTTTGACATCTGTCCAATATTATAAAATGATAATAAACATGAGGCATATAAGCAATCGGAATCTGTTGGTTTATCCTAATATGATAGAGGCCGATTTTTTTTTTTTAATTTGTTTCATATTTTATTAATAAATTTAATATTTAATTTATTAATTTAAAAAATTAACTTGATAATATAATATACTTATATTTGATTAAAATGTAATTTATATTTAAACTTTTTTTAATAAATATTATACTAAAATAAAATCATTAAATTAAATTTCAAGTCTAATTTATTCAAATACAAGTTATAAATAATTTTTGAGATATAAAATTAAGCCTTAAAAATGATAATCAACTCCCAAGTAAGATAAGTTCAATTAAAAATATTATATAATTAATTCCGATTTGAATTGACATTTTATATTTATAAAATATAAAATAATAATTTTAGTATGAAAAATGGTCTGTCTTAGGACCAATTGGTTTTGAATATATTTTTATATTTATCGAGTATTTGAGTTTTTTTTTATATATATAAGTGAGTAGGTTATTCACTTAATAATTTTTTTATATTTAAAAATTATTAAAATAAAAAATTTAACATTTTATCAAATAATTTTTTATTTGTAATTATAAGCAGATGTATAAAAAGAACCCCTAAAGCCTTAATTTTTTTATTTTTTATTTTGGTGAAATTAAAGCCATAATTTAAAGATCGGAAATTAGGGGTGCAAAAGAAATCAGCAACGATATCTCACTTTTCTAAAGGCATAAAATTTGGAAATTTTACCTAAAAATAAGCCTTCAAACGTTTGACCACCTATCTGCAAAGTTTAGAGAGACCGGACAGCGAAGCAGCAGCTGTTGCAACCAGGTTTCACCCCATGTCTTTCATTGTTGTGTCTCGGCTACATACTTAGATTTACTTGCTTCTGTCTTGTTTTATGCCTTCCTCCCAAAATCTGAAACCAAGAGCAAGAACTACTAGGAGATGACAGGGAAAAAGGAAAAATCCAAGGAGAGAAGGGAAAAGAGACTGCAAGAGATTGCCCTTCTCGGGACCATTCCTTATTCTGATCATCAGAGGTATTTTCTTGCTTCCCTTGGAGAATTTCCGTTCTTTTTCTTTGATTTTGGTAATTGGTATTTCGACAGATAAGGGAAAAACAAGGGAATGTGTTTGTAGATTTGGAAATTCTAGAGGATATGTCACCCTATGACATTTGGGATTTTGTTATTATTATTATTAATGGGATTGTTTTCTTGAGATATGTTCATTAATCATTACAAATGTTGATGCAGTTAGCTTGGTAATGCTTTTAATATTAAGGCGGTTAGTTTGATATTATTTTTCTTGCTCGGTGATCTTCTCTAAAGGAATTTCTTGTCATAATCATTTTTAGTTTGCGATTATTACTTGGAAGTTGGAATAATATCAATTATAATAGCAGAATATGGATAGCCTATACATAAGAGTTGGAGATGTGCCGGATTCATTTCACATTCTATACAAAAAATCTTGCAAATATTTACTTTTAGTTTCCTTATTATAGGTGGTGGTCAGAAGAAACTATTGCTGTAGTAACTGGTGCTAATAGAGGAATTGGGTTTGAGATTGCGAGACAACTTGCTGGGCATGGATTGACAGTAATACTAACATCAAGGGACACTAGTGTTGGCATTGAAGCAGCCAAGGTCTTACAAGAAGGGGGTTTCAATGTGGATGTCCACCAGCTCGATGTCTTGGATGGTGAATCAATTTCAGCGTTTGTTGAATGGATAAAAGAAAAATATGGTGGCATTGATATTCTGGTAAGATAAAAATTCATCAATCATTTGTCCATTCATTTTGGGAATTCAGCTTGGTGTTAATTTTTACTTCTTGATTGGTTTCTCTTTCATTGAGCAATTAGCTTAGCTTACTGCTTTGCCCATTGCCCAACCTTTTGTGTTTCTTTTGATGTTTTTCATGCAATCTTATATTTTGCAGGTAAATAACGCAGGTGTTAACTACAATCTTGGGTCTGATAATTCTGTGGAATTCGCACGGCAAGTCATTGATACCAATTATTATGGCACCAAAAATATGATTAAAGCAATGATACCATTAATGAGACCTTCTGCTGCTGGTGCTCGTATTGTTAATGTTAGCTCACGGCTTGGAAAACTAAATGGCCGGCGCAATGTAAGTAAAGGATTCTCTACCTTTATCCACAGACTCGACCCTCTTTTTTTTAACGAAGTTCTCTCATTTCTCTTCTCTTTTGGAGTACTTTCATTTTTGCTTTCTTAATGCTATGATTTGTGGTTCTTTACTGTGAGTAAATCATGGTCACTTCCTTCCCTGAATCTTTTTCTTGTTACAGTTTCTCCTTCTCTTCTGTTTATAAATGAAACAAGTCTCTCCTTCTATCATATAGGCGCTGTACCTTTTTTGCATATGCAAAATAAATTCTGTATCAATTTATTTAACATCTTTTGGTTCTGGCTCTGGCCCGCTTCTTTGCTCAAGGGAGGATATAGTGCATCATCTATGCCTTCTAGCATAGCAATGTGTTCATGCACATGTTCAGGAAGAGGCATGTCTATTCTTCTAATCGATCGGTAAGAGGCAAGGGTTGCTATGTCCTTGTTACGTGGCTATAGCATTTGCATTGTGTCTTTCAAGTTGAAGTTGTAACCTGGGAGGGAATGATGGAATAGAAAACTTAGACTCCTGGCCATCTATTTGATATTAATTATTTATACAACACATTGCTGAAGGTCATCTACTTTAAATTGCCTTTTATATTCATAATTTTCTGGAGATCTCCATTTCTATTATCATTTATTTTCCTTATGTCACCTCATAAAATATTATTTTTTCGTATGCAAACTAAATTTCGGCTTTTTCTTATAGAGAATTCAAGATGCAGCTTTGAGAGAAGAACTAATGGATTTGGAAACTCTCTCTGAGGAACTGATTGATAGGACATTGTCTACTTTCCGACAACAAGTTGACGACGACACTTGGCAATCAGGTGGATGGCCTCAGACATTCACCGACTACTCATTATCTAAACTTGCTGTTAATGCTTACACTAGGCTAGTGGCAAAAGAACTCTCTGATCGACAAGAAGGTGAAAAGATATATATCAACTGTTACTGCCCAGGATGGGTGAAGACTGCTATGACAGGTTGGGCTGGCAATATTTCAACTGAGCATGGGGCTGATACTGGCGTCTGGCTTGCCCTTCTTCCAGACGAGGCAGTAACAGGGAAATTTTTTGCAGAGAGACGGGAAATAAACTTCTGAGGCAACAAAGCTTACTATTGCAAGGATTAGTAATCTATTAGAAGCTTTCATGTATTAAAACTGCTGAAAGTAACTTGTTTGAGAAGGTTTGCCTGCCCTGCATTATGCAAAAATGAATTGCCTCGCGGTAACTACTGAAGGCTGAGAGCTAGCACCTGTTATTTGGTGCTATCTTTTCAACCTTCAAAGTATTATAGTCACACATTTAACAGAGTAAACAGTACTTCAAACTCCATGATAATTTCTTGTAAGTGAAAAATATGTTTATTGCTCAATCTAGCTATAGTTTGTTTAAAGCTCATCATTTTTTTTTTTTGGGTTCTTTTGTATTTCATCTTTCAGAATGAAGACTTCTTTGATGTTGATGTTGGGACTATCCTAGTTAGCTCCTTATTCTTTTAAAGCTTGTTTACTATTTCCTTCTATATAATGTAAGAATAACAATAAACATAAATCTTCTTTTTGACTTAAGCAAATTTTAGTTGAAAAAACTCTCAACTCAAAAAGCAAATTGATTCTGTAATCCAATCAAAAGCGAAGTTAACATTTTACCTTGAAGTGGCAAATGGTTTTTTGTTTTTTCAGAAATAAGATATGTCATTAATTCAAACTAATTAACTTGGGTAATCGGATTATTTTGGGTTTAAATCATGAACCGTCCAACTTGCTTGCAAGCATTGGATCGTGGACTTGAAATTCCATGTGGATCCAAGAAGGCCGCGATGCCATCCATGACTAGCCTTTCAGGGCCAACTCCCCTTTTAAAAAGGCCACGATTTTCACCCCACCATCGTTTCATTTCTTCGGTCTTCAGAGTCCTGAATCGCCTTCGTTAAGCCGATGGCCACCCTCAGAAAAGCTCTTCTTAACGCCCATCGAGTCCTTAATTCTTCCACCGTTCCCAATCGGACAACGACCATTTTCAGGTACCCATCAACCTTTTGTTTTCACCTTTCTTTGCTTTTGTTAGTTTTGCTTGAAACATTATCGTTTTCTTGTCAGGCCACAATATGGTTGGATTTCAAGATTTTCTTACAGTAATATTAGCAACACTCAGCCATTAGACATTGATCTCTCAACTGAAGAAGGCAAAAGGCGTCTGTTTAACAGGTTATCTTTCATCATTTTTCTTTTGGATACTTTTCTGATGTGTTTTGATGGGTTCCTTTTTTGGGTTTTCTTTGTTATAGATTGTTGTATAGAAGCAAACAAAGGGGGTTTTTGGAACTGGATTTGGTTCTGGGAAAATGGGTGGAGGAACATATCTATTCCATGGACGAAACTGGAATTAAAGCTCTTGTTCATGTCCTTGATTTGGTATTCTTCTTCTCTTGAAAAAGTTTGTTGTTGGTTGCTTATTAGCCAAATTTACATGCGTTTTAGTTCAAATTACTCTCTTATTTGTTTCATGGTTTTAGTTGGTGTTGCTTATATTAAACCATAGTGGATGATCATGTGAGTAATATAATAGAATTAAAGAGTTTTGGGGTTGTAATGCTTAGCCCAGAGCTATGTCTGACTCCTGTCAATTTGAAGCGCGCCTGAGCATTCATGCTTTTTTTTCCTGCTCAATTTAAGTAGGCTTTTGAGTGTAGGTTACTTGTTATTGTTTTTTATTGCCTTCCCATAATTGATTTAAATTTAGAATCTATAGACAGACAATTATGATTTTTAAGTCTTTAATGTCTTCTAATGATTATGGATTCTTTGGGTGAACATGTAAGATTATCCACATACAAATTTGATCCAACAAACTTCCAGCTTCATGTTTGTTAATCTTATCCTGTTGCCAATAAGCCTTTACTTTGCTAAGTTTGTTCGATCAGTCATTGATCTTTGCTTTTGTTCGATCAGTCATTGATCTTTGCTTTTTACCAATTATGGCCTGTTGCAATTCCATCTAGGCTTATCAGCAACTAGTATGGCTTTCCGTTGTAATTCTTCGGTTGTCTTTATTAAGCTTGACCTGTTAGCTATTGACCTGCACACATCAAGTTAAACTTTGGCTTGTTGCGAACACCCCTCTTTTCTTGTCACTGATAAGATTTTGATGTTGGCACCCGGAAATTCATAGCAGATATTAGAGACACTGGCAATGTCCTTTCCAGCACATGTTCACATAAAAAAACCTTGCCTATTGCCGAACATATTAACAACAATGGTGAACCATGGATGTCTAACCATAAAGTCGTATGAAAATATCTAGTGAAAACCCTTTATAAATGCTTTTTCTCCATCAGAATTGTTAATTTTTGGTTTTATTGCAAGAATTCAAAACATGCCTTCTCGTTGCCTTTTGTTGCAATATTTTGTTTCTCTTCTGCAGGAAAACCCCGATCTCTGGAAATGGTTAACTGGTCAAGAACAACCACCTGAAGCAGTGAGCGTTAATCCTGTAAGAAATGATCTAAACTGTAAAAGTTTCACTCTTGTTTCTTTTATTTCTTTGCTTTCTTATATGATCTTTTGGTTGGATAGGTCTTCTCTTCAGTGCAAGAGAAGGTCTTGAAAAACCTCAACAACCATTCTGCTCCCGAGACCCGAGCAACACCTGGCCAGCCATGGGTGAGAGGGTGGGATGATATCAAGAAAGGTCCTGATAGCCCTATCACAGGAAACCAGTAGCTTTTCTATTCTTTTAAAGACAGCAGCTTCAGAAGACAGTTATTTTGTAACAAATTAAGGTGCATAATATGTATTTCTTCACTGTTATATACGAGATTATGAAAATAAGGATGGCTGCACTGCTGCAGTGAAGCTGGAGATATAAGTAAGCCCTGGCTCTGTTTGGCATAGATCTTTCGTGAGTTGATCCATAACATAAAAATTGTCACTCAAATTGATCTGCCCTTCTCTCTGCTTTCTCAAATGGTTGTATTTAAAATTAAACGTTCCACTTTCTTCTTATCTTTCAGCCAAATGTTGAAAACTTGTTTCATAAATTCCTTTCCGGTCAATCATTAGACTACAATTACTTCCTCTCCTCCATTCCTCATTCAAAGCTCATGACCTGAACTTCGGTTCGAAGTGGATCTTTGAACCATGTACTAGGTACCCTCCATAGTTTTGAGCTCACATGATAAAAGGTCATTGGCTGAGTGGCTAATTTCATAAATTTGAACAATGAGGCCCAGATGCATTACACCACTAAAATGGCCCATTTGATGGCTTCAATAGCCGCAATTAATGCTAAGATGAAAAATACCTTTCACTACTGAAGTCAAGGTTTGGAGATGGAGTGAAATTGCAACGATTTTCAATCCTTACACCCCATATATAAGGCCGAAGAACTTGCAAGGGTAAATATCAACCTCAAATTTCTGATCCTCTCTCTCTAGCAACGCGTGTGTTTTTGTCTGCGGCTGTTTTTTCCTCTTTCAGCTTTTAATGGCTTCTGCAGTTAAACCCATATTCATCTTTCTTGCGTACATCTCATTCCATCTCTCCCTGATAGCATCAAAAACGAAGGACACAACTCCAGCAGTATGGCCTCTCCAATTCCATTCAATTCTCTTCATGAACAACAGCGGTACCCTCCAGAAAGTAGACCTTTGGTACGACTGGCCCAACGGCCGCAATTTCAACATTATCCAGAACCAGCTGGGCAAGCTCACTTATGACCTGGAATGGGACAACGGCACCTCCTATATCTACACTCTGGACTCCAACAAAGAGTGCAGAGTCTTGCATTTTGATGTGGGTATTCTCCGCCCGAATTGGCTGGATGGAGCCAATTATTTAGGCCAACAAGAAAAAGATGGCTTCCTATGCAATGTGTGGGAGAAGGTCGACTTCATCTGGTACTTTGAAGATGTCATCACTAAGAGACCAGTTTTCTGGGCCTTCTACACAGGTATTTTTTCCACTCTACTTCATTCTATTTTGTTTGGTTTTTCTTGTCAATCAAAGTACAATCCTGTAGGTACATTATCAGGAGAAGAGATTAAATGAAGGCAAAATCTGAAATATTTTGGAAATGTTTATGGAGTGTAGGGTACACAGCTCATGTGATGACATTTGAAGTGGGAGCCATTCTAGAGGATTCGCAGTGGCAGGCGCCTGTTTACTGTTTCAATGAAGGTGAAGAGAAGAGAAAAAAAGAAGCTGTGATTGAATCTTTGGGATGGAGTGATAATCACCAGGGGAACCTGATGAGAGGGATTTCCAGTGTCTCTATGACACTCTGATTTTTGTTCCCAAGTAGTACCATCTTGCTATAACAGTGTGTCTAGTTTCGTTATAAGAATGTCTTCTTCTTGGTTACATTTATCCACAGCAAACTTCAACGAAGATTTATATTAAACTTACATATTTATAATGATCTGTCAGCCAAAAATTAGTGACAACGGAAATCAAATATAAATCTTAATCCTTAATAACTGAGCAACCCCGTTGGCACAAAATCTATCTTATCAGTTTTCGCCATTGATTGTCATTCTCCTTTAGAAATTGATTTGGAACTTGGGTCTTTGCCATGTTGGCTCTCCCAACAGGACAATTATGTGAAAACAATGCAGCCTAATAATCGAGTAAAGAGGGCACTTTTCTCTCTCTCTCTTTTTTTTTTTTTTTTGTTCTTTTTCTTTGAAAGAGGAAACCCCTGGCTGTGATAGGAAATGGATACCAAAGTTTTCCTTTAACAAATAAGGGAATTTAGTAATTTTAAATTTTACTACCCTTAAAATCAAGAAAAAACAAAAACAAAAAATAACAGCCATTAATCCAACCAAGCCAACCCTAATAAAGTACTAGTATATGTTTCTTACACGACAGGCTGAAGGTAAACCGTGAAAAATGGATGGGTTACGTGGCAAACACTGACAACACCATTGTGCCCGACACCCGAAACTCCGAACCCTCTGTTTGGATTCAAAAAAAGTGTCGAACCCATCCTGCTTTATCCCAAAGTCTTCATTTTTGGCTCTCCTTTCATTTCTGGAGAAATCAAAAAAGGAAAAAAAAATTTTTTCTCAGATATTTTTGCAAAGGAAAAACCGAAGATTGAGTGATAATAATAAGATGGTGGGTGTTTGGATGAGGTAAGAAGATTGGGGAATTATATAAATATATATGGGAAGGGGTTCGAAGTCGGAGTCGGAATCGGACTCGAATGGATGGAGCCGAGCTCGAGGTTTGGTAGTGAAGACTCTGGTGCTTATTGGCGGTGCCATTTTGCTCAAGAGGTTCACCAAATCCACCACTCGTTGGGACCATGCAAGAATCGTTGCTCGTTCTCTTAGCGGCGAAAAGGTACTTCATTTTTTCTCTTTTTTTTTTTTTTTGATTCTTTTTGAGTTTTTATTTTATTTCATTTTTTCGTGTTTGATGGTAGTTCTCGAGGGAGCAAGCCTCTAGAGATCCAGATAATTACTTCAACATCAGGTACTATTTGTTTATTTATTGTACATAGGATAAAAAAGAAGTTAATTTCAGTTCATATGGTTGTTGATTGAGCTTGATATTACTCAAAGCATACATTTTTAGAAGAAATAAGCCATCGTTTCTCAGTTTTTGTTATGATTCATGTTATTTCCTGCAATGGGTTTTCGGCTGATGCTTTAGAAACAGTTAAACTTAAGAAATTTTGATCATTGCAGAACACCCACTTGCCCAGTTTGTTATGATTCATGTTATTTCCCGCGATGGGTATTCGGCTGATGCTTTAGAAACAGTTAAATTTAAGAGATTTTGATCATTGCAGAACACTTACTTGTCCAGCAACAGAGATGGTGGATGGTTCAAAGGTTTTATATTTCGAACAGGTTTTTGTTCAACTCACTGCCCATTAAATATTTTTTGTTTTGAAATTTGCGGTTAATATGTACCAATTTAGTGGTTTTCACTTTTTATTGGCTAGGCCTTTTGGAGGACTCCTCAGAAACCCTTTCGGCAGGTAAGTTACGTTGCAAAAAGATATATAGATCTGACAATCTATAATAATTGAACTTTTACTGAATAATAGAAAACCCTGAAGTTAAAATTTGTGCTTTTATTTGCGGTTTCTTTTGAGCTCTTAACTCTGTCTCTGGAGAACACCTTCACCTCATACAGTTCTGACAGTTTTTTGGTTGCAGAGGTTTCTCATGGTGAAGCCTTGTCCAAAAGATCTGAAATGTGATGTTGAGGTTTGTTTCTGCCACTGATTTATGACAAGAGCTTGCTTTGCTGTTGAATCATATTGTGTCTAGGATTTAAGAAGAGAAAAATAAGCACGCCCGTAAACAATCTCACTTATGTTTGAGAGGTTTATAATTAATGCATTCTGAAACCAATGCGAATCTGCTCTACAATTATTATTTGAGTATATTCACATTTCTTTGATCATCTATTGCCTTCATATGATGTCTTTGGAGCTAGCTGGCATTCAGATTTCTAACATGTATTTTACCAGCACAGGTAAGTTCATATGCAATTAGAGATGTGGAGGAGTATAAGAATTTCTGTGATCGCCCCAGGGATCAACGTCCACAGCCTGAAGAAGTTATTGGTGTAAGCCTTTTCACATAGTTCTTTTTTTTTTTCATCCATCCATGTATATGATTCCTTCAATTTTTCTTTTGCAATTTGTAGATATTCCAAGTTTTCAATGTTCATGTTGCTTATGTTTGCTGTTTCTATCTTGTCATAGCTTATTATGCTTAGTTTCTTGTTTCTTTTTTAAATCCTAAAACAATTTTCTTTTCTTTTGCTTTTTATATCCAGAAAGTGGTTGATAATCATTAGTAATTTGGCAATAACAATTTTGCTGCATAAATTTGAGTTGAAGGCCTGGATTTAGCCTTTTGCGCAGTGGTAATTTAGCATTTAGTTAAATTACATTGTATGAACAGGATATTGCAGAACATCTGACGACTATATATCTCAAACGCTGTGAAAGAGGGAAACGCTGTTTATATGAAGGTTCAACTCCACCAGGTGGATTCCCAAATTCGTGGGTATATTCCTCTCCCTGTCAATCATGTTGTCATTTCCTTAATTTACTTTATTGCCAACCTTGCAATGTTGGGACCAGGATATTGACATTATGTTCAATATTGAAATGGATGATATTTTACTAACAAGTTTTTTTTTTCGCATTTCGACCAGAATGGAGCAACATACTGCACTTCAGAACTTACAATTTTGAAGAATAATGAAATACAACCCTGGGATAGGGGTTATGATGATGATGGAAATCAGGTCACGTTTCATGTTCTTGGTTTTCATTCCAACTTATTTTGTATAACAATGATGCGAAAGCCTCTACTAAATGTGTTAATTTGTTTGTTAACAGGTGTGGGGAGTGAAGGCAGGTCCTTACGAGTTCAAGCCTGCACCTGCCTCTAGTTTCAATGGCATGTTTTCTCCTCTAAGTTTCCCGGCTTCACAGCCCATGGAGAAAAGGATAGAGGGTTCGTTTGTCTTGCAAGAATAATTGGTTGTCACTTGTTACATATATTTTATAGCCTGTAAATTTGAACTGCTTTGTATAAGCTTGAGTGAAGTCCTCTGGCTTTACTGTTAGATTTTGTCAAAGTTTTTGTCAAGTAATCATAGATACAATTCTATACAAGAAAGATTAGGCAGTACACAATGAAACCTCTGGTGAGGAGGCACATGAATTTGGCAATGCAGGATTCAAGAGTTCCACGTTGGAAAGTGACGGCAAGAAGCAACCAAAGTCACTTTTCCAACAAAAATTTCATTTTTTTCCCTGCAGAATTGAGTTGATGCATGCACATGTTCGGCTGAAGAATATGGATAAATCAACAGTTCAGATTCATTGCTTATCAATTGATATGTGTGGTTTATACGTGCTGTATTTTCAGTAAAAATAATGTCGATATTGCGGTTTCAGCTCTTGGAATCCAATAAAGTTAAAAAAAAAAAAAAAAAGTGGATTAAAAGGAAATTCAACACAAATAGAACAAAATTACAAGATTGGTCCTGCAAACTTCGGAACATTCACACAATTACTCGCTGTCATTCATCCTACGATGGTATTGTTGAGGTAGAAGTACAAACCAGCAAGTGCTGCGATTCCAACCACAATTGCAATTGGCAATGCCCTCCTACATAGTTCATCATGAAATCAAAGGATGAGTGGTGGACATGAAAACAAGTGGTTTATGGGGTTTTTTTTTTTTTTTTTTGGAAAAAGACCAAAAAAAGAAAAAGGAGGAAAACAAATGAAATCAAACAAGTGGTGTAGGATTAAAGATGTGAAGGAGTGTGATTTACCCAACAGCTTCATCTCTTTTCATTTGTTCTTTTCTTGCCTTTCTAACGTCCGTGTCATTGGAATTTCTTGCCACGGCAGGCTGATATGGCCTGAATCTCCTCTTAGGAGCACCACAAACTGCAACATGTCATTCAAAACAATGGTTCTATCCTTGATCAAATTTGCCACCAAAAATATGTTGTTCTCAAACTCATTTTATTTCAAGTGAGTTTGTTATTCCAAGAATTAATGTCCAAGAATTGTTCCAACTGAACTAGAATCTTAACAGGATAATTCATCCAAAACAGGGAAAAGGCTTCAGGAGAAAGGCATTGCTCTTGCAAGACCAAATTATATGAGGAAACAAAGTACTTTAGGTTTCATAGCAGACCAACTTCTCTTCGTTACAGGTAAATATGGAAGAGAAAGAAATCGAATGCATTAACAAAAGAGTGAAGATGATTACCAGGACAAAAATAACTGTCAGGTACTTTCTCAAAGGGAGTCCTCTCATTATATATATACCTGCAACAATTACCCAAGAATAAATTTGAGATCCCCTCCATTTCAAGTTGTAAATAGTGTAAAGCAACAACTAAGAAACAAAGAAGATGATGAGGTACCCGCAATCACGGCAAATATAGGCTTGCTTGGAGGCCACACGCATGAAAAACCTTGGTGCAGTAGAAGCAGAGGGAAACTGCTGACGAGAAGGAAGTAATAGGTGAAGTGATGAAGAAAAGAAAGCTGATTTCAGAGCAAAACGATCCGAGGGTGCCCGCAGGCCAGCATTGCCAGTGGGAGCAAGTGGAGAGCCTGGTCTTAAGGATTTTGTGGGAGCCTGAAGGGCCATTTGCTATGCCTATAATTACTTTTTTTGCTTTCTCTTTGCTAGCAGCTGCTGCTTTGTGTGGTAAGGAACAGAATACAATGGAAAAGGAGAGTCGAGAAGATAATAGAGTGGTAAATTTGCGGAGTCTGAAAAAACATGTGGAAACGTGGCTTTCATGTTCCCCACACAAGCTTTTCTCTACCCACAAGTGAAATTCCAGCTTTGCCCCAGCATTACGAGCATTGAGTTGAAGAAATCAAGATTTGATGAATGCTGGAAATGAGAGTAAACATTCGAAGAAGTAACTGCAAAAGTTCATGTGTGATTATTTACATTGCCTTGCAAAAAAAAAAAAAGATTTTGCAGCCTAGAAAAGTTGACATCAAAGTTTACCCACACATAGATGATTATTATCCTATAATGATGCAGTTAACGGAATGAATTAAAGATTGGGCAGTCCTGAGTTCTGAGAAAACATACAAGGAACAGTCACAACTCACATCGCTAAAGCTGTAAAAAGAGACTGAATATCTAATGCATTTTTGCCAGAATTAAGATTTACATTTTGTATCTGTGGCTCAATTACACAGATAAACCCTCAGAATGTTCAGAGGTACGTCTGCTGGGCAGAAAATGCTGGAAGGTTTTAGGAACTTAATGTTACAGCTTCTACCAAGGTTTCAAGTCTCCAATGGGGCCAGCAGTCCAATTCAAGACCCTTTCACCATGCTTCAAGTAGGCACTCTTGTCATGGGGCAACTTACGTGCAAGTCCATTCAAAACTTGATGGAAAGCATCTCCTGGTTGGGCAGGTTGGGGGAATAACATTGCCTGCTTCATTGAAGGGTTGGCAAGCAATCTCTGCTTTCTTAATATTACTTCAGGGGGGATTGATGTGAGTATCGTGTCCAAGTTGGGAACATCCTTCTCATTGACAAAAACTCCAATTTCTTCCCATGGAATTGCATCAGCAAAGGGTAGAACAATGTCATCTGCTATAATAACAGGAATGCATCCAAATATCACAGCTTCAACCAATCTAGGGCTCCAAGGTGCCCAGCCAAGAGGACACAAACAAAACACTGCTCGTTGCATGTCCTCATAGTAGGTGGTTGGGTGCTCAGTTGAAATGTCAAAGAGTGGATTGTCCTTAAAGTTCTCCCATACTGCTGCTCTAGCTCCTCTGCAAAATTGTTGAACAATTGAACTCAGGTATCTAGGATCAACTTTGTCTTACAACAAGCATCCATAAATAACTACACAGCATTGAAGAGAATTTTCTTTCATTAATTTTCCATTTGACATAGGGAAATCTCTACATGGTTCTATGTAGTGCTTCTTAAGCAACATGAAAGCAGGCCCTCTATTCCATTGCCATAATTTCCATGGCATAAAATCTCTCATCAACATGTTCTAGCAACCATATTTTATCCCAATCACTTCTCTTTTGTTTAGATCTCATAAGAAAAATAAAGACTCTCGAATGTTTAAACACCAATCTATTTACAAGTCAGCTTACTGAAACATACCTCGCATAATAACCACCTTCAGGATCATTTCCAACATCATAAAACAGACCACGGAAGTAAACAAAAATGGATCTAGGAGTTTTTGCAGGAATCAGGTGTGTTTGCATTTTCTGGGGTGGAGCATAAGGTGGAATTGTGATTGAGCCCTCTTTCAGGCAAACGTGATTCCGCTGTCCAAAAGTCTGAACCAATGTGGCACGTTGGAGCAAGGGGAGAATTCCTCTTTCAATGGCTTTCTCCTCCTGCAATAACATATGTGAATAAGTAATGATCTATTCCAAATAAAAAATAAGGAGAAAATCATTTTCCAGAAAACAAGACCCAATTATATTCAGACAAACCCTAAAGATTAAAATCCAGTGGGGCACTACACGAAATCATAATAACAATCAGTTGAAAAATGTATCAATTACAAACATCATAGCACAAGAAATTGACAAGAAAGTAGGTTAAGGAGTAATACTTGATAATGGAAGCATGCTCCAAAGTCATGTGGCACTAGAAAGAAGTGATCAGCCCCTTCTGTCCGGTTCCAATAAGGCCAATTTGAAGAAATAAGCTGTATTGCACTTCTCATCATTCGTGGTGACTTAAATGGCAAAGGGAGGCCATTTGGTGTTAGGTCACATGTAGTGTATATGGGTGTGTAAAACCAATCAGCCTCCTCAGGGTTGAGGGTTCGAACAGGGCTAGATAGAAGAAACCTATGCATGTAAATCTCAGCAGCAAACATGTGGTTGAGGCATCTTGGGTCCTTCTGCAAAATCTTCTTGTTGTATTTGCTAGGAAGCTCATAAACAAAAACTTTCAACCTTCCAACTGGATCATCTTCCAAGACATCACCGGCACTGCCTGCAATCATGAAACCATGTCAAATTAGAAATGTAATGCTTCAAATTTGATTGCACAAGAGATTTGATTGTTTTAGTAGAAAACTTTTACGATTTGTGATCTAATAGGAGAATCACAACAAGCCAATTGTGAAGAATGTCAGAACGGCAATTCCTACAGAGTAGGAGTGAAGCAGAAATGGAGAAAAAGAAAAATGATATAGTAATAGACAGAATATCTAGGTATGCAACTCTTTAAGAGGAATAAGTAGGCCTTGATTTGCTGGTAGATATCTGAAAAAGTATATGCCTTGCATCCCACTTCAAAAAATAGGAGCTCAGCTCCTAAATTGAACTTCCTACGCTGTTTTGATAATATATACAAGCCACCGACAAAGACATGGCAAAGGTTCCCAACATAAATTCTTCTGGCCAAGAATGGGAACTTTTCATATTCTTCAATCTCTTTAAGTGCAAACTCATCCATAAATTAGCATGGGGGAGAAGTTATGGGAATGTGTAAATTTGAAAAATGTTTTACACATTCCATCTCCTCTTTCACTCTATATCTAATGAATGAAATAAGGTAAATAACTAAGCTAGGAAAGCCTTAAAAGTAAAAAAATGTTCCCTTATAAGCAGATCATGCCATATTTGTAAATTATAAAATCTCCAAACTTATACAGTGTCCTAGACCAATTTGCTTAGAAAGAATCCCTTAGGCTCTGTTTGGTTGGTGCTTTTGCCTTTTTTCTTTTTCCAATAGAAAATGAAAAAAAAATATATATAAAATGAACTAAAAACAATGGACACACAGCAAAAGGCAAAAAACAGAAGCAGCCACCAAACAAAGCCTTGATAATTCCACTTAAAACAGCCCTAAGCAATTGTCAGTTAGAATTTTGATCATCATATTTCTGATTGCTTTTCTGCCAGCTATTATCACACATGCAATGCAATTATGCATAAGACACCATATTAAGACAAACTAAACCTTAAACCAAAGATCATACTAAAACATCGGATCTGGTTGACTCAACTAAGATCAATATTACAGTCAGGATATGCTATGAAGCTTCTAGTCAAACAATGTTGCCTCAGTTTTAGCAACTACATAGATTAATACTCCAAACAAAAGTTCATCAATGCCCACATTTCTTCTAAGGTACTAATAGGCAATTCTATCCCAGTTATCATTGAGATTAACTAATTTTTAGACCTTAGGATTTAGGAACTGTATCCACCTTGACAACGTTATATTTTTACATGAAAAAGGGCACCTTTTTTTGGTGAGGAATGCTCAACTGGATTGCCTGATTGTTAATTACAAAACATTCTACTACCAACGGAACCAATTCAAAGTCAGAAACGACCAAGCAAATGTCTAATCCAGTTTAAACTTTAAGCAGATCAGAAAAATTCTTCACTAAATTATTTCTTAATAAGTAAAGAAAATCCAACAAAAATATAAAAACTATATTCCTCAAACTCAGCTACATGAACCCTGAGTTTTTTTTTTTTTTTTTAGAGTTAAATATAGTGAAAGGGATGAATCTTACCTGAAATTCTCTCAGTAGGTTGACTACGACCCAGCTTAAAAGCCTCAATCTTGACAACAAAAGCGGCAAGAAAGAGAATTCCAATAAATGCCCATCTCCAAATCTCCATTTTCTCTTCCGAGCTTTACTCCTTCAAGACTAAGAAAAATTCTCTCAAATCTAGCAAAGAATCACAGCTCAAAAGAACAACCGCAAGACACAGCTGCACCTCCACCACCTCCCAAAGAGAAAGAAAAACAAAGAATAAGAAAAGCAAAACAGCTGTGACGTCACAAGAACAAGTAGTTAAGGTTTCTTAAGAATTCCAGAATTTCAACAGCATCAAAGAAATGGGTTTTCTTTCCTTTCTCTTGTTAGGTTGACAAAGAAAGAGCAAGAGATTTAGACAGAGAAGGATAAACAAATTTTGCTTCAACAAAATTCTTATTTCCTTTTTTTCTTCTTTTTTTCTAATAAAAATGTCTTCTTGACAGAGAAAAATAAAGGAGGGTTTTTTTTCTATTACATACATGATTTGAAGAGAAATACAGGAAGGCAGAACCCAACCATTGCCATCAACCTTCGCACTGCGTTCTTTTTTTTTATTTTATATATACAGAACTATTTTTTCTTAATTATTTAATTATTTATTTTAACTTTTAAAACAAACATAATGTGTTGTTGCCGACACCAAATGATTTACTTTGACCATTTTCTCAGTATTTTTATCATTTCCAGGTTTTTTTAGCTGAAAAAATGAAGATAGATCAAACTCAACTGAAGATACCTGTAAACCCCTTTCATGGGACTGAAATGATGATTATATTTATGAGTTAGTATTGGATATTTTATAAATGTAAAATTTTAATTATATAAACGAAAGTTAACAGAATGATATTTATTTTTTAAGTATATTTTAAAAATTAATTAATTAATTAATTAATTAATTAAAAAATAGATATATATCATATTTTTAATACCATTTATGTAATTAAAATTTTATAACGGCATAAAATATTAACTTTATATTTATTATTATATATTTGTTTAATCATACACTTTTAAGGCTTTGTCCCAGTCCATCTAGTCCGTCCATTGACTCATTAGATTTGTTGATTAGTTAAAATAATATTATAATATTAAAATTTTACTTTAATATTAATATTTTAAATATATTTTAAAATTAAATTAAATATGAATACAAATTTTAATTAAATAAAAAACAATTTAATTTAAATTAAATTTTTATTTATAAATTTTTATTTAAAATTAAATCAAATCAAATTCTATCATAAATTTTAAACAAATAACTGGGCTTATAAATATGACAAAACAAGAGCAAAGACTTACATTCAAAATTGACAAGGTAAGCCTAAGACATTCCATTACCGTTTACAATTACAAATATAAAACCAAAATGTATAGGTCAAAAATATAAAGAAAGCAACCTTAAAATGAATGGGTAAAAGCCACCATAGACCATCACTAGTCATGGTTTTTCTGGTCATAACTGGAAATTTTAGAATTTTATATTTAACCTATGTTCATACACCCAATCTTGACAATTTCATAAATCAGAAACTTCTATCAGTCAGTCAACACCATTACTTGTAAATTGTAATTGATCTCTGGGAAACCATTTTCCAGCGGCAGTTAGGGAGGAGATTCTTGGCTTAATTGGTGGGTGGGTTTATGATGGTAGAACATTGTAAGTTAAATGTGGACAAAAAACCTCAGGCAAGTATTTTCAATTTTATCTTAGTTTGGTTTTTTGGGAAATGGATAGCCAGCTAAATTAATATTCAAATTTAAATATTTGCATTTTTTTTTCATTACAACTTTTTTATATCCAAAAATACAAGTATATATATATTTATATATATATATCACAATTAAGAAAATAATTTTTTTAAATTACAATTATAATCAATTATTATTATATCCATATATTATATATCGCTTAATAATCAATTAATAAATTAAAATATAATTAAACAATCAAACCCACATCTACACATATTAAAATTTGAACCTAAAATCTTAAAGTTTTAGAGTCTCCTCTTTATTTTTAAGTTAAGATCTCATTAACAATAAGAGAAGGATTAATATCATAAATAGTCTTTAAATTATAATAAAATATTCAACGTAATATCTGAATTTAAAAATTTTTAATGTGATATTTAAATTTTAAATATATTAATTAATGTAATATTTGAAAAATTATTTATTCGTTATATATTATTATATGAAATTAATCACATTAGAGTTGAGTATCACATTAATTAATTGACTCATAATTTATGTATTATATTAAAAAATTTAAAATTTAAATATTAAATTAAATATTTTATTCTAATTTAAAAACTATTCGTGATATTAACATGTAAGAATAATTTATCAAAAATAAACTTCCCAAAAATGTTAACAAATTTTAGAATTCTTAATTACAACAATTTACGCACGTTGCAATATTAAGTGCAGAAAATGATTTACAACTACATGAATTTATTGCTTACCTTTATGAGTAAAAATTAAGTCATTTATAAAAGGAAAAAAAAATTGATGTTGACGCACGAAAATAAAAATTTATGAGCTGTTGTGTTGGCATTAAAAAAATTTGTTGGGAGATACAATAGTCTTAACAAGAATTGACAATATGCTTATTTTCATTTCAATGATTAAAAGTAAATTTTTAATAATCTCAAATATAATTTTTTTTAATATCAACTAATTTTATTAAATTTTTTAAATTTAATTATCTTTTATAGCTTACAATTGACAATAGAGATCTATTATTATATATCAATCAATTCATATCTTTTTAAATTTATTCACAATACTTTTTCATAACAATACTAAACACATAATATTTTTAATCATATTTTTTAAACGTATTTTTTTCGATTAAAATTTTTTTCAATTAGAACAATAATACTAAATTAACCCTTAATAAGTCAGCATCAACGATCATTCATTCATTCATTACCATAAAAAAGGCAAAATAATAAATGATTCAGCTGGTTGATATGAAATTTATTAGAACTTAGAGTTTTAGAGATTTGATGCTTTTTTTTTTTCAAATGAAGAATTGGATGAGAGTTGAATTGACCTGGATGATGCAGATTTGGGTTAAGTCGACCTGGCTGTGTTTGACTAGGAACCCTGGCTCCGTCCGACGACCCTACTAATCCTATTTCAAACGCCAATTTTCTATCATCAAGTTAATGATAATATGTCCATACAATATTGCTGTTGCAGTTCAAGGTCGTCAATGTCAGCAACCAAACTCTTTATGTTTGCAGTAAATGAAAAGCCCCCTATGACTTTTATCAACCATCGAGTGAGTCTTTAGCCATCTCAAACCGGGTAAAACATGTTGGATGAAGCTACCTCGGATTAATTATAATCTCTAGGTCAAAATCTGTTTGTCTATTGAAAGATTTAAAAGATTTATATAATTAAAAAAAAATCTTAATTTATATTTTGAAAATTTTCTGATGATCAAGTCAATATGGAAGAAAAATGAAAAAGAAAAAAAAACCTCAAATCTTATTATCTTCTTGGCCTCAAATAATGTTGGGGTTGATTTTTCTTAGTCAAAATTTTCTTCAATTATAAAAATATATTTGAAGACTTTTTTGTTCAAAGTTTTTGAAAAGTAATTTTTTTTCATATTTTAATTATTAATATATTTTGAGTAAAATGAAATTAAAGTTAAAAAAATTTACCGTAAAAAATAAAATTGGAACATTATTTATGATAAACAGGGAATGTTAATTAAAGGTTGGGATCCATGGCCTAGTTAAACTACCCAACGGTAACGTTTTCAATGTGTAGTTAACTTCCCACTGTCTAAGCCACAAACCGGCGAGCTTAAATTAAATGGCAAGAGAGAAAGATTAGTCCATGGGTGGAAAAAAAGTATAGGCCCGGCATTTATATGTTTATATCTGACAGACAGAAGAAGGGGAACAGAGAATTATAATGATGACGAGTTCTGATAAAATGGACAACTCCATGGAAACAGAAGAAGAAAGCATGGAAAGCAATGAGTTTGAGAAGACTAAAATAAGTCGTATGAGAACCTTGGTTGAAAGACAAGATCCCTCTTCCAAGGTCTGCCTTGTTTCTTCTGTTCTTTCTTTTCTCTTCTTGTTTAGTTGTGATTATTGCAGCTTTCCATCTGCAGAACATGAGAGGATTTGCTTCTTTGATTGTTTGTCATTGTTGTTTCTTTCTCTCTTTTTCTTTCGTTCTTTTCCCTGACATGGGTTTTTTGCTGTTTCCTTCGTCAAAGCTGAATTCTTGATGAATCACAGAGTATTTAATGAACTTGAAGCCTTAACTCTTTTCCAAGATACATATTTTCTTTGATTTTTCCTGATAGCAAGAAGGGAACTCTTATGGCCCAGCTAAGTTTGTATGGATCATCAAGAACACTTCATTTCCTATTAACATGATTATCAGCAATATACATGCCTCAGATCCTGGGCCTGGAGGCTATCAGTCCTTCCCCACTGATGTTCATGTGCCTACCATGCATTTCTTGTACAATTCTCTTAAAAAATTAACAAAACTATGGCAAAATTTGAATAAATTTTCTTGATTATATATGTTACATTCAAAATATTCTTCTGGCATGAAAATTATTGCTTAACTTTATCAATTGTTGCAAAGTAGAAGAAAGTTGAAATCTAGGACCTAAACCATTATTGGAAAATATAGATGATTTGCTTGTAGTTCTATATTTCACCATGAATTTGGGTTTTGCAGGAAGTAGATGATTTTACATTCAGAAGATTTCTGCGAGCTCGTGATTTAGATGTAGAGAAAGCATCTGCCATGTTCCTCAAGTACCTGAACTGGAAACGAAACTTTGTTCCCAACGGTTCCATTTCTCCATCCGAAGTCACCCATGAAATTGAACAGAATAAGATGTTTCTGCAAGGATCAGACAAGAAAGGACGACCCATAGCAGTTCTTCTTGCTGCAAGACATTTCCAACATAAAGGGGGTGTGGAAGAATTCAAGCGTACGTTACTTTTCCAACTCATTTCTCAGAAGTCTGGCTGACAATTTTGAGTTGGACCCACCATGTATTTTTTTTATTATTTATATTTTAATCTACCATGTCAATGTACAGGTTTTATAGTCTACATTTTCGACAAAATATTCTCAAGGTAATCTTTTTTCAATTTTTATAGATCAACCAATTAATTGTTCTTGAGGATACATTTCTATTTACTTGCACACACAGCACCATAGTGCGTGGTACAAACAGAATTACATGCTCATCAGGGATGAGGCCGAAGAAGTATGGAAATTTTGGGATTATGGCACCTATTCTGTAGGTTGTATTTGAATATATATATTTGATGCAACCTCTTAATTGTGCCAGGTTGCCTCCAGGACAAGAGAAATTCATCATCATTGGAGATCTTGAAGGTTGGGGATATGCAAACAGCGACATCCGTGCTTACCTTGGAGCTTTATCTCTCGTGCAGGTTTAGTAATTTGATTCAACCTATGGTAGGAAAACTGCCCAGTACAATATATATCTTTCTATTTTCATCTTCTTTGCTGCTCAAACGATCAGGGGAAAATGGTAGGTTCTGTATTAAGAGTGGCTGCCTTATTTTAATTTCTTCCCTGGAAATGGCAGGACTATTACCCCGAAAGACTAGAAAAGCTGTTCGTAGTTCATGCACCATACATTTTCATGACAGCATGGAAAATTGTTTACCCTTTGATCGACCACAAAACCAGGAAGAAGGTACCATAAGAGTTTTGAATTCTTGACATCAAATTCCTTTATGTACTACTACTCAACCGTTGCATGCAAATTGTATGCACTGTATTTTAGCCGTTTAGCTATCACTTTATTGGTAGATTGACATGAAAATTTTGTGTGCTTTTTACAGATAGTATTCGTTGAGAACAAAAGGCTCAAAACAACTCTGCTTGAAGAAATAGACGAAAGCCAGCTCCCTGAAACATTAGGTGGCACACTGCCATTGGTTCCAATTCATGACAGCTAAGCATATATTTTTCAATAACCAGCATACATGAAGTGCTGCTGAAAATGGAGTCCCAAGTCTGTTTAAAGACTCTTACCAATAGAATTTGGGAAGTCTGTTAATAGACTATAATGGGATGTATGATTTATCCTTATTCACTAGAATTCTACAATAATTTATCCTTATTTATTTCGTGATGCCCATTGTATAAGATGACAAGCACGGTACCAGATATCAAGTTTGATAATATGAGTCATATGACAATACTAACTCGTGTGCATCACTGAGTTAATGTTACAATTTATGGGCTTCATATGAATACTTGTTTCTTTTCCCCCATTTTTCTCAGGCAATACTGCTATAACAACCAAACTCGTTAGATTCCTCAAACTGCTCTAACATTCAATAAAAGGCTAACGGGCACCAATGAAAAGTATATAATCATTCAATAAGAAGAAGAAAATTTGGATTTAGTCATAGCCATATAAACATGGAAACCAATGACAATTGACATGAAAGTCTCATCCTGAAACTGAATCATTGTGTAATAATAATATACAATATGATCCATTTTTGCTATTAAAAACTTCAAATTGATTTGAACATGAGTATGCATATATTGGACTAATGAAAGGTTTTATAACAAATTCGAAAACCAATGAATCTTCTAATAAGTTGTGGTATTAAAGATTTTAAACTATTTTAATTGGGGAGCACTAACAGGAACTTAGTTACAGGGTGAGGCCTGCACAGTAAGAAGAAAACCCAAAACTGATGGAAGGCATAACAGAACAGAACAAAATAAAAAACAAAACAAAAAGATTTTGGGCATCAGCGAGAGAGAAAGGAAAGGAAAGGAAAGGAAAGAAAGGACAAAGTGGTAAAAGGAAGAGTACTGTTGTTGCTGAGTGAAGCTCTATTGAGCCCCTGAAAATATATATTATATATATGATTATATATGAAAGCCAAAGCCAACTGACTCAGTCATGGGACGAATTGTTAGCATCCAGCAGATCCATGACGTGTCATGTTTCCATTGGTCAAACTGAAAGTGACCCTTAGGTTGACCAAGCTTCCATATTAATTAATTCTGAAAAAGAAGATAAAAGATCTCTCATTTCTTTCCCATGTTTGTTTCCTTAATCCAAAAAACACTAGAACTTGGAACCAGAAAAATAAAGACAACCAATGACATGTGAACACCTGTCCGTAGACTGGGGAGTTTCATGTGTTTGGACCAATCATGTTGGTCTTGATGATGGGAGCAGACAAGAAGAAAAACATCAGATCATGGCTTTAAGAAGTGGTGTTGTCTTTGAAAGTACAAATGAAACAGTCTTTTCAGAGAGAGCTTCGACAACAGGGTTTAGCTGAAACAACTGACAATTGTCCTGAACTTCTCTGCAGTTTTGCATTGCCAATGAATAGTATATATATAACAACTTAATTAATAAATAAAATAAATAGTAATTTAAATTTTGTTTGAAATTACTGAGTTGGCCTTTCCCAAACTTGTCTGTCTTAATTCCAGGCCCCAGGTTTCAGAATTGCAGTGCAGAAACCCTTTTCAGAGGGCTCCATTCTACCCCTTACAACCGCAAGTCCACAATCCTCTCTTTTCTTGCCTTTGGCTTGGCTGCCTTTTTTTCCAAGTTAATGTAGAAATGTACTTATTATCTTCTTTTTTTTTTCCATGTTAATGTAATATATTCACAAGAAATTTTTGTTTTATGCAATTAATAGAAAAAAATGAAAATTAAAAGGTAAAAAAATGAATTGAAAATTAAAATAAAAAAAAAGACCAAAAAAATTTTAATAAAAAAATTTATTACACACACTTTAGTAGTTCCATCATTGACATCTTATCAGTCAAGTCATATTCTCCGTTACTTTTTTTTTTTTTCAAACAATTAATTTGAATATCGAAATACATTTCAAGTCTTAATTTTTACATTGACTTTTTTTTTTAACATGTTCACTAACTTAATTTTTAACTAATTTCGTCCTCACCAAATCCAAAAATACACCAACACAAATCAAATATAATATTAAATTCCTTCTATTAAACTCAATTAAGTATTTTATTTATAGTAATTGTTACCTTAAAAGGTATCTTAACTAATTTTAAAGAGCGTATCGAAAGTATTTGTTAGCAAAAACTTATAATAAAATTTTAAAAAATAAATAAATTGTTATGGAAATTTCACAATAATGCCAAAGATTTTTATAAATAAATAAATAAAAATAATATATATATAATTTTGAAGAATTGAACTAAGATCCTGCAAGCTATGAGTTAAATTTGAATCTTTTATTTTCAATATAAAATAATTTTTCCTTGCATGCAAAGAGAATATATAAAGATTCTTGCAAGAAAAGAAAATATTTATTTCTTTAAAAAAGAGAAAGGGACAACAATATTTTTCCCAAAATTCGAGGGGTATTTTCATGCATTTTATTGCTCAACGAAATCAGACCAGGCAACTCCAACGAAAGTTTAAATCGAAAACCCATGCTCAACGAGAAAAGTCAAAGGAAACATGATCTGGCACTCCTGAGATGCATCAAAATTACCCTGCGGATCTCTCTAATCACCAATCAGATGGCTCAAAACATTCCAACATTAAAATCCTAAACCTCATCTAAATCACCAATATCTGCCACCCTTTTACGGGGATCAGTCAGGTAACGTGAAAAGTCTAATCATTTTGCTTGCATGACGTGTCATGTTTCTATTGGTTTATTACACAAAAACCGATGCAAAGGAAACGTTAACCAGTGAGGGAAGGGGAGGGGAAGCCAATTGACTGTGTCTCTCATTAGTTTCTGGTTAGGTTCCAACTGTCAAGTTTGGTTTCCGTCTTACAATGCAAAGAAACAAGCCATGCAAGGGTAGTTTGGGGATTCCGAAGTTCCTGTCTTTATAGCAACCGACAGCTTCCCTCGCCAACCAATCCAACGTAAACATAAAGAACAAAGATTTTTTTTTTTTTGTACTTCATTTCTTGGGAAAAAAGAGAAAAAAGCTTGAGAAAGACATGGATCCTGAGGCTTTCGCTACTGGGAGCTTCTTCAAATGGGACCCAAGAGGAGTCATGGCCCCCATGCCGGCGCGTTTGATGGAAGCAGTGGCGTCGCCTCAGCCACATACGACTGCTGCTGCTGCTGCTGCTGCTGCAGTTGCGGCTGCTTACATGGGGAGGCCAAGGGAGCTTGGAGGAATAGAGGAGTTGTTTCAAGCTTACGGGATCAGATACTACACTGCAGCTAAGATAGCTGAGTTAGGGTTCACTGTGAGTACCCTTTTAGGCATGAAGGAAGAAGAGTTAGATGAGATGATGAATAGTGTGTCGCAGATATTCAGGTGGGAGCTGCTAGTTGGTGAGAGGTATGGTGTTAAAGCTGCTGTTAGAGCTGAAAGGAGAAGGCTTGAAGAAGAGGATTCAAGGCGGCGACACCTGGTTTCAGGTGATACCACCAACGCTCTTGATGCCCTCTCCCAGGAAGGTTAGTTTTACTTGTTTTGTTGATATATTTACAATTGCTCCCTCGCCTGACGTAATGGAATCTAGATAAGAATTGAAAAAGGAGTACTATCTATTACTATCTTATCCCAATGACAGTTTTTTGTTCTTTTTCTTTCTTTGGTAAAATACATATTCGATGTTCATTTTATGACAGATACTATAACACGTAAATGTTGAGCAGATGTTTTTGAATTTTCGAACAATCTCATCTTTCAATGCAAAAACTTGATCGTTATAGTTTTATATATATTAAAGTTGGTTTGACATGAATGAGAAAATTGTTGGCAAGCTAGCTGTATAAATTTCACGGATAGTTATGACTTTTGATATTGTAAAAATGAACGTGTAGCTCTTGATTTTATATTTTCTGCAGGTGCAACAATATCTTCTTAAGTAGTAGTAGTATTCTTTTGTTTTTTTTTTTATTTCTATATTCTTTGTTTTGGGGGGGTTGAAAAGAGTGTGATTGACAGGGTTGTCAGAGGAACCAGTGCAGCAAGAGAAAGAGGCAGCAGGGAGCGGAGGAGGGGGGGCGTGGGATGTGGTAGTAGCTGGGGGGAGGAAGAAGCAGCGGCGCAGGAAGGGGCAGAAGAAGGTGGTTGTAGAAGTTGGTCATGAAGATGGATTAGAGGGTGGTGACGATGATGAAAATGGTGATGGTGAAGGCTACGAGAGACAGCGAGAGCACCCTTTCATTGTCACTGAACCTGGTGAGGTAGCACGAGGCAAAAAGAATGGTCTTGATTACCTTTTCCATCTCTACGAGCAGTGCCGGGAGTTCTTGATTCAAGTCCAAAACATCGCCAAGGAGCGTGGTGAAAAATGCCCCACCAAGGTAACAAATCAGTACTCTTTGTCTCTTTTACACAATCAAACAAGAAGAATTAAACGCAGAAGTTGAAAAGAGAAAGTTATTCAAACAAGAGGCTTTTAATCCAACGAGAAATAGAACTCTTCGAAATTGTTTTCACATTTGTGCAATTTTGCATACTGCACAAAGCTTGACACGTGACTAGCTGTAAAACAATGGCTCTGTTAGAATCTTGGAATTGTTCCCTCCCAATAAAGCTACGGGTTACTAGCCAGCTGTTCTAAACAAAATGTGACAAGTCAGGTACGGGGAGGAGTGGGGTCCGGGAAATGTGCGTTGAAATGTTGCAGGGTAGGGTCCCCGAATGGGTACTTTGTCTTGAATAAATTACTGTCTTTTGGCATTATTTTCCTGATGGGTTGGAGGTGGCATGACCCCCATGTGACAGCCGCACCATTTTTTAACGACGTTTTCAGAACCAAGTCCTTTGCATTTTGGATCCTAACTTACCTTGCTCCTACACCATTCTATGATGCTCTCTCTCTTCCTCTCCTGCCCCAAGAAATAAACTCTAAAGCCTAGACTAATTCTTTAATTTGCTTTTGTACTAGCCCCCAGTCATCCACACAATCATACGTTGGTTTCTTCGTTTAAATTTACCATAAAAAAGGCATCAAATCTTCACGGTTTTCTATATTTGAATCTCCTTTTTTTTTTTTTTGAGTTTATGGGCTGAAAATTTTTATACAGGTGACCAATCAAGTTTTCAGGTATGCTAAGAAGGCCGGGGCGAGCTACATTAACAAGCCCAAAATGCGACATTACGTGCACTGCTATGCGCTGCATTGCCTTGACGAGGAGGCATCGAATGCGCTGAGGAGAGCTTTCAAGGAGAGAGGAGAGAATGTTGGGGCATGGAGACAGGCTTGCTACAAGCCTCTCGTGGCCTTAGCTGCGAGCCAGGGTTGGGACATTGATGCAATTTTCAATGCACATCCTCGTCTTGTTATTTGGTATGTGCCCACCAAGCTTCGACAACTTTGTCATGCCGAACGTAACAGTGCCGCAGCCTGTAGCTCCGTTTCTGGCGGACCTGATCATATTGCCTTCTGAACCTTTGATTCCACAACCAATTCTGTAATTGGGTTTATATTGAGAATGAAAGAAAGAGAGATAACTAGTTAGGCACAAGTTTGAATGAAGGAAGAAGTCTTGTGTTAGATTATGTATGGTAAGCATGATTTGAATCACAAACGATGACAATTAATGTAGTAATTGAGTCTTTAATTTTTACTTAAGCAGAAACTGACTACAAATAGTATATATTTGTTGCAAATCTCACTGTATGCCAATATCAGATATAGTAGCAGCATGATGCTTATTTAACAAGACAAAAACTGAACAAGAAAAAACCAGAAGGATAACCTTTCCCGTGTAATTTGCTGAGGGATAAAAGAATCAATTCGCATACAACTAGCCGAATTAAAACCTCGTGGGACCATTCATCATTCAGCAGTGAGGGAGCATTGTATTTTGAAAACATACCATTCCAAGTGCTGTGACCTTTCACTACACTTGCCACCTCCTCCACATTAACACCAATCTGAACTTTGCTGTCCCTCTCCTGGATTGTCACTCAGGAAATTGAATCTACTGTTATGGCAAATGGTACACCAAGTTCATCTGTTCGAGCATATCTCTTCCCCATAGATGTACCTGAGATGGAAAGATACAAACAAGCGAATCTAAATTCATCTGGCTTAATCGAGAGTTTACGATTGCTGTTAGTATCAGTTGCCATGTTTACATCTCCGCTAAAGAGTATGCTAGTAACTATTCAGAACCAAAAGCAATAAGCAGTTTAAAATTTTCTTGGGTGCATACCTGTCATATCAATTTTATATGATATCCCAGCGGCAGTTAATATTGGGCAATATGTTTAGCAACTTTCTCATATTGCTGGTTTTGCACGAGTGGGAACACAGTGCATTTGATTGGTGCCACAAGAGGAGGGAAACGGAAAAACATTTAACCGCTCATCACCAGTCTTGCTAGGCCTTGTGTAGAATGAATGCTCATAAAGACAGTAGATTATCCGTCCAATACCAAAAGATGGCTCAATAACTGATGGAGTGAAAACCCTCTGATGTTCCTTCTTCTTTTCCTTGGAGATTGTCACCATATTCTTCTTTATGGTAACATCTTTAGCAAGAGGGCATACGTAGAATTCCATTTCCCCCTTGGGCTCCAAAGTAGCCTTCATTTCGATAGCTTCTTTTTCACTCATGACCTGCTCCCAAACAGGAAATCAGCACAATTCACTAAATTTTGTTCTAATATACTTCTTGTGGAAAGAAGCATATCACCTACAATCATTGTAGTACAATTAACCAATCACAATTTAGAATTGTTTGGAGTCCATCAAAATTTTATGTGGAGCCTATACTTATAAGTGGTAAACTCCTATATAATTATTTATTGTGATTGGACAACTGTAAAATTGTAGTAAAAGAATTTATAAGTGATATGCTCCCCATGTGGAAGACTAGGGCTTGGATATTTCAGCAATAAGCAAGGCCCTAACCTTCCAACCTCTATTTTCTCTTTCACACCCATGTGTCCATCACACACCCATCACAAATTAATTTATTTTATTTACCTCCAGTGCTTCACAGACCATCCTTTGGTCACCCTTGAATGCAAGGCCCAGCTCCTTCTTAACTGGTGCAATAACAAGTTTCTGAAATCACACAACAGCCAAAAAGTCATTAAACAACCATGCAACTATTCATAATTGATAAAAAACAGAGACTTACCTCTACTTCCCTTGGTTCTGCAAATTTTTCATGTGCCACAAGGGGAACACCACTCTCATCCTATTAGAGAGTGCAAGAAACATTCATGAATACATCAGTAAATTTGTACCCGTTCGCATATTAATTGATATCAGCCAAAGAAAAGGTGGATAGACATAAGTGTTATTTTACCTGTTTTCCTTTTTCTCTCTTTTGAAATATTTAAGAAGGAAAGTGACAAGGTTAAAACATTTATGAAGTCGGACATTCAAGTTGGGTTTTATCGTTCACTTACTGTGTGAGCTGGCAAATCACATGCAGATCTATCTGCAATACCAACAACACTCAATCCAGCCATAAGAGCATTCTATTTCAGCATCCTAACAGTCTGCAGCATAATGGGCCATCTCATTGGCCAGATGCTGCCTAAAACATAATCTATCTTTATTAATACCCAGATATGTCAAGAAAAGATACACCCTTCCAAATGAAATAGCGCAGTGTCTCATTGTTGACAATGGCCTGATCAGTTACGAGCAAATAATAGATTGTGACAAAATCAATGACGAAAAGCTGAAATTAAATTGGACAGAGACTAGCAAGCCTTTGAAACTGCTTCACCAAGATACATTCTTTTTGCTGGTTGTCGGACACTTATTTTTCCTTTGGGAACATTAAGAATCCCAAATCGGAAACTTCAGAAAATATTGGGTTTGACTTGTTGTCAGGATCCACAAAATGCTCAATCTCAGCCAGTGTAAATTCCCAAACTCTTAGGAGACCTTGGCGGGGAGATATCTGTGGTTTGAATTTGCCAGATTATACTTAAATTCCCCAAATTCAGCACAATATAACCGCACGAAAGACCTCTAGGATCATTTTAACAATTAACTAGCATCATGGTGGTCAGAAGGAAATGGTACCATATTCTAGAATGCCTTTGCTGGGAAACCCAGAAAGTTTTCCATAAGATTTGATAGGGTAGAGTTGAGGCTCAGTTGTGCAGAATTCTCAAACGAGATAGATCCTTCCAAGTTCCAATCCTCCCTCTCCTAGTCAATTACGACAATGGGAATGATGTTGGAAACAGAGACATCAATGCATGCAAGGAATATGAACAAGAAGCAATATTATCAACGCCTAGAAAATGAACAAGAAACAGAGTATAGAGTGAAATCAACTACATGAAAGAGAAAATTGCAATTTGTAGAGTTTTATACCTCATTTCTAAACGCCTGACAGGGAGCTTGTTCCCATTATAGTAATAGAGGTCCTTGAAGTTAACAAATATACCTTGAGCTGTCTCAGGAAGCGGCGCATAAACCTGCATGTTTCAAATCACTTAAATAAAAAATTTATCCCAATAAAAAAGTGTATGCACTAAATCAGAATCACAAGCTTACCCAGGGCTCAACCCAGATGGCCCGATTGAAGTTTGGAACGTAAGATTAGAAGGGTAAGGATCAGAAAGTGGGTTCTTAGTATCAAGAGCAACTATGCAATACTACCTAATTTTTTCACCCAATTCTACAGCTGAAATGTCATCCAATACAGCCTGAACATGCTTCAGCTCAGCAGCCTTGTCAGCTGTGATGTTGATATCCATCTTCTCAAGCTTATCTTTGCAAAAATCCTTCAACAAATGGTCGGCTCGGTAACAAGTTCCAGTTTTTTCATCTTTCACCATGAGGTCAGTGAATTTATCCACATGACCCGAAGCTTTCAAACAATTTCTGGTGTCACGCACGGGCAGTCCACTTCCAACACAAAATGCTGTAATGAAACTTGAACAATTCACAAGATTCAAGGTTCGAATCCCCAAATTCCTTATAACTCTTTCCATGGTTACAAAAAGCTTTAAATTTGGATTAACAGTTTCAATCAGTGAACCAAATTCTTCACATGTTCGATAGCAAGTTTGAGTCCTTTAGAAATGAAAGAAAAGGCTAACCTGACGCCAGAGCGCTAGGATGTTAGACTTGACTGGCGCTGCCAGGTGGCCAGAATCGTAAAGCCCAGCAACACCACCGTAAATCTTAAACGACGGTACGTAGAATAGATGCCGTTCGAGGGTGCTAACAACGGCTTGACGGAAAGCATCCCGGTTAATGACGTTACTGTAACCGTTGCTCACCATGGCTGTTGGGTTTCGTCGCCGTTCCCCTTTTGCTTCGACGCCGTTCAAGTTGAGACACACGAAAGTGCTTTAACGATTAGGATATTTTCTTCGGATTTTTTCGACCTCCTCCGTCGTTTTCATCACCAGAAGATTCCAACCGTGCGGTCGAGTTAGATATTTCCGGTTCCATGATAGAAACGGTGACGTTTTTGACAACTCTAACCATATATAAACTCGTCAGTTTTCAGAAATTTCAAATTAATAAAGGCTTAAGTCTTTTCTTGTTAGAGTATAGGTTTCCTTGCCGTCGGATTATTTCCCACCAGAAATGGAGAATCGATGGAGATTGCAGATCTCGGAGTCTGAATCAATGGATTGGATTGGCGTCAAGCTTACCATACTTGTTTCACGGCAGGAACAAGTGAAGATCGCTTATCACCAACTAAAATCGCAGATCAAAATCGGTTTGGCTGAAGTATTGCTTCGATTTTTTTCTCTTACTAATCGTGATTTTTCTCGTTTTGCTTCGATTTGATTTCGTGTTTTTGAGACATTTAAACGAGGAATCGTCGTTGATTTCTTTTTTTCTCTTAATTTCCAGGCGGAGGAGGTGTTCGCTTCCTTGGCGATTCCGTTGATGAAGCTGGTTGGTTTGAAAACAGAGGAAATGGCTGAAGAAGGACGATTCACCACGATCTTCGTCGATGATGATTTCTCTTGTGTAATCAACTCAAAAACCTAAATTCACGCATTATACTCGTCCTTCATTTTTAATTTTTTTTTTTAAATTTCAACTGAAAAGATATTATAAATCGGCGAAAAAAAATTACCACTTCTAAAATATCAGGTTTCAAATTTTAATTTGATTTCATGGCAGGGATTCCATAGGAATGGTCCCACACCTCAATCACCAATGATATCACCATCTAGCAGTGGAGGAGAATGGAACAATCAGAGAAAGGTAGTTTTATTTTGAATTTGCAAAGCGCATTATATCAAGTTCAAGACTCTAGTCTTTGTTTAGCTTATTATCAGTTATGTTAGGGATAGTAGTATCCATTTTTAGTACTTAATTCAGTTTATTTTGAATTTGCAAAGCACATTATATCAAGTTCAAGACTCTAGTCTTTGTTTAACTTCTTATCAGTTATGTTAGGGGTAGCAGGATCCATTTTTAGTACCTTAATTCAGCCCTGGACTCTCCTCTCATCTTAAACCATTCATTCACAGAATTTTTACATGAACAAAGTTAGAAATAAAGATCAAAATTCAGACCCTAATAGTAACCCAAGTTTGACAGAATCCATGATTTCCAAATTGTCACTCAATTCTTGAGAAAACATTGGCCTAGAATATTGGGTTTATGGGTGATGTTTTAATAAAAAACTGGCTTCGTAGATTACCTTCAAATTCCATGAAGATTCTCTTACTCCCACTACTTTCTCTTACTTTTAAATTGATTGCAGTTGGAGATTTTGCCCTGGCATTCCATATCCGAAGAAAACATATGGTGTTATTTATCTTACAGATCCATTAACCTAGATTTTCAACCTTGCAGAAAGAAAGCTGTGCTTCCAAGGCCATAGTAGCAGGGAAAGAATTTTTTGAGAAGCAACAAACGCAGTTGATGCAGCTTGTGCGCCTGCTTAGACAAGTGGAAAACGGAGTCAATTCTCACCAAGATGACATTCTTCAGAGCCTTGCCACAGAAAGGGACTTCCTCCAGAAACTTTTCCGGAAAGCAATTTATTATATTTCCGCTTTTCACAATCAAAACCATGACACCTTCCTGATCACACTGAAGCTCTTTCAACTAATATTTGATAAAACAGATGCAGTCCTTAACTCGGTAGAGGATGGTATGGAGGGTCTAATGCAAGATTTAGCTGAACGAATGTGTGACCCAATGGTCGAGTATGTCAAAGGCCTGAAAGCTGACTTGAAGATTGGAACATGTGCACGTTTGCTAGCTATTGTGGATGAGATGGAAAGATCTATGAGAAGTGGTAGGATTGAGTTAGAGGAAGCAAGAAAGAGGGTCAGAGTAGCAGAGGAGGGGAGGATCAAGGCATTGTGCAAGTTAAAAGAGACGGAAGAAAAAGTAAGGAGAATGAAGGAATACCACGAATTCCATGGTGAAATCCAAAAAGAGCATATTGAACATCTTGTTTCACAAAAGGTACATTATTCTTTGCTTTTTGCAATGTAGTTGTGGTTCAATATTTCAGTCTGATGTAATGATGACCTGACATAAGAAGATTTCTCTATAACTATTCAGTCGCAAGTACGAACCCCTAACTTTTGTAGTCCAGAAAGGAGCGCTGGTATAGCTTAAGGGCTTCCACTCACAGCTAAGAAAAGCACCAAGTGGTGATTTATTAATCAGTTAGCAGTCAGTGCAATATGCCAGTGGATTCTTTTTAGTAACCAACTTACCTCTTTGATTTACTTAGTGTTGTTATGTCTGTCAAAAATCAATAGGCACATAGAAGTCAATGCATTCAGCATGAAGCACTGGAAACAATACATGTGAGCTATACATAGTGTTTGCTTTTGATGTGTAAGCAGTTGCATTAAAACATGTCGGTGGGTGGGTGAATCACTTAAAAACTCAAATTCTGGAGACTGTTGGACAGTGTTGGGAAACTTCTCTTACTGTTTTACTTCTGTAAAGTTCTTAGGCATGGAGGAAACTGAAGCAAACCAAAACAAGCTAGCATGGGAACTACGGAGGAAGATGAGGAAGTTTCGAACACCGAGGAGTCCCATGGGGCCTAAAGAGCTTCTGTACTTTGAGAGCAACAAGAAGCACCATCAATCTACAAGAGAAAGGCCTTCATCATATCACAGGCTAGTCATTGGAAGTCATTTGCAATCTCTGGGTCCAGAAACCCCATGTCTGGACACTCGGATTCCCTTGGGTTTATCACCTTCACCGGCAATTCAACGAGTGGTTTCGCGCAAGCGCATCAGCCCCTGTCCGCGGAACCCTTGATGATTAATAATACGTGTTGGCATTTTCAGGAATGGAAAGAACTATGGTACTTCTCCAATGACCAAAAATACCTGTGCTATTATCCTATTTGTTCTGTGTTTTCTTTTTTTTTTTTGGCTTCGGAAACTGGCAACTATTCTCCATTCTCGACCCCTAACATTCAATAGTTTGGCAATTGGCATGGATGATTCTTTATTGATCATTTCTGACTCTAATTTCCCAGTTTCTTGATGAAATGAATCAGAATTTTACAGTATATCAAACAATAACGAACTCTGTCCTTTCATATGATCTTTAAATGACTTTTAAGTACACGAGCTCAAAATGACCGGGAACCATTTAATCCAAGCAGTTAAAGAAACATTTGATCGATTTTCATGTTTCAACGTGCATAAAAGATAAGTATTAACACAAATGGTTACTTTCTTTTTGCCAAAAATGGTAACTCTTAGAGGTATGAATTTGATAAGATTAATAAAATTAATTTTGAATTTAATAAGATTAATAAAAATAACTTTGCTTTTTAACTTAGCCGTGAATCGATTCTCATGTTATTAAAGTTGATGCTTAAAAATTATAGAATCAGAGAGAAGTGAAGGTAAAAAATTAATAAAAAAAAGGTTAAATAATAATTTTAAAAAAATCAAAATAATAATTAAATAGAACTGATCGTTATATAACAAAAAAGATAAAAATTTTGAGATTTAAAGATAAATTAAGAAGTTAAAAAAAATTAAATTTATTTGTTCAAAAGAGTCTGCAAATAATCTAAATTTATCAAAAGCATGTGTTTATGCACGCGCCTGTAGAAGAGAGTGAAATAACCTATTTTCACCAACCAAAAAAGGTAAAATTACTAATTGAGAATGATATTGTTTTTAAAACTACCTTATTTGTCTTGCCTAAATTCTTAATACATGCAATTGAAATTTTGTACTTTTATTTAAATTTTTTTAAAATTTTTTGTTTAATTTTTTAATGGTTATGCTATAACTTTTAATTAAGAGACTCAATTTTTTTGGGAAAAAAAAGTTTAAATGGTAATATTGCTGGCTTATATTTTGCCAAATTTGGGAACCCATTTAACTATTTTCTCAGTAATTAAGAAACAGCCAAGAACCACTCAGATTCTTAGCAATCAAACACTCGAAAACCAGCACATGGCAAACTGGTTTTTAGTCCCGAGAGAAAAATTTTGGCGGTGGAGAAGAGAAAAACTATTCTGTGTTTATTCGTATATTTATATTAGAGAAATTATTTGATAAATTAATAGTAAAATTGTTTAATTTTATAAATAGAGATAAGATGATGATATATATTTATTTTTTAAATATATAAAAGATATATATCATCATTTTAATTTCGATTATGAAATTAAAATATTTTATCGTCAATGTATTTAATAATTTATTTTTAGATTTTATATTTATTTTATATAAAATATATAAAAAAATAAAATTTTCAAATAAAATAATGGATTTAACGGTTTTCAAAAGTTATCAAAATTAATTATCAATAATTTTATCCATTTAAGAAACTATTAAAAGGTAATAATCCAGCTAACCATCATTAATTGCCTAATAAAAAAAAATTGGATTCTTTTGGATTCACTTGCCTTATAAATATATATTTTTTGTATTTAAATATTTGATTTAATTTAAATATATACCAAAACTAATTTTTATATTTAAATATTAATTAAATGATACATCTATACATTTTTTTCACTTCTCTCTCAAAAAAAATCTATGCTTTTTAAGTAACCTATTAAAATTTTCAAATTGGAAAAGAATATATGGAAAAAATAACAAGATTAAATTAGTAAAAGACAAGAAATATGTAACGTTCAAGGAGAACAAGGAATGTATTGGTGGCTTCCCCATATTGCCTATCCATGAATCTCAAAATATCATTAGTGCCATTTTTCTTTTTACTTATTTACCCTTTCCAAATTCCGATATTTTTGTCATTTTAATTTTTTCTAAATACCCTTTTTTTTTTTTTAGATGACAATTTGGACTTGCTTCACTCATGTAATATGTTCCTTTCCCTACTAAGATGGCAATGAAATATAGTGAACATTTGAAAGCACAATTTGCACCTCTAGTCATAAAAATATTATTTGATTGATTATTGCAAAAAATTTTAATCTTAAATTCTTAGTATTTTCTATTTAAAAAAAAGGTTACTAGTAAATATTATAGGTTTAAGTATAATTAAAAAATAATATTAATTTTTTTTACAAAAATAGTTGTAGTTTTAAGGATTAAAAAAAAAAAAGTTGCAAGTGTTTTAATTTGCATATGAATGCCATTATTTAATATATTGACTATGAATTTGTTATTTGTTTCACGCTAATAAATAAATGTGTGCACAAACATAAAAAAAGGCATGTGTACACATAAAAAGATTTAGAAATTAAGTATCATACTAATTAATAAAAACCGTTAATTTTGTTAATGACATGTGGGTGACCATAATATATGTTGTTTACAAACTCAACATCATATTAATTAATAAAAACCGTTAATTTCGTTAATGACGTATAGATAACCTTATAAGATCTTGTTTTATTTTTAAATAATGTAATTAATTATATACGTTAATTTAGTTATAAGAATCTATTTAAAATTTTATTGTAATTAATAATCTTAGTAAAGATGAAAATTATATTTTATTATGTTAAAATAAGCATACCAATTATAATATTATATTTTTTATTTTTAACTTACGATCTCTTTTATATAAAAAAAATTACATGAATGTTATAATTTTGTATTGCACCATATTTAGCACCACTTTTTTATATCTTCACAATACAAACAAATGAGAAAAAAAAATGTTACCACTATAATAGTAATATAAATCAAAATTGAAAAATATTTTACCTATACCTAGCAAAGAAAAAGGCCTAGGGCAATCTTGTCATTTGACTTGCAATTCTTCTGTTTTCTACTACTTTTCTCCACTGTTGCATGAATCATCATTTTTCCCCGTAAATGGAAAAAGTTTACGCAGCCAATTATTCCCAAAAAACCACCTCTCGAATCCATCGCACCAACCCCATATAAAAGCCAGATGCCATTGTTTTCCCACTACCCCAAAATCCTTCAACCCTCACTTCACTCTCTCCGTAGTATTTTCTATCAAACACCAATGGCAGCGCATGATGTTGAGCAGCAACAGCAGCAGCCGCAGCAGCCTGATGATGATGACCTTTGCATGTCATGCAAAACCAAGATAAATCCAAGAGAGAATTTCATGCCTTGCATTTTCTGCGAAGCCCCTTGGCATATGGATTGTCTCATTCTCACTCGCCAATCCCTTGCCTACCCGGATGATTACTGGTTTTGCCCTGAGTGCGACAAGCGCATTAAAGACGACGACGAAGGAATCGTCATCTTCTCCTCCATGACCATGAGTAAGAAGGAGGGTGCTTCTTCTTCTTCTCATTCTCCCGGTGAAAACACTATGATCGCGAAGATTCTGGCAATCCAGGCTGACAAGTCGCTGACGGAGGAGGAGAAGGCGAGGAAGAGGCAGGAGTTGGTCAGCGGGAAAGCTGTTGAAACTGAGGAAGCAGATGGCGAGAAAAACAAGAGTAAAGGGAAGTGGAAAGGGAAAGAGAAGACTAGGGTGGAGCCTGAATATCAGGCTTCGGAGGCTTCTGATGAGAGCTTCAACTGCTCCATTTGTTTGAACATGCTCGACAGACCTGTTTCGGTGAGCTTTTAGCTTCGATCTTTCACTCTTTCTGTTATCTTCCTTTATACACTAAAATTTTATATTTTGCAGTGGACGAAGTTTTGCAATGTTGAAATTTATTTTGAGTTCCTTTTAATTGTATGATACATGATTGTTAAATTCGATAACGAATTATCTTAAATTTTTTAAAATGAAAACATTTAATTATCATAATAATATTTAAGTTTTAACATTACTAAATCATATGATTGATTTAATAATTTTTTTAAAACAATAAAGGGTTTTAAATTACGTCACGTTGAACGACTTCATAAAATTATTTCTCAAGAATTACAATTTTTTATCTAAAAAAGATTTGTTAATTTAAATTATGGTTCATTTATGTGCATGATGGAGAGTTAAAATGGATTTTGGTGTCAAATAAATTTAATTGTTGCAAACATCTTTCTTTGTTTGAACTGCTTATTAACAAGTAACTAGTTTCCTGTTTCATAATGTGGGTTTTTCCACCATCAATTTATGTAAAATGGAGCAGCCAATTCTTCTTTCTTTTTCATTTCAAAGTAATTAAAACAAATGGATTACTGTCCTTTTTCAGACGCCATGCGGGCACAATTTTTGCCTCAGATGTTTCAAGCAATCGATTCGACAAGGGAATCGAAAATGTCCCTTATGCCGTAAGCAAATACCTCCAGCAATGGCAAATCAGCCTCGTATCAACCTTGCGCTGGTGTTTGCCATCCGATCGGCAAAGTTGTCGAAATCAAATGGTTCTGGTGAAGGGTCTTCAAAGGTTTATGAGTATGTTCACAATCAAGATAGGCCTGATAAGGCGTTTACTACAGACCGGGCAAAGAAGAGCGGGAAGGCTAATGCTTCAAGTGGCAGGATATTTGTGACTGTGCCAACGGATCATTTTGGTCCTATCCTGCCTGAACATGATCCTGAGAGGAACCGAGGAGTGCTGGTTGGAGATACTTGGGAAGATAGGTTGGAATGCCGGCAATGGGGTGCTCACTTTCCTCCTATTAAAGGCATTGCAGGCCAAAAAGATCATGGTGCACAGTCAGTCATACTCTCTGGAGGTTACAAAGATGATGAGGACCATGGCGAGTGGTTCCTTTACACTGGAAGGTACGTTTTTTAAATGGCTACTGCTCATCTTCCTGTTTTGTTGACGATACAGCCCCGAAATTATCTGCTGCTTCGTTTATTATTCCTGTTACACATTTCTTTTTTATAATATTATCAGTGGTATCTCAGGTTTTATTTGGATTTAATCCCTTCTCTTTAGATGATGTTAATAGCATATTTATCCGTATGAACATGTGCATTAAGGATTTTATGTTGGTAATTTAGAATGTGATACATCTCACGTTGGATAGAAAAATTTAATTATTGATAAATAAAATTAATTTTTGTATTAATTTTATTCATATTTTAAATAATTATGCTTGAACAGAAACAATTATCATGTGATAAATGATCATAATTATTTGAATATAAATAGATTATTAATCATAAAAATTATGATTATACAGAAGGTCATAACCATCTAAATAAAAATTTATGTTTGTTCATTCATTATAAATAAATCTTTCAGTATAATTATTTTCATTGTATTTGGTTATAAAGTTTAAAACTTTATTGTATCTTAAACCCATAATCGCCTTTAAAAAAATATTTTTCACGTCTCAAAACCAAAATTTTTTTTTATTATTTCTCTTTTCTTATTTATTTTTTCTAACATTTTATACTCTCAAAATATGTATACGCTCCCCACAAGGATTGAATCCTGATTGAAAAAGAACATTTCACATAATTCTTTACAACTATTTGCTTATGATTTAAGATCAGCTATTGCTTAGTTATGTTCAAAGGCACATGTAATAGTGTTATATATGATCATTTATAATTTATGAATTATGTCCTTTTAATGTATACCTGGAGCACCTGATTGGTGAATTCCCTGCTTCCAATGGGCTATTTACAGGTTTGACTTTGCCTGTATAATTTAAACTACTATATCTATTAGGTTTACAATAATAGCATCAGATGAGATAGACAAAGTGTTAGCACATGCCTTTAACTTACTTTTGTGTTACATATAAAGTAACTTACGTTTGTGTTACATATAAGGTATCATCATGTAATTAGAAATATCAAATATCTTCTCTCTCAATCCTTCGTATTCATGTTTTCTTATGCACCTCGATTCTTCTGCTATTTGTTTGGCACCATCTATAAAATGTATGGCATTGAATTTAACTACTGTGATCCATTGAAATTTACTGGTTTGCTTGGACAAAATGCAGTGGGGGCAGAGACCTGAGTGGGAACAAAAGGACTAATAAGGACCAATCTTTTGATCAAGATTTTAAGAGTGGGAATGAGTCCCTTCGTCTCAGTTGCAAAAATGGTTACCCCGTTCGTGTAATTCGGTAAATTCCAATGTCTAAAATTTCTCTTTCAACCTTATTGAAGTAGCTTGATATACAATAATGTTTAGTCATGAATCCATAGAAATGTCGTTCTTGAAAGAATCAAGTTCAGCTGTCTGAGAATTTTGATCGTTCAATGAGTTCATATATATCTTCTCCTGATATTTGTTCCTTAGTATAAACCGATTAACATTTCCCCCTTGTGATGAACAGGTCTTACAAGGACAAGCATTCTTCATATGCTCCAGAAAAAGGGTTACGTTACGATGGAATTTATCGAGTCGAAAAATGCTGGCGAAATGTTGGAGTCCAAGTACTTGCTCTCCAAGACAGATATTTCCAATTTGGTTCTTCTTTTGCAAAATAATTTTTTTTATTATAATGATAAATGCTTTCCTGTATAGGGCTTCAAGGTTTGCCGATACTTATTTGTTAGGTGTGACAACCATCCTGCACCATGGACCAGGTTCGTGCCTAGTTTCTTTGCTGATAAGCTTTTGGATATAATTGTTTTCGCTAAGTTTTGCATGTTTAATTGACTGTAGTGACGTGCATGGGGATCACCCTAGACTTTTGCCGGTCATCGAAGAACTGGAAAGGGCATCGAATGTAGCAGAGAGAAAGGAAAGCCCATGGTGGGGCTTTGATGTGAGTATTTTTAATTTCTTCCATAAACTTGAATTACACAGGGCTTATTGTTGGTGGCTTCAAACCCAATAGGAAAATGGTAATGAACCAAAGGCTTATTTATGTGTGTTCGTGCTTTTGTTTTCTTTTGGTTGGAACAGGCTGATATGGATTTAAATGCATCATTTATAAGTCGAAAAAATACTGCTGTTTATTCAATTCACATGCTTGCTCTTCTTTGTATGCCTTGGCTTTTAATTTTTCTTTTCAGGAGGCTAATGGTTGCTGGAAGTGGATTAAACCACCTCCGATGAGCAAGCAAAAGGAAAATCATGGCGATTCTAACGTCAGGAAGGTGTCAAAGAGAATAGTTAAGCAACGAAAAAGTGCAGCTGCTAGAAAGAGGCTTAAAAAAGGTTAGTTTTTTCTTCATGCCATCTAGTTTGAGAGTCCTTTCGATTCGCTGATTGACCTGATGTAGTATAGTTTACATTTTTCACTTGTAGTTGTAGTTCTAAACTTTAATGTTCAATTTGAAACTTTTCTTTGTAGAATTTGGTTGCCTCATCTGTCGGGAAGTTCTGGTTATGCCAGTAACAACACCTTGTGGTCATAACTTTTGCAAGTCTTGCTTAGAAGGTGCATATGCTGGTCAGTCACTTGTAAGGGAGAGAAATGTAGGTGGAAGGGCGCTCCGGTCACAAAGAAATGTCATGAATTGCCCTACTTGCCCCACTGATTTATCTGACTATTTGAACAACTTACAGGTATTGGATTGCATGGTTGAAATGCCATTTAGTTCTTAGTTACATGCTCTACTGGACGATTGGAGAACCATATAATGTTATTAAACATGATGAGTTCTAACAGGTAAACATGGAGCTGCAGAACCTAATTGCCAAGCAGATTGCAGAGATTAAGGATTCAGCTGATAAGGCACCCCGTGAGAAAGGAACCATTTGCGCTGAGGAGGATTTGTCTGGAACCAAAGAAAATCATGAAGAAAATTCTGATGAAGCAGATGTGGATGATGGTTCACCGGACCCTGAAATGGAACTCAAACCGGAGAAGCCTTGTAAGCAAAGGAAAGTTGATGTTGGCGAGGCTTCCCAAGTTACTGAAGAGAAACCTTGCAATGAATTAAAGGAAACCAATGATGATTGCCTTGAGAAATGAATGATCTATCAATTCATCAGCTCCTCTTGGATGACATAAGTCCTTTCTTCAATCTGATCAGCTATATTCCAGTTGAACATCTTTAAATTCTCAGTACATTTTTATTTTTTGCAAATAAAATGTTTCTGCATTTGAGCATTTGGCTCAAGTGACTTTCTAAACAAATAGTAGTCAGCGGTGACAATATTGATGTTTTGGATAAGGATAAATTCCTTTTAAATTTTTAGACTGATTTTATTTTAATCTTCAACTTTTTAAAATAGTTATATATAAATTCTATACACTGTTAATAAATTGGATGATGTCATATCATTAATGAAATGAATTAGATGATGCTACTAAGTAAGTTTTTTTTTTAAATTAACTTTTATATATTTATTTTAAAGTTTGATACTTACTCATTAATAAATTGATATCATTTGATTAATTGATAATATATAAAATTTATATACTGTGTATCAAATATAAACTCATATTTTAATCTCTTTATTAAAATTAGTTATATTTTAATTAGCCCTGATAATTTTAAATATGATATAGTAATACCACGTAAAAATGATACAAAAAGTATACGAAAAATAATACAATTTAAATTTTTAATAAAAATTATATATGAATTTGATAAAAAAAAATTTTTCATGTTTAACATGTCGATATAAATTCAATATAATAATTTTCATGTTTCATATGTGTTTAATTAAGTACAAATATAATATGAAAACACGAATTATTATATTTAATTTTAATCTTGTCATAAAAATTTTTGATATTTTTCTTCATTATCAATGAAATAATATAATGAAAAGATAAAAATAAAGCTAAGATTAAAGATCCAAATAAAATAATTTAAAGATTAGAAACTAAAGAAAAATAAAAAGAAAATTTGCCCTTTTGGAGATTTTGGATCACAATGCTAGGCCAACCCCTATTAATATAAAATTCAAAGCCCAAAATCTCTATTTTACCCTTTTCATCCCTAACTTCTCAAACCCACACTTTAGTTTTAATCATAGGCCCAGACCAAATGGGCTTCAGTTCCCACATCAAGTTCTAATTCCGCTCAGTTCAAAACCCTAAAAATCATCAGCCGAAACCCCCTCAGTTTCAGTTTCTAATTCGACATCTCCTTCTGCAAGTAATGATATTTACTCTTCTTCCTCATCTGATTTACGATCGATTTTTAATTTTTTTCACATTTGATTATATTAACATTATTGATTCTTGCCATTGTAGGATTAGGAGATTCTCAATTTTTCTTCAACAGTGACTTCAAGTCTTGAGCAAATGGTAAGTTTAACTCTGAACCCAATTTTCGTAGTTCTTTTTCTTGAGGTTATTCGCTTTGCTTTGTTGATTTTGTGTTAAAGTTTTCACCGGAATATGTCATTTTCACAAGCACTTTAAAGGCAATAATGTGGTCTATAGGGCCCTTGGGTGCTTTGTTGATTGTAAATTTTTTAGGGTTTTTTTATGCTATGTTGTTTGTAAAACCATGTGTTTCATATGCTAGAAAAGATTAGACAAGTTTAAAATTGGTGTGTTATGTTGGGAGTCGCTTGTTCATGTCCTTGAAGTGCTTGTCATTGAGGGAATGTTGTCGGATGTGGCTAATTATGTTGTCTCCTTGGAAATGACTGTTTAAATATCCTCAAAGATGTTTGAAAGTTATTCATTTTATGCGGTCATGTTAGTGTTATGCTTGCTTGAGTTGTGTTACTAGGAATTTGTGTTGGCAAGCACTTCTTGGTAATACGGCTACAATTCTTGGGCACAAAGATATTGGTTTTCTTGACAATCTCACAGCGGGAACTTTTTTATTGCTATTGCATTATCAAAGTACGAGTCTTGTGATTTTGACACTTTGATTATGATGGGATGGACTCACCTTTCTTTTTATGTTGTCATTTTGATAGTTTAGGAACTTTTACCACATTGTCCAAGAAACTAAAATTGTTTGTTGAAAACCTTAAAAAAAAACATTTCTTGTGTCTCGTGATGGTATTTTTAATCACCTGTATTCTTTAACGAAAATTTGGTTATGTTCAATGGATCTATTATGTAGTACAATATTTGCTATACTTGTTCATACACCCTTAAGAAAATGGGAAACCTTAATAAATAAATAACTGGAAAAGACTATTAGATTGTCAGTTAATTTTTTGATGTGTTTGTACAGGCTGCGAGAATTCTTGCAAACTTGATTGTAATGGGCTCTGGAATATTGGGAAGGGCTGTATTTCAGGCATACCGCCAGGCTCTTGCAAGTATGTTTTTCCTCTGTGTCAGTGCTTGGAAGTTCTCTGTTTCTTTTTTTTTTTTTTTTAATTATCATTATAATCTTGCATTTATGAAATTTGTTTACTCTGTTTGAAATCCCTGACTTGACCATTTATAACTTTTTCTTGATTTCAGATGCTTCAAAATCTGGTGTAGCTCAAGAAACACTGCAGAATATCAGGAGAGCTAGCAAAATTATGGCTGAACCAGAGGCTAGGCAGATTTTAGGGGTCACAGAGCATTCATCATGGGAGGAAATCTTGAAGGTTTTTCTAAATAAGTTTACTCATTATTCTTTGATTTATTATGCCCTCTTTTCTACGAAGTTTTTGATTAAAGTTTTTCCATGAGCTGTGTGCAGAAATATGACAACTTGTTTGAGCAAAATGCTAAGAATGGAAGCTTTTACCTTCAGTCAAAGGTTCATCGAGCTAAAGAATGTTTAGAAGCAGTCTACCAAAAGAAAGCTCAGGGTACCCCAGATATATAACTAGTGGAAGTCGTTACTCTCATGCTGATCGCTCAATTCAGCTATCCTAATACTTTGTGATCTCCATGAGCTCAAAGAAATCAGGATTTTTTTTCACCTCTTGTGCTGGCACTGTGCTGAATGCTGATATGCAGTACTCAAATAGATTAATTATAGTCTATATCAGATGTTGCATTGCAACCATTTCCTGTAATCCATCCAATCAATGAAATGATAGCAATAGCATATAACTTCTCGGAAGTCAGCTAGGTAGTTTGAGTTTATTGCAGGAAAGCAGTATGAAGCCAAGCGTGCTGACAGCATATGTTGAACATGCGACATTATTCCCTACATAACATTTATTTTGAATGTAATTGGAGCATTTCTGTACATTTTCCTTCACTTTGTGTTTATCATGATGGCCATTGAAAGGAATCTGGTGGATTGTGGATTGTGGATTGTGGATTGAAATAAAGATGATATAGGCTAACATAGGCTGTAGCCTTTATTTTTTGTTCTGGCAGGCTTATAAATAAACTCTCTGTTGTTACCTGTTGGTAAATCTCTCTTTTCAAGCAAAAAAGGGGAAGGGGAACAAGAATGCTTTGTTTCCAGGAAGTCAGGGACAAAGGTAACTTTGCACCAATATGTTTATTGTTCGGTTAGGTCTGGATGGGGTCATTTCTTTTCTTCCATCTTTTTTGGTTAATGCAGAATCTCTTATAAACTTTTCGACTTGGGAAGGTTTGCTTCACGCTAGATGGAGGTTCAAACCCACTTATCGGGAAAATCTCGACATGCCATCTTTGGTGAGTCCTTGAGGGTGCCTCGGTGGAGCTGTACATAACACACTTAAAAACATGATTTTTTTGTTAAGAGACGAACACATCATTAATTTTAAAATTGGTTATTTTGAGTTAACTCCTCTATAAACGCCCTTACACTTCAAACCTTTCCACACCCAAACCTTCCCGACCTGGGAAGGCCTCCATCTTCATATTCATATAACATATATTTCTAATCTATTATTCCCAGTAGGTGCCAAGTCTGGTCAATCCACAAAATCGTCAACGACCAGACTGGGGTTTTGGAACTTGATCCTGCAGAGAAACTCTTAAAGTTTATCCTTGATGATTTAAATTCTGGTTTTGGACATGAATTTTGGTTTCCCTTGGAGCGCTGGCTGGTAGACGATGACATTTGCCTAGGACTTTCTGGTAAAGATGGATACACCAAAACATTTTCAGACACGCGTCGCCTGACAACAAAAGTGACAAAAGTTATCATGATGCCCTGGTGAGAACATGATGACATGGATTTGTTAATCAATAGCTGCATATATATTACATGTTTCCATTGGTAGACCTGAGTGATCAGTATTTCAATGTTTCTAGAATCAATTGTCTACACATGCATATGATCCCACTTTGGAAATTACTGAAAGTTACTTGTAACTTGTAAAGTAGTGTAAAAATCTGAGAATTTGCTCACCAAAAAAAAAAAAAACATTCATGTTTAATAATTCATTAACTTTTTCTCAAACAAAATTGCCCTCTAATTTAAAAAGACAAAATATCAAATCAAATTTAATAATTAGTCAAAAGCTTGATGTGGGTATTTTTCTGTGGTAAACCAGAGTAGCTTGGCTTTTTCAATTTAAAAAATGAGTTCAGAATATGTTACTTCAAATTATATACATACATACATATACATATATATATATATATATATGAAAGGAGCTTAATGTAGATGTAGACTTGTATTGCAATTGGATGTTAAGTCAACGAGCAAAACAAAGAACAAATCATACGCAGGAATATGAAGCAATTGCCGCAAAGTTTGACAGGAAAATCCGACAGCAAGACTCGAGAATTCGGCTATGAGTGGCGCAGCGGTGGCACGAGTCATCATTCATCAAGTTGATTTTGCTCTTGTTTCTTTCTCAGCTCTGCCCTCACGCGCAATTGCGCCGTGGAGAGTGGGATACCCGGTCACTGCTCAGTCTTTGCTGCTCACTTCACCTGGCTCATTGGAATCTCATTTAACCATTGGCTTATGCCTTATAACACCTTAATTCTTTTAGTTTATTCTTGTTTTATACCAATAGCCAGTAAAACAAGGTCTTCAAATGTCAATTATTCCTGCTCTTGTTCATGTTTTTGTTACCTTGAAAGAAATTTCGCCTCAAAAAAATGTTATCTTGAAATTTGAAAGCATCTATAATTTAATTTAAATATTTCGTTATAAAATTGAAGTTCGATTCTTAACACTTTTAATTTCTTATCTTTTATCTTGAAGCTTCGGATTTCAAAATAACATATATATTTTTATTAGAATATAGTCGGTAAACTTTCCTTAATTTTCTAAATTCTCATGTGGAGGGGGAGATGTTGCAAATAATTATTGTTTTGTTGAAATGATGCTTTTCTTTTGAATTAGTATTCCTTGGAAGTAAAGTGAAGACATATTGTCCTAATGATTCAGCCCACTAATATTTCACCTTTTGGATGTTAGTTTCAACTGGAAAAGAAATATATATAAAATTAAGAATGTGAAATACATATTGGGAGAATAATATTGTTAGGTTTCTGTCCATAACTTATTTCCCCTTTTTCAAAAGGACGGTGCCAAAATGCCAAAAAATATTCCATAATAATTAAGATGGAAAATGGAAAAAAATATATATATATATATATAAACTCATAATAACTTACTTAATCATATTCAAGCTTTAGTTTTATCTTTATGAAAATTCGTACTTAATTTATGAGATATTATTTATTTTGATTTGAAAATTTTATAATTTTATTTTATAAAAAATATTTTACAAGTTTGACTTTAACCTTTTATTTATATATTATAATAGATTTTTAAAATCTCTCGATATGAAATTAAAATATCATGACAAAATTTAAAATTTTATTTGCAAACTTATATCATGGGATTACTCGTGGCATGCATGGGTCCAATACCTCCAAACACTTTTTATATAAAAAAAATTGTATTATCAGTTATGACAAATTAACATTCAAATTTTCATACCTATAACTTTTTTATTTTTATTTTTAAGTTATGATTTTTTTATTAAAAAAATTACAGAAATTTCATTTTCTATAATTGTCAAGATTGAAAATGAGATCACATTTAGAGTGATTGTGGGTAATGAGATATATGTAGTCAAATTCATTGAAATATTAATTCCTTAAGAAAATGTAATTGATTTTGACAAGTATATAGGACACTATTTGTCGGGACTGAAACTTTCTTAGCAGGTAAGGTCGCCGCCCGAAACCGTGTTGATCGAACCATCCTAAGCCCACAGCTACTTTGTACACCGATTTCAATCTCGGCCGAATTGTGTGGCCTACACACTTTTAAATGCATTTCATAGTTTGACGATTTCTAGCCCTTTCTGATTTAATAAAATATCAGCTCAAAATCTCCACCTTTGTAGCCTCATTCATCCCTTATACTTAAAATTGGCAAAAAAAAAAAAAAAAAACCCTTTGCCTATATGGTGTGCGAGAAAGATTTACGTGAGGTTAAGTTCATAAAATTTTTTATTAAAATAGATTAAATAAAAATTAAAAGTGATAGATTAAAAACTCTTATTTTCCAGATCAAATATGTAAATTTTAAAAAGATTTTAATAAATTTTGATTATTTTTTAGAAAAGTATTTTTAGTAAAAATTTTGATAAAATTTTTATCATTAAATAAAATTAATAAATTTAATGACAAATGACATTTTTAATAAATATTTTTTTATATGTTATTGATTTTCTCATTATAAGTGAAAAAAAATCAAAAAATTAATTCAAAACCATAATATTCGGTTCGTTCAAATCAATTTTTTTTATTCGATTCAAATCAAGTACGGATGTTAAATATATATATTAGAGTCAGATCAAAAAATATAAAATCAAAAAAAACCTAATCGAATTATATATTTTTATTAGTTTTTATATATCAAAATCTACTTAAATATATTAAAATTTTATATTAAAATAAAATTAAAAATTTAAAAGCTAATAAACCAAATCAAACCGATAAAATTTAATTTGGTTCAATCAGATCTAATAAAAGTTCAGATTAGATTTTAAATTTTCATAATATTATATAATATCTAAAAAAATCAAATTAAATTCGATCCAAATTGAACTGTTATCATCTTTACTTTTCATTGAACTTCATTAATCTATCAATTTTTATTTTTATTAAAATTTTTATTAAATCATTTGTTTTAAAAATTTACAAATTTCACCTAAAAACTTCACATAAGTTTTCCCCATGATATATACTCTAATTTTGCATTAAAAAAATTTAATTTTTTTTTATATAAAAGATACCGCAACCTAAAAAAAGGATTGATTGTGTAAAAATTTCAATTCTAAATCTATTAGATATCACCCCTTAAAATTACTGCATGAACAATCAAGATAAAACCAGATTTTCTATCTCAAAGATCTTCATAAAATTGTTCCTTAGACTTCAACATAATCTCATCTTCATACCAGTTTCCTTTGCCAAAATCATCATCGTACCATTAAAGTATGGCTTTTACTATATACTATTATTTATCCTTCTCATTTATAGTAATTTTTTGCATGCTTGCTTCTTTCTTTATACATGTAATATAACATAATATAAGATAATCTTCTATCATCTCTTACATTTGATATCTTGTTAGATGTACTTAATAGGAGTTAATATACTAAGTACTTGTCTTCAGCTTCTTAGCCTAATTTTTTATCAAGCCTTAAGAAGATATAAGGCTAGGATTCGAGCCCAACCTCTCCCCTCTCTATTGTTGTAGAGTTCTACCCCTTTGAAATAAAAAAAAAAAAAAAAAAAAAAAGATATACTAGGTACTTGGAACCCTAGCTGATCATCTTTATTTTTTTTATCTATATATAATTCGTAAACCTACCTCTCTAATGTTTCAGATAAGGGAACACCAAAGCAATGCCAAACTTTTAAAAGCAAGTATTATAATTCAAGTAATTTGAATGCGGAAGGAAGTACTATCTACTCTTTAGTTTATAATTTTTTATAAAAAAAAGTCACATTTCAAGTATCGAAATTTAAATATTAAATTTAGTGGATTGACATTTTATAAAGAGATTACATGAGCCAATGCGTAAGGAATCTCTACTCTCTAATTTATTCTTCATATATATATATATAGTAATTGAATTTTAAACCCCAATTTGCTTACATGAGCGATGATCTCACTAAACAGAGTTTGGCCACAAGAATATGTGTATCCCTAAAGATTTCTTGCATGTGAAGAAACTAAAGCTAATGCACTGCTCCTCCTATTTTCACTACATTTTTGTCTAAAATCTAATTAGCGTAGCTCGTGTTATTTCCCTTTTTATCTTTTTAAAGAGGTTCGGATTTTGGAAAACTTAGAACATGCATGAATAATATAACTAGAAACACCTGTAAATTTTATCAAACGAACGTTCTTGAATTACCAAAAAACTTGAACACAAAAAGTTGATGAGGGTTTTAAACAAGCATTAAGGAAAAGAAATGCAATCAAAAAAGGAAAAACCCAAAACATGCATCAAATGATGTGTTCTGTCTTTGGTTAAAAAAAACCAAAGCAAACATGTCGATTACCTATTCTTTGGAATAGTAATAATCATAATCTCTCTTATTCTTAGGAGGATCTGAACTTGGAGATGAACCACCGAACTGCAGAGAAAATCCACCGAAGTACTCTTCTTGTTGTTGTTGTTGAGATGTAAACGTTGTAGAAGATGAAGATGAAGATGAAGATGAAGATAGAGTAGTGTGTGAAGTAAAAGCTGGCCTGGCTGGTGTCCCATAAGCAGCAGCTGGCAAAGGATAGTTTAAAGCATTGCCTGATCCTCCCCTAAGAAGCTGCGCGTAATGAGAAAGATTGGGATATGTTGGTTGAAAAGGAAGTGGAGGAGGAGGTAGTGTGGGCGGCGCCGCTCTTTCCACTTCTCGGCGAGTTGTTAGATAACCTGATTCGGATCTTCCTTGAACCCTTTCCGGGAAGTTAAGCTTTGCTTTGCTTCCTTTAAACCTAAGAGCTGCTTCATCATAAGCTAAGGCAGCTGCTTCAGCTGTTTCAAACGTGCCAAGCCAAACCCGAGCAGCCTTCTTTGGATCTCTTATTTCAGCTGCCCATTTCCCCCATGGCCTTTGCCTTACTCCTCTATAGTGTCTTCTCCTCACATTCCCTTCCCACAAAAAAAAAAAAAAAGGTTAATATCAATCAGACGATAACTTTTGCTTTTCTTTTTCTTTTCTTGTTTGTAATAAAAAAAATCAAAGAATAACTTCAAATTCACGCATTTACATGGAAAAAGAAAAGATAATATGCTAAGTTAGAACACCAACAACGACTCTAATCTGAAATCTTCAGCCAACCAGGCCGCAAAGGGAAAAAGGAAGAGTTCAAAAGGGCAATGACATATCATATTCAAAACGTTTTTTTAATTATATAAATCCAAAGGTTAGCTCAATTAATTTCTACAGTGATTTATGGGCATTTAAACTTGGATTTCAACACTAAGAACACTTACAATTTCTTCCCTTATTCCTATAGCTTCCTTTGTAAAATTAATATTTCTTTAAATATTAACTATATATATAATGTCATTGAAAATGCTGAAATTATAGGAATTTTTTGTTAGAGTAAGGGAGGGAGCTTAAGTAAGCATTAATGGGCTAATATATATAAGTTAATTTACAACATAAAATCCCACAAATTGTGGTAGAAGTGAATCTATAGTATTTAGACTTTATCATCTTTAAATTCGTGGGCACAAATTAACATTCATAATTTCTAAATCTTGGTTTGGAAGGAAAAAAAAATTAAAAATAAAAACAAAGCAAGAAATAAATATATTGTGGAACTTCGGAAGTGAAAGAGAATACCTTTTAGAACGCATGCAAACATCCTTAAAAAAAAAAAAAAAAGGAATACATGCAATCATATGATATCCTTCTCAATCATTAGTCCTTGTTGTTTTTTATGAAGAAAAATATAAATCAAAACAATATATAATTGCCAAAAGAAAAGATTTAATAATTAAGAGAGACCCATATGGTTAAAAAAAAACCCCAAAATATATATATATACCTTGATCTTGAGCTTGTTGATCATGAGATTGGTTTTGTACTTGATGAGTTGGGTTTTGATGATGGTCATGAAGTTGAAGAAGTGGGTTATTGTTGTTGTTTCCAATAACTTGAGCTAGGGCTTGAACCATAGCGTTCATGTCTTGTTGAGACCTAGCTGAGTAGACAGGAAAGATATGGTCAGCTTCTTCCTCTTTCTCTTCCGCTTCATCGGATGGAAGTGGCCTCTTCCCTTGTCTTCGATCCACTTTATAAATCTTTGAGGGCTCCCCCTTTATGTATCATGCAACAGCAACAAAGCGAAGAACATATAGTTTTCTCAGCCTAACCAAAGCAATATTAAACATGGAAGTTAAGAAAATTAATTCGAAACTGAAATTAACAGGAAAAATGCTGGGAAAAAGAAGGAAAATATGAGGCAGCGGGTAGATGTGAAGAGTGGAGAAAGGAAAATTTGTGGTGTAGATATGGACTTATATGTGCTTTAACAGAAGTGTGAACAAGGTATGAAGATAGCTGAAAATGCTGAAACCCCTATCCATCCAGTTTAATTTTTAGACCTTTTTTCTTTTTTTTATAATTTTTTATAAAATAAAATTATAAAACTATCATTGTCAACAGTTAAGTACATGACAAAGTATAAAATTGGTATTATATTGATTTATTAATTTTTTAAAATATATCTAATAGAATATATGAATTTTTTTTATTTCGACGATAAAATTTAAAATTTTCACTGATAATGTATTAGAATTTTTTTTTTATCCAACCACCTAGAAAATATAAAAATATATCAAACAATAAATATAAATGCATGTCAATCCTCTAAATATGTAAGAAGAAAGACCTTTAGACTTGTTTTATGTATATAAGTGCATAAAATAGCTTCGTTAATGACCACATTGTAACCTATAGTTGTGGCATCTTCTTCACTAAAGCAAGCTAGAATTTTTTAAGTTTAACCATACATACATACATTATGTATATATATATATATACACATACACATATACATAAATATATTTATATATATACACACACACGTACATACATATGTATATATATACACATACATACATACATACATACATACATACATACATAACACATTAATTCTTTGATAGATATCTACATGGATTTTTTTTCCTCTCTCATAACACATGCAATTAATTATATATACACACACACACACACACACACAAAAAAAAGGAACTTTGAAAGACAATTTCTAAATGAGAGAGTACATTAGTGGGATTTAAACTTAATGAGAGAGTTAGGGGCCTAATTACTTTTTACTTAAAGAACCATGCATCACTTCCCTCAATCAACAATGAAGTTCTTAATTAAGTGTTTTATAAGTAAACAGAATATAAATATTAATATAGGTGTAAATGCATAAACTATAGAGTCACCCAACCTATATATAGCAGGATTAATCAAAGTGATTAGATAAACTCATATTAATGGTTTAGGGTTGTAGCTCAAAAAGAATGAAGGAATTTAAGATTTTCAATCTCATATTTGAATCTGAAAAACGAAAAAAAGAAAAAAAAATTGAATTAGATAAAGGGTTTCACTTATTGAAATATTTATATATAAAAGAAACAATAATTTAAAATAAAAAAATTATTACAGATATTAAAATTTAAATCTTATTTTTGAAAAATAATTACATATATTAATTGAATTAAGCCATAGATTAGTTGAACTCTTAGGAACAATTAAAAGAGATAAAATGAAAAAAATAATAATATAAAATTTTAAATTGATGGCGTGTAGGTGTAACCTTACTCTTTGACGATTCTAGAAGGCAAAAGTAATGGAACTTTGAATTCTTTTCAAACCAACACAGTTCTCTCTAACAATGAAAGAATCAAGTTTTTACATTTGCTATTAAAATTTTTATAGACAAAACTATGATCTATATATTACTTTATTTAACCCACCCTTTAAGGTCTGTCAAATGCCCCACTTGTTGGTCAACTCAAATGAAAATTTGGTTGTTCAGACACTTGACTTGAATGAAAACCAATAAATATGGAACCGCAAGGCCCATTATTGTGAACAAAAGCTTTGATTTTGGAAGTGGTTGGGGTGCTAGATGGCTGATAAGAGTCACTATCGTCTTCTAATTAATGTTATATTTCTTGACTAAAACCCATTTTGTAAATTTCTTCTTAATATTGGTATTTAAAAGTTTAGATTAGGGAGCCTACTTCATTTCCGGGATAAGACATATCGTTGATTTCAATGAAGACTTGCATTGTATTTATAAATAATTTTTAAAAAATATTAATAACGAAAATTGAATTTAAATTTTACAAATTAAATATTTAATTTTTATCAATTTAATTAATTATATTAACGATTTCTTCTTAGTATATTTCATAATAAAAGACTCATGTTTATTTCATAAATTTCATCTCATTTATCTCAAAATTATTACATTAAATTTATAAATCGTTTATAAAAAAATTACTAACGATAAGAATTAAACTTAAAATTTATAAATTAAATATTTAATTTTTATCAATTTAATCAATCTCATTGATGATTTCTTGTTAATATATATTATAACAAGAGAGTCCACATTTATTTCTTAAATTTCATTCTTCGAAAAGAATCGTAAGCTCTAAATTTTGAGTTATAGAAAAACGTACCCCTTCTGTATGATTGGTTAACGAATCACGTTAAAAATCATGGTCCCTCGAAATGAGGGGGACCAGGTGTTGACTTGGAAGTTGAAAAACAGGGTTAAGACAATGGTGTGGAATTTGTTTTCTGCTATTAAGCCCAACTAAACAAAGAAACACTAACACACATTTCAGGCCCACTCCATCGTCAAAGTCTACTCTTCGAAGTTCAAATACGTTTTCTAATGCCATGAAATTGGTTTAAGAGAAATTAAAAATAATAATAATTATTATTATTATTATTATTACGATTAAAAAAATTATAAAAAATTTATGATGAATGAATTTTGTTAGAGTTTATATTTATATTTAATTGGTGAAATGAAAAGATCAACTACACTATATTAAATGTACGATAAAATCCAAATCTCGATTCTTATTTTTTTTCACTATTTTTTTGGCTCAGATTACTTTGTTAGCTGTTAAATGGGTAAAGGTACCGTTGATATTGACCTCAAATGGAAGTTTTAACAAGTTAAATATATACCAATTGGATTAGATTGACTGTCGAATTATTAACCTTAAAACACACAAAAACAAAAAAAGGAAATGAAATTTTTGAATTTCTAACATCTAAGAGGGGGCTGTTATCCTTCTCTTGTCAATTTTGCTATGAAGGTCAAAATGACACTTGCTCATCAACTAACCGTTGAAGACAGAATTTCAAAACATTCGGCCATATGGGTCCGGCAATTAGTCTCATCGATAAACACACCAAATGTCTGCATATGTTCGCGTGACCCCAGAAAGGGGGAAAAGGTCTTCAAGAGGAAACTGAAAATAAATGTTGTTCACATTAGTCTACAATTGATTCTTGATGATGCTTTTACACCCAGCCCCGTGGAGAAATTTTAATTTTTAAAAATTTTCTTTATTATTAGGTAGATATGCAACATTAAAACTTAGCTTCAACTTGTAATAGTTACATAATTGCTACCAAAATGTTTTTAAAGGATTTTGGTGGGGGCAAGGACCCATTGTCGACACTGGAGATGACAAAGAATATGCTGTCCGCTGAACAAAGCCAGTAGGACAGCCAGCAATGGTACCTGGATCAATCTTCAATCCAACGTGATAATGGAATATATCTATCTGTTCTGTTGTCTCCGAAGAGACATGATGCACGACTTGGATACAACCATTGTGGCATTGACAAGAGGCATTCTCGACGTGAAAACGAAAAACAGAATAATTTTGATATGTACAATGCTTTATAAAATCAAGTGCTTGGTTTAATATCTCTGCTTCGCATGTAGGTTAAAAATTGTGTTGGCAATTCTGCTAGGAGCGCTTGAACGATAGAAATCTCTCCGCCTGCAAGGTGAAAAGGATTGTTATATCCAAAACTACGACTCCTTTCCGAATTATTTTAATCTTCTTTCACATAATACCATCGTAGCGAGTAGATAGGCTTACTCTGTACATCCCTAAATGGAACGAACTGAACAATATCACGTGAAGCAACACGTCCGGTTGAGCTTTCAAGTCTTTCCCCCTTGTCTGCATCTAAAATCTGTAAAAGATTTCATTACAAGATAAACCGGTTGAATCTTCAAGTCAAGTACCAGCAACAAAAAGAATGACTTATGAAGAGATCCTTCTCCCTCAAATGGATATATAAGAGGGTATAAGTAATAAATACCTCCATTTCTTTGAAGTCGGCTCCTCCAACTCCAACAATGAGGATTGACAATGGGAGATCTGATGCTTTTACGAGGGCATCTTTGGTTTCCTGGAGATCAGTTACTACCCCATCCTAAAGCAATATATATTAACAACTATTAGAAGCAGTGCAAGAATAAGTAACCCTTTTCTATTAAAGAATAGAAGACCTATTGTTATGAGAAAGGATATAATTTTTAATTTAGGTACATTAGTACGATATGTGTCCCTAAAAATGAGAAATCCAGAAAAAGACCCACTAAAAGTAAAATAAAAAGGTATGAATGTTGACATATATGTTCACAAATGTGTACATAAACATCAGCTGGCTGGTAGGAAAAGCCATCCCTTTCTTTTCTACATCTTACCGTGATTATCAACAAAACAAAGTATTTTTGAGCATCATCGGCAAGAGATTGGCTGGCAATTAGTGCAGCTCTGTTAATCACATGTCCAAATAGTGTTGGCCCTGCAAGAGAAACATTAAAAAGGGCACTGGTATATGCCATCATAATTCCTCGGATTCCTTCAACCTGAGAGATAATGAAATTTAGTTAATATCAGGACACAAAGAGTAAGAGATAAGAGCATACAAGGTACTGAAATCGAACTGCTCACCTCACAGTTGCTACTGCTTCCATTCAAGTTGAAACAATGAGAAACTGGACCATCAATGGGCCGTGCTCCAAATCCCCAGGCAGGAAAGCGCTTATCTGCATCATAAAACTGCAATACCTCTCCAACCTCGTAGATTGCCTGGGTAAAAGATGATGAGATTTTCTTGGGTACCCAGAAAAAAAGGAAACTATTGAAGAAATCCATTTCTTACTTTCTGGTATGCATTCATCCGTCCTGATGGATCAATGTAATGCAAGGAATCAGGGAGGCGGGGATTTCCATTTGAAGCTGATACACCAGAATTAAGAATTAAAATGTCAGAATATATATAACCTATTGTACTTTTGCAAAATTGCACATGCAGCACGATACCTTCCACATTTATTCATATGGCCTTTAACAGTTTCAGATTTATATAAGCAAGTTCTAAGGTCTTAAGATGCAGAACTGCAGCATCATTAAAACCAAAGACCTATTTTGAGGTGATTCATCCTGAACAGTTTGTTAAACTAGGGGGAAAAGGAAACAGCGAGAAACAAGAAGGGATAATAGCAGTAATAATCTTTGTACTCTTAAAAATTGTTTATTTAATTCACTATACTATTTTTAATCCAAAAAGTTTAGCCTAGTCCAGATTTAATGTTCATATAGGTCTCTCAATTAACTTCATTGAAGATGTGGGCTATCTTTTGTTGTTAAACTTGATAAGAAAAGACCGAAAAAGAGACATGGCTAATAGTCAACATAAAGGACTGCAATTTGGCCGAATTTTAGTGGGGCCTATATTTAACAAGAAGTACTTCAGGTAAATAAAACATTTGTATCTCACTGTGATTAGGCCAGTGGGACTCCTATTTATCAAATATTAGCCATATCACATTCCAATCTCATATAAACTTAAACAGAAAAACATGGCTTATTATCAAAACAATTAACTGTGAGATCAATCTGAAATTTGAAAATTAGGTGTTGAGGCCTTGTTCAGATGACATGGATTATAGGGACTATTCATGATGATGGTGATGATTATACAAGGATTGAGTTGAACAATTGCTAAAAGTACAAAGACCACTAGTGCCACCATCCCCATCGAGAATGATGCGATGATGATACAAGAGTTGAAATGAACAATTCCTAAAATAAGAACATGCCAGTCACTCTTCCAACTGAGCATATAATAAAAACTTATAATAAGGAATAAAACAAAGACACAATGAAAAAGGCCAGAAATAAAGATCTGTGAAATTTTTAACATAAATATGGTAAAATTCTCCAAGTTGCAAGATGCAGTGAACGCAATGAGAGTCCTGTATCCAAGTGCATGGCATGCATATAAGTATGCGTGACAGATTATCAAAAATTAATCTTTCAGCATCAAAAGTTGACATACTAATAAGATGGGTGTAACTCAAATGCAAATATGAAGCAAGACCAAGACAAATAAAATGAATTCCATACATGGCATGACCGACAACCTGACTTGATGCTTTAACCTCCTAAAAATTGTTAGAAAGAGAGTAAACAGGTCCATAAGAAAAATTATGTCAAGTCTAGAAGTAAACAGGAAAGTACCAGTGAAATCAATAGCCACCATAAAGTTCAGTTCAAAACCCCCAGCCAGGTAATCCAGGAAGGTATGTTGGACAGTCTCAGAGAATTTGTCCACAAAAAGCTTGCTTTTTAACATCTGCATCAAAGTTAGCAAATTGATTAAACAAAGCTAAGTAAAAAAAATCCATTACGCAATTAATTCCAGTTCATATAGTTAAACCTTGTTGTAGTAATCTTGCCCAACCAAAGTTGGCAAAAATAAATTTTCTCCTTCCCTTCCAAAACGAAGCTTTTCCAAATCTGCTAGTGTCTTCTGGACTTTTCTGATAAAACCCACAAAAGGAAGCTACATCAGCAAGTATCCAAAGGAAAAAGGAAAAAGAAAATAAGATCTACAATTACCCAATCAGATCGTGCTTGCCATTGCTGTTGAAGTTAAAGCACTCTATAACTAATGGACTATCCTGCAAATTTATTTAGAGAATGAAAATTCAGAAAGCAAGCAAGAAACAAAATCGATAAAGGCTGACTTATAAACAAATGCTCAACATCAATGAAGAAACCATTTGCTCATGTTGAGCAGACAGCTCAGTACTAATAGCCAATTCCTTGGCTAAAGAGCTCTGACTTTTGAGCACCATCAGGAATTCAGGATTACTAACACGAAGAATGAACAAACTGATGGAAAGGAAAATGGTTGTTTTCCCATAAGGCCAGGTCAATATTAGTCCAAACTTGCACTGCCATGTAAGGAATCAAAGAAATAGTAGTTATACCTTGCTTCCAACATGTTGAAGATTCAGAAACACTGGCTTCCATGTTGGGTTGAGATCATTCTTTATGACTTCAGTTTTACATACAGGAATAGAAATCCCACTCTCCACAAGTTTTGATATGACCAAAAAGGGGTCCTGCAAGACAAGTTCAGAAGTGTACCAAAAGATAACTAATATTCCTGATAAAAGTATGAACAAAATGTAAGAGAATATGAAATCAAAAGTACATACACTTTTTGAGAAGAGATCCTTAGATTCCAAATCTAAACACCTTAATGTTATCTCTGCTGTAGTCTTTGAGCTAAAGCATTCCTCAGCATGCACAGTAAGCTTCCCACGGTGCTGGGAATGTGTTGATGAGACAGAATCCTCTCTACGGGCAAGATCTAAGATTAACAACCTGTTTGGTTTGGTTACAATCTGTAAGATGGAAACAATTATTTGATGAGTAACTATATCAGAATTTATAAACTAACTAAATGAAGTAAAGCAAAACAGCAGGTAAAGATCCCTCAGTTTTATTTTAAATCCAAGTGTTTTCAACTAACATAAGGCATTCCAGCTCATTTGCATTATATTACATCTTTGCATTCGGATATTTATGCTATACCTCTGATAATGCACAACTTGCCTCACCAAGAGATTGCTGCTCCTCCAGCTTAAGCATCTGTGTAGAAGTGAAAGCATCAATTAAAGATTTCATGTTTGTATTATCTATTGTGAGAATGACATGAGAAGAAATTGTTCTACATCTTGTTCATTAACAAAGTCAAATCATATTTCCAAATAACAGAAATGTAAATAAGCATAGTAATAAACTATGACTTCAGAAAAAACAAATCCTACACAACTAAAACAAATATAAATACATCATATATCACAAAAAAAGTATATATATTTCCTCCAAGTTTGTCAGTTTGCAAATTAAACTATTTAAAAAGGGAGGCAGAGTGAGGGGGAGGAACAAGAAACGGCAGAATTACTCAAATATACCTTTACTTCGACATTGTGAAACTGAGTATCAACATCAAAGACATGAAACCTGTGATCAAGTAAATTCCAGCAAATTAAATGATATGAAACAAATCAAATCATCATTTTGCTGATAAAAAAATGGAAGACCAGAACTTACAACAAGGTTTGGACAACCTCAAATTGATAAGTAATTGTATACTTTGCAATCCATGTAGGATTCAATGAATTGAGAACTACTTCAGTACGAAATACTTCGGTAATTGTTCCATCTCTTTCTTTTATATAAACCACCAGCATCGGATCACTCTAAAGCAAACAAAACTTATGAGATATCAGGCTAAGTTTTCTGCAACAAAAGCACAATTCTCGTGACCAAAGAATAATGTGTGGCAGTAAGGTACATAAATATAACTAGGTGATACAAGAACTGCAACTGAAGGTTTTAAGAGCCCACTGAGCATTCAAACTAAAGCTAAAGAGAAGCATACTTTTCATTTATGATAGATTTACCGATCTGTCCTTACCTCAGAATTTTTCTTGTAGTATTATGTTGCAACCTAAGATTCAATCAAGATGATAGGAGTAACCCTAGAGTGAGTGCATGATTCTTGGATTCATTAAGCTCGTATTCATAGAATTTTTAAGAGCCTTTACTTTAGCAGTTTGGATATGGGGTTAATAAAGGAGTTTTTAAGTACTTCAGATTATGTGAGTGCCTCACATATTTTATCCTTGAAACCTGGCAAGAGCCATATCCTTCTGTCGCACTACAATTCTTACAGCCACTCACACAAGAACACATCATCCCTTATTCGCTACAAGATGAGCTAGCATGCCTTCATTGGTTGCTTAAATGCACCATTTAACCTAATCTATATGGCATCTAAGTTTCAATTTAACCACACAGCGTGACTTCTCACCTTCAACTTCCTAATTCCTACCACCGAATTCTTATTTCCCAAATTCCACTTATTCAAAGGCATCATTCATTAGGTCACCCCACACCAGAAGGATCCTCCACAAATTCCAATAGCAGTTATCAACTAATGCAACCTCGCATCACCCTTACACTTAGAACTTTTCATAATTAGGTTTTACTGAAACTTTAATTTCAACAACAAAGTCAATCTGGTAATGCAAAATTACGGTCCTGAATTTCATAACTACATCATTGCTTGTAGGGCAAATAAGCTAGGGTCTGTCTTTGCATATATTCATCTGCGTACTACATACCTTGGAGAACAAATCCCGGTCTCGCAAACTTGTAGCTGAAAATGATAACTGCATAACATTGTTTCGCATAGAAGAGTCAATGCAACGGAAACCAGCTTATGTAGTCAACACTGATCAAAATCAAAGATTTCAAATCTAAACACTAATAAACCTAGAAATTCCTAATTTTTAAATCAGATAAATAATTTTCCATCAAATTAAGACGTAAAAAGCTGCGTTGAATCGATTAGCCAATCATCTACTCGGTAACGAAGTAAATTCTTCCGTTCATTATCATCCAGAACTAGGCAGTTTAGTCATTATAAAGTAACTGAAGAGAGGGAAAAAAAAAACCTCGATCTGAGAGAAATGGCCGTGGATACCACGAGACTTCAAGTACAAGTCGACAGCGTCGTTTTGGTTGCCAGTGGTGGCGGAGGGGGAGGTTCCACCCACAGCAGTCATACCGCCGCCGACGTCCGAGCAGCAATTTCCCATCTCTAACTATACTCGCGCGGTCTATGTTTTTCAATTCGGTAAACGATATATATGCATGAGCAAAAACAAAAAACAAAAACAAAACAAAACAAATTTCAAGAGAGAGAGAGAGAGAGATGGAGTTTTTTTCCTTTTTTTTTTTTTTTGAGAAATGGAAAATAAAAAAATTATGGAGCCTCAAATCATTTTATAGTGAGCTTTCATCTCAAGTTCGTTCGACAATGTAAGGAAATGGCCCACTTTTCCATTTTTGTTTTGTTTTGTTTTTTTTTTTTGTGTGTCAGTCTGCGTCCGTATGTCCGTTTACAAGATCCAATCAGCGACGGAAAACGCGTTAATGCAAAGCGCGTTTTGGATCGTTATAAAGTAACTTCAAATCAATTTCAGTTCATTTTAGCGAAAAGGCGTTTGATGTTTGTAAAATTTTAATATTTTTTTCGTCTCAAATCATTTAAACGGGATTGATTTTCACACAATTTTTTAAAAAAAATTAAATTTTAATATATTAAATATTAAAATAAATTTTTTCATTAAATTAAAGTTTCATAATTTTTAATATCAAAAAATAAAAATAATTAAAAGTAATTTTATAATATAAAAAATAAAAATTTTCGATATAAAAAATATATATTTTTGAAATATTTCAAAATATATATATAGATAAAAAAAATAAAACAGAAAAAATATTTGATCCACTTTTAAAAACATCACATAATTATTGACGGTGAAGTTTTCTTTTCACTGATTACGATATTAGAAAGAACATAAATGTATATTTTTTTTTGTTTCTTTTAATATTTGAAATCTCAAATTTTTAATTTTAATAATTAAAATTAAAATTTTAGTATTTTATTAATAAACACGCTATTAATATTTTTAAATTTTAATCAAATTTACGTCACGTAATATGATAGATTGGAATATAATAAAAGCATCAATAAAACTAAAACTTACGGAAAAGAATATGAAGAAGAAGGAAAGAAAGGTAGAATAGGTTGACATAATTGAAACCAACGGAGTGTGATTAAGCAATCATAAAATCTAAATGTAGTTTTCTTCATGTAAACGTTACGTATAACTTTAAAACTTTTAGCCAATTAAAGAACCACTTGTCATTGGCAATGGCTGCAACGTTGAAAGTGGGATTTGGGACCCAATGTTTCTCAAGTTTTGGTAGTAAGATTAAGAGATAATATTAATTATTATACTTTTTTAATATGATACTTAAATAAAAAAATTTAATTAAGTACATAAATTTCATTTTCGTATATTAAATTATCCAACTCCTTAACATCGTTGAAATAATATTGATATAATATTTAAATGTTGACGTAAATAAAATATAATTATCATATGATTTAAAATGTAATTATCAAATGTCATTTGAAAAAAAAAATAAATACAAATTTTTATTTTTTTAATTTTTAAAAATAACACATAACAATTATATTATTATCAGATGATAATCATATATCATCTCTATTAGAACTAAATACCACGTCAACGTTATTTTTAAGGTGTTAAAAGAGTTTTTCACAAGTGAAATTAAAGTTTTAAGTACATGATTAAAAAAATTTTAATTTAAATATCACTTTAAATAATTATAATAATTTAAAAACCAAATAAAATGCTATACCTAAAATTAAATAAATTTTAAAACTTAATTTAATATAAATTCGATCTTTATAAAAGTATTGGAACAATAAAATCCTACATGCATCTTTAAAATTCATTGAAAAAGAGATTTTAAGTGAATGAAACTTTAGGCGCCTACAACCTATTGAGAGAGAGAAAGTACTCAAGTTTCCTTTTCCTTGAAGTCAATATATTAGATCTGAACAGCATAAGAAAGGCCGGAACATCATTCATGGCGAAATAGTGAAAGACAAAGCAAAGTTGACAATGGGACTGGAGTACAGCGGCATAATTAGTAACCAGTCGGCGGCTTGTTCACTGTTAGCAAAGCATAATTAATAGAACCCAAACCCACGTACTTGCAAAGTTTGCAATGGCCTGCGTTACATAGTGTTGAAAAGTGGGTATCAAATCTTGAATCAAAAGCACTGATCCTGGGGAACAAATGATGTTTTATCATGGCCCCACTTTTATCTTTTTTTGCTTTTTCTTTTTTGTTTCCTGCAAGATGTTTTGGAGTTCAAAAGAAGAGTTAGTGTGCTTGGGAGACCACGTCTCAGTCACTCAGATGCAAGGAGCCCTTGGGTGCTGTGAAAGAGAGACAAAGCAAGGAAACCCATCATGGGTTCATGGTGCAGCACTCGGAATCCAAGAGCCGTCTAGCAAATCAAGAGCCAAGAGTAGTGGAGAGCAAGTACTAGTACATTTTCAAGCTAGAATAAACTCTACTAGAGGCATGACATGAGAGCCAGCCAATTCCAAAGAGATTATGTTGTGATGTTCCATAAAAAAAGTCATGGAGTCAACGGGCACGAAGGCCAAGAGGTCAACCACTAGAGTAATAATGGTGGTGGAGTAGTGGAGTGGAAGTAGATGCAGACATGCAAATATATACAAATGCCAATTATCTACTTGCTACCCTTCACTTCAGGTAAGACACCTTAGCTTGCTGAAAACAATCACATATAGTAATAATCTGATTCCATATCAATCCACTTTGAAATTTATGGCAATCAAAAATTGGATTACTAAATAGAGTGAGGTCCCAACAGCCCAAGGACCAAAGATTTCACACTTGTGACAAGGAAATCTATACCAAGTTGGTGGGTCTTAGTCAAGATCAACCTGCAATAGATGCTCCAATATTCATCCGCAATGATATTTGCATCAAAATAACCAAGGTAGTCAGCATTTTGCCACTTGAATCTTTCTTTCTAATGCTGGATACAGATCACATCCCTCCACTTTACCATACAGTTGAATGTATCATTTATCCTAGTACATTACCAATCAACCAAAATTAGGCTTTCGGTTGAAGCTCAAAAGTTTTCCTTTATCATCGATTTTGGGTATTTACAAGTTCATATCATAATAAAGTGACAGACTATCAACATCCCCATCGTTAGAACAATTAAAGCCATGTTAAACGACAAGGTGACTTGCCTGGGTAGGAAACCTCCCACTGAAAGCAGATTGTTCCAGGTCCAATGTTCCAACAGAGGTCGCCACGCACGTACCATAGAGAAGCTTCAACTCAAAATCATACAGAATAAGCTTCATGCCTGGCTTGATTTTCTCAACAGGCCCCAATTTTCCAACAGGAAGACCAAAAACACGATACCTATAGCACTGTGGTTTTGTTCTTCCATTGCACATAAATATAAAGCCCAAAAGCTGTTCCTGGTCACACACATCAATTTCTTTTTCCTGTATGGCAGTACCATTGCAATGAGCAGCCAGACCTTGTGCAGGATCAGAAAGACAAGTAAGACAAGTATGCGCAGGTGTCATGAGTCGAGATTCAACTTTCAGGCTCGTATGGCTCTAAGATCAGGACATGAATTCATCCACATCTCAGATCAGCTTAACTGTCACGGTTCACACCCTTGTGAGGTATTATCCACTTCGATCCCCCTTAACCTCACGGTTTTGTTCCCAAAAAAGGCCCTCACAAGGAGGTGATGGTGTGAATTCTTATATCTCCTACTCCAAGCGAAGGCCCATCGTCCTCGGTGACACATCGCTAGTACCCCTAATACTGGCTTTGATACCACTTGTCACGAATCAAGACTCAACCTCCAAGCTCGTGAGGCTCTAAGACCTAGGCATGAACTCATCTGACGTCCCAAATCAACCTAACTATTACGGTTCACATCCTTACGAAATATTGTCCACTTCAAACCCCCTTAGTGTAAATCCTTATATCTCATGACCAACTCTAATACACAGCCGATGTAAAATTCATGGCTCCTCCCTATGACTGTGACACAGGGACAATAGAATGAGATGCTTGGCTCTCTAATGCCATTTTATTGGCATCTAGTGGATGCATGGTCTGTAATTCATTCATGAACTTCTTGCCTCTTCTCTATTCAGGTACAGGGCTGTCAAAATTCAAGAAATTAGTTCCATTTAGTTGATCTCAATCACTGTAACAGCTCCCAATAAACAAAAGCGTAAAAGTGGGACAATGTGAAAATGATAACTTGAGGAAGATGGACAAAACTGTGAACTTCATAACACAAAAGTGATTATGGTAGCCACACATAAGCTCACATTCATAGCAAACATAAATTCACAATCCATTCCGAAGGACTTTTCATATATTTTACAGCTTACAGCTTTAGTAATATAACCCACCTTTTGGCTTTTTGCTTGCAAAGCAAAAACATAAAAAAAGTTAGATTCTTTAATTTTCACTACTCAAGATGTAAGAATAAAAAATTTTCCTTTTAATAAAAGAATTTTACATTTCAAAGGTTAAATCTTTCAAAACAAAAAGGTCAATTTCAAACATGTTTGATTCTCATTCAAACATTATTGAATGAGAATCAATCGATCTTACATTCAAAACAAAATCCTCTTCTAAGCCCATTCGATATCAAGGGGAAAAAAAAAACTGATTTTCTGAATCAAGAAACCTTAGTAGTAGACCTTAAGCCTTTAGTACTAGCAGTAATGTCTTTTAAAATTTTTCACCAAGATTCTGATCCATTAGCAGCCTCATTATCAACCAGCTAATAAAACTCTAGTAGGCTTTGCTTGCAAATTCTTTTATCAAATGGTCAGCTAAAAGAATGAGCTATCGTAAGAACATCAAGAATTGAAATTTCAGCATTGGGACAAAAATAACCCATTTGCAACTTGAACTGAGCTGCCAGATGCCGCTTCTCACATTTGAAACCTGAAGACCAAGTTGTTAAGGCTCAGTTAGTTGCAAATGCAATCCAACAGAACTGTAAAACCCAGCACCAAATGGTGCTGTCAGGAGCTCTTTGGTTGATACATGGAATACCTCTGCATAAAAGAGCAATTCAGGCCACAAGATCAACTTCATCTCGATCAGGAGGAACCACATCTAATCTCATCATGCTTCTATACTGATCTGGAACAGGTGCACCAGCCTGAACACATAGCTCCACCACAGCTGGGGCTTTACCATAATATCTCTTCAAATCATTACGCAGAGGAGGACCATTCAAATCAAGAACATGCCAGACATAATTAGGCCCAACAAGATCATCAGTAGTTGCTTCTTGCCACGCATGCAAACCATTTCGAGACTGGTGCTTTGATGCTTTGCACATTCTAACTTTATGCCCCTTCGGACCAACCTGAACCTCAGGACAATAGCCACATGTCCACACACTGTACTTCTCCATGATCTTTTTCACACCTCCTATCATTTCAAACCATGAATCCAACGTCCTTGTACTTAACTCTGTTAAGTTGTTTTCTTCATCATTTAGCTCCAAATTTGAATCACTTGTCAATCCACCAACTTTGGAGCCATCAAGATTCTTCAAAAACAAGTAGCTCTCCATATCATTCATCCCGGAAACTGACTCAAAATCTACAATTCTACCTTCAATAGAGTATACAGGCATTGTTCTTCTCTTTGAAGGGTACTTTTCAATGTCTAAACCAGCTTGGATACAAAGCTCTAAGATTGCGGGGATTTGGGGGACACTGTGCCTCTCATCATGAACAACCCTTGGTTTCCCAACTCGGTCATAGAGATGGAAACATTTGGGGAAAAAAACAACATCAACCACCCCTCCCTTCCTCCAGACATGAGTCGCACTCCTCAAACCGCTTTTCAGACCAAAACAAGTACGGATTTCATGACCCATGTTTCCAATATGAACCTCGTAACAAAATCTAACCCAAAAAAAAAAAATCAATGTCTTATCTAACTCCTTTGTTCTTTCAAAATTTTACACATTTTTTACTATCCAAAATTAACAAGCTATCCAATCAAGTAATCAACAAAAGAAAGGGAAAAAAACAAAGGCATGTCCAGTTACCTGCAGCGTTGAACCGCGATGACTTGAACGAGTTTGGACAAACCAGAGAGGAGGAATTCACGAGCTCGGTAAACTCGGTGAGCGACGTCGACGAGTTCAGGAACCAACAACCCATTGTCGGGTGGATGTTCGAGCAATCTACAAGGTTGGGCATTTCTCAATTCTTTCTCTTGTTTGGCTCTTTTAATCAGTTCTTTCATGGGTGTCGGGTACGGTTTCCTCTCGGACTTGTCTGTGCGTGGTTTGGGCACGTCTGAGTACAGAGGATCGTCATTTTTGTCGGGGAATAAAGGGAAAGTTTGGGTCTTTTCAGATGAGAAGAAGGAGCTTTGATAGAATAGGCAACGGAGTTTGTTGAGCTGAGAGATTTGTAATAACAGCGACTTTCTCTGCATTTCCAGTGGGTACCTCGTACTAGAAATTTGTAATAACAGCGAATGTGAGTGAGGAGTAGGCAGCGAGCAGTGGACAAGCTGTGTCAGGAGTAGGAGAAAAGAAAAGGAAAGCTAAGCGGCCTAGCTATCAGGGTATGAGATGAGAAGCTGAGAAAAAATAAAAAGTATGGTATAAATAATATATTAATATTTTTTAATTAATTTTGAATAAAATTTGAATTTGATTTATTAATTATCGAATTAAATTTAAATTAAATAATATATTTATCAAACGAATCAAATTTTAATATTTTAATATTTAATAAGTTTAATTAAATTTTAAATTTTTAATATATTTTTATTATTTTAATTAAAATATATTTTTTTATATATATTATTTTAAGTTTAACTCAAATTTAAACACATGAATTTATTTTTTATTAAACGTTTTTAATCAAATAAATTTAAATAATTTAATTTTTATCTCGAATTAAATTTAAATTTAAAAATTAAAATTCAATAAAAATCAAATCAAAATTCAAACAACAAATATTAAATCGAACTCATAATTAAATTTTTTACGATATCGATTCAACTCAATTAAGGTAGCACCGTTTGAGGGTCTAATTGCCTCTCTTTTCTTCGGGATAGATACATAAATAAACTAAAAACACCATTTGCCTAAGAACTTCGAAATCCATAGATCAAAATTTGTTCATAAAATATTAAGATTGAAATGCATGACTTGAAATTTCTTGAAGAAACAATCATTGTCATCTAATTGACTAATTATGCAAGATTGATGTGATATTCCGTTAATTCAAAGTAAAAAACTTAAAATTTAATTAATTGATTTATATAATTTAAAAATAATATTTAATAAACTTAAAATTCAAGTCCATGAATCAACCCTCATTAAAAAATAAAAAATAAAGGTAAAACTCAAGTTTGTTAATTCATAAACTGAAAAAACTGTAGGAAGTAACTTCATAGTTCATACCAAATTAACCAAAGAATCCTCCAAAATCCAGAGTTTGAAACAGACAACTTGGATAAAAGGCAGGAACCAACTTCTGCAAACAGAGAAACTTATGAACATGACCATATGCAAGAACAGGTTCCTTTTGTTCATGAAACATCTGCCATTAGCTCACTGTCGAAAATCTCATTATCTACACCCTCCTAAAAGCCCTTTTAATGGTTCAATCTCACATTGAAACACAAATTATATAGATAATAATTCTCTTGTTTCAAACCAAATCCATCACAAAGCATTCATCTAAGTTGTCAGTTTCAGACTCTCTATGCTTAAGCAATAAGAGAGGAGGTTATAAGGTTTAAAGAGACAAAACAAAAAGAATGTATTACATTGAAGGTAAAGGAAAGAAGTTCAAAATTCCACAACTAGAATACTTATACATGCAGTCTGTTTCTCTCTCTCTCTCTCTCTCTTTGAGCAATCATTCCCCATCTAGACCAAATGCGAGACTTGATTCCAAAACCTTGGGGACAAAAATGAAATTCACATAACTTGGGATAGAAAACTGAAAAAACAAAAGGATACCTAAAGTCATGCATAAGCCCAGGAACTTCTATACATCGTGATGCTGTTCAGTCAAAGACTATCCAAAATTTGAAGCCCCCATTATGCCAGTCTCTACTCATAATGGGTTTTTGATTCAAACAAAAGTTTCCATAGAATGACAAAATTTGTCAAGAAAAGTACCACTTAGTTTCGGTTATGCATCTCAGTTCCCAAAACTGCTTCTCTATAGCAAAAAAGGAGTCATCAGGCCACCCTAGGGTGGATAAGGTTCTAGTACTTTGAAATGGTATTTAAAGTTAGAGCTGGATAAGCTGACTGCTCAATCAGAATCCTTGGAAGAACCCAACAACGAGTCTGTCCCATTGGAAAATTCCTCCCCATCAGGTAAAGTTGAAGAACTACCTTGGCGGTGGTTCTCCTCGTTGCCAGTTGTTCGAGGCCTCGCTGGTCTTGATCGAATATTGGTACCCATAGGAAAGGGCTCCTACATAAACAAGAAATGAGTTAAATGCTCAAAACTTCCTCTGTTACAGATATAACAGTAGGGAAAGTCGCACAAGAAGAACTACATAAGAAATCTCAGAAAACAAGGAAAAAAGAAATCGTTGAGCTTGTTTACGTTGTGTCAAGATAACCTACCTGATCACCAGCATTTGGGCCATCGGTATGAAAAAGAATAGGGCGGCAACGTTTATCTTCATTCATCAAGCTTGAATTCTGGAAATGTGCAATAAGAGCAGCCTTTCCCTGAATCCTAGCATATGCAAGAGATGCCACCTTTTCACTGTTGAACTTTTCCCATTTTTTGCCATTGAATGCCTGAAAAATTACATTGGTTCAACCCAATTAGTTTTAAATTATCAAGATAAAAGTGTACACAACACCACATGCAGATAATAGAGCTATTAGTGTGACATATCATCCATTTATCAAACCTTATAGAAAGGAATGATCTGTTGTGGATCGATCATGTTGATGAACGCATAGCCCACATTGCATTTGTTCTGCAGATAATATTTGTAAAATTTAGGGTTAGTAACACATTCAACAAGTACATGTACCATATCCAAGCATGAATCAGTGTGTCAAGGTTGGAAAATGGTTGATCAACCACTTAAGTTACTTGCCTTGAAGTCAATTGGCAAATAAATAAAATCATAAGTTCCTCGACAGTGCTCATCAATGGCTGCCAGAAGCATCTTTGAGGTATACCTGCGAAAATCACAATTTAACTTTTTTTTAAGGTTATAATCATTTGAAAGGAAGGAATATTTACTAAATGGAAATGAGCTATAATTTTGGATGCAATCAATAAATCTGAAGAATGAACACTAGCAGAACATCACATCAGATTATTTAAGTATACACCACCTCTACTAACTCACTTCAACTATATTACTCAAGAAGTCCGATATAAACAACATTGCAAAAATGGTGGTCCATCAATAATTACTCCGTTTTGGAGCAATAATGAGATTTTGAAGGTAAAGTGCTGCTCACCATCATCAGGATGTTTATGACTTTAATTTCATTCATCAAGCAATTTTGTTCAAGTATAAGGAAGTTTAAGCGGATAGAAAATACTAGGTAACAAAATTATTTTAATAGTATAAAAAAAAACAACTAAAGACACAAGAAATAAAGAATAAAATGACTGGAATTTGCATGAGGAGAAGTTCACATACTTGTTGGGTATGTTTTTAATCATAAGTGTTGTTCTGCTGTCATCCCCACGTATAATGCGGTCAATGTCAAGTTCATATTGCTTCTTATCAGCATTACTAGAATTTGACTCATTTCTACGATATGAGGGGTTTCTAACACAAACATTGTGAGAATCAACAGATGCTGGCATTGAAATCATAGGGTTCCTGCCAGGGAAAAGGTGGCACATCTGCTGAAGAGAGTGTACCCCACCATTTTTCACCAAATCCATACAATTTCCACCAACATGAGAAAAAATGTTGTGGGAAGCAATTTCCACAGGACGTGATGCCGAACTACCAGGAAAACCCACACTTCCAAGAGATCCAAGGTGAAAACCTGAAGTTTCAGGAGACTCCCCAGCATAGGGATGCCGCCTGTCCCAGAATGCAGAATTAACTGGTGCTGAGCCAATGTGGTGGTGTACAGGTGATCCCACATTCAACATTACAGAAGGAGCCCTGGGAAATGCAGGGACGTGTGGAAGGCGTTTAGCATGAATCCCATTAACAAATGATGGCGAATTTGGCCAAATCATGGCACTTGATGGATGTTGCTGGTGTGAGTTGGAGTTGTTCCACATGTAATGATTTCCATTAAGTGACAAGCTTCCATTTCCAGACGACCCAAAAACTAGAGAGATTTTTTTAGCAACACAATGTTAGAGAGAAAGGCAACGTGAGAGTAAAATCCAACGCATAAGAAACAGAATTCAATTAAAGAATAAAGTAGAATTAAATTTAATAAAAAATTTAACATAGTGAATCCTGAATTTTATCAAAAATATTAACATAATGAATTATGAAATTTCCTCTGAATCTACAACAGAATGCAACAAAGATGCGGGAAAATATTTTTCAATTAATATTGGATATCTATCATAATCAACTGAACTTACCCCCTGCATTAGGTTCCATCAGATGACCATTCGAACTTGTACACCGAATGTGCCTATTATCAAGTCCTTCAGCCATCATGGGACCAACACTGCTAGCCATGTCTGTTATGGTGCTGGAGGAGTTGAATGGAATACCACTGGCTAAGTCATCATGATACTCAGGAAAGGAACGAGGATGGAAACTTGGTACACCTTGGTTAGCAAACTTCATTTCATCCACAGAGTGGTTGGGCTCCCGAAGGCTTAATTGTTTGCCTATAGGTGCCAGTCTTGCTGGAGGGGATAAGTTTATTGGAACACTAGAATTTTGATGAGGTTCAACAAATGTATTCACAGGTGCAACAACCTGGGTAGACCCATTATCCATGCAGCTAGATGCAATTACTCCGGGAGAAACTGTCACAATGAATCATAATGTATGAACCAACAGATACATATGCTCTGAAACAACAGCCTATAATGAATTGACCAGATGGCAGAATTTAAAGGCAAAAGCATACCAATGTGTCCTGATGATAACTCATCAAAAGGGCTTTCGCATAGGTTAGGTTCATCTTGCTCCTGCTCAGACTGTTGCATAAAACTGCAAATGAAAGTTCAATTTACCACCACTTAGATGCACAGAAAACAAAACAAAAAAAAAAAAGCAATAAGGAATGAAATACAACTTAGATGCACAAAAAGCATATGAGGCATCCAAAAAATTGATTGCACATCATTTGCCAACTCCATACTCACAGTGAAGAGTGGCAGAAGTAACAAGTCACAGAACCATCATGTAAAAAGCAATAAAAATTTTCCCACTTTTATGGAGCCAGGTTCAGGTCCCAGATTCCCTTCAGAAGCTAAGATTAATCTAAAAAAGTTTAAAAAGAAGTTGAAGAAAGCAGCACAAGTTGATGATATTACCGCCTAACACCGCCCGGACGGCTTGGTTCAAGTTTGATCTGTTTCCCAGCAATGTCACTCCTATTCAGTGCATGAAGAGCAGCTTCTGCAGCTCTAACATCATAAAACTCGATGAATTTGTGGTCATGCTTGTGTAGAGTCTCACAGATCTGTCACAAATCAACCACACAATTTAGACATTTAGCATCCCAAATAAAAGGAATTGTGAAGCTGAAAGAAATTGAATGAATCCTTTACTTCTTTAATTTCTCCAAAAGCACCAAATATTCGATGAAGCTCATCAGTTGAAACAGAAGAATCGAGGTTAAAAACCACCAGCGTCCCTTGGTTTACATCTTTTCCAGATGGATTGTCCTGAGGTCACAAAATTTTGAAAAATAAATAAATAAAGTAATATGGAACACGAAGATGCTTCTGCAAATTGAACAAAAGAAAGGTTGTAACAGCAGAGAGGGTAACAACAACATAGTAGACAGTAACCATTCAGAACAAAATGGTTGAAGCCACACCTTTGGAATTGAATAATGTATATCAAGTTTCCTACGCCTCAATGGCTTATTTTGCAAAGCCTTCATTGCATTTCGGGCTGCCCTTATATCATAATAAGAAATCATAACAAACCCACGATGCTTGCAGGCAGTATAGAGAGTTCGGATATCTCCATATTGCTGACAGAAGAAAACAGGTTGGTCAATTTAACTTAACTGAACATGTCCCCTTTAAAAGGAGAGTCGATGGAGGAAAATTGCTTGTACAAAGTCTCAATAAACTGTGTAACAGATGGAAAGGAACACAAACCTCAAAGAGTGCCTTTAACTCTGAGTCTTCCACATTGCTATTAATGTTCCTGACAAAAAGTGTCCTAGAAGGATGTTCACCATATGGATGTTCACCAACAATTGAGCCACTGGAACCCCCTTGACCATTGAATACTCCAACGAGATCTGAATTCCTTGGACCCATGGATACATGATCATCCCCTTCCAATTCCATTCCTCCACCACTGCTGAATAGGTCAAAATCTTCCAATTCATCTCCTTTACTGGCATGACTATTAAGCCCCAATTCATCAATCACTCCAGAGAAGAGATCATCTTCATCAGGGAGGAGATTTCCAATAGTCTGTGCCTCTATTTCTTCCATAGATTTTAAAGGTTCTTCCTCATGGTGTGAAGTGGCATTACTGACATGTTGGAAAGATAGATCATTCCCCAATAATCTCACTGCATAAGGATAAAAGAAAAGCAAAACACAGATGGAAATTTATCAATTGTATGCAAATTTAATAAAAAAAGGCAGTGAGTAACCGGAAAAAACTGAATAAAATTGCAGCACTATGAAGATAGATATTAGCTCTAATTTTCAATCCATTTGAAGGGAAATGTCCAAATTACTTGGAAGAAACTCCAGTAGAGAAAAGGGAGAATAGAGAAATATATACATGAACAGATTTATAAAATGGATGATTATGGCATGATTAATTATAAAACAGTTTCATACCTTCTTTTAGAATTATGTTTGCATGATATGGTAGGAAATTAATAGTCATCAATCAAACCATAAAATGCTATCTTAATTAAAGTATCTGATATTAGAAAAGCAGGAGAGAAATGGTGCAAACATGGAATGCATGTACACGCTGACGCACAATTACAGACACCCATATGCATGTACATAAGCTTGATAGGCATAGATAAAGAAACTTACACTTTCTACTGAATATTTCAGACAATGAACTTGAAAACAGACTACTTTCATGCTGGATAATATTGACATTGGTGCTGTTTCTATTAAAGTTCACTGCTGGTTGCATATACAGATTTGACAGTGATTTTGGATGGTGATTCACAGAATTCCATGAAGGTTCAGACAAATTGCTAGTTCCCTTCCAACCAATGTCTAACTTTTCTTCTTGATCTCTCGCCGGATTTGATGGAGGAAGTTCTATGCAGTCAGCAGGCAGTTTTTCCAATGTAGATGAACCAACCATCTTGTCTGCAAAGACAAGAAGTTACACGGAAAGGTGGGAAGATAAACATGCACAAGTTTTGCACAGAAAAGCACGTAAAAGTTTTCATTTAAAAGATCTGAGAATTTCTGTGCAACACATTATTAAATGCAAACCACTTCACTTATCTGCTATAAGGCATTTCAAATTTGTCAGAAAGGAAATGTTAGGAACGAATTCCAAAGTTTTAAATGACACCAACAAAAATTCCACAAAGCAAGAAACATATCTCTAAAAATAATATGCAAAATAGGGGACGTTAAATTAATCAAGGTTAATATGCATGTATCCTATCACAAGGGACAATCCCATGCTCTAAAGGGGTGAATTCTGACAATAAATCCAGCATTTTCAAAAGGGGGAAAAAACTAAAATGGACACCAACTTTTGGCCCTTAACTAAACTAAGGTATTTCAGGAACTTTTGAAATTAATTGTACGGAAGTCAATCTATAATATATCTGCAGCAACAAACAAAATCATTTCTCACATGAAACTGACATCTACTAATTTAGCACAATCGAAAAAAACTTCATCAATATAGATGACAAGCTCTCCCACTGATAATTTAGTGCTTCATGCAGATAAGGTGCTTCAGAAGAACCATCAATGGTCAAGTATTTCATCAATAAATCAAGCTGATTGCTGCATTCTTTTGACAAATCGTTCAAAGCAGATACCCCAAATTTCCATGACAGATTTTGCAGTGACTATAGCCTTCTGTTATACAATAATATGGCCTGAACTGGAAACAAAAATTGTAATTATGTTTACCATTCTGACTGATGCACTCAGAAATCCTTTTCATATGGACAAAACATAACGGTTGGAAACACCCAGTTGTTAGATCAATCTTTTTGGATTATTCACTAAATCGTAAAGGTTAATTATGGTTCTTAAGTACATCCCACATATCATCACTAAGTCAGGGGCCACTGCTTCTCATAGTAATCAAGAGACCCAAATGATAATTTATTAAATTTAACGATGACAAAAGCTCAAATTTCCGTTTTTATGATCTATGCCTACTAACAAGAAATTGACAGCCAGCTTAAATGGTCAATGCAGTTAAATAAACCAATTAGCAGCAGATAGAACCAGCAGTTCAGTTGTCCATAGCACTATTCTCACCTTGATTATCAGACATGGTATTTGGCTTCCAAAATCCAACTTGTCTCTGCCCAACAGAAGTTGACATTAAAGCAAGATGGAACGAATTACTGTTTTCTGGAACTGGGGACTTAAAAGTTTCAACAAAAAAAAAAAAATAATGATCACAATTTTAAAAGGTGCACAAAGAAGAATCCTGCAAAATATCGACTAAAACAACAAATAAAATCCCAGTCTGTATACTCAAAATATAAACGACATTATCAAAATTGGTTGTATTATTATGCCATAGAGTACCTCAGCTGGGAAACAAATGTCTTCAAAAAAGTTAGACGATGCTGATGCATTCCTTTGATCCATGATCTCAAATGGCATTGTTCAGCTTCGACACCACAAAATCTCAAAAACTTAAAACAAACCCTCGAAATTTGTCACCCGTGGCTCGGTCCTGACTTAATGAACTTCTACCCTGGAAAGCATTCAACAATCACCAGTCTCTAGTCAGTAAACTTGTATGTTACATAAAATAAAAATAGCTTCAGAAATGCAAGAGAAAGTTACAAATATTGAAGAAACATTAATCCATTAATTTAAATTCTAAACCATTTTGTTTTAATATATCAAAAATCAAAGAAGCATGTGAAGATGACACAAAAGCTAGCTACTTTCTTCAAAAATCGGCAACTTAAAAGGACTTTTGAAGGAAACACAGAGGACTGGTTTTTACTTTATAATAATTCAAACAGGTTGAAACAGATGTACCATGAAAAGGAAAGCCACTTACCTACCCACGACCAAAAAATTTTGCCCCGTTTGGTTTCCCAGAATAGGTAAGAAAATTTTAAAAATAAAATCCTAAATCCTAAATTATGAACATGAGTAAACTGTGAATAAAAAAACATATATGTTGCTGAATTAAGGTGAACTTTCCATTTCCAAAAAAGAAAAAAAAAACTAAATTCCAGTATTCAAATTCATGTTTCCCTTTTTCCTATCCCACGCTTTTCTAAGCAGCAAAAAATAAAAAAAGAAATGATCTTTGCAACTTCAACCCTAAAAAGAAATTTGTTAACTACCAGATCAGTTGAAACCCAACTTTGCATTTCTCAAAATAATTTTTTTTACTTCAAAATTACCCTTTTTTCCTACCTATCAAAGAACAAATTCTACAAAATCCCTGATCAGATCAGGGAATTGAATTATGAAAACAGCCTAAATTCTGAAACTTTACTGATAAAATTGAGGTAAAAACCCCCAAATTTGTCAAAGTTTGACCTAAATAAAACAGAAACCAAGCCTTACCTTTTGAACCAAAAATCCTGAAAATTATGCAACCTTTTTCACGAATTGATGCCCAAGGTGAAAGCAACAGTTATTTAAATATTAAAAGAATTTGAGAGAGAGAAAAAAAAAATCAAAGCTCGAAGGAAGAAGATAGAGCAAGGGATCTCAGCATCTTTTGCCCTGCATTGCAAGCCATTACTCACCACACGAGAAAGAATATTTTTCCTTTTTTTTTTGTTTTCTTCTACAAAACCATAATTACAGAATTATTTAACACCAATTTTTTAAAAAAATAAAAATGGAATTTTATTCTCCCTTTTTGTGGCAGCTTGATTCCGGGAAGGTGACGAAACAAAGGAAGACAAAGCGACCAAGAAATCGAAATTCCGGCGAGATTTGGCTTCTCGCCGGTCGCTCACCGATGCGTTTTTTTTAAAGAGAATCAGAGAAAAATAAGATGTTGGGTTGTGTTTCGTTGTTGTTAGTTGGTTTTGAAAAATTAAAAGAAAGTAAAAAGTTAAAAAGTTAAAAAAATAAAACAAAACAAAACAGAAAATAAAAAAATAGGCGCGGGGGGGTTTTTTTTTTTTTTTGTCTTGTGGATAATAAAATCGGACCGCTTCCTTTAAACACGACCGCTTTTGATTCAGACAATAAAAAATTTGTCTTTTTTTCTTTTTTTTTTTGAGGAAATTTTGTTGGTTAATAACGGCGTTACGGCTCGGTTGGTGACGGGTGCGGAGTTTCAGGTGATTCTTTTTTTTGTTGTGCTTTGAGACACCTTTTAATTTGATTTTTTTTTTCAAGAAAATCACAAAAGGATTTATAAATATTTTTTCAAATTTTTTTAAATTTTTTGAATTTACAAATTTTTTATCAACAAAATATTGTAAAAATTTAAATTTAAGTACTTTATATCAAAATCTTAGACATTAACCAGTTACATCAATCTCTATTAATTGTTTTAATTTGATTTAAAGTCCAGTTCAACATTATTTTTTAAATATATATAAAATAAAAGAATTATTATATTATAATTTATATAAATATGATAAATAAAAAATATTAATTTTTTTAATATTTTTTATTATTATATAATTATATCATGTGTAAAATTATCAGATATTCTTAAAAACATCGCAAAAAATTATGTGTTTGATGAGCTGGCTTTTTTTATTAGAGGATTTATTAATTTAATGTGACCTAAATTTATGATGTTTTGTAAGAAGAGATTGAGGATGAGTTGGAAATTTTGGGTTTTCCATAAATTAAATATGGAGAGGATCTTTTTTTTTTTTTTTTTTGGAGTAGAGTTTGGAAGAAGTTTGTTTTATTTAATGCTGCTCTTAATTTGAAAATGAAAATAATAATGATAGTTTAATCTTTATAATTTTTTTAATAATGCATTTATTAGTTATTGTATTTAGATATTCATTGGTAATTGTTACAATTAATTATGAGTTACTATTATGTGTTAATTAAGGAACTGTTTTTTATGAACTCATTTGTATTTAATAAACTAATTATAAATATTAATTATTCAATTTCAATACTATAACTCAACTGTTGAAATCTTTTAACATCAGATCTTTTCAATTTTTAAATAATCTCACAATTCCAATAATTGACATTAAAACATACATTTTTTTTTGTTTTTCTATTTTTATAAAATGTATATTTTTTATGAGAAAAGATAAAAATTAAAACATATTATAAGTATGAATCACAGTTTATATTAAATTTATAAATCATTCATCAAAAAAAAATTTGATAACTAAAAATAAATTTAATTTTTATCAACTCGAACAATCTATGTTAATTACATTTTTTAATATATTTTTATAATTTGCAAGTTGGTAATAAAATCATATACTAAGCAAATGTATATGTATTTTAGTGATAGATGATCGTAATTTGAGAAATAATTTTTAAAAATTTATTTTAAAAACCAAATATTTTATTATATTATGATATCATTTATTTTAATTTTATTAATTTTAACATTCGTTAGTAAAATTGATACAAAAAATTAGTTTAAATTTTTAGACAAATTTTGGTATATTTGTGGATTGCATGCGAAGCATCGTGCTAACAGGTTATTCATGCATGAGAACTGGTCGAAATGATTGTCGTGTACGATTTGTCATTTGGATTTGATCTGTTTTTTGTTATTTAATGCCCAAAAAAAAAAAAGATAAGATAAGATCCTCCATCTTATCTATTGTAATATAATAATACCACTAAACCTGCCAACCCGGTTCCTCGCTGGCCCTCCGGCTTCGGTTCCTTAAGTTGATTTAATAATTTAAAATATAATATAATACAAATAAAAATATAAAAATAAGATTATTTAAAATTTTAATAAAAAATAAATAAATTATATTTTTATATAAATATAAATTATAACATATAATTTTATATAAAATATAATACAATTATTAATTATTAATATTTTATATAATAAAAATACATAAATTATCATATTTATGTTCTGAGTATTGAATTAATATGAATCTTCTAACTTAAATTTAGTTTAGATATTGAACTATTAATATATTTTTAAATTTTAAATTTAATTTAAAAATATTAATATTTTAATAATTTTATAAAAACTTTATTAACCTATTGAATCAAACTAAATCGGATTTTCAAAAAATAATCAAACTTTATCCATTCTAATTTATGAATAATTTTTTTTGAAAATCTTAATCTATCTTTAATATTTTTATTTTTATACTTATTTGATTTAAAATAGCATTAAACGTATAAATTGTTAAACATCAATTCTAAAAATATATGAACTGATTCAAAATCAATCAACAACTCGCGAACAAATTTAAATATTACTAGTATTAACTTTTTAATTTTCTAATCAATGCTAAGTAATTAGTAGTTGTACGTTTAAGCAAGTTGGGCAAATTTCCTTTCCATTGTTCCATTTCATGTTTGAGCACAAAAATGCATTACTAGTGGCGCCCCTTTAATTAAAATTAAAACGTATACCAATCAATGTGCAATATTTACGGTTGAGGGTTGACCTTTTTTATTTTTATTCAATAACCCAAATAATAATAATATTATTATTATTTATTAATGATTATGTACTAGAAAGTAAGCAAGGGATTTTAAAAAATAAAAAATAAGTAACGTACCAAAACGGTAAAACTTTGGACTTACACCTCATTATTTAATGTATTGGTTTACCCACTTAAATCAATAATACTTATATTTTTTTTCTTTTTTTTATGAGTGAATTAAAAATTATAAAGAATTTGTTAACCATAGTAGGATCTGTTGGTAGAATTAATAAAATATTAATTTTTTATTTTTTTATGAATCTCTAATATTAAAAAATTATAAAATATCTATAATATATGGAAGAAGACATGTAAATTTATAATATTAACACATGCTGTCATTAATTTTATTTATTTTTTAGGATTTTGAACTAAATTCAATTCCAAACAAATTAAATAAGTAAATATTAATTATATAAAATTTCACGTTGGTTAAAATTGTCATGATTTTAATAAACTGTGTGCTTGTCTTTGAAAAAAAAAAATACTAAACTCAGTTCAAATTAAAAATATTACAGAATTTGAAGGCAAGCCAACCAATTTCTATTACTTTATCATTTCTTTCTTTGGCCATATGAAACCATTTATCTTCTCACAAAAAATTATAGATATAATTATTCGTATATTTATATCATATAAAATATTGAAATATATGTATTTATATTATATTATAAATAAAAATTATATGTTATAATTTATATCGATATGAAAATATAAAATATTTTTTTTATTTTTATTAAATTTATATGTAATTATTTTTAAAATTTTAAATCATGTTATTTTTATATCTTATATTCATATTATATTTATATCATATTATTGTATTATATTTTAAATTATATATTATATTATCATATTATATTTTAAATTATCAAGTTTGATATCAAATATTTATACAAATAGTAGACACTTCCCGTGCAATATAAATAAATGTTAAGTTGGCGTAACTTTGGTTGTTGAGAAGTGATTTAATGGAAATAAAGACTCGTTGGTTAAGTAACAGTAGTAATAGTATTAGTGATGGCAATGGGGCATGGCAGATGGGTTTTTATATGTGTTGATTCGATTTTATAAAATAAATATTTATTTTGATTTAATTTGATATTAAAATATTATTTTTTATATTAAATCAAATTCACATATATTTAAAAGTGGAATTAATTTAATAATTTAAATTTAATGTAATATTTATAAAATGTATCTTAATTATATATAAATATAATATTTTATTAAGTTAATATATTAAATTAAATATTACATAATAATTTTATTAATATAATATATAAATATAAATTAAACAATAAATAAAAATATTATATATATCTTGATTTTTTTTTAAATTAGATCTGACAAAAAATTTAATTTTAAAAAAATTTAATTTGAAAAAAATCAATCTTATAATATTTGGATTGAAATTCGATGAATTTGAGTATATTTATCATATTTAAGTAGTAATTTTTTTTACAATACTAAATAAATGAAAAATAAAAACAAATTTATCAAATTTTAAGCAATCAAATTGATCAATTTTCAACTTAAATTATTTTTAAAAATAACATTTAATAAGTCAAAATTTTAAATTTAAATTTATATAATTTTTTATTTCAAACCATGATTTTTTTTTGTAAGAAATTAATCGAATCCACAATCTTAATTAAAAATATTCATTTGATATATAATCACATTGTTAAGTTCTTAAAGTTTAAATATAAAAGGTTGAATTAAAATTAAATAATTATCATAATTTTTATTATTTCGTTGAAATTAATTAATCAAATGTTCGAGCCTCTCAAGTGTAAATATTATTAATCGTAAGGTATATAATCACATTTTTTTACTAAAATTAAATAATTATCAGTTTTTAATATTCGTTATACTTATCAAACATTTGTCGACAATTTCAAACTAATAAAATATTTACAAAATCAAACAATCTCAGAGTCAAAAGGCTACTATTTGAAGGCGCGAGCTAAGCCAAGAGGGGTGAAAAATTTAAGGAAAAAAAATGATGTGAAATTATAATATTTAATTTAAATTAACTTTTTAGATATTAAATATATATTAAATTTATTTAAATTATAGTCATTTACGTGGGACCCCACGGTTCAAATCAGGCCGGTCAGGTTTTTTTTTAACTAAAACATAAACAGTGCTCTCAGTTTTCATTGAAGTTGGCAGTCAGTCGTCAGTCACCACTAACCACCACTCTCCCCAGTTTTTGTTTTTTTTTTTTTATTACTATTATTATTTTTATTTTTAGCCTACATTTTTTATCATATTTGTAAAGTTCATTTTTAATTTGAAAATAAGATATTTCATCTTATTATTATTTTTTAAATAAAATTTTTTGATACATAAAATTTTTTTCATTTTAATAAAAATAAATTTTTAAAATTCTATTAAAAAAGAAAAATAAAAGGAAAATTTTCTCAGCAATAAAAACTTAACTAATTAAGCTAAAATTAAAAGTGTAA